TTTGTATGTCTGGCTATCTGGGGAGTGGCGGTAGAAGGGTGAGTCTTCCACTGTCCTGCAAGCATTTGGCCTCGAGGTAGAGGCACGGAGCACGAAGGTGCGTGTTGTGAAATGAAAGGGGGGAAGGTTTAGTCGACTTAGATTCACATACGCACATTCTACTGCTTTATTGGATTTGTACTCAATCAGGTGCTTGTAAATAGTCAAGTTCCTGGTTTTTCTTTGCGTATATCTTATTTGCTGCATCGTAGTGTTAGCTCAATGCACGAAGATACAATATTGTGTGCTTGTGGGTAAGATGCTTTGTGCAGCTAATTTTGGACGCTTGAATTTTTTAAAGGGTGCACAGTTACACCCACTGTAGCTGTGCCCATCAAGGCGGGGTCCCTGAGGGTCGTGGACAGTGGAAGAAAAGGCCCTTCTTGAAAACCCTAGATAACTTGCCCTTCTAATTGTATTGAGTCTTGAAATAGCTAGCTCCCCTTGAAGACCTTTGCGAGAGCGTTACACGTAATAGTACTGCATCATTCGGTTCAACTGTGGCCCCATGCATCCACTGGCTGTGCATACATGGAGATGTTGGGGTTCCCGTACATGTCTAGTTTCGATAAAATTCGTTGATGTTTATATGATTCGAGGTTCTGCGGCAACTGAGTTAAACCGTCTTGCAATGAAAGTTGACGGTGCCGCAACTACTGAAGGGGAGGCAGAGGTTGGCTTCAACATGATGTGAGCACAGCTGCAACGCTTTGTTAAAGCCCTTCGTAAGGCAATTGCTAATTCCAAATTTAGTGCAAGCTTGATAGAAAGCTTTTAAGCGTCATCAATAGAGCTCATTTCTTCCTTTCTTAACGCTCCTGAAATCTCACATAAGGCAAGGGGGGCAGCTATGGTGCACACAGTTACACGCCGAGGCACTCGAGCATTCACCGTTAGTCACGCCGAGCATCTAAGGCATCCGCACACGACATTGAATTGCACACTATTTAGCCATACAACATTTAGTTATTTCGTTAATGCTTTTCAATAAAATATGGGTCGAGCTGTGGAAACTGCCTAGGGGCGCCTGAGTTCGGCGCACTGCAGAGGAAAGTGTAGGCCGTGTCTCGTGGAAACAAAATGCTTGAGAACAATTGTGCGTTTTGGCGTTAGCTTCAAAGAAGCAAAGTAATATTTTAAAGGCTTAAGCTGTAAACTGAATTTTCCACCTGAAATGCTTTCAGTTGTAGTAGATAAAGATGAGGGGGCTGTTCAATTAGCTTTTGTATTGTCCCACTGGTCCATGTGGAAACCCCAAGGTACAATGTTGTACAGCTTTAGAAACAGCAAAGCGATTGCTATGGATAAGATTCAGGACAATGCATATATTATTTATGTCCTTTAAAGATCGAGTTCGTCAACCAATCATGAACTTTATGGGCATGCAGGGCACTCATTCTGCAGACCAGAATGCAAGGATTACCCCCCAAATAAATTGCCAATGGATCCTTGCAACACGCCGGAAAAACCGCCGACATTATAGCGCATAACCCTAAATGTTTTAGGTATTAAAGATGAAAATATGCTTTTTTGGAAGATAAAATAGGTTCACCTGGAGCCTGTGACTAGACACGCCACTGTAACTTCGTCGGCGCCCCTTACCATCACGAGCCTCTCAAAAACGTTTATTGAGTATTGACTGCGCGCAGCTGCCCTTCGTACGCCGTAGTACGGGTATAATGCTTTGAATGTATTTCGAATTATATGCTTGCTCTGGCAATGTTTGCCTTTGTCCTACCTTTGTGATCCATTAAAATTTGTCCTCAGCAGACCATCCGCCCGTTTTTTGCGATATCTGCAGAGGGTGGGAGCACTGAAAGTCTCTCTTCCCACCTTTTGGAGCCATTCAATTACATTTGGTTTAATATGACGCGACTCAGTTGCCCGCTTTTCTCCCAGAAGCAGGGATAGCCTGGGTTTTGCTCTTTGGAAAATGCAGTATGTGGAATGATACCTCCCAGTCCGCGCGAGTAGCGACAATTCTGGAGCACCGAAAGCCATCTCCATACGGTGCCTCCTCCACCTTTAAAACTGAGCACAAATCAGACATAATAGAGTATCCTGGTCCTCAAGGCAAATGGTTCCAAAATCTGTTTTGGCCAGCGCCTTCGTGGCATGGATTAGCAAAATACACGCACAGGCCGTAGCCCTCGAGGGCACACAAGCAACAGGTACGACTACCACCATATACATATATTGCCCGTAGGCTTCGCTACTTGCCACTACAGGTGCCTGCCTTATGCCCAGCTCGAGGCACGAGCATCGTTTTCCCCATCGCGTGTCACATTTCACATGCACACTCGTAGGAACCAAGCAGAAACACGTAAATATGGCTTGAAAAGCCATTAAAAATGTTTTTACAGAATAGGAGGCTGACCCCACCAGCCCTGAAGATGCTTTTTACTCCTCAGGTTCAATGCTTCAATTAAGCCCCGGACCTTCCAATACTCGAGGCCAATCGCATTCCTTCACTGTCCCCAGAAACTTTTCAGTAAGGCGGTGTGCTGTTCTGCTGCGCTGTGAAGGGGCGCTGCATTCGGTGTTAGTGGAGACCTTGTACTATCTGTAGCTGCTGTGCACAGGGTGTCGTTGCATCTCATATTTGGTCATGTTTCTGCTTATATTCTCATTCCGTGTGCTTCAGCTCCAACCAGATGCACTACTATTAGGTAAGCGCATGCAGTCTTTTTTATTACTGCCCAGGAGCTAAACTTGCCAATCTCAGCGAGCTCTCATCCTCCGAAATGTATAGGATTCAAAAGTGGAAGCCGGATGTATGTGTGTGTGGATTGCATTCGGCACTGGCTATAGGCGCCTTGGTCGTCGACTACCCCATTCACGCCTGTCAACAGTTGGTGGGAGACATGGAAACTGCGGGTCGCTTGGGGGCTTCAATGCCACTGTCGACCGTATTACCTGCACTTTCAGGCGCAAGTGAACATCCTTCACATCAAGCTGCAACGCTGCTGGACCTTGACAAGCATTATGTGACACCTTCCGAACACGATATGCGGCACCTGCTTGTCATGGAGCTCCGCCACATCCTTGTCAACCAGAAAGTCCCTGTAAAAGAACTCGCTGGATTTCGTAAAGCAGAAGCTGCTGCCAGACTGACACTGACCACTAAATTCTTGGAGGGTCTGGCCGGTATTGCGTCTAGCTACGAACAAGGGCTACTGGATAAATTAAAGAAGGGAGTGGAGGGGAGGGTGCGGAAGATAGCAACTCTTTTTATAAGCAACATAACGGAGCAAGTCCACGAGTGGATGGTAGCCCCGGAGTTTTTTTCTCCTCAGCTTCAGGTGCTTCTGTGTCTCATACTGCAGTTGGATCATCAGGAACTGCCGCTGGAGCGCCGAGCATTGGAGGTTCCGTTGAGCGCCTACATGTTGGATGCCTCTGTGGAAAGGGCGGTTACGGCAAAGACTTTGATTTCATGCATGTCTGCTAACAAGCTGCTGCTGGCAGATGATGAAATAGGCCTCATAATGGATATTCTTGAACTCATGTGGGATATTTACTACAGGCATAGCGTCGAGATTCTCCGGGCTCTGCAGACGCCAACAAGTGGTTCAGCATCAAGCAAGTGGCTGCTTGACCAGATGGGGGATCCACGTGATCCCATAATGGCTCCCGACTCTCGCAGATATCTTGACGTATATGGATTTCTCACGGCAGTGGCCCTGGATAACTGGATACACGGCACGGCCCTTCCTCGTGCAACAATGCTTCTCCCCAACTGCAGATTGGCGCACCTTACCAGGAGCACCCCTTCGACTTTCGCGTCAACCTCAAGTTTTAGTGTAAGTGTCGAATACCAAGGACTCTCAGGAAGACTGGAGCATGATGACCAACGTGCCTTTTATTCCGTCATCAGTGCCTTCGGCAAAGAGGACCTCATGGCTCTCCAGCGCTACAAAGCCTCACCGGTCACGCCACAGAGTAGTAAGCGTTTTCATCTCCTACTCGATCGTGTATATCCACCGTACACAACATATAAACAATTCAGAATTGCTATCGAATCTCGAAGAGTTTATCAGCGCGGCACTGCGGGGATGTAAAGTCGGATTCAGCAACGCAATAGTGGTCGAGGTGAGTTGTCTATTGTGGACCTGCTATGGCTGCTGTGATTCAGAGGTTGAAGTGATTCAGTTGACTCAGACAACTTCCAAAGCTTTACGACGCATGTTTTCCCTTCCAGGTGTTCCGGCAAAAGACATTGTATCGTTACTAGGTAGGCTAGAATATGCTAACCGTCCACAGCGCAGTGATACACAAACGTCAATAAGACTGAGCCCAAAGTGCATATCGAATATCGAATCTTCATCGTGCTCGCATTTCACTCTCTGAGATATACACTTTTATTGCTGCCAGTGGGCGCCTTACATTTCATTTTATCTCATATTTTGCAGAATTCATTTGTTACCGAGAACGTAAAAATGGGACAAAGCAGCATTTTTAGACCAAGGCTCTTTGAGTACAGAGCCTTGAACTCCAATTGAATTGACGTTCATGTGCATGTGAGCTTCAGGGGGCTCCTCAAACCAGCATCCTGTTAAAGCCGCCTCGAAACGTGCATTTAATGGGCTGTTCATGGGAATGCGCCCAGAGCTGCGTACCCTGTTAAACACAGAACTCTCCTTTTTCCTTAGACGCCTACAGAAGAACGAGAAAATATCGCCTAACCCAGATATACAAGAAGCGTTTGAGAAGTGGGCCAGGGTCATGAGCGTAGAAAAGGAGGCTGTACTTGAGGAACTGAAGCGTAAAATGGAAATTGTCTCATCGGACCCCAATTATATGTTCAGTTCGTTGTTTTTTAGTGCAACTTTGGCCTCCAAGATCATTAAAAGCCCTGCGTACGCCACAACGGGGAATGCGGCAGCTATATCGGCTATGAGTGCAGTACAACAAGTGCGCTTGCCTTCATGGGCTATTAAATTGGATCCGGCGACTTTGAAGACAGCGCAGCTCACTGCGATCCAGCATCCAACTCTGCAATTCACGTATGACACAGTTCTGAGGCGAAAGTTACTTTCGCCTGCGGGCAAGCAAAGAGTATTCAGAAGGGATATGGTGGAACGGGTGGCCGTAACAATGGAATTGACTGCAAGAATGCAGCACCAGTTCTTTGACAGCATGATCTCCGTTCTCCCAGGCTTTTTGAGGCAATCATTGGAGAATATGCTCTGTGGAGAGCACCGTCCTGACTTTTTTGCCGCTGCAACCGAATTGGATGGTAAAAAGGGTCTTTTCGATTATTTGGGTTTCGCTACTGCATTTCGTCTTGCAGTTGTTGCAGAGATTCACCAAGTAAGCATACGCCTTTTGGATAAACATCATCGCATCTTCACGGTCGGCCCACGGCTTGACAGAGCACCGCCAATTACCATAGTAGAGGTAAGATTCTGAAACCGTGTCACCCCAGGTTTGCCCTTGGTGAAGCAGAATGCGTGGATCTGCTGACACACGGCTCACGAGGGCGTAGATGCGTTGCGACCACGCAGGAAGAAGAGTCTGGAATGTTTTTTACTGTGACGCTTCCACAAGATATGCTAGGGCTTATCGAAACCACCAAACATGTTGTGCCTTGGTTTGAGCTGCCTGGAGTTCGCCTTATGCGCGTCACGTTTCCCTCTTTCCCACGTATGCTTCTGCTTTGGTAGCACATAAAAATAGACTGTAGACCGCGGAGAAGCGCTGCTGTGTTCAAGCTCACAACAAACTGCGGCTAGCGAGCAGCATAAAGGTGCATTCGATACTTACTAAATGCATATTAGAGAAGAATTCGACTTCGATCCTGGCGTTATTACTGTCTATGCTTTGTATTGCTTTCTTTTTCAGCGATCAAACCCCCCTTGGGATTCATTGAGCACTACAAAAACCTGTGGAGGCGCTTTCGCGGTGAGGGACCACAAGATACTGGCCATATCCTATCGAGCAAGTTTTGCTTTGGGGATCGGAGGAAGCTAGACTTTGCATGTTGTGAATACCTACGTTCTCGCTGTGCAAAGATTGGGAACCTATTTCTTGTGAAAGCTGCAATTTAATAAGCACCACCGGTTGACTCAGTTATTTTGGTGGTCCCCTGCATGCATGCTTGACTGTTCAGGCTCTTCTATCCAGTTTTGTAAGCTCTTCGTTCCCATCAAAGCGTTTTGTTTCTGCTGAGTTAGCGTTTTTCAAACATTTCCAAGCTGAGTGTGCCCGAGACAACAAGGGCAGGAGTACAGCAGTATTATAAGCTGTGCGTACTCTGTTTCGGTTGCAGCAAAATCTGTAAGGAATCCGCTTACAATGGAAGTTGCAAAACAAATGGAGAAGAGTCTCCCCAAATCAGAGGCTAGAGGCGTAAATACACTCAAATGTATACCGACAAATGTTAATTTCATCAGGTAAGGCACAATGTCTCCAAGTCACATGTACACTAGGAACGTAAAACGATATGAAACATATAGGCTCATCTGGGATCACATTTATCATACGCCAGATGCATTGACCTGGTTTTCTGTCGTCCAGGTGCATAGCGAAACTACTCTTTCGCTGCCGCAACGACGACACAAAGTGCGCGGGAGCAGTAGAGAGAGTCACGGAAGCTAACGCTGATATTTGGGAGACGGTGTACAACGACATCCAGTCTCCCCTCTCCGAGGCACCACAGTTCCTAAATCGCATGCCTTGGACCAAGCTGAAATACATCGTTAGTGACGCCCTTGCAGCAAGCGGTGGGCCTTCTTTCTCTCACCTTGTTATGTTTATTCTAGTCCCCTCTCCTTGTGATACAAAATGAAGAGGCCGTTTGTGCCAAAGATAAAAGCTTTTACTGTTCTTGGTTGTGGTCCTTTGCATACGTTTAGGCAAGCATTTGAGCCTGGACGAGCGCGAAGCATTGTCCAGTGGATTTCTAGAGCATAACGGCGAAAGCGGATCGTCTAATATGCGTGGCTTTCACTTGCTACGCATGCGCTCCATATTGTTTAAAGTGCCAGAATCTAATCCAGGAGTGGCTTGTATCGTTTCTGTCCTGTCGGAGCCTTCACCGACAGTCAGCAGAGAATGTTTTACAGAGATGCTCAAGATGTTCAGTAGCTTCATCGCCGACGAAAGTAAGTCATCTAGCAAAGAAAACAAGTATTTCCATTTTTCCATAGTATATGATGCTGTTTTCATGTCATCATACCATAACAGAACACAAATATCTGAAATGAACTCGTTGGAACAGAGCTAGGCCCAATCTGCGTGTGCACTGTTTAGTGGATAGAAAACCGGTGCGTAGTTTCGGCCATGATATACATAGCGTAGAGACCCTTGACAAATCTCTAGAAATCTGTAGCTGTTTTGTTCCAGCGGCAGGGTACCCAAGTTTCGTCTGCTGCGGCTCAGAACCGACTGGTGATGCAGAGTTGGTCCTCCTCCGTGTAGCGAAGCGCGTAGCTGCGCAGCTTAAGACTGTTCAGCTGGGTAAGCCTGCGTCGAAATAAGAAGGGTATCTGGAACAGTTGCCAGGTATTCAATCGCGTGATGTACCACTGAATGGGCTCTAGAATTCGCTCAATTCGTGACCTACCTTTCTGTATAACTAGTATGCTGAAGCCTTAGTTGGCCGTGGAGGGCCATCATTGCACGCCGCAAAGAAGTTAGAAATTGATATGAGCATATTGGGCAAGGCCGGCTGGATCAAAGTACAGCTAGAATGACCTGTTCCATGAAGGTCTACATACTCGTGGCTGGGCATGCTCTGTGTCCTGCAGTCGACAATGTGACTCCCCAGACCATCGCGCAAGAGCTGCAACGATTGTATAATATGGACTTTTCTACAATATACGACTTTGTAATAAGCCCAATGCAGGACTATTCATCTTCCCCACAAGAAAAAAGGACCATTGGAGCCTGCCTCTACCAAGTGGGTAGGAATTTCGAACGCGAGAATGACATGTACAGTGAGGCTCCCGGGTTTGTTCTTCGGGTTAACTCGCCTGCCCTGGTCAGGAATTGCCTCACTGAAGTGTGGCGCATGCGATTGAAGTTTGGTTTACACCAACCTGTTGTTTCTGCGTCGGGTGGCGCCTTAGCAAATCCGAATGGGGAGACAACGAATTGGGAAGAATTTACGGCAGGACTGAACGAAATGAACATCGTGAGCCCAGCAGATGAAACATTTCGTCGCGTTGCAAGTGGGGACAGCTTTTTGTTTCTGGTGATACAGCACAGGCTTCTAGCTATTATGGATGCTCTTGCTGCATTCCGAGAGACCATGATCACAAGAGTAACAAAAGACTCGGAGGCGAATCGCAGCGCTGCACTCCTACTGCAATTGCAAGCTCTCTCATACCAGGAATTTATGCGGTTTCTGATGGCATCAGAAAATGCTATCCCGTTTTCTATAGGCCTAGTGGCTCAAGCTTTGCGAAAGGATATCTATCTATTGTACATTATGCAAAACTTCAGCAGTGCTTCGTTTTTCCGCATCGGATCTACCGGACGCATTCGCCTCATCCCCTTCCTCAGAAGGTGGCGCAGGACAAGTATACTCTGTAATCCAGTTTGCAAAGAAATTAGGTCATCCGTTAATATGGAGACACGAAAGAAACAAGGTAAGGCAAATCATCCAGCTCGTACTGAAAGTGAAGCGATTTAGACAGCACGTCGACTCGGATGAATGCACCCGTTGTGAGCAATTACCAGGGCTAGTGTGCTTGATTGCTGGAGGAGATATTTTTAGTGTTTCTTTGTTAATTTTCTGCTGCTCACTCATTTGCTTTGGCAGAAACTGCACGCGTCCTCTCACAGCGGCTGAACGAACAAGTGACTGCGATGAAGGCTGTGATCCAATCTTTGTCAGTAGTAAGGGCATCAAGCGCCGTTGACTTGTCCGCCGCTTTTCAAGCGCTCGAATCCACGGAAATGCAGACTGAAATAGTCTCACCTGCCTCGCTTGAGCTTTGTTCTAGGCACCTAAGAGGTCTTGCTACCGCGGCTTTGCCTATATGCTCATACGAGACCGTGCCCTACAGATACGCCCATGAGGCCTTTAGGCTGACCCTTGCACAGAGGGGTATACATGCCCACACATGGTTCAGCTTTTTCTCCGTGAATCATGAAGTCATTCTCAATAATTGTATATCTGAGGCCAGAAGACTTAGCCCTAAGAAGTCAGTTGAGAGCTTTATGAAGCTGGCAGAATGGCGAAGGTTCCTACCTGTGGTGCTGGAAAAAGCCGTCAAGTCACTTCGCAACAGATTTTCAGGTTCGTTTTCGGCTATCGTTTCCCGATCGTTCCTCTGTATACTCAAAGTGGGTCTGCAGCGTAAGAATAAAGTGTAAATCTGCCTTTGCCATCCGTGTTTCGACAGCTCGTGAAAAGACATACAGTTTAGACGCTTCATTTGAGCGATTAGGCTTAATTTCAGAGCTGCATTTTTGTTTACGGCTTGGGGGTTGTTTTTTTTAGATATAAAAAACTTACTCCTTCTCCTAGAAGGCAAAGTTGAGCAGGTAGGCATTATGCGAAGGCTTCGTGCAATGGCCGACAAGGTTGCCAAATGGGTGTTTCCAAAGCAGCGAAAAAAATCTCGGAGAACACAAGATGAGCCCTGTGAGTAATCAGCAGCTTTTTGCATTCATGCTACCTTTCGGCGGCAGTGTTGATTTTTGTATTTTCGCTGAGCGTAAAACTGGAATCCTGTAGAAATAATGTTGTGCTTGTGTTGAAAGACTAGGCTTTTTCATATGCTGTTTTATTGTTCTCTCAGCGCGCGAGGAGGCTGATATAGAAGTACATGACGTGATCACTTTATCAGAGCTTGAAGCGGTCCCTCCTAAAGCTATTATCCAGTTCTGGCGGGAATACGCCCTTTCGCTTGATTCAAGCACCGGAACTGGCATGCGATACGGCAAGGTAGCGCGCTTGCTGACAGCAATCGGGACAGGATTCAGATGCGCGCAGATGTTTGCGAATGACCAAAATTCGTTCTTGGGCGGGCTGAGAGGGAATAGTGCAGCCCAAGAAAATATACAACGATTGGCAACAGAATTCTTCCTGTCCCCTGGAGGGCCTCAGGAAGGCTTTCGGGGCATCAGAGCGGCGGCAACTAAATCGATAGCGACGTTTTGCAGGGGAAGGGGCAGTGTTTGTAAAAAGCTCGAAGTTGCTTCGACCGAACCTGTGCCAGATTCGTGTCACAGGCCCATGGTTTTTTGCACGAGAGCGCTAGCCTGTGCTGAACCCAGCAGTATAGGCAAGTCCCCGTCGCTCAACGGTGAGCGCCACGTGATAACTCGCAAGGCAGGAAAACCCTCCATCGCACATGAATTACCTAGGGGGCTGCATTGATATCTTATTAGCTATGTTTCAGTTCACGTTCATTTCATGTTGTATCCTATAGCTACGACAGAAATGGCTTCTGAGGGTTGCGTTGGAATATATCTAAGAAGCCTTCTTTGCGCATTCCTACCGATTACATGTTGCATGTGTAGATTTGTGTTTGTGTAATGTCTCAGAGGATTGCATTTTAATGCTCCTAGACGATTTGCTAACAAAACCCAACCCGCTGATATCAGCGGATGTGGTTTTGAGATCAATTACATCAGTCTTGTCAGCTTTTCGCTTCTCCATTGTTATTTGGAACCAGGTAACGTCCAAAGTAGCGCGGTTCAGAGAAAAAAAAGACGTGGTGACGGAAAATATACCCATACAGATTATCGTTGCCCCACGAGGAGAGACGAAAATGCCAATTTATCTCCACGAAGCGTTGCCGGGTTCTGCAACAGAGAGCACTACCAGTTCTTTTGCTGAAGAGGATTCGGAGGAAGAGATATTTTACAGTGCGAAATCGACTGAAGAGCCATTGCCTGCTCCGGCAACCACTGAAGAAACAGAACTTCTTCTCGTTAGCCCGGGGTTTGACCTATATGAGCACCTGCAAGAGGCGAAGAGACTAATACAAAATGGTAATCAATTTTTCACACGCATCCAATCCATTACCATGTTGTGTCAGCGTGCATTATATACTCATGATCGCTTCATCTAAGAGCACACCTACAGATTCCGTTTTATTCATGTACCTGTGGTTCCCATTGCTTCAGAGCCATCCCCATCACTTCTGCTTCGTGGAGGTGAGCGTTCTTCTTTGCGTTAATAGGCATTTTGGCCACGCGGTATATATATATATTTTTGTACCCTTAAGCGTTTCACTCTATGTATGGCAGCCTGGGTGGAACAATATTTGCCGGTTACAGGTGCGTCCATGGCGAGATGCCCTTTTTAAATTCAGGCTTTGATTCTGTGTCTTACCTTTTTTATGGCAGAGACATTCTTCTACTTAGAGCGCACACTGATTGATATGCAAGACCGCATGTCTCACCGTTCAAGAAGACGTCATCATCATAAACTTCTGCTAGAAGATCTGCAACGCATAATTGATGAAATACTATCGCGGAAAGACCTGGAAAATACTGATTTTTTGAGAGAGTCAAGGATCTTCTCTGTTTTAGGCCCAAATGAAGAAAATAAAAAGCTGTTCAGCGAGCAGAAACATACCCTTGGTAATGCAAACCCGGCACACCTTGCGCCGCTAAATTTGTTTTCGTCGAGTGTGGTCGCTCCAGCATGTATAATCATACGGTGAAACCATGCCAAACAGGTCCACTATCAATTAATAGATACTTGCCACAGCCGTTTGGTCGACCGACAGGTGTGGCCGCTTTGTTGTTTGCTGGTGCCTGTTCGCAGAAACGCTTTTTGCAGAGACATCTATAAGCCCATGCATCGTGGATCGCCATCTCTTCGAGTTGCTAACTGCCTTCCAACTGTTCACAGCCTGTAAAGAGATACCAAATGACTGTAATGAGTTCAGAGTCAGAATGTTGAACCAAGTCAAGGAATCACTGCTTAAAGCAAAAACCGAAGGTGGGAGTGCTATGGCTGGTGATGTAGATTCTCAAGGAAGTAAAAGTGCATACATTTGAGGGCTCATTCAAAAGTTATAAACCTGAAGTGAAGTACAAGCTAGCGATTGCACACTAACGATTCGAGTTGTGGGGAAGGGTGGCATGGTTTTGCATACTCTTAGAATGTCTGCCCTAGTAGCCCTTTCTGCCATGCAGGAGAGACCATGCTTAAGCTCGGTTCACAACAGCAACGGCAACTAGATAGCATGAAGCAAATACAGCAAGCAATAGAAAAGTTGGAACATATCGCATCGCAGCCCGTGCCATGTCTCACGGAAAACTGCAGCGAGGACACCGTTGAAATTTTGAGGATGTTTAAGCCAGTTAGGAGTCTTCTGGGGTCCACGAGGTATCATGACCTAAAAAAGGAGTCATTGGGAAGGCCGCATAGCTCCATAGGAGGTGTGGTACCTCTGGAATCGTTTCGCATGGCGAGTGAGTCTCCCATTTTACTGCCATTTACAAGACGCTTCAGTCATTCGCCATGCCCTTCTGGCTTGGCCTCAGTGTGCAGCTGGAAAGGCTGCGCTGCAGCAGACGCGAGGCCAGCGTTCCTGGTTGCGTGTGAGGTCTGCGATAATAATTTTCCGACGCAGGCCACTTAACGCTTTCTTCCTTGCCAATGCAGCAGTGGCTGGATGTACTGAACCGCATACGCCAGAGTCTGGCGCTGCTGTCCCCAAGTCCCATTATACTGAGAAGCATGTCGTCTATGGAGGTAACCTGCGTCGAGGTCGCAAAACGAAGACTTAAAGAAGCACTGGGTGTACTTCAAAAAGCCACCCAGCAACTGAGTAAGCACACCTCATTGTGCAGTAAATTATCTGCAGTAGAGAAAAGTAGCAGCCAGTCAAATAAGACTCCATTGTGACAAACAGATATCTCCTACCGGATTTGTGTCCTTAGCATTGATTCTTGGAATAGAAAGTAATGGTAGACAAGGACAAACAAGTGGCTGTTCGTAGTGTATACATGCACCGCATGTGTAGCTTCACATATCCACTCTTATCTTTCTTAGCAGAGGACACTGGCCAATGCATGCTTTCAGATGTGCCAGGAGTATCAATATGCGTCCAGCGTCTTGTTTGCTGCTGCTTTTTTCCTTCAGCACCTTCCGCCGTAGGAAAAATAGCTCTCGCGGCGGCAGAAAAGCAGCAGAAACAGGATGAAGGTGCCTAGAACCTTGACTTTCACTCCATCCTTCTCTTTTCTTCGTGCAGTTAAATCATCCTCCTTGCTTCCTACCATCTGCCTGCCAACTTGGTGTAGCTCACTATGCGCTCCTCATTTGTCATCCCTGACTTTGGTTACCCACTGTCTACTACGTGAAGCACCTCAAAGCGCATTGTTGCCGGATTTCAGTGGTCGCAATTTCTGCCTTTTGCCACTCTCCTGATCTTATATTCCGTGAATAACATTCAATATCACCGTAGACCTTACTTAACAGCACGTAAAGCCGTATGCACACATTGCTTTTCTGCAGTGGTCAGGACTGTCCTGAATGAATGCTGCCGCGAAAAAGACTTCTTGGAACGCGGAGCCACTTATGTCACACGTATGAAACATCCTTATTCGGAACGTAGTAGCTCACTCCTTCATTTGGCAAGTGTCAGCAGGTTAAAGCTCTTGTAGGTCAATCTGGTAATTGGGGATTTCTTTGCATTTGTACTTTCGGACAGACGCGTTGGCTTCGAGGTTGAGAGGCAAAGGATATATTCTCTCGGCGAGTAATGACATGAGTACTTTAATGGACAACCACCAGGACTATTCGACTTGGATTCAGCAAGCTGTAACAACAGAGGTTGAGAAAGTAGATGGTAAGACCTAATCCACAGGCATTCCCAGAGGTTCTCCGCGAGCTGGGTGCACTTCCCTTTGCTTGGTGGGAACAAGTTCTTTTTCTTACAATCTGTGTTTTGGTTCAGATGTACAATGGCTAATGATCTCTGCATGCAGTGAAGGATCGTTTTACAGCCAAGGCGCGGCTGCATGCACTCGTAAGCGTCACATAAATTGCGGAAGTGCACCTCGAGCAACATCCGAAGAATATATTCTTTCTACGCTGGTGACGTTCCATGCATGAGCTCAGGTAAACTGATGAAATTACTGAGAGGAAAGAAACTCAAAGTTGACAAGCTTCTTTCAGTAAATACCCGATCACTTGCCAGCACGAAAATAACCTACCAGGAATGGCTTCAGTTTTCTGGAAGCTTGCACGTCATATCAAGTACGAGCACGCCTTCTGTATTAATGCACTTTGCTGTATCATCAAATATGACAGTGACCAGCACATTTGAAGTGCCCGCCTCTGTAGAAGTGTGTTTTTACACTCCATCATTGGCATTTTTTCTCTTCATTGCTTCCCACTGTAGACTTGGGGTATGAGCGCACAGTTTCACGCAGTATGAGAGATGTACTAAACACGTGTATTGCTTCTTTGCCATTTTATGTGACCAGAGGCACCGAATGCAGCCCGTGCGCTGCATGCCAGATTGGTCGAAAGTCAATATGAAGTTCAGGTGTGGACAGCGATAGCCGAAATCTTGTACCGCACTCCGGATACCCCGTGGAAAGATGTGCAGGCGAGCCTGCGGGCGCAGGAAAGAACACTTTGCGCTTACAGTCATCTTGGCGCTCGAGCTGTCAGGAAACTGTATTATGCTGTTCGAAGTAAGAGGCTAAACTGCTGCCTCGTATCACATCTTCTACTGCTCCCACGTGTGGCTGACTGCCTTGTATTTACTTGTGCATGCTCGCTAGTCCCACTGTAGTTCGTGTTCACAGCTCTCCACCAAGCTGTAGGATTTGTCGATCACGACGATTTCAAGCGCTTCGGAGCCTACGCACTGACGAGTAAGACAGCAACCCCTTGAGGTGGCAGCTGTGCTGCTTGATACACGACACTCATGAACTGCTGTTATTTTCTGACTATAAAATGCTCAACATGCAGGAGCAAAGTTTTTGAAGGCAACCTAACTAACCTATTCTGTACTACAAACAGAACCCTCGGAGCTATGCGTCATCTTGCCAGACCCTGAATTAGTGCATATGCCTGCTAGTACGCAGCATCGGCTTTCCAGTGCTTGAATGTACTTTGCCACAAGGTGTGTTGACATGTGCGATCCTTGCTCACAGATTTGCTTGTCATTTATATGAGGGACAAGGGTGTGTACGTCGCCGGAAACAGTGCTGTGACACTTCGATCCATCCGCCAGGCCAGGTCTTTTACTGAATGGCGACAGGATATTCTGCTTTTAAAAGTGTCGAGAGGTTCGCCTTAAATACACCGATCTATAGCTTTCACAGTTTGCTCAGTGTATTTGTTGCTTCCCTGAAAAACGCGGTAGAATGTAGAATGGAAATTCTGTGCGTTTCTTCCAGAACTGATACCGCCTCCTTTTCCGGCTATCCTTCTTTCCGAGCTCAACACGAAAATTGGGCCAATTATAATGAAGCATGTTGTCAGGAGACGCCTTTTTGCCTGGATAGTCCGCAGTTTGATAAGCAAAACTGCTGGATGGGTGTTGCCCCATGCTATACGAAAAATGACAAAGAAGTTGCAGCCCACAGATCACCTAAAACCGCGCAGCATAGGATCAACGCTGATCTCAGCAGCAGTCATCCTCAACTGCTCCCTTAACTTGGACTATATATTTTTGACAAGCGTTCTTGCACCAGCCATTGGAATTATGGAATCACAGGCAACTCGCAGCTTAATGGAAAACATTCTTGCCGATGCTAATATTCCCCAGATATTAAGTCGTGCTTTACGAAGCTTCTTTGCTGAGGTGGAGGATACAATACTCGAAGCAATAATTTCAAACTATTTAGAGCCTGTTGCTCTCAACAATCTACTAACTCGGCTAACTGGTGTCAACTTTAACCTGCAAAATTCGAATCTTGCAGGGTCCTTCGAAACTGTCGCAGCGTATCTGAAAGAGATTGTGCGACACCATGCCCCTATCGTGACCGGATACTTCATGGGCACAGTGGTAGAGCCACTATCTCATGCTCTTGTGAACTACGCTCAAAACCTTACAAGTATACTCCTCTCTGTGGGGGCCAAGGAGCTGCCGATTCGCGCCCTCTCTAGCCCGAACATCGTGCATGCCAAGCTGCAGAAGTATTACTTGGAATCATCTCGTGTCATGGATTCCGAAGGACATAGATACATTTATGAAGCGTTTTTGGTTGCATTCAGTGACCACGTTATGTCTGCTCTCAATCCAGCAAGCGTCCACCTGCGTTCCACTGGGCGGTTTCCAATGCAAACGATTTTTTTAAACACAGTGTTGGCTCCATACGAAGGCATTTCAACAACATCGGACTTTCATCTTTGGGACCTCAAATGGACTCTCGAGACAACCAATTACCGGATGTTCTTCTATCGACCTTTGCAGTCTGCGATATACGGCTTTGTAGGAAATCTGCAATTGACTGCTAGGATCAAAGGCCAGAAGATTCGCTTAATGTTCTTCGTGGAAAGCATAGACTCTAAAGACCCGTCTGTCAAGGAGCTGTTGAGAAAAACTGTTAGAAGGAAATCTCTCCTGTTTGCGTATGAGGCATTTGAAAACGGCAGTGGAGCCAAAATACACCTCTGTACTACTGAAGGGCAGACAATTGCGATTTTGACTACAAAGCAAAAGTCACCAATGATCCAATCGTTCAATCAAGCTGAATTTGTGTTCTCAACAAACTTGCCTCTAAGCGAGTTTTGGGGAAGCCGCACAGAAGTGATTCAAGGAACACTTGAAAGCCTGAAGTCCGCTTTTGCCGGCATCCACGATCTAAATCAGATTCAGGAGTGCGCGGAGGCCCTGAAGTCGACTTCCCTTTTTCCATTTCTTCTCGATTATGAATATTATACTCTGGAAAATTGGTTCATGACCGACTTTCACCTCGTTTTCAGCAGTCCTACTACACATCGGGGATTTGCACGCCTCACAATCGTTCCGGAAAGGTCCCGGGCCCGTCCGTCCTTCGCGGTGGACCACTACGCACAGCAGCGATCAATCTCAGTGATACCTTCAGAGCTGCACGCACCCTGTAAATCAGCGTCTCGCCTTCGCTCATTGCTAAGTTCTGCAGCCACCTGGCTGACTGGAACTGTTTATGGGAAGCGTACCTTTTGTTTTAGAAAAGTGGAATATATAAGAGGTACCGGTAAGTCCAAAGCAATGAAGCATAAACAGTTGTCACGGAGAAAACTGGTGAACTGTGCAATTAATTAAATCATGGTAGCGCCCCATCTCGGCTTCTGCGTATACTTATTATACTTCAAAGGCATTACTCAAATTGCAAATCGACGGCGTATGATAGCGCATTAATTGGTTAGATTTTCAACATCATTGGATTTTGTGTACCCGACTCAGGTGCAGAGCGTTTATCTTTTACATGGTTTAGTAGTGGAAAGCTGCAAAAGATCGAGCTGGCTGTACAAGCACTGAACCAACCAGTAGCCAAGTTGCCGAGAAGAGATCGGAGGGAGGTATGTACCCATCTGGCAGCTAAAAAGCAAGGCGACACATTTTCTCTGCTCACTATCCGCCTGATTTTGTAGTAGATATGCATTCCAGATATGCTTGATACAGTAAAAAAGCAAAATATCTTTTCATGGAGCATTCTGCTTTCAGGCGATGGTCAACCGTGCAACTGTCCGCCTACTCAGAAGAGTAATGAATACTGAGGCGTCAGAGACTGGTACCCTGGCTTACCCATCTCTCAGATGGCTGGTGTTCAACTATATAGCTAGCCGATGTGTCCTAGCTGGAGCTTTTCGGAGGGAGAGATCGCTATTTGAAGTTTCAGCTGACACACAGAATCAGGCCTCAAAACGGGCACACAAAGAACAGTACTCGCTAAAGATGAACTTCCTTAAAGAAAGTCGGATTTCAACTGACCCAACGTGGAGCCTTCGCATCAGCGCGCTTCTGAAGCAATCGAAGTACGAGGAACTGGTAGCAGCCTTGGGTTCGCGGAAGGATGTGTTTGTAGATGCACTGGCGAATGAGTACACGAATTGGGTGAACCGCTGGCAGACAGCCTCGTCAGCAACCCAGGAACAAGTGCCAACAGAAGATCAACTAGCTGCCATGTGCCCAGAGAATTCGGATTTAGTGCAGTGCGAAAAAAACTATGGAATGTGGGGGTCTCTCTTCTTTCAAGAATCCATGATAGAGTTAGGCAGTGCTATTGCACAGAAGCGTATGGTTTCACCTTACCTTTTTAAGTACTGGAAGATCAACGAAAAGGTGTCCAACGCTCAACTTGCTATCGCAGATTTTAGAGATTTGGAGGGCTACAAACACAGAATGGATCGAACTCATAATATTGACGTGGTTGGCACACTTCAACCCTCGATTTCGGTAATGCTTGGCAAATATAGTCAGGTTTTGGAGGAAGAAAATGCCGGTAAGGATATTATGAAAGACCACAAGTATCAGCTATTGAAGTATTTTCATCTGCAAATGCTTGACGTATTACAAGAAGCGAAGAATCCACGTGAACGTGTCACAACGGCCAGTCTGTCAAGCAGCCTACGAGCCGCCGGATACGACGTTCTTGTTCGGCTGCCCCTTGCCCCTGAATCTTCGCCCCAAGAAGAGAAAAAACAATTTTCGGTACTGGAAGGGTTGGCAGAATCATTTTATAGCGACCTGCTGCTACCTACGAAGGGCATGCACGTGCGCTCGCTCTTCGGCCTCAGGCTTGGGCTGTACGGGTCGAATGTTTTTCTCCCCTTCGCTAACAAGATGAGAAGAAGCAACCCCTTAGCTACGCATGCAGGCTTTCATCTTTTCCCAAAAGACAACGACATCAGAAAAATCTGCAACTACCGATATTGTCCCCACTCGGTCGTTATGTGGAACCATGTCTATGTTACGCTTCTTGTGCTCGCTCAACTTGTTGAAGTGCGTGGAGCAGTAGCCGAGCTACTCTCTGCCGACACATTTTATAACGTTACCGGGCAGGAGCGAAATGACAAGGACCCTAAGCAAGTAGGTTGCCCTGCGAAGCTTCCAGGCTGTACTGGAGAGCACTCACGGATTGCTTACTGAAGTGCTGATTCTTCGGTATTGCTTGCACGCTGCTGCGTTTCTGGCGTGTGATGTAACAGATCCCATGTTTTGCATGTTCACATGCTGCAGGTGCCTGTAACCTTTGAGGAGAGCTTTATCGCATTTAAAATTGGACTGGGTTATATATATAAGATGAGGGAAAAATATCCAGAATCCGAACCTTTCTTCTCGTCGCCTCTTTCCACACAAACTACCCTCGCGCTGCTTAAAGCGTTTTATGACAAAGACAAAGATTTCCGGTTGCTTTTGATACACATGCCTCCCCCAGAAACCGCGGCCATTCTGAGTTCCAACAATCGTGCAGCCCTTCAAGACAGTACCTGGAATGCTTTCATTGCCCTATGGTCATTCCAAGAAGTTTTTGGCAGGCTTGCGGTAGGCCTATCAGTTGTAACCAATATATTATATCTTTTAAAGCATCGGTAGCTCGTTAAAGGCAGTGTATTGAAGCTGTGTGCCGTGAGCGAGCTTGACCTATCATGCGGTCAAGTGCTTTGCCGATTGTTACTATCAACACGTCTGGCCACACAAACGATGTCAACGGACTCCACACAGCACATTGCCTGACTGTGAATGCGTACTGAGTAAATAGACTACAGTGTTTAGACTACTTAGAGCAGCGAAGTACCGCAAATGGGATTAGAGCTACCATTATGGCTCAGTGAGTGCTCTAGTCTGATTGGTGTGACCCGTTGGATTTCTCAGTATTCTGCTCTTTATGTCCTTATATGTGTCCCCTCAGGTGGACGTTTCTAATATGCTGGCACCTTTCCCGTCATTTGCGCCTCCACCTGTCCGGTGGACTCCTGGAAATACCAGTTTTTGGATGCCGCAATGCGTCCTGAACCCCGTGAAGGCTCAGCTAAAGAAATTGTTCGAGCCCATTTCAAAACCGATTGCGGCTGTAACTGCAGTTGAACGAGCAGTCGACTCGACACTTTATGAAATAAGGCCGAAACTTCGAAAAGAAGGATACATTAGCTTTTCAGATCCCCAGATAATTTCTTTATGGTGGGAGATAATGGCCATCGCCCTTGAACAACAACCTGGCATGGAGGAAGAAATAGAGGGTTTTTTTCGAATTCCTAAGAACACTGAAGAGTTTTCCGCTATAATTCAACGGGGGGCAACTATTTCCGCGTTCGTTTCCCAGTTGCAAACAGCTGAAACAAAGGACGTGCTCGTTCGAGAAGCCCAGCGCTTCGGTTATGATAGCTGGAAGACTCTGGTATCCAGCTTCACAAAAGAGAGGCCAACGGAAGAGGTGGTGAAGAAAACGCTTGACCGTATATTTTATTTGGTATGCCGCATGATTCCAGCCACAGCAGAGACAGCAGCGATCAAGATCCTCGGGAAAGAAACGGATGACATTCAGTTATTCAGGCGACTTGTAGATGCCATCACCACGAGGCTCATGATATTGCAGGCCAATGTTCCAGAAACGCTAACGCACTATCCACTATGCACTGCATTGGAGAATGTCAGTTGCGGAGGTCTGGACGTTGCTGATCAACTGCTTTCTAAGCTTTGCCAAGAGCTATACACTGTCAAAATTCGCATTTCCTCTAAGACCAGATTCTCGCCAGATTTTTGTCAGGCAATCAAGCAAGCAGAAGAGCCATTGAAGGAAAGGTGTGAATGCGCGGAAACTCAACGAAATCATTCCGTTCTCAAGGAATTCTTCGTGGACTACATGAGTGGGCAGCTTGAAAGCAGCGCTATCAAGAGTCAGTGGTCAGTTGTGCTGCAAAACCAAGAGCTCAAATCTAGTGAACAAAAAGTGTTTCCCCTTGCAGACAATACACTAGCCTCCGTGGTGCACGAAGCCAGTATTCAGCTGGCTGAGGAAGGTTCCGCTGCCACTTCCCAAAACTTGCAGAAGATCGCAGAGGATGTCTACCACACAATGTGCAGTTTTGTGGACTATATGAGTGAAGCCACCGAGATGAAAATTTCAAATGCTTGCCATTCCATAACAACGCCTCCGCTTCTTCTCATCGAGGATATCTCTGAGATTATTGAATCGCACATATCGAGAATACAGCTGAGCAGGTTTACCCTGAAGATTCTCCCGTTTACAACACTCACTCTTCATCAGATTTTGGATTCTGAACATTTGCCTAGACACCCAGGAGCCATTTTGACAACGGGAGTGCTGCGTCTTTTGACCAAATATTTTTCGGCAGAAGCAGGTCCTGGGAACCAGAGACTTGCAGCGGCCTACCAGAATGTCCACAATGGACTCGTCAATATGTTCAAGCTGCTTATGAGCAAGCTTTACAAACTAAAGCCAAAAATGGTTGCCTGGCAGAACAAGGTGGTGGAAACGCTGCAGTTTATTCTTAATCATATTGTGAGGATCGTTCTGCGTTCGGCGGAAGGGCTTACATACGTCAACAGAGATGCTCTGCAATTGCAACGCACCGAACAAAGCATCCAAAGAGAAATGCGTCAACGGCTTCAAGGCACGCAAAGCCAATCCAGTGAGTTGTCTCAGAACGGCAAAGGCGGGCAAACAGAGGCAGAGACACCAGTTGGTTTGGTGGAGATCACGGGTGGACAGTCACGAGCAAGTCGTGTTACCTCTTCACCCAGCCAATCGCCAATCTGGAGCAGCATGGTGCTTTTGCAAACGTATCCTGGCCCCACATCAATTTCAAAGGAACGAAGTGGGATGCTTGGGGTAGTGAGGCTTTTGGCGTCCATGCTACTTGCTGATGTACCTCGCTTGGTGTCTGGAGTGGTTCCAACGGTCTTGCCATCTGTTTGGTATTCGATATCGAGTGTGCTTCGAGTTAAAAAGAGTGTGGTTGGTTCGGTCAAAGATACAGCTGAGAAAGTTTGTATCCGTGTGCTGGAGAGCATTGTGCTGCCAAGCTTAATAAGCACAAATTCCCTGGTTCCGGAGTCGTTAATCAAGACCCAGCTGACCCTTCTGGCAAGGAACATCCATTTCGCTGTTATGCCAGAGTCCACTAAGGTGGAAAGCGACTTCAAAGCAGCTGCTGCACGCAGGGGATTTCTCGGAATCGGCGTTTTGACTCGCGGATTGATATTCGCCATCGCAGGTCAATTGGAGGAGTTGCTTCAGAATACTGCGTTCCAGGAACAGGTGGTTAAAATCGTACACAGAAGAGTGAGAGAGCTCTCTGCGGTTATACAGATGGCCTTTAAAAGGTATCTTGTGTCAGAGATCATCTGTCAGAGCGTGGAGGTCGTCATTGACGTTGTGGCCGAGCTCATCAACGAAAAGAGAGACGATCTGGCACATTCATTACTGGAAGTAGTCGAGCTTGACTCTCTTGGCCGTCTTTCCATTTTATTGGAATCTACTATGTGGCGGCTACTAAAAATCTTGCTTGATGGGAAGGGAGCAGTAAACGTTCTTTCACAGGTTCTAGGAAACGTCGGGTTCTTTGGGGCTGCGAAGGATACTGTGAAAGCAATGTGGGACTGGTACGTGGGGAGTCCATAGGCATCTACTATTGGAAGACAGGCATAAGGATACGATGGCTTGGTAGCACGCGCAAATTTAATGTAGATTCATCTACTGTACTGACCAATGCGTTATATCTATTAAGCGCACAGCTCTACTCGGACTGGAGGAAGTTGGCTGCTTTTTTAGTCTTTTCCTTGTGGTGGAAGATTGGATTTATAATTTGGTAGACGCAAAAAAAAATCGATTTTATTTATTTTTTGCAGCTTTCCTGGTGGATTTCCATTCTTGTTTAGTAGGCATACAGGATGCACCACGCATTCCGAAAATGCAAGTAGAGAAAATGCAGTTATGCACAGTAATCACACAGGCATATAGTCTTAGCAGCCAATTTCGCCGGCGAGCTCTCAGTCCGTTTTTAACAAAGGCATAAGTAGTGGAAAGTCACGAAGACATCACAGCGTCTGAAAGTCCCACCTGCGTTCCTTCTTAGTATAGTGACCGATTTATCATTCGGCACCCGGGGCTAACGTTGAACACGATTTTTCTGCATGATACTACACCGCAGATATCCAACTGCCATTGCGGCTGGATGCTATTACCAGATAAACTTTTTCAGAAAGCTAAATACATCCGGGATATATACACATATTACAGCAGTTTATGCGCTTCCTGGTGTACCGCTACGTACACATTAGGCCGCGTAATTCGCTTCGAGTCTACAGTATTAATTCTTCAAAACACCCCTTGTGTACCTGTATGCTTCGAGTGCGCTTAGGCGTTCCTGTATGCACCGTCTGTTCGCTATGCATATCCGTAGGAATACGGATGAGATCAAAGCGTCTAGTTCTACAAGGATCAAACCTGTGTTCCATCTACTCGTACAAGGATTTGTTTCGTGAAACTTTGCACTCCAGCTGCTGATAGAGTACTTGATTGTTAGCAACGGGTCCTAGCTGTCCCCCACCACTCATGGCAGGAACTCTGGGGGGCGCGATCAGGAGAAAGCGGGAGCTCATTTGAGGAACACGCACTTTCCCCTCAGGAAAGAGAACCAATAATTGCCGGTAAGCAAAAGGATTAATTTATAATGCACAAGAAATGCAAATACAGCGTGCTTCGCGTTCGTTGATGCTTGTCCTCTCCAACGCACGTTCTGGCTTTAATTACTGCCTTTATCCAGAAATCTGCTTAAACCTTTGACAACACAACCGAATAGGAAGCCCAAAGTAGGAATAGAACTCTTCGCATAAAATGCGAAGAAGCCGAGGCCCCCAAACAAGTTCATCCGTGCTCACACAAGTAAAAACTCCACGGCAGGATGAAACTGTAAAAGCTCACCTTTTAAATTGAAGAGAACTTCGGAGGAGAGCAAGGTCAAGTGGATCACAGTGTTTCCGCAAACGTCGCAGACATAGGCAAGATGGCGGTAAGCTTAAAATATAGAGGGCGCATGGATGCGTTCTGACTATCTAAAGACAAGACGAGGATCAAGGTCCAATCAGTGTTGAATACCTTTAATTAACGATGCCGAGATATATCTTGGGATCTTATGTAGATAAGGTTGCCTGCTGAGAAAAGTGTTTACTTGGAAATAAGGGATGCAAAACAATTAGCAGCCGAGAGGAGGAACGAGTTCCCGAGTGACACTCAAGTTTCTTGTTTGGAGCTTTTCCTCTTTCCAGATAGATTTTTACTATTCACACTAAGAAGATTCTGTTAGGCTGGATAAAGTAATGAATAGCACCATCAACGAGGCAGATACCGGCTCCATCTGCACTGTGCTTACCGAAATGCCTATTGCTGTGTTCGGCTGCCTACCGGCGAAACAGTGCACGGCGACGTCGATAGGCTCATGGAAATAGCCGTGATGAGAATTTCAAGGAAGAACAAAGAGTTACTATATTCCTTTACTCCAGTAGCCAGATACTTGCTGCGCACAGCTGTTGCAAAAAGATATCCAGCGAGTCAAACATGTACAAGGTCTTCTATGCCACTAGCTGGTAAGATAACCCATATATTAGACGCTAATCATCCTGGGGAATTAATTTCACAGACTAACGTTCTGGAGAACTCAGTTATCCTAGTCGGCGCTCAATCAAAGATCTCCGTGGGCGGGACCTTCGCTCGATATTCTGTACAAGCTTCACAGAGCGACGTAGTCTTTGCCACAAGCGTTTCCTCCTTTCCCTGCCTGCGCTCCGCAGATTTACGACACGAGAGCACGTAGTTGCACCCTCTCAGCACTCCAAAGGTTCACGAGTAATTGAGCCTAGAATCTAGCACATGAACTCAGCATTGCATCTTGTTGTACAGAGCTAACAGTACTCTGCAAGGGATAAGATATACGACCGACCAAAGCCAATGGTAATTATTTCAAGAGTTCTCCAAAAAGCTCAACGAATCCAGTGAAAAGTGTTGAAGGGTTATCATGCTTCTTATATCTTTATATTGACCCTCATCCCGTTACCCATCACACTCCAAACAAGTGCTCCCCTGCTCCGTTCAGGTCCGTCTAGAATAACTGCATGGAGGACAGCGGAAGCGTTGCCGACCTATCGGCCCTTTCCAAGCATGCAAGAGCGTGAAACCGCGCAGCAGAGGAAAAATGTGCACATGAGCCGAAGTGAACTACAGGAGAATAAATACACACGCTGCTTTTGCAGCTGGGGCTTTGTGCTTGACCTCGTTTACAGCCTTTTAATCAGGGCTGTTTGTCAGACCACTTATCTGTCCCTAGAGTTTATACATCTGAGGATCTCCATAAGGAAGCCTTTACTGGCAAAATTACGCCTTAACACAATATAATCCAGCATTATCTCAGAGAAGCTGCTACCTCTGCTTATCCTCCCCATACACGATTTCAGCAGGAGGAAAAAGAGGTTAACACGTAGGCATATTGATGCGCCCTCCAGACATTCTGAGCATTAGAATGGAGCGAGGACATGGAAACATAGAGCACAGGAACTAGCCATATTCTGAAAGAGAAAGTACACAGTGGGCTCATTCTCTAAGCGAGTAAGTAAATGAAGCTTTGTTGTATGGTACCATCGTAATACAAACAACGCTCTTGATCCTTGCATTCTTGGAAATGCTTTCCTAAACTCATGGATGAGGCTCTGCATGACTTATATGCATATCTCGGGCTGGCAAAAAGAGTATGATGATGTGATATTCATACAGCAAACGAGGCTGGACGTTTTCGCCGCAGACAAAACAAGTAGTGTGGCAGCAAGTTAGCTTAAAGGATCTTGCACGTAGTAGAAGGGATGCGTTAGGACATAGACCTATCTCACTAGATTGTCAACCTCCTCATAATTTTAATCTTGTGACCATTGGATTCACATGGGGTGTGGCCCTTGACGCCAGTCAACATAGTGGACGCACCTGATGTCTGCTTTATGGATATAGGACCACCCCAATTGTAAAAGGCAATCCTACACTTTGGCAGCTTTGCCTGTACCAGTCACATTTACTTAATACGTAGCAGTGAAATTGTTAGGTGGTCTTCCTAGATAGTCTATCCTACTTATTTGCAGAATACGCTAGCTCAACAGAACACGAGTCGGCGTTGTGTGCATGTGTTAGATGTTGTGTGCAACTCCTTGTAAATGCTCGAAGTGCTTCAAGAGAAGAGACACGCGGATCCTAGCTGTCGCACTTCCCTTATGCCAGGAACTCTGAAGGGCACGGGAAGGGAAGTGACGGAGGTCCTTTGAAAATTTTCCGATAGCTTTGCAGTGGGCTTGTACTGTGTCTGGACTGCAACATACCACTAAGGATTCATCTGATGCAGTGTTACAGATGGTTTTACCGCACGCTTTACACCAGCTGTTCCCTTACTCCTCCACTCGCTGTCGATGCAGTGGAATTTCGGCTGTCCCTAAAACAAGTATATGGTTTTGATCAATTCATTTAGTGATAAATGATTTGTTTTTCGTTGCAAAAGTTGAAAAATATATCGTTTGGACTTGGAAGTAGTAAACGGCCCAACGCCTGTTGGGCCGGCATAAACCCTCCTAGACGTTACACCAAGCCGGTATGGATCCAGTAGCTCCACTGCTGTCAAAGGGGCATGGCTCATCCCCGATACAACATGTAAGTATGTGCTGATGAAGATATGCAGACAGAAAAAGACAGGGGCCCCAAGGACGGGTAAGTACGCAAATATTTAATCAGCCGGTTGGAGGTGTACTAAGGCCTATAACTCCAGAGATAAAGAAAACCGATCGCAACTTGCGAAATAATCGGAGGAACAATTATTTAAGCGTGGCTATTCTTGCAGCAAACATCTCATACCCACAGGGATTATTACAGCTCAAGCCTTCAAACCTGCCCTGACTCGTGGGGCGTTCGGCAAGACAAGCGCAACAGCAAGCTTAGGATGAATATGACTGCCTAAGAAGGGAAAGCTATCAATAACTCACTATGTCAAAAGTATGAGGCTTTGGTTTGCACAAGCCAGAGCGTGGACAAACAGCTACTCTATCCATGTTTCATCTAGTGTCTACCCAAGGTGATACTTCAGCCAATCTCAGGGTGGGCAATGACTCAGCGATTGAGCAAGCGGCCGGCGGAACTTCCACACATAATAAACCAGGTGAGCTTTCAGAAGCAAAGTAATGCAACTACGACGTCTTTGGCTGAGAAGGAAGAGTCAAGTAGAGATTCAGAACCAATGGATCTGGTCATCCTAATGCTATGTTCCGCGGCATGGGAAGCCCCCACGACATGAAGAGGAAATTCTGGGACGGGCAGCTGATTTGTAGGAAAATGACCAAGTGCAAGAATAGAATAGCTTTTTGACGCCTTATTGGGTGTTGATGCCTGTAAAGAGTGGAAGGAGTAGAAGATGGGGCGTATGCGTTACCTCGAATCCCCTGAGCATGATCACTTGAAGCAAGACGTTGCCAACGCCTCACATTAGCATATTACTTAATGGTATACATGGTTCAGTAGTACACTTGACAAGTGATGTCACAAGCGCCTAACTGTAGATCACCTTGCGACCTGGAGACAGGCGCTAACCGCGTCACACACTTACACCGCATCTTCCTGTGTATATGTATACCATTTGGGCTGCCCAATGACTCAACGGAGCTAAAATATCAAACCCCATCTCTAGATTTGTGCGCCTATCATGAAAGCCTGGAGGGATGTGTCATGGAAGGCTTCTCAATACTCAGCAGAAAGGTTCAAGAGCACCTAAAGCGAGTATTTGGGTTGTCGCGAGTAAAGCAGTGGTATGCTAATGTTTGCGAGAGTCCGTTGTATATAGGAAAACGTGCAAGCGTCGGGTGTGTATTCGAGCAATTGTGTTTGTGAATCCGTCTCTTAAGTGCAGGAATTGAGCCGGATCCAGCAACTACTCCAAGCCATTCTGGGAAGAGAAGGTAAACGAACTTGCCTTCCTGAGGTGCTTCACGGTTTCTGAGGAATGTGCTTGCGTCCTATGCTTTTAGCACTCATGCGTCCGCTACTTCTGCCAACATCTAGAATGGCAATAATGTGAAGCACTACAACGTTGAGGATGACCTGCTGAGGCTTCAAAAATCATGCGGACTCCGACGATTGTACACTGTACCTTCTCTCCGCAGTGCAGCGCTGCGCAAAATACATTAACATGATCTCTAGAGCCACGTTGAGATCTAAGCTAGAGTGGGAAAGCTCTCACGGTCTGTATGGAGGCTTGAGATCAGTCCCACGGCAAACCAGTTTGCGCTGTCGCTTAGATTGTCAGCAACTGAAACCGTCCAATTCTTCTGGACCCGCTGTTTTGCAAAGCCCTTCTGTGCCTACAGGGAGCTTTAGACCCTGTGCTTTTTTGCTGTACTTTCAAAAGTCCAGACCCAGGAAAAAAGCCCACGTTTCTGCCGACAGGCACAGCAGACAAGCTTATTTCATGCCTTGCTCCAGCGTTGTCACGCCTCTGAAGGTCGCTCAAAAATTCCTATTTCGTGTCTGCAAGCTTCTCACACTCTCGAAAAGTGTCATTATTGATAGCGATCCGAGCTTTGTTAGTGCATTCTGGTGTGCACTCACGACCTTCAAATATATAATAATCGCCATTTGACGATTACGAGCCACCATGATGCAGGCGGAAACATAGAGGGCACCAACTGCGCTCTTCTGGAGCAGTTGCAACTCCATGTTCACACGCATCCAACTGCTTGGCTTGAGCATTTATTCGTGTCGAGTAGGTTTGTGGAACAGCGGTAGTGTTTTCTACCCGTTGCTTTTCCGCATCCACAGCATACCAGAAAGAGCTGTTCCCCAACTCAAGCCTGGGCCTAGTGGTCCGGAATCAGCAGCCACCCTTAGCGAACGAGAAATTCAGAAAACTCATGAACCGTGCATGCGAACGTATTGCAAAGCTCGAGTGAGGCAACCACGCGATTGTGATAGGCAGTTTGTGGCGGTAGCTTGTGTGTTTTGACGCTCGTAGTGCTTACAGTTTGCAGCTACGTTCACCCCAGCAATTTTTCGTCCCACATTTCGAGAATTCTTTGGGGCACCGCCACAAGAAAGCAAAAGCTCTTTTGGCAAACACGCATTTACTGGAGAAATCATCAATATGCCATTCTTATGTTTATTTACGTTTTGTGAGCTGGGGGTCCTTTTCCTGACACACCAGAAAGCATGTCGTTTGTTTTGGAGTCACGATGCAAGGAGAGCTGCATATATGCACATAGCATATCTTCAAGTAAGGAGTCAAACATGCTTTGAAACAGTGCTGGTATGAGAAAAGATTAATCGTACAGTTAACTTCCAGCCGAAATTGGAGTGTATACAAACTAGATCAGTGGGAAGTTCAGTTATAGTACCTCTGTAGAGGGTACTCAACAGAGCTAATACAACTCAAGTGGCCAACTCGCTTGTGGACGACCACTCAAGTCCCCGTCCTTTGGTATAAATGAAGGAACAAAACACATCCTGAAGCGTTGAGATCACTACTGCTGAAGAAACTAGCACTAGCCGCTCAAACACTAGCATTGTGAGAGCAGTCCCGCCTTTTGTTACCTTCTGTAGCTGTCTCCTTGTACTTGGAATAACTGGTGGATGTTCGCGGTGCAGGCATACGTATAAGCTATTACTGGCACCTGCTTTTCTCGATTCGTAGCAGCCTGCCAGGCTAAAAGTGTATCCGGTGGTGCCTTGATGCGTATGCTTTTTTGATCCTTGTGCATCTGCAGACCTGAACGGCAAGGATGCTTGAGTCTTTACTTTCTGCAGTTTTCTGAAGATACTGATCTAAGAGTCATTGTCACATATATTTGTTCGTTCACTTGTGTGTTCGTGGGGTGCTGCGTCTCTTCTTTGGCTTCTCTAGTAGGCAGCACCCTGGTTTGAGAAACAAGGAAACAGCTACAAACTAATTTCTCTGTTATTGGGGCATATCCCATACCAAAGACGGAGCGTATCCCGGAAGTTGTTACTGTGAAATCGACGGAATATGGGTAAATTGACAACGCCATGCTTACATACAGCCTGATGCCCCAATATGATGGCATTTCCACAGCGTGCGCCAAAATGTTCGGGCGCACTTACAGCCCTGATAAGGAGTCGACTGGGAAAGCGCACCAATAACGTTTCATCCACAAATGATCGGAGGGCAGTCATAAAAATCAAAGCTTCGGTTAATTCTTGTTTTTCTCATATTCGTATCTATTTTCCTTATTCGTTTGGTGATGCGTATGCAAATATCTGGTCATGGGAGCCACCGACTGACGCCATCAGACCTTAAGGACGAGTCTGCGGTTCTCTTGAAACTCACAACAGTGAGTCGTGTTGCCGAGGCCACACGACTCTCTTAGGCCATCGCTAATGGTGTGTCCACTAGGGTGCTGCTGATAGATGGGATGTTCGTTCCTACGTCATCCCACCTAAGATAGTGCCTAGGTGCACAATTAAAGGGGGGTAAGTCCCTAGCGAGACATGCACTTGAACGCGTATTGCAGTAAGTGATAGGCACTTTAAGGAAGCTCCGAGCAGCGGCGCGTCACCAGGCGGTTATTAAGGTACAGCAGTTTCCTGGCGCCCTATCAGTCGTCCTTTCACAAGAGGTGGAAACTATTCTGCAGAAGCAAGCACGACGTGACTACTGTCAAGCACCCCTGGATGCTCTTTTCTGCCAACAAAAAATTTCGACGTCACACGAAAGCGGGGTGACGACCCTTGTGAACGAATAAAGCTTGCACAATCATCTAAGCAGGAACCTAGAGCGGAATCCGTCACCGCTGGCTTCAAAGACCTTTCGTGACCTGAAAGCTCTATAAAATTCGCCTTGCTTGAACACCAAATTCATGAAGCTGCACTATACAAGACAACTTAAGGGCACTCGCGAGAACTTGTTGCTGTCCTTTGAGTATTACAAATAGCACATTTTCCGGGTAAATGTGTTTAACGGTAACTCGAGGACCTTGATGATTCCGCTAATAAAGGGCTGGGAAGAGAAACAATAACCTCCAGGCCTTGTTCAATAGTTACGAGGTCCAGTTTAACAAACTTGTTGAAGCTACGGACCTCGGTACTGAGCCTGCGAGACTGTGCGTTAATGCAGAAGGCGGAGGCAGACCTTGAGCCATTTCGACCGAACATAGAGCCCCTCACAGAAAAAAAAGAGATTTTTTGACGGGATACAGGGGAATGCGGCAGGTGCAGCGAAGCACGCGTAAGAGCAACAAGCTGATGTGGACCTGGCCGTAGAACGGAATTACTTGTGCAGCAGTGATGTTGGCAACAGCAAGCTCGTGATCGCGAACCTAATCAACGAGCTGACAGAGCGCCCACAACAATTATCTAACGCGGCGATGGTAGATGCGCCTGTCAACTCGGTGGACAAAGTGGAGAACTGCGGGGGCAAAGACAGTCATAATAAATCATTGTTTATGGTGTATTCGCAGGTACATATCGCCCAGGTTGAGGGCTAGTGGCTTCACCTGGAATAGCGTTTTTGGGCGAAAAAGTTAATGGATGCCCGCACAACTTTTCCTGTGGTGCTCTGCACGGCTATAGCAGTGAATATACACATATAGTGTGTACGCAACCGGAAAAGCTGCAAAAAACGCAGTGTCACTGTACTTGCCCATATCACTGCCAACGTGCGGAGGATTTCGCAGGAGATAGAGAAGTACACAATCCACTATTCTCTACCCCACAGTGACTGAACTGGGGGGCAGTGTGCGCAACAGCAGGCCTCATGCAAGAAGGACCGCCACTTCCTCCCGAGATGCATTCACACCGCAGCGACCGTGAGTGCAAACCAGCAATTGTGTGTCGACCGCAGACCGCTGCACCAATCTGCTACGCGAATATCTAATGTATCTCAAATCCCTGGTATTCTTTGGCGGGAAGAGGCCGCCAGTGAAGCATGTGAAATCCTCTACACGGATGCTCATATCATCACAGTGAATCGCTGCGCATCTCGCTTTGTTTTCGGCCGATTATCAGTGAAGTACACAACCAGTTGTACAGCGAAACAAAGAGGGCACTTGCCTATTGTGATAGAAAGAGAAAAAGGCTCATGCACCTGTTGAATGCGTTTTGTCACGAATGTCTTCGTTTGCCTCTTGGGTGGGGTTCATCGCTACGTTGTAGAGATAACGCTTTGGGACTCTGGCACCAGGTTTAAACGTACGTGGTGAGTTTTGAAGGGGCTGGAGTTTTTAAACTTATACCCGATCACCGTTTGCAGTTTTCTGCACTATCTCAAAGTGGCTGAGGTGTGACCCAGTGCAAGATCACAAAATCTGGGCATGTCACCAAAACCCGAAGCTGAGAATGTAGCTGCTGATCCCCTCTAATCGTGCATCACCAACTGCTATTTGGCCCTTTTTTCGAGGCTGACCTAAAGTGGCAGAGTTGCAGAATGGGCAGATCCGCCCTCGACTACAACTACAACAGGACTCGGAAAAAGTGTCAGTAATTTAATGAGAACAAGTTAAACACAGGTACTGCTCGTCAGCTGACGATGAAATGACTCCGAAAACCTCTCTGCTGCTCCGAATCCTCAGCCTAAAAATATCGCAGCACCAGGGCAACCCTCTATTTCATTCTTCACCCTCCACAACATGACATAAAGCCCTGATACATGTGCATACATGCAGTGCCCTGGCTTTGTGCAGGCATAATGCACAATTCGGATGACGCAGACCAATGGACACACTCTGCTACATAGTATCACCGGAAGCTCAGAACAAATAGAGACGCAAAGCTAAATTCCGCTTGCTTAGAAAACTTTGAAGGGCCCTATTTTTAAAAGCATTCTCACAGTGCGCTGGACACCCCATGAATTAATCTGGTTTTGGGGAAGGCACAGTTTAGGATTTTTAAATTCGGGGTTTTCATACCTTCTCTTTTCTGTCGAGGATAAAGATGACCAAGGCGACCAACAGGAGGCAAACGAGCGTAGTCTGAATGAACGAAGCGCAATAGAAAAGGGCATTTTTTCGTGCAACTTCCCACCCCGCGAAGGAAATCCTGGTGCACTTGGCCATTTTAATCATAACGCAGAGCAAGATATCGACGGAAAAGGGGCTTCCACAGATAACCGATTGCACTGTCGAACACGCCAACCTCTTCGAAATTGGGTAGCAAGGGGGACTACATGGTGGAAAAATGGCTTCGAGCTTAAAGCAGCTTACAATCAAAATATTGGCGAAGCTGCAACTGGGGTGTACAGAGAGCTCAAGCTGCCATGACTTGGGCTTTTCCAAGGGGTACGGCATCACTATAACTTGGGAGTTTGGAATGAGAGAGACCCACATGCTATACGCCGCCTATGTTAGCGCAGCACAAAACAGAAGAGCAATCATTATTACGCTCCAAGAATGACTGTTTATCTAATTACGACCATTTTCCTTTTAATTATTGTAACTCATTTAAACTTTTATTGCGCGCGAGGTCAGCTACTTTTAACTCTATATCACTACCTTACAGCAACGCACCAACTGAGCCAGCGGTAACCCAACAAAGAACTCCTCAACATAGTTGTTGGTTTGTCCTAAGCCGAAAAGCTCAAAGGGAAGAGATAGCGGTGCGTGTGCACTCTGTGCCATTTGTGCTCCTGAGACAGAACATACAAGCAGGGAAACACGCAGAATAGAGTGAACAACGAATACTCACTTTCCGAAGATATAAGCCAAGAACCCCTTAGAAAAAGTAGCACTCCCACATACATTTTCGTGGTTTCTTTCTACAAGACAGGCGCATTGCCCCAAACCCCGTATCTAAATCTATGCATCCCCTGTCAACAACCCCAAAGTCTTAATTTGAATCCCATTAAATTCAGCCACTAAACCCAGAACCGTAGCTCCGCTGTAGCGTACCAACACGCGGCGTTTTGGTGCCATTAAGATCCGTCACTGTCAATTTAAATGTGGCACCTGGAGGAAAACAAAAACAAAAGCCAAAGTACCGGACTACCTTAAAGTTATGACAACCGGTGGCTGTTCTCAAATATTTTTCCTGCACGCATGACTAGATAAGAAACGCTAAGCTTGAGAACCAAAACCAGCACTCACCGACAGCTGCTGCACCATAAGGTGGCGGCATATCTGGCACCATCTGCAGGGAGAAAGGCTTGGCCGCTGTTTTCTTAGGTCCGCCTTCTGTGCTATCGGGTACAGCGTAAATGTTGTTGTTGGTGCCCCTGTCGTAGTTGAGGGTGGTGGGTGCCGTCGTCTGTACATCAGAGAGCGATGACAGGGTAGGACGGGTGCAGAAGGAGAAGGGGCATGCCCCGTTTAGCGAGGTGGCTTTGAAGAAGAGAGAGTCTGCCGCCGTCTCCACTGGCCGCATGTAAGTACGCATAGTGGCAAAGGGGCCGGAGGCGGAAGACGATGACTTCGGCTGGCCCTGACAGACGAGATCCAGAGCCCCCTGCATTTTACAGACATAAAAAAAACGAATATGCATATATGAAGGAGAGCATTTCGAGACGGAAAAAAGAGTAAGGAGCTTTTCGCTCAGATTCCGTTACATTAGGCACACCCACAAATAAATCAAGCACCAAAAAGATGACAGTGCGCTGTGGATAGAGACGAACTTCGCAGTTACTACACCACAAAAAATTCAATGGATACTCCATATACGTGCGTGATTCCGCATGTGAAATCACAGGATATAAGAAAGAAACTCTACTCAGTAACAGTTGGAGAAAATGCCCACTGAGTTGCCACAAGCTGCTGCCTGGCTGCAATGTACTGTTAAACTACAAGTACACTCCTAACCTTTTCTCGGAAGTCGAAGAAAGCGACTCGGTTGCAGTGCAAAGTCTCCCCGTCAACCGTCGCCACAAACTCTGCCACCAGCTGGAAATACCGCACTGTTACATTCTGAGAAGACATATAAGGACACCCAACCCAGTGCATTAGGCTATTCCCTCTGAATACTAACGTGTTAACCCACATGGATTGTGAATAGTAAAGGCCATACTGTCATGCTTTGATGTCTAGGAGAACAGCCTTTCCATTCTGGATTGACCCAACGTCAAAAACAGCCCCATTCCTGAACTGGACTCTAAGCCATATGATCTAAAAAATATTCGTGAAACCTTTGTCTGCCGTTTCTTGCCTTGCTATCAGCAGGAACATTCCTGTAAATGCGGGCTGCCCTGATTCCTCCCTCCTTCACCGCCACAAGTGCCACGTCAGCAAACCCATCCCCATCGACGTCTCCAACCTGAGCGACAACAGACGCACACAGTGTACATGAGAGCAGAATGGTACCGAGAGACAACAGAGGACTTCTAGGTTCTCGGAAGTTGTATAATAACAAAGACATGTTACTGACTAGTCCTGTAGCAAGAATAAGAACTTTTCCGAAAACAGGAAGCAGTAAACTGCCCTTACGCTCAAAGTCGGAGGCTTTGCAGAGTCCCCAAAAAAATGAATTGTGCTGTCATCATCAAGAAAAGACTTGGTGGCCTTTTCACTATCGTCTGCAAGGCCAGAAAAAGACATATGTGAAAGATACATATGTCGTACAACCAATAACTGGAGGCAATGTCTAGCGCCGCTGCATTGATGCTTCAGGCAGGCACATGGCTTGTTTGCACTTACAATGAGCAACTGAGAAGTCCTCATTCGGGTCACACAGTTCGAACGGCCGACGGCAATTCTCGACTGTCCGCGAGGTCCACCAGAACGAACCACATAGGCGGGGTTGAGAATTGGCTGCAGAGAAAACCTTCACATACATCAGGCTTTTATTAGGATTGAGTTATCCTTTGCACACAGAGTGTATTGCACCCAAACTATCGAAGAGATTTATCCCCCCATTGCAGTGTGTGTACCTACAGCCCATATGCTGTCTTACGTACACACACACACATCGACACCAAAGCACTAGGGAAGAAAAAGCCTTGAAATAAGGTAGACTCACTAAGCATAACCAAAGCGTCACCCTTAATACAAACGCCTTCTTCATTCTTCTCGCAGACCGGTACAAGGACATCCAAGGTACCTTAAAACAAAAGCCCGAAAGCCAGAAAGCGATATACCGATTTCAAATCTTCATGCCGTAATCTCTTAGCCCTTGCCTCAATATTTAAACACGCAGACCCAATCCCAAGCCCCGAAAGCCCCTGACCACCCCCTGTCAACCCAACACGCAATGCCAGGCACTGTATGCCCATGCCACATGCTTCAAAGTGTCGTGGCTCACCATCTGCATCGAAGTCTGCGAGGACGAATTGTCCCGCTCCAGGGGGCAGCGCGATATCTTCCGTGTGTCTCTTCCATTTGGCGTTCGTTCCGTCGAATCGACTCAGCCAGATTTCAATATGCAAGGAGGAGGACCCCGGAAGCTGCACAGTCTGTCCGGACACCATAGCAAACCCCAAACCTGCTCAAAAGTCAAGTACCAGTAGAACCCCTTAATCCACAGCAAATCCGTTTTAGCAGTAGTAACACTTTCCCCAATATTCCTAACATACACAACCCTACCAGAAGCAAATCAGCGCGGCAGTCCCCATCGATATCTGCAATCGCGCTGCTGTGGGGGTTGGGAATGATGTTGTCCATCTGTTGCTGCTGCTGTGGATCTGTTAACTCAGGTGTATCCGTAGTGCCTGCCCTTTTAAACAAATCAGAGGCAGAAGACCACTTGCGGGGTGCGAAACCTTCTTTTCCTTGGCTCGCGAGGTTTACCCAAAAGAACCGAAACACGCCATCGTCCTTGCCCCCATGGCTGCTGCTGCCGTTCACGCTTCTCGGCGCTGTTTGAACCAGCAAGTCAGGGAAATGGTCGAAGGTGAGATCGGCCACAAGCGGCTGAATTCCTGTAAGGCCGCAGTCCGCCAGCTCCTCGTCTGTCATATCAGCTGTAATATAATCCGCCACAGCAGCTGCAGACGAAGAGAGAGGCTCGAAGACTGCTGTACTGCTTGGATAGCCTTCTACGAACACTCCTGTGGCTCTGCGTGCTGCCTCTGTGGTCGCCTCGGCTGTTGCTTCGTCACTGCGTGCGTGTAGCCTGCCAGCCCCAAATGCAAAAGCAGCAACCCCCACAGCATCTACCGCAGAGTCCTCGACGGGAGGAGACGCAGCTGAATCTTCTCCATTCTCAAGTGTACCCCCTGTGCTTGTTCCTGCTCTCTCATCATCATGCCCAGGTCCCAGCAAATCCTCAGGAACAGCCGCTTCCGGCATCCCGATATCCGGTTGCTGCTGATGCTGGCCCTGTCTGAGAAGCTTTCTGTGCTGCAGCAGCTGCTGCACGAACTGTTGGCTATCCCATACTCGCTCCAGAGCACCCGAAGGCCGCTGGACAAATGCTACGAGTCCGTAGACTCTCTGAACTGTAGAAGCTGAGCCCCTTGCTGCAGCGGTGCCAGCATGAGGCAGCGTTACGGCAATTATGTCTATTCGGCCGTCCTGAGTCCAATCAACGGCCACGATGCTGTCCACGGTCTCCTTCAGGTGTACTGACACCTGATGACGGAAACTGCTCGACTCGGGAGACCATACATACACAGATATGGTGCTACCGCAGTGGCTGCTGCCATTGGTGCTGCTTTCGTTAATGCTGTGATCCTTGTTCATGGGATTGCTACTCTCACTGCTGCTGCCACTCGGAGCTGCTTCGGTAGAGGGAAGCTGTTCTGTGCCGGCGTCAGCGAAAGCAGGGGGCACTGTGCCCGTGGTACTGGTGGTCGTATTGTGGGTCCTGGCTCTAAAGAACCTGCATTGCGGAATGTGTGCACTGCTCCCTAGGAAGATAAAGTCCACGTGCATGTCGTTGTTATAGTCTGCAAGTGCCCCCACCTCGCCCCTCCACCCTTCAGCCTCCAGCTGTTTCAGCAGGAGCTGCTGCTGCTGCTCGGGGGAAAAGAGGTCAGAACCGGGGACAGGCGTGAAGGAGGGGAACCGTGCAGATCGTGAGCCGAGGGAGAGAAGCACAGACTGCTGCTGTTGCTGCAGTTTCGTCTGATGCGGAGGGGGTGTCGCAAACGGAACGGGAAGAGCAACGTCCTTCAAGTCCTGCTGGTGCGGTCCAGCAGTTGCTGCTGCTGCTTGTGTAGGCCCTGCTGCCAGCGCTGCCGAAGATGCAGACAGCGGGCAAGACAGCAGGTACTCATAGTTGCCTCCATGGCGTGCTGCCCCTGCTGCGGCTGCTGCTACTGCTGCTGGATCTGCTGACGGTATTGCAGCAGCTGCAGTGTATCCTGGCAAGTGCTGCACGAAAAAGGTGCCTTGGGGAGCCTTGCGGCGGCCCCCTAGTGCCGCTGCTTCAGCAACCCCTGCTCCAGATGAGCCCGATGTTGGCTCTTTTGCAGCTGCCATAGACACATCTGCATCTCCTGCTGCTGCATCGTCTCGCTGCCAGGGAGAAGTGAAAGTGCCGCGGGGAGATGCGTCTGACAACTGCTTCTGTTGGTGCTGCTGCGTCTCCTGCGCTGTCTGGAGAAAAAGCCAGAGCACTACCAGCACAAATAGGAGAGCCCCAAGCAACAGAAGGGCCACTAGCCAACGCTTCCTCCGCAGCATACCTACTGCTGCTGCTGCTGCTGTTGCGGCAGCTGACGCAGCAACAACTGCCGCTTCTGTTACCGCAACGACTTGCGTTTGAATCAAGTGCCCGGATGATGAACTAGCGGGAATATTGGAGGGATGTACGTCGTCGGAAGACAGGGGAGAGAAGACAGCGGCAGCCACGCGTCTCTGCCTGCTTTGTCTGCTGGAGGGAGACACACTATGCCTCCCGTCTTCCTTGTCCTCAGATCCTAAAGGCCCGAGCCGCTGCATCTAAACCCTTGCAGCAGCTGCATCCGCTGCTGCTGCTCTTGATGTTGCAAGTGTTTCTATGGCTGACTCCGCTGCTGCAGTTTTCGATGCTGATACTAGTACTGCTTCCACCAGTAACGATTCTGCCATAGAAGTTGCTGTGTTCGCCGCCTCCCCTATTGCTGTTGTTGCTAGTCAGACCAAGCACTCCGAATCAAACAGTGTGCAATGAAAGATAGGGGAGCAGGCCAGCGTCAGGGAGTTGTGAAAAGAGCCGAGGTGTGTGTAGGCTATCCGTGCCGGTAAAAGGCGGCAAAGCAGTCATGGCCAACTCCCTTATTTGTTCGAATGCCATGACACCAAAGCAACGGTTAATCAGAAGGCCTAGAAGTTGAGGCATGCGTCGGCCAGTTCGGGGCTTTCAAGCCAAGAAACTTTTCTGCAGAAATACGGCACAAAAAGGCTTTATATCTTGACTCAACAATGCTGACCGCTAATTTTTTCGGGCTTTTACGGCAGGAAAAGGGGTCTGAACTGGATGGCTTTGGGTCTAGCAGCCCCAAACGTCCAACAACCAGCCCTATAGCTGGTTCTTCAACTATGTCGCAATTATCTAGGATTCAGTTCCAATCATTCAGTTTCTGGAGCTCAGTACAAGCTCAATACTCACCCTAGTGTCCCGATAACTTGCCACAGGGGAACGGTATGGTTCAGTTTTGCCCTCCGTAGAAATCTAGCGGAGATTTGTGGCATGCCTGTCTTCTGGGACTTTGTAGAGCTGAGTGTTACGACTCATCGTCACGCGCGTGTTCAGGCTGCATGAAGCACTACGCGGAGCTTTAGCAGGCCGTGCAACTGATCGGCTGATGGTGCGACTATGATCTATTAAATACTATTTTTTCCGATGAGTATATGGCTTAATGATTTTTTCACATGTTTCAGATCAGGCTTGGCTCCACTGTACTAGATTTTGGGCTGTGTATTTCTGCATTAACCACGCTGCGATTGCAGTGCTATGAGAGCGCTGCTCACGAATTCCATCCGTAGAGGGCTCAGTCCAATACTTCCTATCTTGCTACTTCCAGTGGCACAACAAATAGGAACTGACCAAATTAGTTTGCATGTCGTTTCTTTGTTGCAAAGTGCTGTAATTTCCATAGAAGAAGGCAATATGTGAGTGTGCGGTATCTGCCATGTGCAATTACCTGTGAACGCCCGGAGTGCCTAAATAATGCATCTACGCGAAACGTAATTTTTCTTCTCCTTGCATGTCAGGAACTCGGGGAGGCGGGAATAGGGGAAGGAAGCAGAACTTCCACGAAACAATTACGGGAGCCTTCTTTCAATTCTTAGCTGTGTCTGGATGCAGGTATTTCCCTACGGAGACCTAGATGCATCGTTGCAGTTAACAGCCCTGCATAATGCGATGCAGCTTGTCTCCTAGTATACAGTGGTCTTGAATGCAGTGGAACTTCGAGTTTCCCTCAATAGCTGTCTGGTTTCAAACTAGTTGGCAATTCAGAGCTGGAAAAACTTTTAGCAAGCAGTTGGTGGCACGGTGCCTGTCGGGATGGCATATGCTTACCTGCAGGCCGATGTGAACGCAGTAGCGCAATAGCTCTTTAAAACGCACAATATGTGAGCCGAGTAAATATATAGGAATGTGTCGATGAGATGAAGTCGACCAGAAAAGTATGACGGCCCGAAGGAAGGGAAAGCACTTGAAATTCCATCAGCCGTGTGAAGACGTGCCTCGCTTTGTATCCTAGGGCTAAAAAGAAAAAAAGGCACTTGGTGGCATGTTCATTGGAGAAAGAAGTACTTCAATGCGACTCCATGCAGAGGAAGTCGTCTGCCTGCAGGGAGCACTGCAGTTCAAACACTCCATGCACGCAACGCTCTATCTAACTTGTCCGAGGGGAGACACTTAGCTCGAGATCCAGCTGTAGACTGCTTCTCTGTATAACTGCACCCTTCCCCTGCTTGTGTCCCTCCGGGCTTTTGACATGGGGGAAGAGGGGCAGATACGGTGAGTTTCGCTCCATCCTCTCAGCACTCTGAGCATTTACAGCTAGCACGGCATTGCATCGGGCGCACAAATACAGAGCATCGCGCGTTTGTTATCAAGCTTAAAGTCCTCTGCGATTAATTAGATAAACGAAAGCCGAATCAATGGGTCCATTTCCCCTAATTCTTATTTTTGGCATAAGTAGTAAGGTGAATAGCATTTGGCTGAGGGAAATGGGAGAGCTACGGTCCGCGCAGCTACATCTTTTAATCTTTCTTTAACTCGCTCATTATATTTTCATCCTCCTCCTCGCTCCCTGTATTAGAACGCACCCTCCTCGTGTTCCACACATGTACCACTGCAGTTCAGCAAAAGACTCTCTGCTTTATCGCCACTTTTCACGTAGATAAACGCGAAAACAATGCGATTGATAAAAATTCAGTGCTCATCACCGAAACGAGGCAAAATCTGCGGGAGGAAAGGCGCACTTCCTAGCCAACAGCGACCGAGGAACTAAACCAACACGGCCGCGGCGGCACGATGTCTCGCAGTCTTCAAAGCGCTGAAGTGTTAGCCTTTTATAGCGAGAAAACAGAAGACAAGTAACGGTTGTACAGTAAAAATGAAAATAAAGAGTATTTCGTCGGTGCCTTCGCGCCTTATGGATCAATGTCTGCCTTCAAATACATCCGTCTCATGCAGCATACCGAATTGCAAAACCCCTGAAAAGGCACAAAAAGGGAGCTAGAGACAACATACGTGAGAGTGCCTGCGCATGGAATCAAGTGTAGAAAACGTCTTGATAATTATTAGAGCTTCGAGGCAGCATCCAATTACTGAGGTAGCTATTCAGGGCTGAGCATGCGCTGGGAGAGGGCAACTACCAAGAAACGCGAATATACCGTCCACCGAGACTAGTGTTGTGAGGCAAGCAGACCTGCAAAACATTTCACAGACAACGAAGCCCAAAATTTCTCCTCGGTCAACCAGTGAGGTCGGGGAACCCGACTGCGCCAGAGACTTTCTTCCAGTGTGTCATCGGCGCTCAAGTCAAAGAGTCTGGCACCTCTACGGCTCTATGTGGGTCCTTGGCATTCGCTTAGTAGCTTGTGCAGCAAAGTGTGCAAGTGAATTGGCGAGTTCTAAATGTTCTTCAGGCCGCCAGCGTTGATAGTTCTGTGGCACTACTAGCTTCTAAGAAAATCGATAGAGTGAGAATGAACATTGGCTCGTGGAAACAACGCAAACGGTACTGAACACTGGATGATAAAATGCTTCATCTGGTCATCCTCTAGTGCACCTTCTAAGCGCCTGCCGATACACCACGACCAAGGCCCCACGCTTGAAACACACAGGCGACCGCCGCTTATTAGAAGTACATGCTTGTCTCGCTCGAACACGGCGCATATATTAGCGAGCACCTGCCAGATCTCCTCTAAATCCAGCCATTAGGATAGGTCGCTGACCTCGGAACGGCATATGCAACGCCACATCGGAGGGGGGATTCTTGGTGTAGACCACAGATGTGGGCGAGCAACGAGCAGACGAACGCACTGTCAGATTATTAACCCACTCAGCATTCATAGGAAAACGCAGCAGAGCAGTTGGAATTTTTGTCGGCGCATAGTCACCGACATTGCAGATTAGTGCAGATTGTGGGTTCGGTTTCTCCATCTGCTTCACGGGGGTTCGCAGTGGTGAGAAGACACTGATTATAAAGATGCATCATGAAGGCAAGCCGGAATGCACAGATGAACTTTGAACTCTTAGTAGTGACGATACTTCATAGAAATCCAGACGTGAGACACCAACAACCAGGCAGAGAATAGGCATATTTGCCAAGTCTGTAAGCAACGACGTGGATGCCGTTGTGAAAGCTGACCTCCAGCAGTCCCAACATGAAGCCCAGAGTTAGATCAGTTCAAATCCTTCCAAGACCTTGACTGCGTTGCAAGACAGTAACTTTTACGATATTTGTGCAGATTTGGGCTGCTGATAATCTGGGCATGAGAGTGCATTCTCCTTGGGAGAGCACATTCCAAGTCATCAGAGAGATTGTAGACGGTTTTATGCTGTTATTTAAATCCCTTTATGGCCTGAATGACCATGTTCACGTGTATTACGCAGTAGAGCGCTGGATAGAGTTCTTAATGTACGAACGAAGAGGTTCACATTCTATTTTTGAGTCACAGGAGGTCATCGCTGAAGTAGAAGTGACCTTTCGCCGTACTGGATTCTGGCAATAATAGGGAATGCACGAATATCAAAAGCGAAAGCTGCACACATCTTTGGTGGAAACTTTGAACCATTACAGACAAAAGCGGGTGCGCTGCACGAACATGGAGCTTTGGGTGGTCGTATGAGCGCATCAGCGACCACATTGGCAATGTACTTCACATATTACATTGTAAAGTTGTGCTGCTTGATGCACCCAAACCAGCGAACACCTCTGGAGTTATCGTTTATAGTAAAATAGGTTCTAAGATGTAATAAGGACTGGTAGCCTATCTTGATGGTAAACATGCTCATATAAATAGTGTCGGAACGCTTTTCACACTCCACTGCACCACATGGACTTCGTTTTGCCCAATTGGATAGCGCGGTCTTGGTTTCAATGAAGCGAGCAAAATAGCAAGCGATAATCTGCTGTCTTAATTTTCAGGATGCTGCGCATCTTCCAATACCACTTACCTCTACGTCACTAGCATCCGTTGTTATGAAGTGTTGATGCTCATAATTGAGCAGTGCGAGAACAGGAGCCGTATGGGCTCTGATGTACTTCCTTGCTGCCGCATCAGTCTCCTCACCACCGATAGGTGATTGCATTGTCTTGAGTAGATTTCGTCAGAGAAAGGCGGTCCAAGCAAGCCCACGAACACACAGGGAAATGCGATGCATACCAGTAGAGCGTCTGAACTTCCTTCGGTAAACTCAGGCTTGTTCGCTTCAATTGATGCCAGATCTGCCTCAACCGCTCTAACCAAACCATGAAATTTCAAAAATCTGAGTGTTTCCGTGAAAAAGCAAAAACTTGAGTGCAATCACCTACCACCACGTGCCCCGCGCCAGCCAAATCGCGTGTCGTAAGGTGCTGTAGGCGCTCCTGAACGTTTCGGCTAGACACTTAGAACTCTTCCAGAAAGACTCCCATCGGCCCCTCCCTCCTGTCTTCGCAAAGCTCCCCAGTACTTTTTAATGCAGTCCACAAGACTCACTAAAAAGTCCAAACGCCGTGCATGTACACTGGAACTTGCGAGTGAGGGCCAGCCACCAACAATTTGTGCCTTCTGTCTGAGTGAATGGGGATTTCTTAGAAGGGGTATATGAAATCAACTATCCAAATGTTGGTCGTGTAGGCTGCCAAGTAGTCTACCAATATGGCACATCAAGAGCTTCTCATCCACAGTCTTCTTGTTCAAAGGCCAAATGTTCACACGCAGGTGCCACCTTCTCTATCTTCTGGCACCTACACCCGTGTGTGGACATAGGTGCTGGTCGATTCCCGCACGCTGCCCTATCCATCATATTATGCTCCTGACGCTCAAACGCCTCTCCACTGTGACAGTGCTTCCAATACAGTGGAACAAAGCTTGGTGCTGATACGAAAATTAACTCAAAATGGTGCGCTGGATGAATAGCAATTGGGCAGCCTGCTCACAACTCTTCATCAACTAATCCATTCGCGAACTCCCTGATAATTGCCGGTCCCTCCTGTTCCTCAGCTAAACCTTCAGTCGCATCATTCGTGATGAACGTGTTCCAAATACACGCTCAGAACCGTTTTCTCCTACTTTCCTGCAATGACGCAAGCCTGAAGACGCTGTCTCACTACGGCATCGACTCTATCTCGCTCATCATCGATAAAGTACGCGCTGTTGAGAGTACTGAAAGCTGCTGCTTCTCAGCTCTTTCTAGCACACTAAATCTTACTGCGCGCAGCTGTGGCTGCATGCACGCCTTCCCCTGAGTCACCCTTCGCATGCCCTGGATCAAGCCATGGAGGGCCTGTCCAACATAGAAGCCACAGCCATGCTGATAGGGCCCAACAGGGACTTGAACGGCGCGTGGGCGCCGCAGCCTTGCCAGTAATTTCGTCCTTCCGCCCCTCAGCTAACTTGAGCATTGGGGCCGGTGCTCACGAACGGGCAAGCAGATTGCCCATCTGCGCCGTTTCCTCGGATATCATACCAGCTTCACATTTAGTGTCGAGTAGCGGCACTTTCTTTCGAGCATTTTGTTATGAGCGTAAATCAGCGCAGCATTGGCTCTCTGGTGGGCTCTTAACGACTGCTCGATCTTTTGTAGCCCCCTTCGATGCGCTGCAGCCTCGGTAGGGGGCTTGCTGTTTATCTGATGTGTCTTCTGTATTCTCCAAGAAGCCTGTTTCGGCTAGGCATAGCTCCGCTGCTCAAGATCTTCGGCTTTTTGTATGCGTTCTCAGTTCCGGAACATAAATTCTAGTTTCCTACTCCTACAGAAAGGCAGGTACGCTGCTGGACGCCATCTGGGGCTGCATACGAAAATGGGTTTCTTCTCGCTTTATAGCCCATCCGCCATACACTGTAGACTAGGGCTTAATGGCACAATCCCGATAGCCATAAGTTCTACATCCCATTTGTCTGCTCCTTTTCAGCTGAGGGTGAGGGCCTACCGCTTATTGGGTGTTGATACATCAAGAGTCCATTATTTTGACAGCGCCACCTAGCAATCGTTAAGCTGCTGAATGAATGCTCATTGTACGACGACCTCGCAAAACGCTACACATAGGCATGAGAGTAGCCACCGATAGAGCTGCTTTTCGTCTACGTTGGGACTTTTGCAACCCAAACTATCATTGTGCCCGAAAAAAGCTCTATAAATAGGTTTCACTGCTGGAAATTTTGCAGTTTCTTTAAAACTCCTATCAAAATTTGTTCAGTCGATCTCGAGATGAACCAATGGACCAGGGTTTGAATGATGAGTGAACTGCAATAATCTTTGCAGGCAGACGACTTCCTCTGCATGAATAAGGGCAGCATTGAGCTACTCTCTTGATATAACTATTCGTCATTAGCACTTGTATTTCTTCAGGTCTAGGATACAAAGCGAAGTTCATCTTCAACCGGCTGACAAAATCGTCAAGTACTTGCCCTTTCTTCGGGCCGCCATATCTTTCTGGTAGGCATCACCTTATCGACGCATCCCTGCACATGTTCTTAGCTATCGAGTGTGCCCTGTTACCAGCTGTTGTGGCTACTGCGCACATATCGTCCTGCAGGCCACCGTATGCCACCCCACCAGGCATGTTGCCAACAACTTTCTGCATCTCTAAAAGGATTTCTCCGGCATTGAATCATCAAATAGGTCAATCGAAATCATGTAACTAATGAATTAATCCTGATATTTTACTGCATTGAGGACCTGTGGATGATAGGGCTAAAGCTGCATCGAATTGTGCGGCGCTACCAAGTGCAACGCTCCTTCAGAGGTGTCTGTGGGGAGAGACGTAATTGCAGATTACAAACACAATAAAAAATGAAAATTTCCTATCAAATTTTTTTTGAAGGAACTCCATCTATTTCTCTTCTCACTTTCCCGATTTTCCGATCTGCAGTGAGAGGGAGAGCTACGGTATGCGTAGCTGCGCCGTTTAAGCACTCGGAGCAGTCACAGGTAGTTGAGCATCTAGGGCACGAGCACACATCATACTGCTTTGATGTATCGGTACTCTGTAACGAATTAGATGTATGACAGGCAAACTTATTAGTCAGTTGCTCGCCAATTCGTATGTTAAAACAAGTTATAATGTAGAAAGTGTTGGAATCTAGCTTCACCCGCTGCATTTTAGCTGTCCCTCTCCGGTCTTGTCGAAAGCTGAAAAAGAAGACCACAGGGAGTGGGGGAGTTCTTTGAAAGCACTCAATAATCTCATGCTGACCTTATATTGAGTCTGGTGTTGTGCGTCTTTCCATGGAGGCTTTGGATGCAACTTTGATATTCGTTACTAGCTGCAGCACTGCTCGTGCTGTGCAATACTATGCGTTGGGAATGAGTAGACTTGACATGTTTGCGCCTGCAGGCTATTGTCGTTTTGGCTGTACAGAAATAGCATGGTACCTCAGGGGAGACAGTGCTGTGACATGTGCTCCAGTGAGTTCTGAGACAAACAAAATCACTGCCCCAAAGCCAAGGCCTCTGGAGCACCTGTCCACTCTGAAAGCCTCATAAATAGCTCTGTACACACTTGTCAATACGCCAACAGCTAGAGCATTAACAACATGTCCTCGTGATGTGGACCGCATACATTGCTAGTTCCTACGATGGTACAGCTAAAAGGTCTTGCGCCGTCTTGGCCTTCCAAAAACCATAAATTAATTAGCCGCATTGAGCAGATTGGCCCTTTAAAAATACAAAAATAAGAGAGAATAAACGTGAAACAGAGGCACTTACAGGCATACCGTCTGCTTCTTGTCGGGGTGTCTTCCAGTGGGGTCACCGCTGGCCAGCCCCGCCCCGGTCGCCCTTTCCATAGACGCAATTTGCTTCCACGTTGTGATCGTCCAGTCTTTAATCATTTTGGTAGTTTAGGCATATAGTGGGCTTGATGAAAGGGAAGTCCCTTCTTGGCGGAATGCCGTATTACAAACAGATCCCTCCACCTGGTACTCGACGAACTCCTGCCGCTGCTACGCGAGCAGCAGCAGGATTGGCAGCACGAGGAAAGCCGATTGACTGCCTAAAGGCATTCATAAATCTTCTATCCGCTACTTATAAGTGCCTACTGATGTCCAGTGTGCGCGTGTCCCCTCTGTCTCCTCTTTGTGCCACTATCTTCAACCGCTACTGCCAACGCTCAGGGAACATCATAGATCGAAAAACTCTCAGCGACAATCCTTGTGGTGTAAAAATATGCTTTATTCTTGGTTCTTAACTGCAATCGCTTACTCAATGTCCCCGATGAGCTCTAGAGAAGCGTAAGGGCTCACAGTAAAGCCTGTGACGACAGCAGCATCGCACATACCAGCTACTCCTAGGGGACTAATCGCTACGGCCCATCCTATGTCGTAATGGCCCAAGGAATGGGAGAAAACACATGGGGAGCTGCCACCGAGGCGGCCTTTCAAAGAGGAGACGAAGCAGCAGCACAAACTCTCTTGCAAGGGCTAATCGATGAAGTCCGACAGCGTCACCAGCACAAGCAGCAAGAACATCAGGAAAATCAGGTCAACAAGCAGCCTCTTCAGCACACTAAAAAGTCCTCTTCAGTGCTCACAGCCCTGAGAGACATACGGGCCCCACTCGCATTCGCCCTTCAGGTGTTTGAAGCCCAGAAGGGGGCCCTTAGTTCCTTGAAGGGAAATAATTCATCCCTTGAGGGTTTCCTTGCCCCCTTTTCTTCTGATAATGTATGTAATTGTGAGTTTGGAAGCCATTCAATGAGCCCTGTATCTTCCGAAAGTGACCTCACTGCAGGTGAGCGAGCTTCACGTGCAGTCGCGTATTCCGGAGACCTCCAGCATCCGCTTCTGTGGCATTCAGTCACTGCAACTGCTCATGGACTTTTGCTTCCTTGGATGGGGAACAGGCTGCAGCAAGCAGCGGAAGTCGCACAGAAACGAGCACAGAAGCCCCAGCACCAAACTAGCCAACCACGCGTTCTGGAGGACTGCGAGTGTGCTATACTGCTTCATCGTCTTTTGGTCGCTGTTGAGAAGCTGGCTGCAGCCGGCGCAGCAGAGACTGCTGATGCTGTGAAGAATTTGGGTGGACTGCCCTCCGGAAGCTTCTGCTGCTGCAAAGGGAGGCCCTTTATAGCTCTGGAGGGGAGCAGTCCAGAAGCACCAGGTACACCAGGGTTGCTAAGTCTGGTGCCCGCACTGTTGCTGCTTCTTGAAGCCTCGTCTAGAGCTGCAGCCCTGCTCCCTGCTGCTTCCCGTACGGCAGCTGCCATTATGGAGTTTCTTGTGCAGCAGCAGCTGTATTCTTTCCTTTGCTGGCAGCAGCAGTCCGAACGGACAATGCAGCAACAGAGGCAAGAGACGTTTTTTGATGAGGAGCTACGGCGTTGCGGCGTGAGTGCGCGCCGCTCTGGGTTGTGCCTCATCCTGCAGCTTTTGGAGACTGGTGCACAGTTTAGCACTAAAGGCGAGCAGCAGGATCGCGAAAAGCACACGCCTAATCAACAATGCCCACACCAGGGGGTCCAGCAACTACAGTTGGGAGAGAGAATCCGTAAGGAGCATACGGGACCGCCTGCTGAAGCAAAGAGCTGTTCTACCCGCTGGCAGTGCCCCTTTACAATGGCCAAAAGGCTTTTGCTGCTGCTGATTCAGCTTTCCACTGCCACAGGCCTTAAAAGAGCTTGCGAACTTTATACACACCAGCCACACACACAGGATGAGGGCTGCACAGCCGGAATCGCTTGGGGCATCCCTCTTCTCTCGGAAGCTGGAGCAGCGTCTTGGCTCTTTTGCAGCCTCGTGCGAGCAGCAGCAGGTAATCAACATGTAGCAACATCCGCAGGAGCGCCAGCAGTAGTAGGACTCTCAGACGGAACAGCTTCAGCTGCTCTGCGGGTCGTGCAGACTACGGAAGACGTCCATCCATTTTCCTTGCCATTTGAATTTTTAGGGGCTCCGGAAAAGGCTTTAGCTCATGGTTTGTGGTGGCAAAGGATCTGCTGCAGTAGAATGCTACAGCATCGCAGTAGGCAGCATGTATGGCATCAAGCGGAGCTGTTGTTGCAAAGCACAGTAGAAGCCGTCTGTTCGGCTTTATCCCGTGTAAATCTACCAAACGAACAGCAAACCGATCAACAGCACCGCCAACAGCATCAAGTATCCAAAAGCTGTCCTAGATGTAGGTCCACTGTGGCAGCAGTAGCGCTCTATTTCTGTTGCCATGCGGCAACTCGCCTTGCCCACGGCACCGTTCAACAGGGAAAGGGTGGATTCAAAACGTGGGCCTCCCAGACTTTCTGGAGGGTAACTCGCAGGCCCCCTGTGGTCACAGAGACCTCTGCCTTGCTTGTAAAGGCACTCAAAGCATTGCCTATGATAGAGGGGTCTCATACGCACTCAGCAGCCAGTAGCTGCAGTGCCACCAGCAGTGGCAGAAGCATGAGCACAAGGGGCAGTGCTACTACTATTCGCTCGCGAGAGTTGTGCGCTTTTGCTATTCGGCTCACAGCTGTAGAAGTACTTCATCTATTAGGTCCTGCGGAGAGAGAGAAGGCAACAAGGAGCCTTGCGCGAGGATTCGAGGAGTGCCTGCTTCTGCCGCCTTTGTGCGTATTACGCTCTATCGTACAACAACAGCACCACCAGCAACAGTTGGTAAGTCAGCCCACTCAACAGCACTGCCAAAAGGAACATCAGTTTGACCAGCAGCAACAACATTACGGAAAGGAGCAGCAGTGCCCGCCCGGAACTGCTCGTCCTGCGGATGTTTGCCGTCTGATTAGGCTGTCGCCTCTCTCCCCTTTGCTAGGGGCAGCAGCACGGCACCTAGGCTTTGGTGCAGCCAGAGAGCTGTCGGCTCAGGCAGAAATCTCTTTTGCTGCCGAGTCTAGTCCGGATCAGAAGCAAAAGGAGGAAGAAAACACATTGTGTGCCAGCTTCTACATGTGGAGTTGTAGGTTGCATGCTGCTTGCGTCTTATTGGAGACGTTGTCTGCTCATTCTGATGTTTCTGCCAATGCTGGTATCCCCTCGGATGGGGTTCGTGCCACAATTATGGAAGTGGAGCTGCTGCTAGGGTTTGTTGCTTTGTTTGTTGCTGCGTGTCTTCGTTGCTGCCTCCCTCCGATAAACATGTCCCCCCAGCCGGTCTCTCCCATGCAACAGCAGCAAGATCCTCAGCAGCAGTCGCAGCAGCAGGAAAACTGGGCCCGCATTGTCGGGTCTGCGCTGTATGTACATCTGGCGGTGCCTGCAGAGGCAGCAGCAGAGGCTGCAGCCATGGTGCCTTCCCTTTTGTTGAGAGCAGCTGATGCTGTTCCGCTTCCTTCGACGACTAGGCGGCTTTTAAGAGACTTTGCCGTAGCGGCTTTAAGTGGCAGCTGCATGCCTCACGCACTTGCTGCATTCCGCAGCTACGGCAGTAGCATTTACTTTCCCGAAACAGAACTCTTGAAGGGAGTACTGAGGATGGGAGGCCCTCTGGGGCAAGCCGCTGCCACAGCAGTAGCACGGGGAGCCCTTGCCCGACTTGCACTCGTCCTTGAAACTCTTTCTAGCCCTCCGCAGCCAGTGCTGCTGCTCCTTTCAGAATTCTCAGCTCAGAAGCAGGTTCGGACGCTGTTGGCTAAGGCTCTGCACCTAGGAGCCATCGGAGAAGCATTGAAGGCATTTGCTGCTGCGGGGCATTGCTGCTGCTGTGCCCCTGAAACCGCAATCATGGAGATATCACTGAAGGAGCACGACTGGAGCAGCAGGAAGCCCAATAAATCGGACTGCTCCATGCCGCATCTTTGCCTCAGCAACCTCCTTGAGTTATTACAGCTGGCCCAGGAGTACTCTCCATCCGCCGACTACCACCAATCAGCAGTTCTGCCAGCACCAGTAACAGCAGGGGTGGCAACAAAAACGAGAGATAGGATTCAAGAGTCTTGCGTTCTGGTGAAACGTTCCTATTGTTTTCAGCAGAAACAACGGCAGCAGCAGCACTGGCAGCAGCTGCAGCAACGCCTAATCGATGGAGTCTCTGCGTTGCTCTTGCAATGCATCCTTGTTAGAGGGCACCAAGGGTGAGGACATCAGCATTCTTTATGCTTTTTGCGTGCGCCTCTGGTTGATACTGCACTTTTAAGCCTGTTACTTCCACAAATCCCTGCGTCTGTTCTTGTTGCTCATTTGGTCACCATCCTGTGACTCGTGTGTATATGTCCTGACTACATATGGGCAATCGCAAACACTGCCTCCACAGTTGCTTCTGGCATGCGTTGTGCAGCTTGAGACTGACGGCGATGCTGTTGCCGGAGATCATTACTGCAGCAGTGGCTGTTGCTACCGTAGGGGGAAAGATGGGGTCCTTCCACAAGCTGCTACAGCTGTTTGCCCAGGACTCCCAGTTACTGGGTGTCCCTTCCTTCATGCTACCGCAGCAACAGCGACAACAGAAAGGGAAGGAACTGCAACGATTGCTGTGGACTGCCTTACTGCAGCAGGTGGAAGCAGCAGCCACAGCAGCGGCGGCTGCTGAATCCGCAGCTGGCGGCACAGCGAATTATGGAGAGCACGCGCCCACGGAAGCGCGCAGTCAAAAGGAAAAGGCCATCATTACTTTGGGGTTTGCGGCTGCACCACTACCGGTCAGATGCTGCTGCCGCTCCATTGGCAGGTCATAAATAGTGGCCCTCTCCATTTTCACGCAAATTTTCTTGGCGTCAATTTGATCCTCTCGTGCTTCGTTTGGTAGTTCCTGCTGCTGCAGTCCCTCGAAAACTCCCGTTATTCTCCTTACGTGTGGTGCTGGTGCTGCTAGTGCAGTTTTTATGTCGCGGAGGGTTTGAGGTGCTCCAGGAGCGGCTGAGGCCCCTGCTGGTTACGCATCCCTTCCTGCGAAAGCCGGCGCTTGCTATACTGTCCGACAGGTCTGTAGATTTGAAGCCAGCGCTGCTGTTGTTTGCGTTGGTTGTAGAATCTTCTACTGCCCGTTGCCTGGGTGTGCACCCGTGCGGCTGTTGTCGTTTACTCCTGTCGGTACAATTTCCTGCAAACAAGGCGTCAACTTGCGGTTGGCGTTGTTGTGTGAGTTGCGCCTGCTGCAGGCTGCCTCACGAGTTCGCAGCTGCTGTACTTGAATCGCTTGAAGAAGCCCCCCAACTTCGCGTATGGCCGTGGGGAGACACTCAACTCCTCAGCCACCTGTAGCCTCCAGGGGCCCCGGCGCTCACGTGTAGTCAGCAGAGCACTCTAAAAGCTTTCAGTGATTTTTGGTACCTAGGGAATTTCCCGCGCATTGAAGCCTAACCACCGCGTATGCCGCTGCTGCAATGAGGCTCTAAGAAAGCTCCCTTAGCCCTCCTGCAATTCAATTCAATTAATAGGATTGAACAGTCCATCGGCGCACTCTGCCGCCCTCATTGACTCCTATTCAATCCGCCTATTTTATTCTCCAGTCTCTTTTTTGTAGAGCTTCTGAACCTCTATCTACCATTTTTATTGCATCGCTAGAGTCAGCTGCTCTTGACGTCGCTGCCCCAGCAACTCTTGACCTGCCCCCTCAACGGATATAGTATGTGCCGCTCTCTGTTTAACCATGTTGAGGCAAACACTTTGTCTCATGAACCTGAGTACCCAAGGGGAACTGCCCTCTGAACCCCTGAGTGCTTCTCTGAAGGCCCTCTCTTCGGGACCCTCCAAAACTGAGCCAAAAGCGCGCGAATAGTCTAACAGCATGATTTTGAAAGGTTGAAAATTTCGATGCCAATCGCACTCGGGGGCCATCAGGCTCTTGCCCTGCAATTTCCTTTTGGGCCCCGTTTCAGGTGCAGAGCTTGCTTGCCCTTTAGTTCTTTTTTAGGATAGACTATTTGCAGTGTTTCCTTAGCTCTTAGTCATGGACTTCCCAGCCTTGAGGACCTCATCAACGAGGAGCAGCTGCTGCGCAAGTGTGGGAGCCAAGGATAACATCTGTTTCTTCACGATGTAGTTATCCCAGATACCTGCAGAACCAAGAAAACAAATGCAGACCTCAACAAGTCTCCCCTGTCTCTCGGTTTCCAGCTACTGCTGTACTAACCAGTTAGCCCGCCATCCGACCCACTCCCTTCAACCGTCTGACAGATTTCGTCTGAAAGGGCCATGTGATTGTTAATGCCCCAGCATGGCTCGATAGATACGTGTGGCTCCTAATCAGCTAGCTATCTGGAAACGTAGTCTGCGTTATTGGGTCTGTTAAGACAGCTACTCCGATAGACAAAGAGTCGGTGCAGACGCATGTGGCTATGTGTCTTGCCTTCCATAGCAGGTGAGTTGCTTCGTCCGGTTGCAAGGTCGATGCCAACGAGCTGGTTGGACGTCTGATGAGCATCAATAAGGGAGAGAAGCACTTCGTATACATCGTGCCCGCTGTTCTCTGCCAAAGTCTTTGGAATGACCAAAAGCGCATCGGCAAACGCAGCGACCCCCAATTTCTGCTTGCCCGAGACTTCACGCTTGAACTCCTGGAAAAACACCGAGCTCACAACCACACACACTTACGCAAATGTTTGCGCAGACTAGGCAGAAAAAGAGTGGGAAGCGATTGTGGAAGAATCAGTAACGAGGGGAAGCCCGATAAATAAAAGAGGTAGCAGCTTCTACCTGAAGTTTGCAGTAAGCGGCGACTTCGAATGCACCAGCTCCAGGGATAACTGCCCGGTCCTCAATAACGTTCTTTATGGCTCTCAGACCATCCCTCACTGCATCCTTCACCTACAAAACGAAACAGGGCAGACTCCAAACACGAAGAGAGACGCATGCACGTGTGTAGGACACCGGGCAAAACAGCACGCGGGGCTACTGAAGCACATGCAGAAGCGGACTGCTACAAGACGCACAAACGGCAAGCTCACGCGCTGAAGGCGAGACACAGAGACATAACCATGTGAAACTAAATGATAAAAGTCTAGCGACAATAAACGGGCAAAAAGGTTGCGCTATCTTTCCTGGCCTCTCCTCCTTTGAATGCATGCGTGGGTGTATCCCGCTAGGGCTTCCCCGTGTCTCGTGCTCTACGGTTTTGCAGCTCACCTGTGCTACTGCGTGATCGTTGGGGCCCTTAATGAGAATCGTGCAGCTGCGAGGATCCTCCACTCCGTCAATAAAAGTGAACTTATCATCGCCTAGAGACTGTTCGTACACCTGAGCAGCGAAGCCCAGATCCTCAGGTCTCAGGTCATCCACCGAGTTCACAGGGTTGCCTCCGCAGCAAAGCGGCAGTCTCTCCATGTTGCGTCTTTTTACCTAAGGCGATCACACAATGGGAGACGGCAAGAGACAAAGGGGGCGATGGGACGCGAGAAAAGAAGTACAGCACAAAGTACAGACAAAAGAGAGGTGCAGGCCTCAGCCGAAAACAGCAGGCACAGACACATGTGATTCTGCTGCACTTGATGCTACAGCCGAAGCAAATGTAGCTGCTGCAAAGGGCTACAATGCAAGAGCAGCGCCAGGAACACAAAAGGAGCAGCAGCACTAGGCGCAGCAGCACGAGTAGGCTCTAGCAGGCTGACCCTTCTGAGGGCCATAATCCCTTCCTTGGCAAGCATGTCCAGGCTGGGTGGATCGATGCCCTTTTGATTCAGCACGACGAAGTGCTTGTTGTTTTCTGGTGTGCACACAGCTCGCTTAAGGTCGATAATCTTCTGAACTTTCATGTCGGTGAACTGCCTCTCTGCAGCGACCAGTTTGTCTCTCCGTTCAGCTGATGCGTAGAAGAAGCCCGCATTGACTTCACTCTTCTCGTATTCCAGAGAAACATTGCAGGTCAAGATATAGCAATTCTTAAGGTGTTTCGGCATATCTGGATGGCGGCAACCATGATCCAGGACCATGCCCTGAAGCAAACAAAGCCCGAATCGCAAAATTCCATAGCTTACACCAACTCCACAGAGTTTCATACCCTTGAGTATACGCCATAAATCCTGCGAAGCATGGTCCAGCATCGTGAACCTCACAGCAAGAAGAGCCACCCCATACATACACACTGACCCTTTAAATGTACACACAACGATTCATACACACGTGTGGTGGATGTTTTCACCTTGACAAGTTTCGTTTCATCAACAAGTCTATGCTTCATATGGAGGACTTCCACCATGAACAGATCAAGAGGCTCTCCTTCTCTGTAGAGACACCCGATGGCTTCCACCAGATCGTCACTCAGGCGGTCGGCCAAGGGGCTCGGCAGCTTGGTGCGAAGAGAAGAACGCGCCACCGACAGCAACAACTCCCTATCCGGGCGAGGAGAGACCGAAACATTCACCCGCATCTGAAAGAGAAACACAGAGAAAGGGAGGGTGGTGAGGAATACAAAGCGACTGAGACACACAAAGGTAACAAATAAGGCGGAAGACTAAAGGCCGGGAAGGGCTATAGAGAAAGATATGGGTGCAGATACATTCTTTTGTAACTGCCAGGCATCTGGAGCGAGACCGAGGAAATGTGATACAAAGATAACCGGAACCGGGCGAATAGGCACACCAAAAGGGAGAAGTGCAGAATTGATAAAGGCGGCAAGATTAGCGTTCATTTTCAGGTGTCTGTGTACACACTCACCTCGTCTAGAAGCTCCAAAGTGCGTTGTCTGGCCTTATCGAAGCCTGCGCAGAGGAGGCGAGGATGGACGCCCTCAGCAATAAACCTGAATACACGCCCGACAAGTGCTGCCTGCAAGAGTGAGAGGAATGTCTCTATAAATTGATACGCGCTACGATAGAGTGCAAAACAGCAAGCGAACACGTAAGGCATACAAAATGAGACAGGGCAAAACAGGAAACGACACAGGGAAGCATAAAGTGGGCACCAATGGATATTGCACGGAACACGCCCAGCACAAAGCTAAAAAGCATCCAGAAAGAAGGCCTTCTGCAGCCTCTCGCTGTGCCCCCTAGTCTTTGACGGTGTGTTGGACCTTTCGGACTGCCTGAGGAGCTCTCCGATAAAGAGGACAGCACTGGTTGTGCCGTCTCCTGTCACTTCATCCTGTGCAGTCGCAGCCCTCGCGATCAAAGATGCAGTTGGGTGCTGGATTTGCATCTCGTGCAGCAGCACGCAACCATCCTTGGTCAGCTTTAGCTGGCCAGCACCTGAGGGAAGAAAGCCCAGACGGAAAGAAAGCGCCAGTACAGTGAGGGGCCGGGAGGCAGCGGCGCCACTGAATGAATACGCAGAACCGCGTTGAGGGATAGACGACACAGCAGCATCAAGGGTAGATATACTCTGCGGCGGCTTGGTGGTAAAGAGGCACATACTCAGGTGGATTGGACCCGACACAGCAGTTTGAAACCGGTGCACTGTCAAGCAAGATTGAACACGTAACACTGATTGCCAGGGCGAGAATTTTGGTTGAAACGACTGTGGAACAAAAAGATCAACATTACAGAGAGAACGACCAGTGCCCTTCCTCCCCTCCCGTGAGTACCAACATGAAAAACGGTGAGTGTCAGCTGTTGCCTGTCTTTACACTCTGTGGCTAACTTACCCCCCACGAGCATTTTGACAGTACCCCGAGGACCTAGATTCGACTTGAGGACATCCTGAAGACCCTTCGCTGCGTTGCAATTTGCTGCCAGAGCCGCCGCAGCCCGCAGCACATCCGCCTTAGCGTTCACCACTGAGACGCTCATTCCTGCATAGTCACAGAACGGCAGAGAAGCACCTTGAGAGCGCCCACAATTTAGTCCATCAACGCAGCCTTGCATGCATGCTCTAAGAATCATGCTGCTGCTGGCGCTACAGCCAACGGTCATTCAGCTGTGGTGGAGTCACATGCCCTAGCGTGCACGGTAGAGGATCCTCGAGACAATTCGGCTACTTTTGTGCCTCTGAACACCTGAGATACAGATCTCCCATGCCGAATGCAGCTTCTGGCGCTCATATCAATGAGATCCCTGCTAAACTAGCCACATCGGGGGAGCCTTCCTGGGTTGGCGGTGCAGCCCTAGCTGCCCGTGATTCTGCTGTGCCAGCGGCGGCAGGTGCAGCGGCAGACTCAGCGCCATTCAGGCACTCGGGATGGCAAGTAGGAAGGGGCACTTTTCTCACTGGAAAGTAAGAAGACTTGGGAATTCCTAATGCACCTCAGCAGCAGCAACGGCAGCAGCGGCAATATCTGCAGCAGTCCCTTGCTGCCCCTTCTGGTTCGCCTCTCCAAAAGAGACAAGCTAGAGATAAACGGCAGACACTTCAATCAACAGAAAATGCAGTACAACATCGAACTCGTGTGTGCTGAACCCCAAAACCGTTGCCCCCAAGGGGGCTGCGCCGCGGCCCCCCAGTCCGAACACCCGCCAGCCCCATACTATTGCTTGGTTGTTTTGGCAATATTCTTTCTGACTGTTCTTCGGAATATTGGTTGACAGTGAATAGAGCATGCTGTTCTCGCTTTTTCTTGTAGCATTGCATATCTAATTTCATTTGGCGTGCACCCCAAAGGCTCGCAAGACTTGTGCCCCCCACTCGTAATGAGCGAGTTAAGGCTCACCGGTTTTACCTGAGCCTCTATCGATCGGCCTACGACCAGACCTCTGTGTACTTACCAAACAGCTACAGTGCTCTTCGCTAGCTAGTGCGATAAGCTGTAGCCAGCCAAAGGCGAGTTTTCCTCTATAAATAAAGGCGGGTTCGGGGGTGTACGGGCTCTCCGAGTTCCTTGTAGCGGGCTGATCTACTCCTAAACACACTTTACTACAGTATTCATATTTAACTAAGACTTAGGAAAGAATTGAATAAATGGGTCGCTTATTCGTGTCGCTGATATCGTGAAGAGCACTGTTAGCTTGACACAAGACGCAATGCTGTGTGCGTTTGCGGTAGATGCCGTCTCCAAATACCTGTGATTGCTCAAAGTGCTTAGGGAGTGCAGCTGTGCTTGAGCTAGCACAGCGGGGGTCTCCATTGTATGGAGGGTAAGAATCTACCTCTCCAGTCTCATGATTGAGCTTCACATTTGGTGGCACCACATGATTCAACGCAACTCTATCCGCCCTGAGCCAGTGACTGTGGCGAGAGTGGGATCTCGCATTTCAACGTAATGGCTTTCTAGTTTCCTACAAGTCATTTGGTAATACACTGGTTCAATTTTCCTTTGCAAAGGCCTGGCTAAATGCCCTTGGAGATGGTAGTTGACAGTGGTACACCGGCCATTAAGGCGGTAGACACCTGCTATAAAACCGATGTGGACGTGTTATATCCATAGGTGGAGAAAGAGTACGAATTCTTATTGAGTGGAATGTTTATGGAGTTGTCGATGCGGTTATCTCGACCAGGAAAGTGAAAGGAACGTCAGTATAAATCAGTGATCGAGGATTTCGCGGGCCGGCTGGAGATGTTAGCTTGCTCTGTACCATGTAGATGAAGAGAAACGAGTTATTCTTATAGCGCATCAATTGGAGGGAGAAAAACTCCAAAGTTGATTCTGTTTACGAAGAGGGATTCGCCTGCCTGCAGGGAATAATACAGTGTAATCATCTAGACTGTTTCACTACCCGTGACCCATGAGTTAATTCTGCGATCGGTTCAGCAAAATACTTAGGGAAAACTTGAGAAATTTTAGCAGGACAAGCTTTACAAAATTAGCCACTATAATTAAACCCCTAGCTACACGCCGTGCAGTTAGTTGTGCTCCTCTCTACTTCTGCTCCGGTTTACCACTGCACATAAAATTTCTATTCGACTTTGGAACAGTGTTTTCTGAGACGAAAAAGCTGAAGGAACAAGCTAAGAGTTAATTTGAGGTACCAAAGTGCATGTTCTGGGCTTCTAGCAGTTGCGGTATGGGCTGCGTTCCTAATGTGTCTTCCGTTTTACTTGCGTATTGAAAAAGACAATAAGCGTTCATCAGTGTAGACAGCCGAAGGACTTCGGTATTGCTACAAGCAATGATAAGATCCCTAGATGCTCGTAGTCTTGTTGAGAACAACACCCTGCAAGCTCTATTCCCTTGCCGAGCGTAAGGCTGCTCTTGTGGGTCGTACACTGGTGCACCTCTCGTTGCTTTTGCGTTTCAAAGTGTTGAAACAGCGTGCTGTGTGGCAATATTTCTCTTGCCTTTTTTCTTTTACATTATGTGTCACATCAGTTGCGAATTTGGGGGCAAAAGAAGGTTGTCATACTATTTAGTTGTCTGCTATAAGCACAGAGAAGGGAGCCCTTCAGGCTTGGTGTCGGGGATAGGGTAGTGAGTCAGCAGTATTCCAGCAGGCCAAGCAGCTCACGCAGAAAGCCAAAAGTTCAAGGCATCAAGCGACAGTATAGGGACTCGGACGGCCGTAACATCTACAGTGGCCCACGATGGAACTGCACCCGCCATCCCTTGAGCGCCCCCCATCCTATTGTAAGAAGGGATCTTCGGCTAAAAGAAACGACCAGCTATAGCTATTCAGAGCATGAGCTGTGGCTGGAGGCTTGCTTTTGCCAAGGTCTCGCGTTCTACGCTACTGGAGTGTTTTCCAGGAATGGGTGCAACGAATACTTAAGCTGAGCGAGGACTCTACGGGCCTTTATGATCCATCCGGTCACGGATGTCTTGAATGGCGGACTAATAATGATTTTTCAAATAATTCATCTTAAACGCTGTGTATAAATAAGCATAAGATCATCGTCCGTACAAGCTAAAACAAAGACCTTTGTGCCCCATAAAATCTTTCCGTAGGGAGCATTCAACTCCCTCTTCTGTAAAGGATTATTGAGTGTCATTCCAAAATATATTATTCATCGCTGCCCTCAACCTTCGGCGTTTCGGTATGAGGAGGAAACGACAGCAGCTAAATTACGTGTTTTTGGAGCCTCCAAATGCCCCAAAGGTCACACCTAGTTGTGCACAGCGTCAAACGCACATCCACATGATATCGACTCTTCTCGTGTTGAGCTACCGTTTCCCCATAATTGATAGTCTGCAAGCAGCCAAGCCGCACGATAAGTTATTTACCCGCCACACCTCCCATTCCTTCATTCAAAACACACGCTCTCTTATGACACATCTCTATGGATACCAGCTAAGCAAAGGGCATCGGAAGTCACCGCGAAATTGCCACTGCCCAGGCAGGCAGCAATGTGACAAAGGCTAGGTGAAAAACAAAAAGCATACATTAATCCCCAACGGGAGACAGAGGGGAAGAAAGCCGCATAGATTGTCTTGAAAAGGAGAGGGGACCAAAACAACGCAACAACGTCAGCGCATCCGCTCACTAGCTTTAAAAATGGAAGGGCGTGAGCATTCTACTACGAGAAGACAGAAGGGAGCTAGAATATTTAAAGAAAGTCGAAATGCTTACCAGCGTAGTAGTGCCTTACCGTCTCGGAGCGAAAGTTGGCTCACACAGCGTATTTCGTTCGGGTTTCCAGAGGTGCCACAACAGAGAATTTAAAGGCAGCATACATGAGGATTTATACACATAAATCCGAGTGTAGAGAGCATCTTGGTAGTAATCAGAGCTTTTCAAGCGGTACTGACAAAATATAGGACAGTGCGAGTAGCGAAGAGACTGGAAGACCGCTCAGACGCGTCCTTGCTGCTGCATCGGCTATCCTTCATCTCACGGGCTACAACTTTTTTGAACCAATCAACGAAGCAGCGCTTCAAGGAAAACTAGGACTAATCTTGAACCAGTAAAATGCAAACCCACAGGACTTATGAACACCCTTACGGGTGCGTAAAGGTAAAGGCCACGGTTTCATTGCTTCGATCGATGCCAGTTCCGATTCGAATTCCGCAACCGAAACGCAGAGCCCTAGAGACACGATTCTTTTACAAACAACTGTTTAAGCCCTTCCATATATAACTGATGACTCCACAGCCGCTGCTGTACACCGTAGTTGCTGTATGTGCTCTTGAACATTTCGGCTAGACACTTAGAACTCGTCCATGCAGATAGCCAAGCACCCTCCTTGGGAAGGCTCACACGCACCTCGAAAAAAATATATGCCTGCGGCACTTCGAAGTCCAGACAACATACAGGCATACTGGAGTGCAAGCTAAACGCCACTAATTTGTGCCTTCTGTCTGGGTGAATGGGGATTTCTTAGAAGGGGTATGTGAAATCAACTATCCAAATGTTGGTCATGTAGGCTGCCAAGTAGTCTACCGATATGGCACATCAAGAGCTTCTCATCCACAGTCTTCTTGTTCAAAGGCCAAATGTTCACATGCGGGTGCTACCTTCTATATCTTCTGGCACCTACACCCGTGTGTGGACACAGGTGCTGGTCGATTCCCGCACGCTGCCCTATCCATCATATTATGCTCCTGACGCTCAAACGCCTCTCCACTGTGACAGTGCTTCCAATACAGTGGAACAAAGCTTGGTGCTGATACGAAAATTAACTCAAAATGGTGCGCTGGATGAATAGCAATTGGGCAGCCTGCTCACAACTCTTCATCAACTAATCCATTCGCGAACTCCCTGATAATTGCCGGTCCCTCCTGTTCCTCAGCTAAACCTTCAGTCGCATCATTCGTGATGAACGTGTTCCAAATACACGCTCAGAACCGTTTTCTCCTACTTTCCTGCAATGACGCAAGCCTGAAGACGCTGTCTCACTACGGCATCGACTCTATCTCGCTCATCATCGATAAAGTACGCGCTGTTGAGAGTACTGAAAGCTGCTGCTTCTCAGCTCTTTCTAGCACACTAAATCTTACTGCGCGCAGCTGTGGCTGCATGCACGCCTTCCCCTGAGTCACCCTTCGCATGCCCTGGATCAAGCCATGGAGGGCCTGTCCAACATAGAAGCCACAGCCATGCTGATAGGGCCCAACAGGGACTTGAACGGCGCGTGGGCGCCGCAGCCTTGCCAGTAATTTCGTCCTTCCGCCCCTCAGCTAACTTGAGCATTGGGGCCGGTGCTCACGAACGGGCAAGCAGATTGCCCATCTGCGCCGTTTCCTCGGATATCATACCAGCTTCACATTTAGTGTCGAGTAGCGGCACTTTCTTTCGAGCATTTTGTTATGAGCGTAAATCAGCGCAGCATTGGCTCTCTGGTGGGCTCTTAACGACTGCTCGATCTTTTGTAGCCCCCTTCGATGCGCTGCAGCCTCGGTAGGGGGCTTGCTGTTTATCTGATGTGTCTTCTGTATTCTCCAAGAAGCCTGTTTCGGCTAGGCATAGCTCCGCTGCTCAAGATCTTTGGCGTGTTTGCTTGCGTCGTTGGAGAGCTCTCGTAAGCTGCTTAGAGAATGGGCTTCCTCTGGCTTCCCAGCCAATGCACCGGATTGTTGGCTATGGCTATAGACATGACTCCGATATCTATAGGCTCTGCATCCCAATTTCTTCCAGCTTTCTCAGGTGTGGACGCAGAACATCTGCTTAATTGCTGCTGCATCTCAAGTACTCCAACATTTTTAACAGTCCGACCTGTCGGTTGCATAATGGCTAACTCGCTGCTGAGCCTGCGCCTCCACGAAGAGACAACTCGGGAAGACTTGTGAGAAGCCACATAATAACTTAGAAAGCAGCTGTCGGACTGTTTGGCGAGTCAACATTTTATTGTGCTTGAAGGACCGATCTATGGAGATATCTCTCTGCCTAAGCCTTCCAAGCTCCTTCGAGCCTTGCTCTTTGGCCAATCACGCCGTTGATCAACGAGTTTAAGCTTTTATGGAGGCTTGACTGTAACAATCCCTGCAGGCAAATGGCTTTGCCTGGACGGATAAAGCCATATTTGGAGTGCCTCTATCTGGATAAGCATACCGCAAGGAGCAGTCATTCTCTTCATCTGGGGGTAAGAGGCGAAGTACAAATCCAACCGACTGAGTGCTTGCTCATCCTCGTGGGCAGCATACTGGTATGGTCGACCTAGACTTATTGGAGCATTCACACATGTTTTGTCGGTTGACAACCCATGCCTTTCTACCAGCTGTTACGCTACTGCGTTCACATTAGCTGGCTAGCCTGCGTCTGTTGCTTAAATAGTCAATGTGCCAGTATCAACTTTCACGGGCATGAAAATCTTAATTGCTTGCTGTAAAATGAGCAAAAATATTAAGGTACTAGGTGAATTGAATGACATCGGGCAACTCTGCGCCGCTGAGCAGGAAAGCTGTGCCAAATTACACCGTGCTCCCAAATGTGACGACCCATCTGTTTCCCTAGGTTAGAAATTGACTCCAGATTCAGTACATATCTAGTAGGTAGTCAGCGAGTATTTTCGAGAAAGCTTTCTTCTTCTGAGCATTCCCCACAGATTTTCGACCTGAGGGAATAGCGACAGCTAGAGCGTGGGCTGCTGCACCCTCTTCGCAGTCCAAATATTCATGGCTAGCTGCACATAGCACCTAGCGCACAGTAAAGCAACGTTGATTCTTAGCGAGTAAAAGTTCCTCTGCTGAACGAACAGCCCAACCGCATAGTCACCTATTGACTGATTGACTAAATAGAACACGTAAAATGTGGCTTGTGTGTAGCTTCTTTGCCTGTCACACACTCAATTTCACAAAGTAGCTTGGTGCGCAGGTATGCTATGCCCACTCTTTTACCATTGTGCTAAACCAACTAGCGAAAAGTATCACATGCTGACCGGCAATCCCATTAGTCACAAACCTATTTCCGACAAGCTCCGCAGAAAACACAACCTGACCCGTTATCATCTGCCGGTGTGAGCGACATGTATACGTGTACCGCGCAAATGGGCAGTCCTTTTTCAATCAAGCCTCCACATAGGTATACGCAGACAAAAGGTTAAATTCGCCGAAATACGCTTGCTGCCCTTCAAAGTCCACCCTCAATTTCAAAGGACCTATCCCTCGTGGGAAGGTGCGTTGTTCCTACCCCACCTTTGCGCGGCCGCTAAACGAGAAGCTTGCAAGGGCAGCCTAGGAGGGCCCGTCCTAGCTACAACGAGCTCTAGCCAGCGCCCTCAAACTGGGTTCTCCAGTGAGGCACCACACGAGGGTGAGTATGAACGGGATCAAGGACAAAATATACACAGATAATATGTACAAACGCATATATCTGTAGGCGTTGTTAATTCTAGGAGACATTTACATGAGAAACAAGGGGAGGGGGACGACCTGCCTTTAAGGGAACCTCAATTGGATTGTGAGTCCCCACTAACTACAAACAGTGTGAGTGTTCGGGTATATGCGTACGGATGTACAGATGAATCGAGCAATAAATACATGCATTTTTTTGTTGATATAGGCCATAGAAATGCAGAAGGCTTAACGTATGCCTCTGCGCTGCTTGCTTCTATGGATTTGTATTAGCTGCATTCAAGGCCTCTCGCCAAACCAGCTAAATTGGGGCGGGGAAAAGAGTCTTCACAAACTGTAGGCAGATAGCTGCTTGGCGAAGGTTTGCGTCAGTGTTCAAATCTACGGATCGAACACTCTCTACCGGTGCGCGCGCATACGCATACATCTTCAGAGGCGTACGTTGTATATCCCAGCCGAGCAAAGCAGCGAGACAGGAACAAACTCGCTACAATGCTCTCTAGAGCCTGCTGGTGCACCATACAGACCGCAGCTGTTCATACACCCCAAAATCGAAAGCTGCCTCACATAAAAAATCCTCCCCCGCCTGCACCCGATCCTCCAAAAGGGTTGGTTGGAGGACCTCTTCCATACGGCCCCAGTGGGGCCCCGCCAAAGGGGTGCCCCCGAGGACCAGGGCCCCCAGGACCCTCATATGGAAGAAGTGGCGTATGATCTGGGGAAGGCTCTGTACCTAGGGGGCCCATCGGATCGTACCGGGCCCCAGGTGGGAGCGGACCGCCCCCCCTGCAAACAAAAAGGCACATAAAGTGCGTTTTCTCCGTGCACAGGGTTTCAGCACATGCAGGGTTAAGGCCAGAGGGGCCCTGAGTTATGAATATCCATTTAGCATCTAAAGGGCACTCACCTGCTTGCATCCCCCTCTAATCCGAAGATTGGATGGCCAGGGCCCACCAGGCTACCACCGCCCCCTCCCGAACCCCAAGGGACCCCTGTGGATCCATCCAGGCCTCGAGGATCCAATGAAGGCCTGATGTCATCCGAGCCAACAGAGGGAAGGCCTCCCGTGTAGGCAGAGGGAGGAGCTCGCGACGGCACAAGGCTTCCAGGTCCCCCGCCCTGCGTGCGCAAGAAATCATTACGAAGCAAGCGAAAATGCGCATGTGCAACTCACATATATAAAACTCCTAGTTACAGCTACACAGAAACTGCGAAAAACCAAAAGGTGCCACGAAGTCCTTCGGCAGATTTGAGAAGTGATGTGCTCAGATTCATGCGTAGGCCCGTCCTTACCCTCGAGATGGATACACCACTTGCGCTAGGAGTTCCCTGAGCGGAGGTAGCCAGGGGGCCCCAGTGAGGCAGTGGCGCTAATCTCTCATGCAGGAGGGATTCAAGAGACTGCAGCAGAACCATCGCATCGTTATGACCTTACGCATTGACACTTGAAACCTAAATTCTAAACACTACCATGAACAAGCAAAGCCGTTGGCACAAATTATCGGCTTCAATCTGCAAATCCTCAGGGCCTAGATCCTCAAAATATCTAGCCCGGCGCGTTTACCTTGAGCTTTTCCACATCGAACTCCAATAGGGGGTCTCGCGTGCTTGCTGAATTCCTCCCTACTGCTGTAGCTGCATCTGCTACTGCCAGATCGTGCGGTAACTCCAATAGGACAGCTGTATTGCTGTTGGCGTTAAGGTCAGCCCTTAGCACAGCACGTCCCCCGACTCTCCCGAGACTTAGCCGGATACGCTTGCCTGCCACCAGCTGCTGCTGCCCCTGGTCAAGGGCGAACACGCGCCATTCTGGTCGGGTAAACGTGCAGCTCCACCCATCCCCTCTGTCCTCTCCCGTAGGAGCGTACATTACTCTTGCAATATGACCATCGGGTAGCATCACGAGGCTCCCTGGTTTTGTTGAAGTTGTTCCTGCTAGAGTTGTATCGTCCTCACACGGTAAAAAACCCAGGTCGGTCATTTTGGAATGTACGTATAGCTCAAGAGCCCTCTGACCCGTTAATGGGCCCGGAAGGAGCCGAACGAGCTCAACAAATGTAGGGGTTATCCCTGGAGGGCCCCCAGAAGGACTTAGGGGCCCCTGGGGAGGTGCACCTCCTAAGGACGCGCGGGAGGCCCCTTGCCTATGGGCCTCAGCCTCAGTGGCAGACACCGCATCGCCTTTTGATGTCGGCATCTGTCTGTGGAAACCTCGGATTACCTTTGGCGCTGCTGCTTTTCGCACTTACGGCAGGCTAGTGTTGTTGCCGCATATGCCGGGGGTGTGGCGGCTAGTTTCGTGTATGGGCGTCAGTAGTCCCTCATGAAGTAAATCCCTCATCAAATCTTCTCGAAAACCCCACTTTTAACCAAAAACCCCGCCGTAGAGCCCTGGATGCCAGCGCTCTGCACGACTGCGGCGGCAGGTCTGTCTTCTGCCTAGCAAGTAGGCTTCTTGGGAGCTGGTGAAGCGTACACACAGCTGCACAGTGCAATAAAGAGAGGAACAAAGAACCACTGCCCCATTGAATGGTAACCGGAGAAAGAATGGAAGCCTTTGAGAGTAGTGATACCGAACAGCATAAAAAGGTGTGGGACGGGGCCTGCAGCCACTGCTACTTGCGCTGCTGATTGTGGAGTGCGCAAAGACAGCACTTTCCTTCACTGGTAAATGCACACGACTTAAGCATCTAACAAGGAAACCTGATGTGTGAGGGAGCGTGAACCTCTGCCAATAGGGTCCAAGGCTGAGGGCCTCCATCCCGCCCGCAGACAGAGCCTATACAAAGAGGCACACAGAGGAGAGATTACAATGGTGATTAACCATTTTATTGTTTGACAGATCTATGCAATGGCCTCTACACCTAGAGCACAAGAGTGCCCCATTTTTTAAGTGACCACACCGAGCTCGTCTCCTGCCACTTACAGAAAGTCCCTGAAGGGCCATCGGTTTTCAAAGGGCTGTTCCAGGACTCAGCATGAGATAAGAGCTTGTATTCGCGTCACTTCTTCCCCCAGAAGCCCTAGGATACAGCAGTCCTCTGTTTAGAAACTGGAAGGCGTAGCTTCAGCTTGCACTCATGCCATCATAACAACCCCTGCAGTGTTTGTTCTTTTGTCCACACAGCTCATATGGATTCAGACCGAAGCAAGTCAAGGCTACTGTAGTCTAATGGGATGGGTAACGCTTCATCTGAGATCCCAGTAGGGTGATGCTTCATTCCAGGACCAGAATCTACATATAAAAAGGTTACTGGGGATTTCGGGAAGCTTTCGACTTCCGCTTTCCGTGCTTCTTCCACTTTTGGGGACCTGGCCAGGAAGACAGCTAGAGTGCGCGTAGCTGTACCCTGTAACCACTTCGAGTACTCACAGGTGGTTGTACATAGCCCCTTGCAGATAGGCACACAACATCGTGTCTTGTTGTATTGTGCTAACACTACTCTGCAATAAATAAGGTGGACGATCCGCTAAACCAGCTAACCAATTATTGCTAAGTTTTAGTTTAAAGGTATCTAGACATGTAGAAAGCACCGCAGTATATCTTGCCCCACCACACGGTCTTCACACTGATCATGCAGGAAAATTGTAAAGCTTACAAGCGCATATGGCCTAGAATGTAAGGTCAATAGAATAGTAGTGACGTCTAGGCTCTTATGTCCGGGCAGCATGCCAAACGTATGGTTCGGAATCGAGTTAGGGTCGCCGATCAATTTGAGCACATCCCCTAGAGTTGATACGTGGGCACAGATCCTAGCACTGCATGCAAGAGTATTGTTAGCAGTTCTGAAGCCCCAACCCGCATTGCCCCGAAAAACTCCGAACCCTCCAAGGGAGGGCAAAGGCTTTACATGGCTCCACAGCCGGATGCAAGCGATTGCTAACAGCAGCGGAGTCGCCAGCCGTTGTAGCACAAACTTGCAGGCTGTTAATGCCACAACACCAAATAGCCAAATCTGTTACTGGGACTGTTGCAGCAGCTGCTGTTGTTACTACGTCGGACGCTACTAGATGCGCAAATCCTTTCACGCAACTCCGAAACGCTGCTAATCCTCCAGCTGCTAAACTTCATGCTGCCAATGCTGCTAGAAGCGAAGAGGCTACCATAAGAGCCTGATGTTTTTTACCGTCTTTAGCTACTGCTTCACGAAATTGATGCTTTTCGAAGGCTTAAAGTTCAGCCAGTGACGCCAGGTGCGAGCTCAGGTGAAGGCTTTTCATTACGGATAGCCACAAAGTGAAGGCAGTGGTACTGCACCTAACGAAACACAGCGCAGGCTCTGAGGAGGTTGGGTTTTGCCACATGCTTGACTTGAAGGCTTCCAAGCAATGAAAATTGGCCGCAGGAGGATACATGATTTCCCTGTGGATAAGTAAGAGACCACAGGGTTCGCGGTGCGGGATTTATTCTATACGGCTTACCTGCATCATGGACTTGTTGTTTGACGTATAGTAGCAGTCACGCCACTCCACCTTCAACAAGTTAAACCAGTTCTTGATCACTGAGCACCGCAAGTTGCAGACCCTACATCCTAGAGGTCAGAGAGAGTGAGCAAAGAAAGCTGTGTTTGCTCGCTGTGTCTTCAAATCGGTTGGGGTAGAGGCGAGTTATTTGCCGGTGGCTTATTTTCGAGTGCAAAAAAGGATGTTAGTTCTTGACATCTTATTCAGGGCTTTGTGAAGATAAAACGGGTGTGATTTACCTCTAAGTATCTCTTCGGCTGAAAACTCTACGCTCATCTCATGAGGCATCTCGGCGTAGTGGTAGAGGAGGGGCCCCACATTGGCCCACAACCCCCCCGGCCGAACAATCTTTGCGATTGTTTTAATATACACCAGAACATTTCGCGCAGTATCCAAAAAGAAGGAAGTCAAGACCCCGTCAAATACACGTGCAGAGGCCGGTACAGAGTTCGATGGGCTTCCGTACACCTGTTCAGGCGGAAACACCATAAATCCACGCCCTGTGTTCAATGCCGTTCATCTCTACGCGCTACCCACTGACTCTTGCAATAGTCGGCATGATTCAATACATTCTTAGCCCCATAATCTGACTGAGAGCTCGTGCGGCTGCATACCTCCACAAATTCTCCCGCGCACATGGAGAAGTCAGCAGATGGAGCGACGTGTTCGCTGGGTGCGACATCCGGTACCCAAACAACGTCAAGATGGTCAGATTCGCATCGCCTATGGCAGAGACGAGACAGATGCAACGGGAGAAGAGGAGTGTTGGATGATCAAGGAGATATTAAATGACAGGCAGATAGAAATAGCAAACATGGAAGTACACAATGGGCTTGGAAGGGAAATAATTAGGCAACCAAGGAGACCTGAAGGAGCAACGAGAAAGCTCTAGGCCCAACGAACTTGGGGACCCCGGGAAGAGGGGGATGAGTAAAAGCGAAGTCATAAGGGAGCAGGAATGCAAACAAGACATGACCAGGCAATGAGAGAGTAATTATCTCCACAAAGTCAAATGACGGCATCTGGTAAAAGCTCCAGCGAAACACAGATGCACACCCCACTTACACGCAGCATTGACCACAACCCATAGTACGTCGCAAGCATGCACGAGAATTTCATGGCGCTATCCGGCAAGGGCTAGCAGCGTAGGCTTGCCTGTTTGAGGTCGAAAGACAGTAGGGCTGCAACGGTAGAGACTTGGGACTCAGCCGTGAGTTCAAGAGGAAGTCGGATCCTGAGACACCAAAGCGGCAAGCACGAGAGCAGAGATGCCTTAGTGAAAACATTAACGAAATAGCAATATCACAAAAATTGCACCTGTAGAATGCGGCAGCAAAGCTAGCAGAACTCAAGTGCCAGGACAGAGAAAGATATCGGGGTCGAGATGGGCCGCCGATTTCAGGACGAACGGCACTGCGTTACAGCGTGGGTGCGGAACCGTTATAAAAGGAGACGAGTGGGGGCAGACCAGATATAAGTAGACCAAACCTAAATACGGTGTGATGGTTAAACATGCAGGAGAATGGGTGGTAAAGAGGAAGAGTGAGGCAAGCAGACAGACAACGACGGAGAACGGTGAGACAGATAAAGTGGTGCTGCTCGACTAAGGCGAACGAGGAGATGCGTTGCGAGGCCTCATATCCACCGGATCACGCAAATGCAGACAGACGAGGAAACGTATTGCTATCAAAGTCGTGGGCAGCAGACGTCGCATCAGGATCTAGAGTATTACCGATGAGCATGAAATAGGAGAACTCATTGCCTTGGCAAGAGTAACCGCGCCGCATCACCTCAAACGGCAAGCGACCCAAACCCGATCCAGGGCATAAAATTCTGCAGCAAACACCGAAAATACCCGAACCTGTAGACGTTTCTAGAGAGCTGCTATCACATGTGCTAACTCGGGATCCAAATAAACCCAAGGCTCTAGAGCATAAAAGTAGCTTTTTGCAGCTGTTCCTGTATATCTCTAGAGGGTGCTCAATAAGGCTAGAGGGAGTATTGAAGCATAGACCACAAGCCTTGCCTAGGTGGATCTTTGTCCGGTGTAATTGGTAAGTGCTCCTCAAGGGCCCTGAGCAAGGGCCCATACGCTGCCTCTCGCTCCTCTGAACCCTCTTCTGCCCAGTCCCGCACAAATTGACGCAGTGTACTGCGCACCTGCAGCCGCAATAGCAACAGCAGCAGAAGCGTCAGCTGTGGAAAAATCATGAAGGCAGCTGAAAAGCAAGCCGCGTCGTCAGCAGAAGACAGCACAGCACCAGCTGCACCCAAAACCGATGAATATCAGGGGCGGCACTAGGCCACAGGCTCTGCAGCAGAAACAACAGAAGACACACTTTGCTTAGATTCCGTGTCAGCTTTTCTGGGTCGTCTTGCTCGGCTTCCAGCAGCAGACGGCGGCTTTCAGTACTGCTGCTGCTGCAACAACCGCTACACTGTCTTTCTTCCCCTTGTTGGCTATTTCGATTGTGTTGGCTCTGCTCCTCCAGCCTCTGCTGTTGCTGCTGCAGCTTCTTGCGCCTCCTCTTGCGATTCAGCTGTTGTCCCTTGTTTTGTTTGACTTGCTGCTTATTTGCCTGCTGTTGCTGCAATTGCTGCTGCACTTGCTGCATTTGTTGCCTGTGCTGGTCTGTGTCAGAAAACGCCTCCGATCCCTCATGAGGTGTGCATGGGCCTACATAGGCAGCAGCAAGAAGCATGATATCAATAAACTGCTGATTTACACCCACTGCTTGCTTGATAGCCGCCACGCGCTCCTCCGGGCTTGGGGGCCCCAGCAACTGTCTGTCCTCCTCGCTGAGAGACAATAGGTGCTTCTCTATCCGAGCAACATCACATAGAGAGTCTGCCTCGTACAGGGAGAAGGCCCTCCGTACAGATTCCAAGTGCCGCAGCTCTTCTGCCACTTCCCAAGGCTGCATTGAGCCCCCGGGGAGGCCCATGGGGTGATGCACCGCAGAATCTCCAGAAACACCGTCTGCGATACCCTCGGAGAGATTCTCTTGGCAACACCCCAAAGAGCCAATACAAGGTGGGGAATTGCTGGACGAAGAGGAGGCGTCCCTATCGGGATATTTAGGAGCTGCAGGGGTCTCGGGAGATGAGCACGAAGACGCCGTCTCCAGAGAGAGTGGAAAGGGGGCACATGGTGATGGAGACACCGCTGCAGTGCCAAAATGAGGCCCTACCAGGGGGCCCCTTGGGGCACCCCCAGTTGGTTCCCCCAAAGGTATCCCAAAGGGGGCCTCTGCAGAGCCATAGCTGGCGCCGGAGGGGCCCCTACGCCCGTTGGTACCCCCTCCTCGTGGCTTTCCCATCCTGCTCCTCTTATTGTCGCTATTGCTTTTCGCACGGCTAGTGATTCTATTATCCTGAACGCTACTACCAAGTTTGCTCCTGCCGTTGCTCCTGTTGCAATCACCACTCCGAACTCTTTGCGGTGGGCGCTGAACACCTGTTGAGTCAACGCAAAGAAACGCACTCACGCCTTGCCAATTTTTGTCGTGAGTCAGGCAGCTCCTCTAAAAATCGTAGTGAGGGCCCCAACGGCCGTAACTGCTGTGGCTTTGCAGTGGGAAGAGGCCTCCTTGGGGGCCCCCCAGGTGAGGAGAGGCGCTCGTAATGTATAATGGAGAGGAGCAACAAGCACAGGATCTACTTGGAGAATGCTGGGCTGGAAAGCTCAAGCCCTATACCCTAAGCCCTCAGGAGGATTGAGAGGACAGTCGCGCCGCTGCTGGCTGGAAGCAGCCGCTTGAGTCTGTGGTAGCGGGGGTTGGCAAAGAAATTTGTTTGAAATATTTGGTTTAAGACAATCAAGAAGAGAAAACAGGATGTAGAGACAGTTGTTTCTCGGTGTTTTATGCACTGGTGCGGCAGTTGTTGCTGCAGCTGTGCTTGTAAGTATCCTGCATCGGAGTGTCACTGTGGCAGCAGCTGCTCCCCCTGAGAGCCCAGTAATAAACTTTATTCACTTAAAGCATACAATACCTTCAATAAAATACGAAGACGTGCCTGACATGACGACCTAAGGCCCTAAACGTGTTTGTGTGGAAAGACACTTTACAGCGCAGCACCAGCGGTCGGCAGCTCCCGCACTACAGAATACACGAAAACCTTTTGCTCTAACTTAATTCTTCTGGGGTCAGTACCTTGACGCTTGCTCAAGATACAGCATGATGTGCGGCCCAAAGGGGTTCGCATGGCTCCCCCTTTGGTTCGCCTTCATAGCGGCTGGCCCCTGGTATGGCCTTCAAAGGGATTTTCTGAGTGTAGAGGGCCTTCCCCTGCAAGATGACGAAGAACCATTCCCCTGGGAATGGGGAGGCACTCGGTCTGCCATGTGCGAGGCATGTCAGGCTGTAGCCGAACTGTTGTCTTGCAGCAGTCGCACCACAAGCGGCGGCATTAGTAGCCCATGCTATAATACCTTACCGTACCTTTCAAAAGGAACCAAGAGAGATCCAGCGCTGCTTATCCTGGAGAATGAGAAAGATAATGACCCAATTAAGTGGCTGCAGCGCCGCCAGCTGCTAATCTGCGACGGGGGCCTTGTTGATTACTATGCCCGTTCGTCTCTCACCTGCGCCCTATAAGCGTCTCCAATTTTTCTGTATCTCTTCCTTCGTAAATTTGTGTGTATGCATGCGTCATTGCTTCCTGTATAGTCACTCTCACGTTTTTGGCACCCGTTTACTCCCTCCGTCTTTTGCCCCAGTGCCAGCTCTCATCTTGCGGGCCTCCCTTGAAGTGCCTTTTAGCTTGCCTCTCGGCTACAAGTACTGCCCACCTTTGACTCTGTGCTTTTTGTAGCTACTCTCTGTGCTGCCTCTGTTGGCACTCATGAGATAATTCACTGCTTTAGCCCTGTGTTGCAGGTGTAGGCCACCTGCCCAGAATCACTGTTGCTTTAAACTTGGGTGTTCTAAAGAGAGTTGAACCCTCACTGCTGCTGCTTGGCTCTCGGTGCTGGTGTTACTGTAGAACAAACGGAAACAATCCACGAGGCCACATTGGCTGCAGCCTGTGGGGATATCTTTAAAGAGAGAGGCGACCAAATACTGCATCTTTTTTACCATCAGGAGCACCCGCGTGCAATAGGGACAGGAGATTCGGTTGCAATAGCAGCGTCTAACAAGGGGGAAGCAGCAGCAGCTTTGTGCCTCCCCTCGCCGTGTGCCTCTCTGTGGGGAGAAGGTGATGCACCAGCGCTGCGTCCTTCTCGGTCCTCTCGTAGTCTAAGAGACTCATTGCTGTTCCTCTCCCTGAATCAGCAAACCCCCGGCACAGAAACACTGCCATCTGGTCTGCAACTTCGGTGGCTGCACAGACGGCCAGAGGCGCAGCCAGAGCAGACTGTGAAAGGGTGCGGCCCCCGTCTGTTTGCTGTTGCTGGTTTACCCATTGTTGCTGCTGCACTAGACACGGCACGTGAAGCATTCGCTTCAAAATTCGGTGGCATCCTCTTTCCATGCCGTCCAAGTATATTCTCGATATAAAGACGACGACCGCAGCAGCAACACGACTGCTTATTTGTTTACAGAATGTCCCCATGCGATACTTTGGCGTTCTCCCTCGAAGCAATGCTCAAAGATGGAACCATTCTCTTCAGCACTCGCAAATCCGTACGACTTGTCTCCGCCCCTGTTGTCCTCATGTATCTGAGTGCCTGTGAGTAAAGCATCACCTTACTGTGGGCTATGCGGCAGTTCGTGGTCGCTTAGCTGCTTCGACTGCCAACAATACAGCTGCTCTGAAGGCAGCTACTCCCAGTATTGTTAAGACTTTTGCTATTCGTAATGTCATTGATGATGCAGGGTCGTTTCTGGCGTTCCCCACGTTATGCACTGCCCTTGGGTTGGCGCGAGGCAGCCGCCCTTATGAGGCTCCAAGAAGTGGTGCAACTGTTTCTCTCTCCGCAGCTCGCCTATGGGGCAAAAGGATTTAATGGATTTTGTCAGTCAAAGGCGCTTGCTCTTTGTCGTCTGGTGCCCTTTCTGGTGTTCCTAGTGTATCGACATGTGTGACCTATCGTCAACACTGAATCTAGGGCCGGGTGTCTGCCTTTCGTTTATTTACCGCCCTCTATTACCAGTACTCGTGTCATATCGCCGGTGCTGCCGCTGTTACCTCTGCAACCAAGAGACTGTCTTTTAAAGAGCTTAATTGTAATCACGCTGGGTGTGTGTGTCGCCACTTTCTTTCTCTGCTTGAATCTTCCTGCTTTCTTTCCAATGCACCCCTTTTCATCCGTTTTGCTCAGTCGCCTTCTGTCTCTTTCCCTTCTTCCCTTGCTTTTTTCCATAATAGCTTTGAGACCGTCAGATCCCTGGGGTCCCTGCACACTACATAGCTGTAGCAGGAATGTGCCTCATTAATAGAGCATGCTGTGTGTTGGACTCTCCATTCAGACAAGCCTGTGGGCCCATTTGCTGCCCTACTGCTGCAGCTGCGGCTTGAAGGGGTAAACTCCTTTCGTGGCTCTGCTCCTGAATGCACTGCACTTGCTGCTGCTGCTGATGCTGCATACGCAGCATCAGCAGCAGCAACAAAGCAAGCTCAAATGGCTCTGCATGACCAGCTGAGAGATGAGTTCTGAATAATAGTCGCAGCTGGATGGTCATTATTTGGATAAGCACAGAACCCAACAGCAGCATTCGAATCAGAACCAGTAGCGGTACTGACGCTGGGGTCAGGAAGAGACACAACAGCTGATATGAAGATCTGCTCTTTGGTACTGAAATATGCCGAAGTGGACAAGGCGGACGAGAAAGAGGCTCTGGGCAGTCGCCTTGGAAAGGGAGCAAGGAAGATATCTTCTCATCAAACAGCGAATCCCCATGCATATCGGTCTCGTACCCTAGGACAGATATCTCTTCTTTATTGCGTAATTAAGCAACATATTTTTGCAGTGGACACGTAATCGCCTACACGCTTGAAAACCTCTATCTGTTAAACTGACTCCATATGCTCCAATATGAAAAGCACGGACTTCTGGTACTCTTCTCTACTCCGCAACTGGTAGAGCTACGCAATTACTCAAAAATAGAGAGCACAATATGTATAGCTAGAAATCAGCAAAAGCTACAAACTGTCGTGGATTGTGGCAGCAGTCAAAGGGTGGGAGTAACTGGGCTAGAGTGCAGGGGAGCTCTCATGGGGATTTATCAAAGAAAAAAAGACGCTTATACAAAGACACGTTCAAAGCAAAAGAATTTCAAGCTGCAGAGCTGTTTGAAAGAACTTAGCAGAAAACCCGGGTTATACATCCGTTAGATCGAGAGTAGAAAGGCCCCCCACCATCAGCAGGTTCTCTGGAGTGAACGTACATACTCTGAATGCAAGTGCACGCCCGTACAAGCACTGCAACAGCTTTAACTCGTCGACTTCACCCAAAGATGGCGCCGTGCCTTGAGATCCTAAACCAGGGGAATCGGGTACTTCCTGAAGACGACGGCCTTCCCCTCCGCGAGATGCTGTAGCACAGAGCGCATCATAGACAACCAGTACAACTGGTACTTGGACTGGATCTATTTCTGCACTTCTCGTTACAAATCGCTTTGATGCTGCATATGAGGGCTCCTACCAGCTGCAGTGTCCCAGAGTAAAACTCTGCCATCCCCCGTGGTTCCCGCAAGAAGAGAGGAATTGTAGCAGAAGGAAAGAGCCGTTGCATGCGTTTCTGAGGCTGCTGCTGCTGCTGCTGCGCTACTGCAGCCCTCAGCAGCAAACGCGGCAGCAGCCGCAGCATGCACAGCAGGAAGCCCCGCAAAGGCCCTTGAGATGAGGCAACCGGAGGGAATATCCCACACATAGATGTGGCCCATCTTGTCTGCAGCAAGCACGCCCGAAAAGCTTAATTGCAAGCTCTTTACCCCAGCCATACACAACAAAAGAGACGAAAAAGGCTCTTAAAAGGCCGGCATGTGCCGCCCTAGTGGCGCGAATTCCTAGAACCCTCGTTTTCTGACCTGCCGCTGCAGCCAAGCGTCCGTTGGGGGATGCCGTGAGCGCGGAGGCTTCTCCGTTCAGGCTGCTGGTGTGATAACTTTTGCTGCTGAGTGCTGTCCGCCCTGCTGCGCTGAGAAGCCGAGGATCTAAGGGCCACCGCAGGGTGCCATCCACTTGGCTAATTTCTGCTCCCACTGCTGCCGACGCAGCCCTTGCTGCGGCTGCGCCACTCCCCCTGTCTCCCTCGAGATGAGAAGGAAGGGGGCCAGCAGCAGTGGGAAGCTCCCACGTTCTAACGGCGTCTGCAGCCCGTAAGTCGAAAACTCGGACAACTCCATCGGAAGCGGCTGTTAGCAGCAGGGAGGAATTCGGGTGCATGTAGACATGAGGCACGTCAGTTGCTGCCCCTGGATGTTGCAGCAGCCGCAGGGGGGACGACCGGGAGGTGCACCACAAGCGAGCCAAGTTGTCGCCGCTTCCAGAAGCAAAGTAATGCCTGCGGCATAAGCGAATTGGCCACCAGTGAGCGTAAAGAGGTCAAAATTTAGACAGCTATCACAAGGCTCGAGCAACGGCTCCTGGGACTTGTATAGGGCTCACGCAAAGACTTACCCCAGGGGACTGGCAGAAAGGCTCCAAAGGGGGGCAGCAGCTCCTCTATACTGGCATAGCGGTAGAAGATGCGGGTCCTGCTTCCTGCGCCTGCCTACTCCCTCTTCTTCCTCTCCCTCACTGTCTGAGACAGCACTGCCTTGCTGCTGCACTTCGCGGGAATAAGGAGTAGGCCACAGGCGAATGACAGCATCGCTCCCCCCGGTGAGGAGGCAGCGGTCCCCTGCTTCAGCGAAAGTCAACGCTAAGACTCTCCCTTCATGCCCTATCAGCTTATAGCAGCACTTGCTGCTGCCGAGGTTGCTCTTTGCCTTGGAGGGCGACCCGTCCTCATCCATGACCTCGCGAGTCGAAGCAGCGTCATCTGCTGATGCAGTTTCGCCGTTGCTGCTGCTGTTGCTCTTTCCAGCCTTCAGAGCCTTTGCCTCCTCGCGCTGCACAAAACGGACCAGAGGCAGCATGCATTAGATGCAGCTAATGAGGGGCACAAAAGTAAAACATCGACAGCGGCCGCATCACTCGAAAGGCGCAACCGATAACATGGGACCATCTGCCAAAATGGCAACACGCAATGTGGCGAGGGCGCTGGGACTGTAGCAGCTCTAGCTGCCACTGCCCTAGTAGACGCAAGAAGAGGAAACTGAAGCGGCAGCAACAGCAGCAGCATACCGGTTCGTGTGCTAAGTCCCAGAGAAGGATATGGCCGACGCCACCCATCGCAGCGAATCGTGGCTTCTGTCTGCCGAGAGCGACGCTGCAAGTCTCCTGCTGCGAGTTCATGAAGGTGTAGCAGCAAACTGATGGCAGCTGTGTCGGACTCAACGGTGCCTGCAATAGCATCAAAACAGGCAGAGCAACATGGAGCGCACATAGCTCAGCAGCCGCATGCCTTGGGCTGCTGCAGTAATGAAAACGTGTATACTGACTGCCAGAGGAAAAAGCGGCGACCCAGACATTGCAGCACTTTGTGACAGCTGCATGAACGGGTACAGCAGGACCCAACAAAATAACTTCTCACTCGCGCTTCAGCCTGTGACTTGAGCTGTTTCCGCAGCAACAGAAACGCCTCAGTGGAAGCCTCCGGTAGAGGGAGTAAACAGCGAGCCTCCACCAACTCAGACTCCCGCAGGGCCTCCTGGCCGACGACGCGGACCCTCTAATAGCGAAAGGAGACACACACGAGACGAGAGGAAGAAGGGGGATGCTGATGTAAGCCGCAGAGCAACTGATCACCAGGCAGCGCCGGGAGCCTACAGCAATTGCCAGAGCATAGTTTTGCACGAGGTGGGAACGACAACACGAAGCAAACGAATCCAGAGAAACGCCAGGCCCGAGCGAATGCGACTGCAGGTGGAGGATCCACTGGAGGCAGACGGACAAGATAGGCAGAGCGCCACAGCGCTAGCAGCGCTACGCACCCGTTGAGCCAGGAAAACAGGAGACGCAAACGATAGAAGGGGTACAGCGGCCCGCACAAATGCAGAGTGGAGAGGCAACCACGAAAGTCAAGAGGGGCTAAATCTATGCCCTGAAAGCAGCGGGAGGCAGCAGGTGTACCTTCATTTTTTCCCCGTTCGGGAGTGTTAAAAGAACGTCGTCTCTATACAGTTGTCTGGGCAAGCCCCAAAAGACATGTCGACGTTGCTGTTGCTGCTGCTGCTGCTCAGAGTAGCAGTCGAGGCCCCTGAGGTGGGGGGCCCCCAGTGGAGCTTGCAGCAGGCGGACGGAAGACTGTAAGAGAGCCTCTAGAGGAAGGCTTCGCGTCTCAGCTAGCCAGCGCCGCAGCATCAAAAAGGACCGCCTGAAAAAACCAACAAGTGCAGGTGGGGTCCAAGAGCGCAGGGTGCTGCTCGCGTGCCGCTGGTGATGACTAGGGCTTAGGCAGGAGGCCATCATGGGGTAGAGCACGAGGCAAGTCAAAAAGAACACATGGATTTTCGGAAGGCTGGAAATGGTGAAAACAAGGTCTGACGGAGGCACACCGAGACCGCGGCAAGGTGGCACACAACGTAGGGGCACTGCGTAGCAGCATAGCCTCACTCCGATAGGTACAAGGAGTGCTTCTCTTCACTCTGGAAATACGGAAACTGCTTTAGCTGCTGCGGATGCTGAGGTTGCAGCAGTAGGAGCTGCTGTACAAGCGGCCCGTGGCGCGCGGCGTGTTGCTGTCCGTAGACCCTCAGCAAGTCATGCGCTGTATATTATAGGCAGAAGCGAAGGGCAAATCGAAGCCGCAGGCACAGGCAAGCAGCGACAATCAGCGCAAAAGGAACATGATTAATGGTGCATAAGGAACGGTGCAGCCAAGTTCAGTTCCGCACAGGGCTACAGCGGTTGCAGGAGCACGAGAGGACGCGTAGCAACAACTGCGGCTGCCTCTTAGCACTCGCTTAGCACTCAATACTGAGAGAGGAACTCAGAAAATCTTTGTAGCCACAGCCCCACAACATCAGCAGCCTTGATTGCAACAAGGGCATCGCCACTGGCCATAAAAGCAGCAACAGTGCGCATGGCTTACCATCTTTGGGGTTAATGAGCAGTGTTCGCTGAAATATCTTCAGAAGGACGGCAAAAGCCGCATCTAGCAACTCCTGCTGCATTTGGGGATCCCAGAGCCCCACTACCCAAGATACGAAGTGTACGTACAGCCTCGTGTATGCAGCCGCAACAACAGGGCCTACACCGCGCGCCGCCATTGCTCCCGCCGCTGGGGCATCTGCGCCTCCTGATTCACACACGGAATCAGTGCAGCTGCCAGAGACTGGCGAGGCGTTCTCCTGTTGCTGCTGTTGCTGTTGCTGCTGTTGCTGTTGCTGTTGCTGCTGTTGCTGCAGCTGCTGCTGCAGCTGTTGCTTAAGGCCCTGCAGCAACTCTATAGGCACGCAGTATTTAGCTGCAAGGGAGGCCAGAAGCCCATCTTGCGGAGTTCCGAAGGCTCCATCAACTGAAGCTTCCACTCCTTCGCTCGGTGCTGCTGGTGCTGGGTCGTTCTCCATTGCTGCCGTGGCTACTCAAACGTAGGGTTCTTCCGGTAAGGGGAAGGCAATCCTTCGTAACACTGCATCTGCCAGTGCAGCAGCTGCGCCTCCTGTGGAGCTGTTCCTAGGGCTTTCTGCTGTATTGGTCCTGCTGCTGCTTCGGTGCCACGATTGCTCCCATTACCCCTACACAAGCCACCAAAAGTTCAACTTCAGCGGGAAAGAGCGGCCCCCTCGGACTCTAGCTGCGTAATTATCAGAAGAGCCTGGAGGCGAAAAGTGAGAGTGCCGAAGTAGGCAGCGTTTGCAGCAGGAATAACTCCAATGGCCACCAGCTGCGGGGGGCCCTGGTATTTTGATGGGTCTGGTCGCCTCGACTCTTCATGTGGGCCCCCAATGACGTCTTCGCCCGCTGTTGCTACTGCTGGAGAGCCCTCATCCTCTTGAGGCATGCTGCATTACAGAAAAACTATTAGTATTGCTGCTTGGGGCCCCTTGAAAGGGGCGGGCCCCCTGACCGCATGCACCCCAAGAGAGTAGAAACGGGGACCACACGCCCTCGCGGCTAAATTTAGTGGGGAAAAACACACAGGCTCGGAGCCCAAAGACTTTACAGGTGATTGTCACATTCGCTGCATTCATGGCCTCGATCACCGGATTTATGGCACTGCCACACAAACGGAGGAGCAGCAAAGACAGCGCACACACTGGCAGCAGTAACGTCTCGCAGAGTAGGCAAAGCCAACACTGCCCTACAATGGCAACTGAAATCAAAATCGCTGACCCTAGAGTGGGCTTCGTTCTTTTGCCTAGGCACAGTAGTGCTCGAAGGTGTCCTCATGGGCATCGAGAAGAATGCAGCGTAGAGTTCGCTAGAAAGGCATCCCATGGTAACGGTACATTGTACTATGCCTAATAATATCCGTGTATGCCTTAGCTAGGGCTCCAAGGAGACACGAAAACAGCCTAAAGAGGGTCGTCAAAGCACTAGATTGCTCTATTGGGCAAATGTGCGAAGCATGGCGATGCCTCCGGTCAACAAAAATCGGGGCCCCCTCTCTCTCTATGCCCTTTTAAGCCTTTTGTTCTCTTTTCGATGTACTGTACGTCTGTTTTATTCGTTGTTTTTTTCTGTCTCGGTTCTTGCGCCGTCTCTTTAGCGGAATCAGCTACATTTGTGTATTTTCTACTAGATGTGTTAGTTGAATTTCAGCAAGGAATTTACCACTTGCACTGGATGTTCGTATATACTTTTTGCTATAGGGCAGTGCTCGCCTAGTACTGTGAGATTAACGTTTGCGCTTGCGCTTGTTGCTGTGCGCATAGCGGGCGTGAGTGTTCCGATGGCTCAGAAACAGTGTCGTCGCGCAGGCTACCTGACACTCTTCCTTCATGCCGGTGTCCTGAGGGTTGAGGGCATGGAAAAAGGCAGTGCGTTGGGAAGGACACTTAATAGCTATCCATTGGTTTTTGTACTAGGAACATATGCTAAAAGTGTCTCCCTGAAAAGCCTCGCATCAGAGCTTTACAGTCTTTGCTGATTCGTTTCCGTGCGTTTGGATCAATCGCAACGTGAAAGCTTTAAGATCAAACACCCTTTCGTCCATAAGAGCCATAGGATTCATGCTTGTGAATTTCTGTATGTCTAACGTAAATTTCCGTACAAGTGCAGTACATATTGGCGTGTGGTATCCAAATATGCGTGTACTTCTATGAAGACCACATCTATACATGCGCAATGTCACATTCATCATGGTTCGCGCCTATCGCACACAATGTGTCAACATGATTCCTAAGTTTTGGTGCAGGTTCAAGGGTAGGACGTAGTAGCCCCAAGTGCAGTGCTAGCAACAGCAAGTGCCGCTGTTTTTGCTGTAGCGGTATGGGGCCCACTTCAGCACAAAGTTGGTCGCATTGCATCGCAAACGCCAAGGCTCCCAGGTGCAGCCCCTGTTGCAGAGAAAGGTGGATGAAGTGGTGGGCTTTCGTGAAAGTGAGAGAGGCTCTCACTACACCATGCGTGAGGTCCCCAAGGTCTTGCAGCAGCTGCTGTCTTTACTGCCGGATTACTGCTGCTGCTGCATAGCGGTAGAGGGCTTAACAGGTGCCGTGGTACCAGCGGGCTGTGACTCCTTCCCACCTCCCCTACTGATGCCGGTGCTGGTGCAGCTGCTGAGTCCTCCTGCCGCTGGTAGGTGACGGGAGAGGTATACGAGGTACTGCGGAGCTGGACCGTATTCCAGGGAAGCATCTGCTGCAGTTGCTGTTGTGACTGCACCTGATGCTGCAATTGCTGCTGCGGCTGCTCACCATCTGCGTATCGGTAGGGGAGAGCGCGATGAGCAAGCGGCTGTCCGGGTGGGCTCGGCAACAGTACCGTCTCTGACAGTCCACCGTGTGACTTGAGCTTGGCACTTGCGCTTGATGCCGCGTATGGCCTCTTCTTGGCTTCCGCAGCCACGCCGTACTGCCTAGTTTCCCGCGGAGGAGCACCCCTGTACTGTCGTGTCGATGGGAAGGCCGACGTGTCTCCTGTAGCAACGTCTGTGCTGGTCGGTGGGGCACTGTCACAGCTGAATCCCCTGGGGTGTTTCCAATTAGTGTAATTGATTTCATTGTGACTTCCCACTGGGCCTCCCACAGATCGCCCCCCTTCAATAGGGCCTAGCCACTGTTGGTTGTGCCCCACAGGCGGTAGGCGCGCAGGTGACGACAGCCAAGGGGCTGTTTCTGGAGTGGAATGCGGCTGGGGCTGTTGCAGGTCAAGCCATTGCTTGTGCTGCGGGTGTGCTTTGCACGAATGCCTCAAAGAAGTGCCTGCGGGATAACTATCAAAGCTTAGAATATGCTGTGGCTTGTTTTCTTGCTGAAGGCGAGGGGAAAACGATGCAGAAAGCCTTCCAAAAGAGGCACCACCGGTGAAGGGCTGCTGAGAGTGAAATATTTGTTGGTGCTGCTGCAAAAGAAAGCCTTCTCCCCAAGAATTAAAAGCTCCTGCTGCTACTTTTGCTGATGTTTCCCTGTGGGTGAGATTTTGGGGGGGTGCCTGGGCAGACACCCACAGCTGCTGCTGCTGCTGTGGCGTCCGGCTTTGCTGCTGAGACTGTAAGAGTACCACTTTTGAGTCGGCATGCTCATGGGTGTTGCTACTAAACGCGCTAGACTTGGTGCTTGTGCGGGTAGAATAGGTGTCCTGTGACTGTCCACGTAATTGTTGGTGCTGAAGCTGATGCTGTGGCTGGTAGGCTTGAGAGCGCCGAATTATGCGGCTACGGGAGATGGACGGATTCATCAGTGTTCCGTAATGCTGCTGCTGTGCCTGAGGCTGCCGCATTTCCCAGGAGCTAGAAAGGCTACCATCCATTGTTGCCATGCCCGATGGACTGTTTGTGCTGTCGCCTGCACCAGCCACCGTCACCAGCTGTGCGCTTCCTGGATTGGGGCTCTGTTGCCATTGCTGTTGTTGCTGCTTCTGATGCAGCGCATGACTTGACGGAGACACCTGAAGTGACCGTGTCTTGATTCTGTCGATGCTGGCAGTGAGGTGCATCCGATGCTCTTGCAATTTTCGGTGCTCCTGCAGCAATCGTTGTAGTTGCTGCTGCCTATACAGCTGGGCTGCTGCCGCCATTCTTGTCCCCACTTCACTGCTTCCCTCCTCCGTTGAGCTCTTCAGGAAAGGCTGCTGCTGGTCGCCATTCTCCTGTTTTTCTGCCGCTCCCCTCTCGCCTTCTGCTGATGTGGAGGGCATGGATGAGGCGCGGTGACATCTTGGCCCTGAAAAAACCAACAAACCATCTGTGGCGAGCCCCTCAGACAGCAGCGGCTGTGGTTGCTGTTGGTTCTGCTGCTGAAGAATAAGCCTTGCAGTGGCCTGTCTGTGCTCCTGTTTCAGTTTCTCGTGCTCATCTTGCAGCTGCTGTAGTTTGATCTGCTGTGATTCCAGTTGCCGCTGCTGCTGCTGCTGCTGTAAGCACTGCTGCTGCAGGAGTTGGCTCAGCAGCTCTTCACGGGCCATTACAGTGCCTTTTACATGTTTTTGATGCTCCTCATCTGGCTGTTGTTTCTGTTCCTCCGGATACTGTTGGTATTCCTCATGTTGCACCGAGTTGACGGTAGTATATGCTCCTCCACGTTCATCTGGACCGTCAACCGACAGGCTTGATGGCAGTAGAGCCCCCTCTTTTCCCGTAGCATCATGTGCTCCAGGTTTCGCCTCCGCGACCTCTTTCGGCACCTCCTGGAGCGGCTCTGAGACTTTTATCGCGTCTGCCTCCGCTTCTGTACCGGCAGCCCATGCATGTTCTTCTGAGTGCTGTGGAGTGAGGGGGTGTGCGAGGGGCTGCTCACAGCAGCAACAGAAGTCCTCCTTGCTACAGGCACCTTGCGACGTTTCTTTCCTTGAAGCAGGCTCAGGATCCATGACGTCTATCGGTCCTGGAGGTGCTACTGCTTCCGCTGCTGCCTCTGCTTCCTTCCACTGCGTCCGAGTGGTTTTGTGCTTCCACGAGCCCCTCTCATGATTTTCGTCGTTCTGCGGGGACCCCCAAACAGCGTTACTTTCTTCTGCCGGATCTTCCTCAAGTTTCTCGAGTTGTTTAAGCGACTGGTGACTTTGTGGTGTAGGAGTCAATGTCATTCTTTTGGCAGTGCTACAAGGGCTTCCAGACCCTTCACTGCTGTGAGGCCCTGTACTAAGGGCCAGCTCTCCACACGCGGTGCATCTCTGGGGAAGTCCTTGAGCTCCTAAGATTTTAGATGGGATATCCACTCGTTCAAGTGTCATTGCTGGGCTCGAAGGACAGGAAGCTGAACGGCGCAGCAAGCTCCCAGGAAGTGCGGTACAACAACGCCGCAGACTGCCGTGAGTGCCTAAGCTAACAACAGCAGCGAGACATGCCTCTGGTTCCTCATCTGGCTCCTCCCTCTGCCTCTGCTGCTGTTGTGCCTGCTGTTGTTGCAGCTGGGTCTGCGGGGTACTCGCGCCCTGCTCGAGCATTTCACGCAGCACTCTGACCTCCTTTTTGAGAGCCAGGAGTACGTGTGGCATGTCAGTCAACTTATTAGGTTTGGCAGAGAGGCGAACTGCTTTGGCCCGAACAGCCAGACGCAGCGTTGCCAGGGTCTCACGGATGCATAGGGAAGAGGGGGAGATCGTGCATATAAAAGCTGTGAAGCAGCCCCCTCCAAGGGACTCCTGCAGTAGGCGCGTCAACGCCGAGGAACGGAATGACACAGTAGAGCCCTCCTGAAACACGCATGCGCCAGCAGCATCCATGTGAGCATTTCTATTCGGCAGTTATTTTCAAAAAGTCACCACCCTATCAATGTGGCTTGAAGTATGTCTTGTGAGACACGCTGAAGGGATGCGAGCAGAGATGGAGAGAGGCAGTAGGGAAGAGAAGTACAGAGAGGTTCCTTTTTTCAGCAGAGGCTACTCTATAGGCAGGCAGGAGTCAAGGGGTAGCTCGAGTGCGACGCTTATTGGTTCTCACCGAGTTGAGCTGCTGGATGCACAGGATGAGAGCCGAGAGACTTCTGTTTATTGCCCCCATTTCTTCCATATGACTCTTCCCAACGCTCTTCATGGGGTCGCAGCGCTCGTTGCCTGCAATAAAATATTATTCACTCTTAATGACAACAGATCCTTCGCTGGGCACTGCGCTTAGGGGTATCCGACAGCTTGACAGATGGCTAGCTGGCTTGGAATACCGCTACGTGGGCAGAAATAGGCATGGCAATTGACTCAAAATACAGAGAACTGTGAGGAGTAAACAGCAGGACGAAGGAAGGCCGACCTGCGAGATCCACTAGATTCAGTCTGGCCTGTCTGAATACTGCCGAGTTTGTGGGGAGGCAATGCCTCAGCTCCACCTGGAAGATGGCGTGACTTCTACTACTCATAGGATTCATTCTTGTGGCCCGAAAGGTTCTGTAGAAAGTACCCCTCAAGAGTAAGTGCAACAATTCCTCGCAAGAGGTGACCTCAAACAACTGCAGGCCCTGAGTCGCAATAGCAAACACCACAAACATCTATGCATTCAGCCTTCCCGCACGTCCTTTTCCTGCTTAAACTGACAGCTATCAGCATTCATTCTCAGGATAAACATCTGCACACTCTAGCAATGCGATGTCTGTCTCGCTCTCCGATGTCACAATGCTTTAGTCGCTACCCCCTTTGACACCGAGCTGTCTGTACAGCGAGTGGATGCACAAGGTTCCCTACGCACACTTCATTTTCTTCAGGCAAAGCTGCCATGTTGGAATCATGTAACGCTAGATGGTGTACTTTAACGGTACCTGAACTATAGTGGCGGTTGGATTGGTAGGGCTTCGAATGATGGTGAGAGGTGTCGGCTTTGCGCTCGGGTCCTTTGTTGCACACAGCACGCAATCAGGAGAGGCGTAAAGTAATTCTCAGTGGGTATTATAAGGCTGCTGCGAAAGTCAGCGTGGCTGGTGCCGCATTTGTCACTACTGAAGGAACTTACTGCCAGCAGATCTACGAGCTTATCGTTGTAAACTTGGATATAGGAAGCGAAAACCTTAACGTGAGCTCCGCTGTCCTCTCCGTAGCGATTTCGCACTCTGCAATCACAGGCGTCCCGCAAGTAGTGAACCATCCTCGTGCTACTACTTCTGGTAACAAAGTCAGGCGGGTCTTCACATCAGAAAGCCAAAAATGGAGGCTTGTGAGCAAGGTTTCACTAGAGCGACTTGCAGGCATAGTTCCTGCAGCTATCGCATAGAGAAGAGACGTACAGCTGAAAGATCCTCTCGCAGGCTCGCGGAATAATGCCGCAGGACTTGGACTTCAGCAATGATGGGATACGGCTGCAGAAGACAGCCATACCACAGCAAAATATCTTGGGGTGTCTGAACCATATTGGGCTGTCGCTGCCTTTACAGGCTCATTGAGTGTCCCGCTGGCATCCATAGAAGAAACAAGGAGCGGCATAAGTATTTTAAATGCTCACACATTAGACACGAAAACACAAGGCGCTGTATTGGCAGGCTGCCGACTGAGGGGCCCTGAATCTTCCTGACCTGCTGGCTAAAGAAAGTCGTTTCTGGATGAGTTGGAGTCTTGCAGCTTTGCTGCTGAGCTGTATTTTAGGATCAGCGCATCCGCAGCCCCTGACTATTTCTGGTCCCAGCATGGTATACGTCTTGCCTGTACCGGTTTGCCCGTGAGCAAAGATCGAGCAGCTGTATCCCTCCATCACACGCTCTATACATCGTTCTACGGGCTCCCATATGTCCTGGTGGTTAGCAGACGGACCAAAGACACGATCTACCTCAAAGGCCCATCGATGGCGCCGTACTGAATCCGAAACCTCCACTCGAGAGGCTGACGGCACTCGTAGCGCAATTTCCGCATCTTTCTCGCGCCCTTGCGGGGGGCGGATGCGCACAAATGTGCGTATCCGGCCCGAAAGCTCCGGTAAGCTTTCCCCCATTGCAGATCACAGCCCCTAAAATCAAGGATGCCAACACAGCTGGCCAATAGCAAGCCAAGATGGCTGGCCAGTGGCGGACAGCTACATGCGCACGATATGCATAGGCAGCGAAAGGCTATGAGGAAACAATCAGCTCTCAGCAATAAAAGACGGAGGTTTCTTGCGTTGTTGCTTCTTGTATGGGGTAGCTCTGCTACTCAGTTTGTGGGTGTTTCGCTATCGAGCGAGGAGTAGAGGAAACGAAGAAACCGAAGAAACGCGAAGCCCAAGGAAGACATGAAAAGCAGTATAGAAGTCTCTCTCTTCATGAGATGGCGTGGTCTGCTGCTACTGCTGGTAGTGCCGCTGTTGCTGTACGTCCAGCTAACATACCCCAATGTCTGGGCAGCTCCTTGTTACCAGTAAAGACCACAGCGGTGGTTCTTGGATAGCGAAAGGCAGCTAAAATAGTAAACGAAACGGAAGGAAAGAGAGGAACAGCACGGCTTACTGTTGGTCCAGTAGCCCTTTGTGCAGCAGCCGCCTCAGGGACTGACAGTCTCCTTGCCCTCGATGCTGCATCCAGCGTGCTGCAGCAGCGCTCCTGATATACTTCATCTCCAAAACCCACGAGCCAGCAAAGAAACCGACACACAGCAGCCCCCGCAACGGCAGTGGCTGCTGCTGCAGCCAACCAGCTGCACTGCCGACGCGACAGCAGAAACAGCAGCGACTGCAGCAGAAGAACAGCTGGGTCTTATTTGCTAATGTTTCTTTTGACAAGCAAATACTTCGTACAACTAACTCCTATTCATAAATGTATTGTCTCAAAATTCATACCCTACGAATGATGCGGGCGCAAAACCTCAGCAGCAGCGTCATAGAAACAGCGGACCTTACGGGCGCCGAGCTCTCGGCCCACGCCTCGTGCAGGTTCCTGTTTCTGTGACTCGTCCTCCCGTTTGTAGCCATCTTCTGTAACTCCTTTGGTTTTACTCAAAGAAAATATATAGTAGAATACGTCTCTGGCTCAAACAGAGGACGCTCTGGCTGCCTTCCAGCTGCTCGTGGACCCTAGAACAAGGACTTGAGACTCCAGTGGTCCTATGCTGTGCCTTGTCCCGAAATTGTATATCTAATTCTGGTCTGCATTATAAAGTGTATTCATAGTCTCCAGGAAAGTTTCAATTGAAATGTGTAGGCAATCTACCATAATTAGAGCTTGACTCATGAGTAAAAATCACAGCAGGCAGCGAAAGACCGTTTTTATGGAAACGGAGTGTAGCGCATTTCGAACACGCTCAAAGGGTACTACCCAGTAGTACCATTGACCTAGCACCAAAAGCGTAGCTAAGGACAAATCCGCATGGCTGTCTGAATAATGTCTACACGCTTCTAGGGGATCAAGGAGGTGCACATGTATAGCAGGGGCAGCCCACACACACCGATAAAACGCCCCTATCCACAATACGCTTGGGCGGGCCAGCATTTAAGAGGGGGCCGTGCCGCCATCAAAGCTGCAAGTACTACTCGCGCCAAACCATGGAGCTAGAATGACACAGAGGGTAACTCGCATTTGGAAGCAAACATTTATAGGAAGCGAGCGCTCACACGCTTGTGGGAGTGTAGAACAAGATTTCTGCTCACAGCCTCGAGCAAGCCTTCAGTGAATCCACGGGAAGCACGCAATCATCGTGACTTTAGGACAGCGCCACCAGCATCGACTTACCTCGAAATATGAATTCACCACGTCCTTACACTCAAGGATTCAATGAGGAATGAGTTGAAGCCAGCCTCAACAGCTTCACAACTTTATATGTACCGCCTTTCTCTCTACTAATTTTTAAAAACTTTTGAGTTCATGGTATGCATAGTTCCCTTGAATTCAAGCTATAACCTTTTCTGCAACCAACGGGATATTCAAAAGCCGTCGTTGCCCGCCGGGCTTCCAGCCCAGGCCTCCCGTAGCCCGCACAGCCACATGCATCACACAGTGTTATTCAGAGAAATAGTCTTAGCTAGGTGCATATTAAGCAGCGCGGAGGCCTCGAGAAAAACGGGAAAACCAGGTATATTTGCCTCCCCCATTGTACCGCGGTCCTCCACAGTAGGCGCGACTTTCGCGGTATTGTAAGCACCGCGGTACTGGCTTCCCCCCTAAAGCCTTATCTTTCTTTAGATGCAGCAGCGGGCGTATCACAAGGAAGGCTCCATCTGCTCCTTCCATCTGCATTGAAATGCTGTCAGAGGATCCCACCAGAAGAATGCCCAGGCGTCTAGTCGCATGTGAAGATGCAAAGAGAAGTGCTGAGCTGTGGGCGACTCGGATCTTCAGCTGTTGTCACGTAGGAATCATCTTGGGGCAGACGCCTGTGTAAAGGGGGACTGGACAGGAAGAGTGATTCTTTCAAAGAAAGATTTATTCATGTGCCGCTTGTTGATATTACAAAATCAGGCGTTAGAGGGGACACAAGAAGCACCAGGAGGCGCTTCTGGGCGCTGATTAAGAAATACTCATGCTGTACAATATAAATTTCAGCCTATTTAATCTCGAAGAGGCATATACACCATGATTTTTTTCGGGCTTACGGACTACGGTGCAGGGACTACTATGCTTTTGTGTCATTGCGAAATCGTATACGTACGTTGTGACGTCTAATTTTTTCTTCTCATCCTTGGGTATGTAATACCCTTCTTCCTGAGCCACAAGCATGAAAAGGTTTTGTGTATTGCTCGTGATTTGGCGTCAACAATTTGTATATTAAACCCTCAAGAGACCAGAAGCACATACGGGAGGTTCTGCAATGCCAAACAAGCTCCTAACATGCAGGCCACATGTTGAAGGGGCAGCCTTAGGGCCCTCCATTTGCACTTACTTGACCCTGGTCCTATCTTTGACCCGCTCGAGGTATTCCGTTAGCGTCACTCTCTTCTCCGGTCCTTCATGCTTCCTGTCTTCTTCTCCAAATATCGCTTGGATCTCCTAAGTGCGCACACAACACTTGGAAGGTACCCGGGGTAGGGGTCACTGGCGTGTCTGGAACTTAGTTCCCGCATGCTTGAGGTTGTGCATTCAGGGACTGCGGGTATAGATCTACTCTTTAAGGGATTAAGGTATGAGTATTATTCTTGTAATACGACAGCATCTAATACCGTAAGATTTTTGTATCATTGGTACCCGCGCAGTCGGTTATTCACATATTTTTGCATAGTATATCAAAGCCCAAAACTCTACACGCTAATCCTTAAAGCCGTCGTACTTCGTCAAGGAGCTCGCGTCCAAATCTAACAAAGAGAATTTGTAGGGTTTGCTCGACACCGATTTCACCCTTAAGATCTCTGTCGTACATCAAGAACTGAACCACATGGAACAGCCCACGTGGCTCCAACCCTAAGCAGGGCACCAGCAGCAGAAGAGCCAGCAACAGCATCACAAGAGGCAGCTGTATAAGCAGCCTCACTTGTAATGTCAATAGGCACAAACTGGGCGGGGTATGAGGAATACTAAACATCTAAACAGAGCTTCCCAAGAGAAGTTGTGACAGGCCTAGCCAGTGAGTGTTCCTGTTTCTATTTTCTTTTGTTCAAGATAAAAGAATGGACTGGTGGACCATCAGCTCCACGTCTTGCGTACTTTACAAAAATCCGGGTATTAGTGTACGTTCTGCCACTACAGTTCGGCTTTTTGGGATTGGTGTAGGGTAGTCATGCCTGTAGCATCTCCGGTGCCTCTTTGGTACAGCGTCAGGAACTCGGACCAACTGATGTGCCCATCAAGGTCTTCGTCCACCTCCCAGAGCATAACCTCCACCTCTTGCTGCAACAGTGGCAGCAGCAGGGGAAGCACCAGGATATGCATTAGCATCGAGAGGATCAGGAACGTAAGCTACGACCTGGGCTGTTTTTACAGCCACTTAGGGACCACTGCGGGTGCCAAACTCTACTGCTGCTTGTCCTGCTACAAGAGTCCTGCTGTTGCAGTGGTATATGTTTGCCCGTCTGCCCTGGTATTTTGATACTACAGTCCTGATTGCTTATGTTGGTGATCTCTGTGTGTCGCCGTCACTTCATCTTAGATTCAGGCCCTGTCTCCTGTCTAGGGTGCCAGTTCAACCGTAGACACGCTTCATTAAACTGGGCGCCTTCTTGTGCTTTGGGGTTTGTTTGGTGCATCCAGTCAAGCTTGTTATCTCATAACCCTATAGTGGGGCTTACTATAGTTCCCAGTGTTTGTATATAGAGCTCCTGCGTGTCTCCTCTGCCGTGTCCCTATTGTGTACTGTGACTTTGTCGCTGTGTCTTATACATGCTTCCCCTTTGTTCAAATTGTAATTTTACACACGCATTCTCCGTGAGTTATTCCCTCTCCTGTATGCGTGCATTTGCGAGGCTTGCCCGTGTTATTTTATGGCGTAGGCGGCAGAGGGTACTGAGGATATCGTGAGAGCTCAAGCGACCATCCCCATCAGCATCCAAGGCATTAAAGGCTCTTTTGAGGGCCTCCAGCTCCACCTGAGTCGGTAACTCGGTGAGTGTGAGGCTGTTGTGACTGCCGCAACTGGAGGTGCCCGACATCCCTACAAGGCACTACCAAAGTACTGTTTGCAATTGAATGTCAACAGGGGTACAATGTTTCCCCGTAGCTTGAGAGCCAAGGCCTAAGGTCGCTCACGAAGGTATCCCGTTCAAAAGAAGGGGCCTTTGAGGGTGTTTCTTTTCATTCATTAACTGAGCTACTGACTGGCACGAGAGCATTGGCCGGGGCTGGCGCCCTGTCCGCGCTCTTGTAGGCCAAGACAGAGGTCTTTTACTCCTGTCCAATGCCTGACAGAAATATGTGTAAGGGAAGTGAAATGAAAGCTCTTCAACGGTGGGACCCCTTGACTCGCAAAACATGCGGACTTCCAAGACCCCGCACCGCCCGCTTGCTGGCTGGCATTCCATCGTGCTTAGTGAACATCTTCAGTAAGAATCCTCTTGGGTCTCAATAAATGTGTGTATAGCTAATCTAATGCCTGGCTTGTTCATAAAAACAGGAAAGGCAACTTACAGGATGCATCTGACGATTCCTCACAACCAGGGTCACCTTTGTAGTCCCTGCAGGGAGAGGCTCCCGATGCCACCGCTGTGCGGAAAAGAGAGATCGCGGCACTTTAAATGTGCCTTATGGGGCCTTGCAACAGCAATTAGATCTAAACGAAGGCCACTAGTGGCTTGAAACGCTGCCAGTGGCCGCCTCTCCAGTTAGGATGTGGCTACATGTAGCGTTTCCTATTTATACTTCCGTGCACTGCCACCACTGCTCGGGTTGCTATTGCTACTGCTGCTCTCTGCGCCTAGACATTTACCATACTTAATAAAGCCCTGCTTCTACTTTCTTTGTTAGTCGCGCTTATGTGGCCTTACAGAAAAACCTGTGGGGACATGGGCTCAAATGTGGAGTGCGGAAACAAACAAGGGCCCACCTAGTATGCGGGTGCCGTTGCTGCTGCGCCTACTCCTGTTACTGCTGGTACTGATCCGACAACTCCTTTGAAACCAACCGCAGGTGATCTAGCCACTTTGTTAATTCGGCTACTTTGAATCTTAGCTGCGTACATGCATTAGCTCCCTCAAGGAACTCAAGGAGCACGCGTGATGCAACCAGTCGTAGAGACACCCCACTGCATAAAATAGGAGCCACGTTTAAATCGGCTGCCGCCTCAACAGCAGCTGCTGCTGAATCCCCTACTGAGATGTACATCGCTGCTGCGTCAGTCAACGACGGGTTCGGTGCTACTGCAGCAGCTTCAAGAAATCCAGGGATCCTTACGATAGTTGAATCCGGGCTTCCTGGTGTGTTAAGTTGCGCACCCTTGCGTATGTGGCATTTAGGAGCCCAACTATCAGTTGAAGGCTCATTTGCCTGTATGGAACTGCCGCAGGCGCTCGCCTGTGATGTTTGTGCGATGGCAGCTGCAGCTATTTGCTCAGCAACCAATGTAAGGAGCATCTCAGCCCGATCCAGAACAAGCTTGTAGTCGAGAAGCCCGACGTCCTCTCCACTATCAAAGGGATCTCGAGAAAGTCCTCTGACACTGTTTTTGCCACTGTTGAAGCTGCACAGGCTAGCAGCGATTGAAGACCCCCCTAACCAAGGGAAGGCCCCAGGCAAGTACCCTTCGGCTGCTGAGCAGAAGCGGCAGGAACAGTCCGCAGTTGCCCCTTGCTGTGAAAGCCTCTCGGAAGATCTCCCGATAGAGGTTATGGGGAATTCATGTGGAATTGGGCAGGAGGCCTTGGGGATCTCTGATCCGTCATTGGCGCTAGGCACTAGATGTTTTGTGAGACGGACAGGAAGGCCCCCCGTAACAAATGACGCCTTGGACGTCTCACAGTATGAAGGCAGGTGTGGCGGTGCTGCACGCTTTGGCAGCCGCTCTTGCTGCTGCTGATGGTACAGCAGTAGCAACATTTCCCGGTTCTTCTGCCGTACCGGCAGTGGCGGCAGCACCAGCAGCGGCGGAAAAGGTGATATGTTTGAGGTGCTGGAAACGACATCCTGCGAAAATTTCAAGCAAAGCACCCGAGGGTCTTGTAAGGACCACAGCACACCCGGCACAAAACGGAAACAGAGAAAACGCAGCACCCATGGCGGGGTTAGGGCAGCAGCACCAACGACTTGCCGTGGAGCTGCTGATGGAGAGACACCATTTGGCCAGCAGCAAAGCAGATCGGAAGACGATGCGGCAAGAAAGTTCTCCTGAGACACAACGAGCAACAGCAAGGGGGGTAGCTAATTTTCTAGATCTTTACATCTTTGCCTGAGCTTCTACTGCGTCCCTCAGAGAGCGGCCCCAAGGAAACACCGGCTTCAAGCTTCCTTTCAGCTGGCCTAGCGCAGCAACCAAATCACGCATGCTGCTGCCGTTTCGCTGCTGAAAACGCTAATTTTACTGCTACTGCAGCCACTGCAGGCAAGGTTCCGGCGCTGACGTAGGGAGTCGCATCAATCCAAGTCCGTCGTGCAATCTGCTTTGAACGCTCACCGACAAGGTCTGTAGCCAGCCTGAGGGATCTTTCGGTTGCGGCCAGGGCCTTTAGACACAGCCGTGCAGCTGCTGCAGCAAGAAGACGTACCTCGTGCTGCCGCCTTCCTTGTTGCTGCAGTCGCTGTCGCTCTTTCTCCTTCTGCTGCTTAAGTTTTGACTGCACCTGCTGCTCATGTTTGAGGCGTATGGCCAGCCCACTGCAGTATCGAACTCCAGTAGCAGCAGCAACTGCAGCAGCAACCTTCAGCAGCTCAGCAGCAAGCAGCAGCGAATCCCCTCCAAGAGCTGCAGCACCTCCACAGTCAGCCCACGCTGCCGCGGCTTGCCAGAGGTCCCCCCACTCGGAACCGTCTGCTGTGTCAGTAAAGCTGCTGTTTTTGCAATTATCGTCAGAGGGTTCGTGCACTGAAGGCTCCCACGGCAAACAGCCGCCGTTTCCAAGGTCCTCTACATCTGCAACTGCACGAATCGCTGCAGTGGCTGCAGCGTCATTCAGGCCGTCTGCTGCTACAGGAGTGACTGCAGTCGACGCTGCAGCACCCGGCAGAAATGCCACAAAGGCGGAAGCCCCAGCAGCAGAAGTAAGACTCACACTGGTAGCAGTGTCAGGAGCACAACCAGGTGCGTCCACAGAGAAGCTTTCAGGGAGGAAAGCAGTAGAAGACGAACGCCGAGGAACTGCATGGCAACATTCAAGGTAATCTGGCGTATCCTGCGCGGTCGGAGGAGCTGCCGCTGCTCTTGGCTCCTGTGTCGGTTCTGTTATTTTTGCCGCACTTGCTGCTATGGAGGGAACGGCTGCTTCGTGGTGAAGAGTCTGAGAACCGAGCAGGGAGCCACCCCCATAAAGCCCTGGAGGCAGCAGAGCTGCCGAGGAACGCAGGAGCCTCCTAAACCACAAGTAAGCCCAGTGTCTGGTGCTCGGAGGGCTGAGTGTGTTACTGCTGCGTACAGTGTTGCTGCCGTGAGCACCACTGTTGCTGCTGGTAGCGATGGCGCTGCTGATGGGCATCGGCGTAGAACTGGTATTTACCTGCTCACCGAGAAGTTGGGTGCTGTCGCGTTTCTGCTGTAGCGTCTGCTGACCTTGAGGTCCATTCGGGAGAAAACAATACACCTCCGCCGTGTTGTCGCTGCTACTTCCTCCTGTGGGGCTGCTTCCGCTGCTGTTGCTTGTGCTGATGTTGCTTGTGCTGATGTTGCTTGTGTTGGTGCTGCTTGGGTTGATGTTGCTTTTACTGATGTTGCTTTTACTGATGTTGCTTGTACTGATGTTGCTTGTGCTGATGTTGCTTGTACTGATGTTGCTGCCCTGAGGAGCCTCAAAGCCCAACCAGGCAAGGCTCCCATCGCCAAACGCAGACACCGCACCCTCTGCTGCTGACCGCGCCGATGCTAAAAAAGCTGTTGATCGGACTAGCTCTGCTCGCGAAGTCTCTTCCAACCATCTGCTTCTGGACGCCGACGGAAGTGCTGCGGCAGGCAGAAGGGACGAGAGCAGCCGCGGCTGCGATGGAGGCTCCCGTCGGGAAGTCTCACCATCTGCACCCGTGGAAATAGTCTCAGCCTTTTCGGATTCACAGGGAGCCAAGAGGGGGCCTTCTTGATAGGCCTCATCGGGGGGTGACCTTCTGGGGGCTTTCCCCATTGACAACCACCGCTTGCTGCTGCTGCTGCTGCTGCTGGTGCTGCTGCTAGATCCGATGCTTCTGCTGTCCATCCATTTCACTGCTGCATTACGTGCTGTGGAACTGCGTGGAAGGATGCTGCATGCAGTGTGCTCCTGTAGTAGCTGCTGTTGCTCTGCGAGGCCCTTCTTCACGTTGCTGTCCCCTCCTGTCTCGAGAAGGCGCTGTAGCAGCTGGAGGCAAGGAGGAGAGAGCTCCACGGATTTCAGAAAATTGTGGGGATCTTCAGAAGGTGCACAATCCCCCTTGTCACTACCTTCAAAGGTCCCACCTACCATAGCTGGCAGAAAGTGTTATAGCCTGCGCCCCACTACACATCGGTTAGCTGAATAATCCAGCAGAAACACGTACAGAAGCGTGCACTTGCTCGAAGTTTCGTTTGAAGGACGGTCTGGTGTCTGTATTGCAACTGGCCCTGTGGCGTACTGCTGAGGCAGCTGTTACTGCTGGAGGGTGGGCTGCAGCGGAGCTCATGCTGCGGCGGCTGACGTCACTGAAGACACTAAAGGGACGTCAAGGGCCGATTCTGCGTTCTTAGAGAGTGTAAGGCCCTTGGTGTTGCCCTTGCGATTCCAAGGGATGCCTGATGGCTGCTGCTGGTGCTACCGGCTCCGTGCAGGTACTGGTGTCTTCTGTCGGCGTGCAGCTGATGGAATCCCTGCTTGTTGTAGCCACACGAAAATAAAGAATGCCAAACACTTGTTTTGAATTGCAAGCACCAAGCACACCCCAAGCAATGCTGCCGTTGCAGCGCACGCTGCTGCTGCTGCTGCTGCTGCTGCTGGTCAGGCGGGGGTCAAGGTCGCTCGCCGCTGCAGTCCGCAAATGCTGCAGCAGATTCTGTGTGTTGGCGCTGGCTTCCACGCCTCATTTGAGACAAAGATGCGGTTCAATATTGACTGGAATTGGGGAAACAAGGAAAACTTCCCCGCGCAGTACTCGGGGGTGTGTGCATGCCGTCCGTGCGGCGAAGGGCTTGAGTGCCTCCAGGGCGGAAGGCGACGTTCTGGGGAGGTCCAAGTCACATGACACTCCAATCCTTTCCTTAGCCTTCAGCCCCGATGAAGTCACTATTTGCAACACTCAAGTAAGGCTTTTGTGCTGCTCTGTTAGAGATCCCGAATGGCCTCTAATGCGGCTGGGTGGGCCCCAGAACCCCTGAACGAGCGCGACGGGTGGTGTGGGGCCCTTGATCGGTGTTTGGTGCCCTTGCCTGTGCTGCTTTCCCTTACAGATAAGCTCTCAGGCCCTTTGCAGGATCTTCGCGTTCATTTGTTGCCTTTAGCCTGGAGGGCAGCCTCCTGCCTCATGCTACCTTGGAGAGGCCCTGGGGGGCCCCCCGTCAACAGCACCTGCACATATCCTTCCGATTGCCCGAGAGAGCATGAGCTGGTGAGTTGTGCGATTTTCTCTCTAGAGAAGCAGCAACAGCTTCAGCACCAGATTCCGCAGTAACAACGCCTCGCACTCTTGCCAGCCGGAAGAGGCGCTGCAGCACCTGCACCGACGTGCAACACTGATGGCCAAACCAGTTGCACCCGCGGGCGAAGAATTCAAGAGAACCTGCAGCTGTGGCATTCGACCGTTAGCGTGATTTTTGCTGCAGGCTTTTTGGGGGGGCCCCTTCTGCCCCTACCGAGGCTCCCGCCAATACGGATAAGGCGCTTCCGGAGTTGCCTCCGGGACTACAAACCCTCCCGCCTCGTGAGGCTCACCTCATAGCAGTGAAAGCGAAGTGTGCTTGGATTAGAGCTTTATAGATGGGAGCCACGAGCACTGCAGCAGTTGAAGCAGCGTATCTACGCGCAGATTTGCACTGGTAGACGCGCGCCCATAAAAGCCGAAGGAAGAAGGCTCTGCCAACAACGAGTCCTTTTGCCGATGCGCCTTCGCATGCAAGGGGGGCGTGGTCTGTTATGCATGCTCGAGTTTAACAGGACTGTGCTTTCCACATCGCACCTTCGTGTGCTGCAGCGCCTGCTCCGAAGGGCGTCATGGTTTCTTCGGCCCCCTTCACCGGCTTTAGTGAGCCTCCCCCTTCTCCCCCCGTATCGACAGGGGCCTCCCGGGGATCCAGTGCTCCATTTTCTTTCTCTCCGTCCACAAAGGGCATTGACTACAACAGTGAGGACTTCTCCAAGTACACGTGAGACTACCTTCCCGTGCTATCGCTTTCTTGCTGCCAGCGAATGCGCAACGCTGCCCATTGTGATGTGCTTCTTCTGCTCATGATATAGCAGTGGACGCGTTCTACTCGTGTACTGCTGATGTTGCGCTTTTTGCGACTCTGTCGGAAGAAGCCACAGATAGTTGTCGCAGCGTGAAAACACCGCCCATGCGTCTTGCTCCCCAGCGGCGTGTATTTTTGTCTGCTGCCCCGTATTGTTCGGTTGTTCCCTTTGTAGGTCACCGTACAACGAGAGCCCTGGCATCAACGATCCTCACTTCGCGGCGGAGTACATCTCGCGGGCTGACAAAAAGCCCTCATGGTTGGATGAACACGTCACCAACCCCCGCCTGAGAGGCTGCATCGATGCCGTAAAGATGGGCATGAAGATGGTGCGACCTCTTTTTTTGCTCATCCTCTGCGCCGCGGGCGCTTCCTTACTTTGGTCTTTTGCTGTTGCGCCGCTGTGCCTCGTCTGTCTGGTCGTCGTCTCCCTTCGTAGCTCCCTCTTTGCAGACGCGCATGTGTGCCTCTTTTCACGTGGCACGATTAAGTGGCTCCTATACTCGTGCTGCCTTCGCTTGTGACTTTCAGGGCTGCGCCGTTGGTGGTATTTTTGGAGGCCTCACGGGCACCTATGCGGCTATAACGAATAGGAACTTCCTCATCCTCCCTCTTTCAATGGTAAACCCTAACCTTCAAGCGTGCCTGGCGGCAGACAGGGATAGGCACAACATGTGAAGGGGCTAGATGAAGGGATACGGAAGGGCAAAATGCGGCAGTAGCGGCGCACACCACACACAGAGCACCTTTAACGACTCAAATCTTTGCAGGAAAACCCACAAGCAGGCCAACACTGCAGAAAGGCTTCAATGGTTTCTTCTGGAGTGTTCGCAGGTGGGGGGTGCACTTTCGTTCGGCTTCTTCCTGGGTTGTGGTATGATTATTCGCTGCGACGAACCTCGGGGTTCTCGTAAGTTCCAGGGGCCCTGGGTCTTCCCTATGGCCCCAGGGTACACCTACAGGGCCTCCTCTACTCTAGGCCTACCCTCTCAGACCCTCTCCAGTTATACCGATGGTAAGCACTGACGGGCGTAGATTAGCAATTTCACTGCTGGTCTTCAGACCACAGTGTTTCACATAGACCCTTGTGGGGCTCTTCCGCCACCGTGGCACTGCCCCTGTCCCTGGCACGGTGAGGGTATGAGAGAGGGCCTGCGTAGCTGGATGACAGGCCCACAGTGAGGCTTGCCGTTAACGCATGCGGCTTCGCCAGCGGCTGCGCATACCCACCATTTTCGTTAGGGAGATGTTTCGACGGGGAAGAAAGTGCAAGGATGCGTAGAAGGTTACTCTACATGCGTCCCCTGGCAGCAAGATGTTTCATGACACACCTGCAGGGGTGCTAGAAAACCGAAGAAAAGAGGCTGGGGAGAGACCGCTACACACGCTACAATAGAATACATAGTTAAGCACTTGGGCCTGTCAAAGATACTGCCACTTGAGGACCTGAGTATCGCATGGGGGGATTTCACATCGGCCCTTTAGTACCCCATATTTGTGCTTGTTTATCTAAAACGGGATCGGTACAGCTGCCAGGCACTATATAGCAACCTAAACCGCGGGCCACAATGCCCACAGGTACGGTTCTGCGTAAGCAGAGAGAGGGCGCCTGCGCAGACAAGGATGGCAGAAAAACACGTAACGCACGGAGAAAGCACCAAGCAACGAGGCCTTGCAACAGCTCTTCCCAACCAACGACCGAACTCAGGGGGCTGCTGCTGCGGCACTGCACGTGAGTGCTGCCACAGCAGCTTCGTTTCTTCCATATAACAAAATTTCGTTGGCCCTAGCCTGCGGTCATGTAGAATATATTTCGCTGCGTCGATTCCTTCGCAGCGCACCTTACATCCCTGCAAGATGGGCCAGGGCATCTGTGAAAGGAGGGGCATATCTAGGAGTGCTTCACGTGCAACGTCAATTCTTGTGGCAACCCGACACCTCCGGGGCCCCTAAAGTGCCTCTAAATCCCCACGCAGGGGGCATAAAGAATGGGGTCCCTTCGAACCCTTCAATGCTTTGCACTGAGAGCTAAGCCGGGTAGTAACCCTTGGCAAAGAGCAAGAAATTTAGACTCATGTGTCTTTAGCCCTGTATATGTTTAGATAAAGTGTAGTATAAAGCAGAGACGTATTATATTCAAGTGCCGTGTTCAGACACAAGATTCCTATACTAGCAACCAAAGAGCACATTTCTTGTGAACGAGCACAGCCCATTGCAGACTGTCCCACTTGGCGCCGTGCAGGGAACGAAAGCATTCTTGCAGAGTGCAACGACACCTTAATTCACATTGTACGATCTTTCAAGTAAAGTACTGACTCAGATACTACTGAAGCTGGTGTCGGACACCTAGACTGGTGCTCAGATGCATTTCAGGAAGTGACTGCATCAATGGAAGAGCCTTCTAGGCAGGCAGCCGAACGGTGGGGCGTCGGAGCAGAAGAGCGCCACCAACCTAATCTGTAGTGTCTTGAGCACTACATTGTTGGAACCGGGTGAAGGCGCTACTTGGAGGTCTGCGAACAGATGAAACTGTCTGGTTCTGAGGCTCTTGATGCTAATTTTATAGAATTACCTAGCTATAACAGAGCAGCAAAATTGGGCAGGGGCTTTCTCGCTGCCTTCAGATATCCCCATGGTTTCACAACTACTCTTCAGCGCCCAATTCAGCTGGAATATATTCATTTTGTCGGCGACTACTTCGTCCTGGGGAAACATATTTGGGTTAAAGGCCTTCCTATGTTATGGCTGTTTAAAACACTACTTCAACGGATTTTACTTGAAGTCGCCATAGTATCTAGTCACATGTGTACTGCCCGTCCCTACATTGTGAGCATCGTTGAGTCGTCCGGATCTGAGCAGCGAGAAACGTGCCTTAACATTATGCAGCATATTGCTGGGATATCTTATCCAACGACTCTGTAGAGGCGCCAAGCTTTACCTAGGCATTTCAGTATTGCAGAGTAACATCAAGTTTATGGAACATCATGAATTCCCTTACTTACTTGTCGGTTGTATTTTCTGCTTGTTTCACTGCGTGATAATCCCCGTATACACAGAATCATATCTGTGGATTTGGGCCTAGTTTCAAAGCGCAGCTGGGTAAGGATCCTCGTAGCGCTCAGACGGTGCAACAACTCACTGTCTAGCCGGCACTTTCCCCGCATGCCAGATTCCTATGTGGTAATGACAAGGAGCAGAGAGGAGCTACTAGAACAGAAGTCTGCTAACGGGAAGAGGGACAACAGGAGTGCGATTTGCTGCACCTTAAATCCACTAAGGGTAATCGCAGCTAGTTACATGCCGCATTTGGCTCACACGCTAACAGCATTGAGCCTTATTGCACTAATCTGGCACCACTGTGCAGTAAGTAAGTTGTACTAAGATAGAACCAAAGTTTCCAACTCTTTTCCAATTCTTACTTAAATGTGAATCTGGTAGTAGAGCGTGCCTGTTGTGTAGCTCCGCCTGCTCCAGCTACGGGTTCTGCTCGCAACACAAAGCATCCTCTTGCTCATTCGATCCAGCGAGATGTAATAAAGACCATGAATAAGGTACAAAGGTTATTCCTATCTTGTCATACGGCAAAGGGTATAGAAATGCGCCCCAGCTGGCTTAAGTTCGGCACTGAGGCTCTATTACGACCCTTCGTTGTGCGTGGTCGTGCACTAAATCTTGAAATTCACACTCCGTGCCTTCCAAGCACACGTGTACAGCTTATAACAAACTTATCTAAGAAATATTTGTCTTCATCTTACAACTGCCACACAAGAAATGTATTCAAACAACGCCATGAGCCGCCTCGGTGGCCCCACATGGCAAGTGGGCCATGTGTGCAGGCTCTCGTGTAGATCCTGGCAATTCAGGCGACTTTGCAGCCATTGCCTCTTTATGGAATCAATTCACAGGGTTTCGTGCTAGCAGTTGTTGCACATTTCTGCTTGCATTAGTCCAAGATGGTGCCGATCAAGTCCCTCTCTGCCAGCAGCGCCTCAATGCTGCTCCTGGCCAGCGCAAGCCTGCAGCTGCAAAACTGCGCTGTAGAATCTGCGCCATATTCAGTAGCATTTGGTACTCCTTTACCCTTAAGTTCAGGTGGTGTTTTGCCTATGAATAGAGGGGGTTGTTCGTTTTGAATTTACTCCTAGGGGCTAAGCAGGTTTCAAGATCTCGTAGAACAACCGGTACTGAGGTACATTGTATTGCGTGCCAGGTATTCTCGAGTTGAGACGCTTGCTTGAATGATTCGCTTTGACTTGATATTTGTTGGATCGTATGATTTTGGGCAGGCATGGAAGGTGCTTGCTTGGACGAGATCAACAACGCCCGCTTGGCAGCTGGACTAAATGGCTTTACACAGGCAGCCGAAAGCGACTTACAAAGTCGCCTGCCAGATAATACATATATTGACACCTGGGAGCCTGTATGCGAAGCTTTGCTTCGAGTGAGCTCTTCTGACCGCCACTTCATTACTGTCGCTTAGCACATTGACACCGCTGCACATCAGAAATGTGTTGCGGCCTCCTTCCTGCGTGTTTCAGACTGGCACAAAAACAGTTCACTCTGCACGTACAAGCATTTCAAGGTTCAAAGAAGGCTCATATGCATTTGCGTTTCAAAGTTCCCCCGACCCCGATTGCAGTGTCATTGTGAAGAAGTGGAAGTCTGCACACTCTAACTTCAGTGGCCGCCCCCCGACGAGGAGCGCTAACCCTGAGCTATACAAGAAGCAAGCCAATGTTTCGTTTGTGGCCTTGTATAATCCTGCACCCGATGCCACTGCAGACTGCCGAACCGTCATCTGCACTGAAACTAACCCGCTGAGCAGTGCGGTGCCGCTAGAGGGACAACCACTTGTCCGCGTATTTTCTACAGAGGAAGACGAAGAACAAGAAGAAGTAGTGCCTGAAGAAAAAGATGCAGGGGAAATTACTGAAAGGAAGGGCTACGCGCTGCTGTGCATGACGACGCCTGATGCATTGGCCAATGACGATGCTCCCCCATTTACGTAAGCTGATCCTGCAATGTTCTGCCTGCTCTTGGCATTCCATTGCATCCTGATGAGTTTGTGGTGGATTACACTCTGTTTGTGATGGCAAATGATGTGCAGGGAGTCTAAATGGAGCAAGATCACTACGTCCATCTTGAATTCCTCATCGGTCACACTTCCGAGTCTTCTGGTTCTTGCCACGGCAGCGATTGACTTTGCTTTAGTGTAATGTCTTATGAAAGCACCGATCATGTTGGATATATACACTATACTACAGGTTTCCCCATGCAGTACTAAATGCACCTGCTTAGGGGGCTTTATTGCACACTCCAGCTGTCTAGAAGTGCACTGTATCATAACCGCTCTTTATATTGCTGTACCACCTGACTGCTTTCATTCAGCATAGGGAGCGGACATGCAGCTTATTCCACCCTATGTACCACTACGTTCTTTTTGAGTGATAGTCCTACATGAGACACGAAAGTTGGACCCTGACTGGAATACCTGGTGCATGCTTGTCGAAAAATGGAAAGCATCAAGAGGGGATATCCACAGAATGTGGCCCTCTCGTAGAGGCGTGTCTGTATATGTATGGGGCAGGAAGCAACGATTTGTGTTAGCTGCAAGTGTTTTGGCAGCTACGTCAGCACATTCATTGGCCAGGAAACGATATGGAAGGAACATGTGCAATCGCCTTCTTCAAGGTGCCTTCTGCAGATAGACCTCGAAGATCTGCAAAGACTGTGCTCAGTACGTTCAACGACTTGATTTGTATATTTGCTTTAGTGTTGACAGCATTTACTGATGAGTCATCTGCATGAAAGTTCGTGCTCTCCTAAGCATAGTTACCCTTTGCAATGTTTTGAACAACATTGTTTCCCCTATCAAAGGAGCTGCTCTGCCAACATAGTTGGGCCTTTAACTAATGCATGTACACACTATTTACAATCTTGATCTTACTTTCCTTAGATATCAGGTTGTATCTATTGGGCAGAGCTGCTCGCTGCACTGCGGTGGTGCACCATGCCTGCGTTATTAACTAAAGCCTCAACCGTATGCCTGTAGCTTTTGGCACTCACTATGGCACAGATTTTTTGACATGCATCCAACGCTGCAATTCAGGCTTAAGCATTGACTCAAATATTTTTTCTGCCCCTAATTGCTTAGTGTCTTGTACCTGGTAGTGGACCCTCAATTCTTAAGGGCGTGAAAATCTTAGTGTGCCTGTGTGGCACACCAAGGTATCTGCGTTTCCGCACTTCAAAGGGTCTCCAGACGTCGACGACATGTGCCCATTCGAGGATGGTGGTGGAAAGGAACACACTAGCGGGACGGCGCGAGAAGGGGAGAAGGTGCAGTCCATCCCTGGAAACTGGCACAAAGCGGGGGCCGCAACTTAGCTACAAAGTTGTGGATAGGCGCAGCATGCACCTAGCGGTGAAATACAATCGAAAAATATCGTTGATGTTCGTGTACACACGTGCCTGCCACAAGCTGGAACGTTGCTAAGTAGTTTTGTCCTCTAATCGCACTACTTTGATGAGAACTCTCTCAAACCGTACTGTAAGTGCTGAAACGAAATTCGACTACGAGCCTCTTCATAGCACCGTATCTGGGCATGGAAGCATTGAGCTTATATCCAGTTTTCCGGAATATTAGGAGCCCAGTGATGTCCCTGCAGACGGACCAGTTGCCGTGCCATGTCACATTTCACAAGGTTATTGGCTGCCTGACCTCATCGATATCTGGGGGCATAAAAGCGGTGAGACGAAATGCCCTGAGAAATCAATCAAGTACAATCACTTGCGGCAACAAACACGGTACTTTGTTTCCTGAAGGACAGTTGGATGCACCTCTACGGTGATGTTATCGACACTGAGATTTGCGTGCATGCGTGCTCCTAATACTTGCACTGTTAATATCATACCTGCTTCCAGATTCCCCTGGTGTATAGCTTGTTGTGTGCAGATCTGTACACACAGATATTATAGGTGGCGATATGAAGTATTTTGAAGGCTGTCAACGGAATGGTGGTGTTACCTTGGTATGCTGCACGTAACACTAGGATGTGAATTATGCAGGCTATACCGACCTCTGGTGTGAAAGAATCACTGCTTCCAGCATGCATCTCAAAGTACTACAAACACTTTGTGCTTGTTCAGATGTATTTATTGGTTGCTACACAAGTTAAGAGCGCTCCGAAAGAAGGCAGATACCTCAATCCCCATGGCTGCTAACTTTGTGCCTGGGTGAAGCGAGGTTTCGCAGAAACCAAATGGGATACGTTTCACCCCAAGCCGCCGTGAAGTCGAATCTCGGGAGCTCATGCAGTTATAATGCACCAGCTTCAATAATCAAAACAGCAGTAAAGTATGTGTCTAGCCTGTGGTGTAGGGAACATCCTAGTATTTTACAAGCGTACTTTTATTCCCCAAGCATGTCACACTGACTAAAAGCAAACGCTTTACCTCATCGAGTTGACTGAATTTCCACCAAGTGGATGACTAGTAAAAGTTTTGCTTCTACAAATGCTGCTCTAAGAAGGCATATCTGCTGATAACGCTGGTGCTGAGCATGTAAACACGGCAACTTTCAATCGATGTACTTTTTCAGTGTCTCTTCCCAGTTTGCACCGCGTCGGAAAGTACCCAGCCACATGGATTGCATACGTTACACGCGTTTACAATCGCCAATCCACCGCCACAGGACCCATACTTGACTGTTACCGGTTGAAAAATACCAATGCTGCAGAAGATCTTCACTGTTTGGGGCACGACGAGGCCAACAAGACGCTTGAATTATCTTGCAGAGGCTAGGTGCCTTCGCCCAAGACAAAATTAAAGACCGAAGAGGAGAATAATTCCAGCACAATGAACACCGCAGCCTCTCTGCCCAGAGTGGGTTTTTGATCAACAGTTGTGCTAAGGTTTTAGAGTCTGGTTATCCAGGATAGTTTCGGCCCAACCCTCTCAGATGCATAGTTGCTATTGAGCAATAGGGTGCTAAGAGCTTATAAATTCGCGAGTCCCCATAGAAACAGAGGATATTTTCTATGTTGCTCAGCTGACGGGTGCATCAAGGGTCACATCAAACCTGCACGAGATCAGCGTTTATTCCAAAATTCCGGAACTGCAGATCAACGAGGGGTGAGAACATCACATGATATCGAAAAAAGCCCCATGTGTATTTGCCCGTGACTTGGAGACTCCGGTTTTACCACTGAAAAACACGTGCGTGCTGCTCTCGAGAGGGCCACCTGTGGGGCAAACGCCCTCTTCAAAGCTATCCAAGGAGTTCGAGGTAAATGCAGGACAGAAAAACTTGAGGAACTACTTTGCGCCCAGATTCATTACGCGCTTTCCCTCATTCTTCAATTCTGGTAGCACAACGGGCAAAAACAACTAGCCCGGGGTGCGAGGGGCCCTCCTTCCACACCACTGCACCGTTGAGGCTCTGAGCCTTGTAGTACAGCTTTCTCGGCCCATTTCGAAGGTTTAGGATTACTTCAATTGGCTTCCTGACCCTGGCTAATGCGGATACTTTAGAGCAGAAGGCGCGAAGTGTGTCCGTACCATGGGTGAGGCCGACGCTGTTAAAGGAATCCTCCCATCATCCGGTTGTTCGGGGGCTGATATCGTGGCGTACAAGATACAAAAGCAGCACCATGACCAAGCTGCAGATTACCCGAAAGAAGGAGATATGGTGATCCTCTATGGATCAAGAGATAATATCTTTTCCTGTGTACTCAAACAAGGTGGTGTTTGCCAAACACGGTTCGGCAACTTCGCCCATGGCGATATTTCCAAGACACCAATAGGGCACAAGGTGAGGAGGCTAACATTGACATCCAGTCAGGCACCTCCAGAAAGCACTACCCTTGCTGACGTTGGAGCTTGGAAATTTGGCCGAGCACATTACTGCAGGTCGATGCTTGGCGCACTATCCACGCACTTTTTGGACTCCGTCATGTAATGTGGCTGTCCAAAGGAATATCTTGAATGGGTATGCTCTGTGGGATGCTTAGGTGTACGACAAGCACAATGGCAAGTGGCTGGTGGTCCTGCGTCCAACTCCCGACCTGCATACTCTGGCCCTCCGACACCGAACACAAATCATTGTGAGCATGTGCCTCTTCCCTACACTTTACTTCCTTCTTTTATACATTTAGGTGTGTTTGGCAAGTCTAGGATCAAGAGCTCGGTGTGTGTTTATGCGCAGTATCACGCGGACATCTCGTTGATTCTGAGCCTCCTACACGTCCGGCCCGGGAAAACTATTATTGAAGCGGGTATCGCTCTTGCACTGCTCAGCATAGTAATGTGCATGTTGCCATTGTAGTTGCCGCTGAGGCTTGTGCCGCTGTGCTTTCTCCCCGTGCCGTTGGCCGTTTGCGTCTGCCTCTCTAGATCTGCCCCAGAAGCCCAGTAGTTACAGAGGGGCCTCAGTGCACCAATCCAGTGCTTTCGTGTGCATCTAGACTAACCTCAAGACATACTGCTCACGCAAAAGTGTGGATTTGTTGCTTCCTTTTAATGCAGGAACTGGTTCGGGGTCTCTCTCGTTTTCTCTGGCGGCAGCGCTGCGGCCTGGAGGTCGTTTGTTCACTTTTGAATTCCACGAAAAAAGGTGGCAGGAGGCAAGGTAAGGAGTTTGAAATAATGCTTGCATAGGCGCTTAGCTTTTGATCAAACCAATACTGCAGCGCCTCATGCTCTCCTCACAGGGAGCTCATTGATTTCACCTCACATAGGCAATGAATTCGCTTACTGCTCATCTTATGCTCTTTGCCGTCATTTCTACAGTGTCCATATACACCTGCTGTCATTCATGTGCTCATGATAAATAGTGCATCCGTCGGGAAAAGTGCTGGTACGCGCATTTAAGGGCTTTGTCATCAGGACGGAATTCAAGCTTCTTGGTATTTCCGATGAGGTTGCATCTTTTCACCGTGACGTCTGTACCGAAGGATTTTGCACGCAAACACCGGTAGCAGCAGAGGAAGGAGGGAAGCTCCCAGCTCCGTGTTCGGCTGACGGTGTGCTCCTTGACCTCCCTTCTCCATGGCTGGCGGTAAAATACGCAAATAAGGTCCTCAAGGTCAGCTGTGCCTGCCTCCCATGTGGATATCCTTCTGTCAGGAGACACGCTAGCCGGACTTGCTTTGTTGAAAAGCTAGTCTGAGGAATAGGTCTTTGTATAAACATTTGAAAATATCGGTCTGGTTTTTGTGTTTGGAATGCCTGTTACAGGGTGGAGGCCGCTTAGTGACGTTCTCCCCTTGTGTAGAGCAGCTGCATAGAACCCTTGCTGCTGCGCAGGAGCTTGGCTTTCAGGGTACGCTCCTCCTCATTCAGCTGCAGAAGGACTTAAGACAGCGCAGACACGAGCGTTGTTTGTATGTTGTGCATTTCCTTGGCCTCTGATAAGGTCTGCCAACGTTAGATTTGAAGCGTTCTTCCCGTCTATCCCATGCAGACTCAAGGGGACTGTGAGCGCCGCAGCGGGCAGTCACCATGAAATAATCGTTTTCGCCCCGTCCTCTGCATAGCTGGCAACAGATTCACTGCTTCCCCCGAAGAGCGTTGCCACGTTGCTTCCGGCATGCCACGTGGGCCAAGTGGTGGCCATGTTTGTAACCCGATTTGTTGTATTGGATAGCTGTGCTGCGGGCTGTGCCTCTTTCGTCTACAGACTTCCAGGCCTTTGAAGTTCTTGCCAAACCATGGGGAGCCTGCGTCTCCCGCGCTACCCATGAGCAGCCACGGAAGCAAGAGAAAAAGAGGAAGAGAGATGCATCCGCTGAAGCACGCCGCCAGGCAGAGAGTGATGATGAAGCGCAGGTGACACAAGAGAACCAGCAGCCTCAGGGTAGCTCATTCCCTGTCCTTCTATCTCATTTCTTGCAGCAGCCTCTTCCACATTCCCTTAGTGGAAGTACTGTGCCTGCAGCTGCAGCAGGTGCCAGTTCAGTAGCCGCTGCATCAGCAGCGGGAAACGTTTCCCTTGAAGATGCGCTTCGCGTCAGTAGCTATCATTATCAATTGCCTATGAAAGGGCACACGGGATATGTGGCCGTCTGTATCAGGCCCAGCGAGGATGAATCGTTGCAGCCACTTCCATGAAACGATGTGATAGCACGTTGGTCTCAATTTTGTGTATTTTGGCTTTCTCTGCTTTCGAGTCTACAATCAGACTCTTGTAGGCTCGCCAGTACTTCTAGCTTCTGTAATAATAGTGCTCGCTAAAAAAGACAAGGAGAGGTTTTGCAGCACTTCGACATACTGCTTGGGGTTTAGTGGTTTTGGCTCTACAAGGGCTCTGACAAAGAAACAGCCTAGGCACGGCATTCACTGAGGAAAAAATCGTTGAACTGGTGGCAAAAACGATGCCTAAGTATCTTGAGCGGGGCTTTACGATTCCATGTAAACAGCAATTACGTCGGGTAGTTAGTCCCAACCACCCAGACATAGGTGCACCTCTCTGCAGGCACATGTGAGTATGCACATGCGCCGTAACGTGAAGTACCGTGCAAACCGCCAGCGGCCGCGCGTGTGGGCCTGCTCATAATACGATGCCTCTTTGGAAAGAAGCATTGAAAGGCCGTTTGAGGCCACGAGCACCTATCTTATCAGTCTACTCCTGAGCTCGCATAGATATGTACTTTCGTGTGATGAGTTGTAGATTTGCAAGAACTCATGCTAAAAGAGGCTTTCCAAAGGTCTAGTTTGCGCTCTTGCGTTGAAAGTCTTTGGCACGAATGGTTTTCATAACCGTTCCATTGAGAATGACCTACTAGTGTCGTTTTTTGCTGCAATGCTGAGCTTTACTTGCTACATTACACAGAGAAAACCAGGAAGCAAATTTCCCTGTTGGTTTGCTCGTTTGTTCACCTAGCTTATATGTAGGGTACAATTAGCTCAACACGAAACTGCTCAATGCTGTGTGTGTGTGTGTTATATGCTGTGTGCATCTAGCTGTGATGCCCGAAGTGCTTTGGGAGTATATTTACGCGACTCCTAGGTGTCCATCTCCCCTTTTGTCTGGAACCCTGATGTGCACGAGCTGTGCGATTTATTATACTTGCCGGCGCGCCGTTAGAATTCGCTATGAGCCCTTAGACATTAGCAGTTTTCCGATAGAAAGACACCCTCTAGTTCCCTTAGTTTGCGCCTGAATACTATTTTGCTGTAGGGTGCTTTGCATAGTTTTTGATCACTAATGGGGTTCCTGATCGGCACGTGTCACACGGCATAGTGGGAGCACAGGCTTTAAGCCGGGAATATATGCAAGCGAACCCTGTTCGGCGCTTCTCTAGTCTTTTGGTCACAGTGATGCAGGTTTTTGCCCGCTGCACAGCCTAGAAGCGGATCAATCGGGGTGTACAATATAGGAATAATGGCTGGATCACTGAACTTCGCCCTTTCCAGCATAAGGGGGGCACTGCATATGACGGAATGATCGCGAAAGCCGCTGCTCCCTTTCTCTTGACGATAGGAGCCAACCCAGGTACACCCTTTGCTCTGCGAGGCTAGGCGCTTGCCCACAAGTGGGCAGGGTACACAGGTGATGGGTCTGAGCTAGTAGCGACCAGAGGCCTCTGGCGTTTGACCTTCCCGCTGCAACAAGAGCACATTCAGAAAATGCTCCAATAAACCCCGGATACGCGATACGGGCAACGTCTCTGAGGCTTGTATGTTGGTCTGCAACCCCTCACAGGGCCGCTTTCCCTTCGCACGTTGCCAAAACGGCATCGAGACTGACCTGTCTGTTCCACATAGAAGCATACAGCCCGTTAGGCTTTCTCAGAAGGCCCCCATGTGTTCCGATTTCTGCAACCCGGCCTCCATAAAGTACAGCTATTGTGTCTGCCCCCGCAACAGTGGAGAGGCGATGAGCGATGACCAGCGTGGTGCGGCCATGAGATACCGCACGTAGAGCCTGCAAGTAAAAAAGAGCAAACCACGAGGATACCGAATACAGCGCTTGCATGAAGAACAAACCAGCCTCCAAGGTAGGGGTAGAGCGAGACAGAAGGCCTGCTGCAGAAAAATTTGCGTTCCTAGGAAGGAGGACGAGTGTCGCACTTTCAGTATTTTGTGCTCCGTGTGCGTATCCAACGCGCTGGTCGCTTCGTCAAACAAGACGATTTCTGGATTCCGCAGGAGGCAACGCGCGATTCCTACGCGCTGCTTCTCTCCTCCGCTAAGGCGCAAACCTCGATCACCAACAGGCGTGTCCAGACCAGCGGGCAGCGACTCCACCAGATCTGTGAGCTCGGCTAGCCGGATGGCCTCCTGTGCGCAGAACCACCAAGCAGGCGCAGGGGATCAAACGGTGGCTTGTCTGTGCGACGCTGCAGGGCATTCTGTCTTGGGAGATTGCCAGAAGATATGGCTGATTACGAACAGTGGCGACTCAAGTAGACTTTGCTGGGTATACATTCAGCTACGGTTGCCGCATGCAGAAATGGTTGCAAAGGCACCATGCAGCTGACAAGGTGAAGGCTTCACCTTGACTTGTTCGTCCGTCGCATGCGGACTACCGTAGCGAAGATTGAAGTCAAGGGACTCGTTAAAGAGCGCTACATCTTGGGGGACCACGCCAATGTGCCGCCTGCATGTTCCGGCAAAAATGTAGCAGTCATTCACCCCACACCTCTGGAGTCCCTCCTCACGCAACCACACTCTAGAATTACATCACCACACCCTAGAATTACATTGACAGTCGCGAAATTTGCAAGGCTTGGCTCGAGCTGAGCTTTCCATGGAGTCTGCCCCTAACGTGCAAAGACTGTACATTAAGGTGCGCATGAGGTTCACGCGACAAGCCCCTCCCAGGAATGCGCCTTGCATGCCCTTGGGATTTTGCCAGCTACCCAGCGAAACGCAGGAAAGCACGACTCTCTTCTTTTCTGGTGACGAGGAATTGCTGTCCTAAGCTTCTAGTCATAGGAGACTGTTCTTCCGCTTGCTAGTATGACGCAAACTGCTAGTGGCCCCCTACCCTTGGCTACAAAGAGCGTCCCGCGTTCTGCCCCTGCGAGGGTGCCCACTGCGTTTTCCAGCGGACCCTAAGAACCCACCCACCTAAAAGACATCATGGGAAGCGTCTTCAGGTCTTGTCCATCTATGGATACAACGCCGCGAAGAGGGTCAGCGAGGCGATACAAGAGGCGAATCAAGGTCGTCTTGCCAGAGCCTGATTCTCCCACCAGTGCCACCCGCCTGCCAGCAGGAACTTCAAGAGAAAAGCCGTTCAGAACCAGCTTGCCTGAGGCTGGCGCGGAGAGAGACGTGGGGCTCTCTGCGGAAGGCTGCTGGGATTTCTGACCACGCTGCAGCAGCATTCGATCGAGGGGCTGAGAGGGAGGATACGCGAACGTGACGTCCTTGAATTCTACAGAGCCGCCGCGCAGTTGAAAAACCACAGGATTTGGAGGGTCTCGTACGATTGGCTGCAGCTGCAGAAGTTCCTGCAGCTTTTCCAAGTCGATCGTGTTTAGTGTGAGTTCTCTGTAAGCGGTGCCAATGAAGTTCAGGGGAATCGCCAGCTGCAACAGACACCGCGTTCTCATGGACTCTTGACGCAAGTACATGCGAAAAGGCAACAGGACCAGCCGCGGCAGCCGCGCTTTCGTAGACTATGCAGCACAAACCGGTACATTCTAAACAGCGAAAGACGCATCTCTGCGTTCGCGAGTGAAACTGCCGCTGTAGCGGCATGTCTGTAAGGCTACTGAGTGCGAACCGCCTTTTCTCTCCACAGCCTATCAGCTCACCTGCATGAGCAGTGTGCTCACAAGGACGATTTGACCAACTGGCGCTAAGCCGGCAGCCACGAGATTCGCAGTGTGCACAAGGGCTAAGGCGAGGCCGCTGGTGAAGATGAACTGCTGACCGAAGTTGAGGAAGGCAAGAGACTCGTTGACTTTCGCCGTCTGCTGTTCTATTTGGGATTGCACTGCGCCGAAGCGATGTGCCTCGTGCGCCTCGGCAGTGAAGTACCTCACGGCCTCTGCATTCGCCAGAGAGTCTACCAAAAGCCCTGAAACAAATTCCGACACGAAGACACGTGCAGAGGGGGGCAGCCGGTGTGGACAACCCTTTGCCAGTGCTAGCTTGGAAGAAAGCCTTCCCGAGTGCAAAGATGCGCTGTACGGTTAAAAAGGCCTCAGACAGCAAAAAAGCGAGCAGCGGCGCATCCCGTCACAGCCTTTTGAGGTGAGGCATCGCACAGGAGCCGCCGCGCCGAAAGACGAGGAGGAAGGAGGGGCAAAGAGCCTTGGAAGGAGTCACATGCCGCTATTTGTGCAATCCATGCAGGGGGAGAGGGGAGGGAGAGGGGAGATTATTTTTGGAGCCGTGAAGAGATACCCGCACTAAGGCTCTCGAGGCGGTTCATCTCGCGTCTCAGCTTAGCTCGCTTTGTCGTGATAACAGCTGTAAAAGCCCAGTAGGCGGAAATTGTCGCTATGGCAGTGGCTGCCACTGTCCAGCCTACTCGCAGCTTCAGCAACGCCAAGACCATCAGGAACTCGAGGGTTGTTGGTACCACCTGCGATTTAATCAGAAGGCTGTAGAGGCACAAGTGGGGTCAACACGGACTGCAGCTTCTCCGACAGCCGGCAAGCGGCACGAGCGCGAGGAAGCGGCACATGCAGCATCGCCACAAGCACTATCGCTCCCCTGGTGCTGCTGCTGCCTTTTGCACACACACACACATACATCCCCCAGTGCTCTCGAGAGGTGTCTGTACCAGCCAGCTGAGGCCTACCTGAAACAGGAGAACGTTTAGCAGCATCGAGATGGCACGAGTTCCTCGTGTCAGCACCGAAGTCAGCTCCCCAATCTGTCACGCGCATCCGCAGACGCACAAGGCTCGCCTGCCGAGCGGGTGGTCATACAAGTAGAGTTGCAGTGCCAGAAAGCAGGTGTCGAGACAGCAGAGACGGAGTGCAGAATCGGACAGGACAGCAGCCCCCCAACAGTACCTTGTTAATGTTGGTGAACGAAGTGGAATGCATGTGAGAAAAAGCAACGGCCGCCAACTCGCAGGAAGCCCGCTGCGCGACGCGGGCGAAAAGAGCGGTGCGCAACTCGGTGAAGGCTGCATGCATTCAAATACAGGCACACCAGCCGCCATAAGCCCCATGAGCGAGACACGAAAGGCATTTTCGCCCGAACTGTATGTCTACGGGAGCGTTAAAATATCGGCCGTGAAAAAAGTTGATCGCCCACGAACACGTCGAGCAGCGCCTTCCAGTATCCATCCACCATTGGGTAGCGCTTACCTGAGGCCCCTAGTCTCGCAAGGGGATAGCTAATTACCAAGCCCACGGGAAGGGCAGGATGTAATAAGAGGGCCCCATACGCAGTTGCCCCCGCTGCTGCTGCTGCTCCTCCTGCTGCTGCTGCTGCTCCTCCTGCTGCTGCTGCTCCTGCCGCTGCTGCTGCCCCGCCTGCGATTTCTGCCATCCCTTCTCCAGCAGCCACGGTAAAGTGATCAACAAGACCTGCCAGCGCCACTGGAGCCGCGATGGTAAGGCACTTCGCTGCTAAAAGAGATGCGAGTGCAGCGGCCACACGCACCCGCAGCGAACGGCTCACTGGCCACACTCCTGCTGCAAGAAACCTCCACAGAGGAGCCGCCCGTACAGAAGCGCCGTCCATCCCGAAGGCTTTCATGAACTCAGACGAGCTGCGATTGGCTTCGTTAGGTGGGCTGGAGTGGGCAGTCCCGGTACTGCCAAGGCCTCCGTTTAGGCCAGTCGACTCCCTCTGAGTTGCTGCACTTTCTGCGCTTCTCCTTGCCTCTGTGAAAGAGGCTTGGCTGGGAGGCACAGCCAAGCGCTGCCTGCATCTCGGAGTTGGGGGGAGGGCAGCACAAGGGCTCGATAGAATCCTGGAACTCGACTGGACAAAGAGGCAACGCGTGAGGCTCTCCGTGCGGGTGGAAGGGGCGAATCTGCGCGAAAGGCTGCTAGAAGCAGCTGCGCAACGAGAAAGCGCGTGCCAGGGTGCCCGTGCGCTGCTCGCAGTAACAGGAGAAGGCACAGGGCCTGCTGCCCCAAAGGCGGCATGGGATCGCCACGCGTGCGCCCCTCCGTCAGGCAGGCGGTGCATGCGCTTGGGGGAGAGCTCGAACACCAACCGGGAAACACCCGTCATCAGCGTCATCTTCGAGCGGGAAGTGTTCCTGAAATACGCCAGAGCCGTCTGGGCCCCCTACGAAATAGGGGCCCCCCCTTCATGAGCCGCGCCGTGAGGTGCCATGAGACGATAAAATATCTGCATACATCTTAAGAAGGTTTTCTTAGCGCCCTTGACGCTCTTGAACGCCTATGTTCTCTCGTCCTGCTCAGGACAAGCAAACACCGCCTTGCACATGAATCTGGAGGCTCCCCCGGGAAAAAAGGTGGCTCTATTCGGTCTTGAATCAAGCTTATAATGTAGAATTCGTGTTCCAGCGTGCACAGACTGAAATGCATGCCGAAAGATGGACAGGAATTGAACTCGAAACCGTCGAGTTGGCTGCACTGCTTTGGGGGGGCCCCGGGGGCCCTTCTAACCGCCGCACTCGGGGGCTGAGCCTTCCACCTAAGATCGAAGGCTCGGTTGCAGCGCATCTAATTTCAGATGAAGCATTTAATGGGCAATGCTGCGGCCGGAAAAAACAACGGGCCCTATCTGGCGTAAGAGCCAGCACGGCCGCTGTGTTAGCCGCGGCAGCGCTACACCGCACTGCCTCTATTCTGTTCGCTCGAGTGTGCTTCGAGGAGGTATTGCAAGCCCCTACCTGGCTGAAACGGGATTGTTCGATGGAGAAACGTCCCAGGAGTGCACAGCAGATGAGCTTCTCTCTTGAAGTTCATCGTTCTAGTGTTAGAAGGAGGAGCTAAAGCGGGTGACTCTGCCTGAAAGGCAAGGGTTGTTTCGAGGCTCTTTCAGGTACACACTTTGGGAGTGCTTGGGTCAGCGCTTTGGGTAGAGCGCTCGATGAACAGCGATAGGAAGATTTCGGGGGTGGCCCTGTCCGTTTAACATAAGGGCACGGCACACCTAGTACTACACACTTCTTATTCGATTCCGTTGCCCTCGTTCAGGCTAAGCTTCAGAATGAACCAGTACCGGACAAAGATAAGAACGTTTCTTTGGGGTTAGCCGCGTGGTTAGTTCCTTGTCTCACGTAGGAGGCGCTACGAGAGGCACTGCAATGCAGTGAAGAATGCTGGGCCGTTCCTTTTTTTCGAGAGCCCAGTAAACACACTTTGACCATCCATTTGGTCCTACATGCAAGGATGGCATACAGGGGGAGACGCGAATGGAAACACTCTCCGCTTGAGTCTGCAGAGCCCTGTGTACAATGACAGCGGCTGTACTTTTGTGCGGGAAACGGCAGAGGCACGCGCGAGCTGCTGGGAAAGTTATCTCACGTGGTGCCCCGGGGAGAAGCCCTATCCTCGGACCGCTTCTGCGCTCTATAGAAAATGCACGCAGACGTCATCTGCAGCGGCATGCACCTGTCTGTTCTAAGCGGATTGTGGAGGGAAGATGGAATCACTAAGGTCTTCCACATGCCTCCTGCCGGTGGGATGTCGAAGCACACCAGCTTGCGGAAGATCCGAATGCCAACTCCACGATAAAGCGCTTGAGGGTCAGAACCTTAACTGCATTCATGGGTGGCCATACGTTGCTTAGTTGGCTTCACGAAGGCAGCCATGCACCTCCTTCCTTCCAACGTAACGCTCAATCTTAGGTCCCCGCAGGACGATACCTCACACCACGCTCAATACAAACTAGTGTGTTCTCGAGTGTATGCAAGAAATGCTCCCGCCTTCGCGTGCTCTCGCCCCCATCAAAGTTTCGCCATGCGAAGAGAGTGCCAACCAGGGTGCAGCTACTCGCACCCTGGTTGGCACTCGGAGCATATACAGCTAGTTGTACATCGCGTCTAGTGCACACGCATAAAGCACTGCGCTTTCATACATTGAGCTACGTCTATCCTGAAATAATTCCAATACACGACCGGGCAAACTAGTTATTCAATTCTCCACTGATTCATTATTAAATAGAACTACTGCAGTACAAAGCGTTTAGGTGCAGCCTAGCCCGCTACATACTAGAGCCCGCTGCTCTTTGTCTCCTGTGTCACAGTTCAAAGCCCCTTGTTCACCACGGGAACCGACCGGGGAGCAGGAGAGAGCCTCTCAAGTGGATTTCACCTGGCTCCCTTCACACCGTCTAGAAGTCTGAAACAACGGCGAGCGGAGAAGCAGAAGACCTCCCGTTCAAGGTGCTTTCCCCCATTCGTGGAGCTGCATGTCAGTGCAGGGTTAGCCTCGGGGTATAACAGTATGGCCAGAAGAGACCTTCAGATGCATCACTCCGTAACTTAGCTCACCCCTAGATCCTTTTGCAACCTTTGAATAACAGCGACGCTAGTGTCTCCCCAGAAGGCTCACCCACTAACGGCTGGAAACGCAAGACTCCCGTCGCAGCAAGAGGCCGCCATGCCTGTAGAGGCTCTTCAGCTAGCTATTTGGAGGTGGCAGAGTCCCTCCTTTAAAATGCAGAGCTTGGGAACATACAGAGCCTCAAAGATACCCGCAAACCCATAGAAACCCTAATATGCGACCAATGGACGCCATGGAACAGACCCTTCATTCGCAGCTCCATTGGGTGGAATCGTCATCCAGCTGCACCAACAGCACGAAAAGCATTAATACTGAACGAGAAGAGCCCTATTGGCATTCAAAGGTTCACCAAGTCCGCTATTCGTTACTGCACCCGTCGAGTGCCTGTCCACCCCTTCCCCCCCCTAGATCCCTCAAGGGAATGACTGTGCATAAAAGACGGGGTACCGCTTCCTCCCTTCCCCCCCTCTCGAGGCATGCAGGGTGGCCGAGCCGTCAGTATTCCTTGTTGATAACAAGGGGCTTGTCGGAGAACATCGTGGGGGTGTCTATCTTGAGTAAACAGCAGATTCCAATGAAGCTTCCAAAGAATAGGACCAACAGCACCAGTAATTGAGCCAAAAGATCCTGAGGAGGGGAGGGCACGCAACGCATACACACTGATGAACCGCCCCCCTTCCAGTCCCCCACACACCAACACCCTTCATGACAAGCTCCGGTCCTACCTACCCCATTACACCCCCCAAATCAACCCGGTTCGCCCGCCACCAGCGGCAACAGGAAGAGTTCAAAGACGCCTCCTCCTCCTCTGTGGCTTGAAGGAGACGCGGATTTAGCAAAAGGGATGGCTGGCCCTCAAACAGCTCCACACCATGTAGGAAACACCACAGCAACCTACACGAGAGCAGGAACAGCTCTAACTGCAACGAAACCTGCCCCAGAGACGTGAGGGTTGCAGCCTCACGAGATGTATAGCACCAGCAGGTAGAGCAGCAATCCGGAAGCAGAAGACTGGATACTTACTGCGGTGACATAGTTGAATGGAGTTTCTTTCTTCTGCTCCTCAGCGTTTACAACTGAGGCAACTGCAAGAAACAGCAGCACCACGTGCAGAGCCAGCGTGGTCAGCCCTCTGGGAAGCCCCATGGTGTTTGCGTTCGTTTCCTGCGATTCTTCGAAAACCAATGAGTAAAACTTGCTGGGATATGTGTGAGTGGACGAAAAAGGTGCCGAGGTACGGGCACAGCCGGAGAGCCAGCTGTGCTGTTGCACGCCCCTCTGGGTGTTGCTGGATTCTAGCTCTGTTCCCTCTCTGTAATTTTGTTGTTGAAGAATGTTATTAATTGCATCCTCTCGCGTAGATTTCATTGGAGATGCAGACGGTACAGCACCCTAAGAGCATTGGATGTGCCCGCTGGTACAAAGCCACGTGGGACTGCATGCGCCCGCTCACACAGGAAAATTCCCGTGTTTCCCCTTTATGCTGCGATACCACACCAAATTAATGTGTATTGCTTCTCCAGGGGTCTTTACACGGCCATCAGGAGAAGTTTCGCCTTCTTTTGGCTCATGGCGAAAGTCTATTCAGACAGCCAGAGTAGAAGGAAGCCGCACTTTTTATTCCGCTCTCAGTTAATAAGACACTCGGAATTGTTAACGAACAAGCATCTCTCGAATTAGCGAGGAAGAGTCGTAACCGGCGCGGCCAAGAACTCCCAAGTGTCTTAGAGGGCTGCTCCTGAAAAGCCTTGTGGTTTCTTCCTGCTGGGTCTCCTGTGTGGCACGGCTGTGGAGGATCCTGGCGCCAATGATGCAGAGGAAGCTTCTTATGGACGTACAAAGGGATTCCTGAGGGATACCTCCCGTTGCAGCTCCCCCTGGCTTGAGTGTGCCACAGTTTTAAGGGGTTGTGGGTGTGGAGTGCGAGCAAGCAGTAGTGCAATGTGTGAACGTGGAGTCTGGCAGCTGCAGCAGGTCCTTCTGCGCTACAGCGAAACGGGTTATAGTAGCAGTGGAGTGCGGTTCTATCTGAAGCATTTGCTTCCGAGTTGGGAGCAGAGGAATCCCCAGGTGCGCCCTTGTTTGTACACGATCTGCCCAGTATCCCGCCTCACTGCAGAAGCGCTTATCCACCATTGCGGTTCTTTTCCTATGTAGGTGGGGATGCATACGCGTATACATGTGCAGGCTCCTGCGCAGTTGTGCCCCTCTGTTTGACGTCCCAATAGGAATCACGCTTTTCAAAGTAGTATTTCTAGAGTATACAGATGTTTTGTGGAGAAACATTTGGATAGGGGTATCTGTGAAGTCCTTCTTTATGAAATCCACCTGCTGCCCCTAAAGATCCAGCCGCATCCATTAATGTATGTATGGAATAACTGGTGCTGGGGAGCTCGCAGTCCTGGTTGTACGCCTCTACTTGCAGCACCCCTTATATTTATGCGGCGTTCTCTTGCGCACTTTTGTGTTCAGGTCAAGGTGCTGGTACAACATGACAAGTATGCCCAGCCCCAAGCAACCTTCGTCTTTGCTTCAGGCGCACAAGCAGACGCCCCCCTGGCCAACTTGCAGCCGCGGCAGTTAGAGGAACTCCTACAACTGCATCGAGACAGTGCAGGCCCCAACCACTTTCTGAAACACGGGGGACCGAAGGTGTGGACAGAGAGACGCTCGATTCAGGTAATGCTTCCGGGGCTCAGGCAAGGGCGAAAATCCGACGTTTGTTTCCATCAGCCCGAAACCCCTGCTAGAATTGAGGCATGCACAGCGCCTCATGCGATTTCTTTTGCGTGTTCTTGTGGTATCCTTCCTTTTTCCTTTTCTACAGGGTCTATGGCGTCCGTCACTCCCCTCACAGCTGTTGGCACTACGGTGGTTCAGACGCTCGCGCCCACCCCTCAGGCTCCCCAAGTACTCCGCCGAGGGCCTCCGGCTGTCTATACAGGCCATCCGGGGTGAGGGCCGATGGGGCTCTGAACGGGAGTTCCCAAAGGGTTGGGATCAACTAGCCCTCAAGTATGCCCACTGTAACCCTCTAATGCTGAACCCCGTGCCACCCGAGCCACAGCAGCAGCCGCAACAGCAGTAGTTGAAGTGCGCAGCAGCCCACTGGCTGCTGCACAGTCTGCAGAATCCCAGGGGTTTACTGCGCCGTCTTCATTTTACTCCCTTACTTTTTTTGCCCATGAAATTTCTTTGCTAGCTTTCAGTGCACCCACAGGCTGAATGGCTTAAAATGTGGGCACTTCGGGAACGGAAGCCCGAAAGTTCAAACTGTCTGTACACGCAAAGAACACACAGCTCTCGCGAGGTTCTTTCCCTACCGCTGTTGCCACTACAGAATAAGTAGATTACCCTTATTTCGTAGGAAAATTATCTAAGACCAATTAGATGTATAGTGGACCCAGGCCACGAGTTCGGGATCCGCTGTAAATTCAGGGGGTTCGGTTCCAGAGCGACCGACGATGAATTATTTTTCTTCCGCTTGGTTCTCTGCAGCAGTTCTCTAGATGTGATGATATAATGGGCAAGTCACTAGCCATGCAGTTTTCTTCTTGTGCTTCTCACAACAACTGCAAAAGCTAGGGCCCTTTGGCCCCCTGTCCTCGTCTTCTATCCACCGAGGGCTTTCCTTCTCTCGCCTTGAGTTATTCTTCGGTTGAAAGGCGCCCTCAAGCGCAGTACTCTTCGATGGCGTAGCCCACTTTACGCTGGCTCAAGCCGACAACGTAACTGAGTTGCTGCTGTAGCAACAGGAGCACCAGTGGGGAGGGCCGTCAGTATATATGCACATTACTCAGGAGAGCGAGAAGGTGCAGTAGCTGGTTACTTGTAACCAACCTCTAGCTGCTGTCCCCTATTCCCTCCCTACGTGCATGTATTTTCCATATATCCCGTGTGCAGAATCAAAAAATGCACCTTGAACAGCGACATGTGCCTGTCCATGCACCCTATTTGCGTGCAGATAATCCAGAATACTATTTATATTGACTCTCGGGTTCCTGCACTAGGATTAGATTTCTGTGGGCTACAGACTAAGAATAACATTCAACCGTAGCGCGTAATCTGTTCTCCTGGTGAGCCTCCCAACCTTCAGTTCGTGAGCTGCAATTCCTCTCATCACCGTTCATTTCGTAGAAGCAAAAATCGGGGTCAGGAAAAACTGCATGCACGGTGGTTTGAGAGGGCAATGCTACTGCGCAAGACAAAGATTACCTGCATATGCCGTGGGGACTAACCCACCAATCATAGCACAACAGTGCAAGTGGGATTATCCTTTCTGGTGGAACCACCCTGTGCCTTTATGTAGGCGCGAAATGGCCCCAAATAGGCCACAGGTATGCTTTTTCAGTAACATGCAAAAGCCCAGAAAAGATTAACCACATGAGTCTGAAATACTCCCTAAATAGGGGGGTTTCTAAATGAGTCTCACAAGGCCCCCAAGGGAGCGGCCAAAGAGATGGCGCGTGTTTAGCTTCTCAGAGGATTTCTAGCTGCTTGTTCCTCCATCCGTAAAGCCCCTTATAGGTGTCAAAGATGCGTCTAACTTCTTCCACGAGGAGATGGTGACCGGAAGCAATATCCTGCGTTGTCACAGAGCCAGAACGCCGTAGTGGTTGACAGCACTACTGCCATAAAGAAAACGCAAATTCATTCTAGTCCACGTCCCCAATCATGCATGCGCAGTTTGTTCATCCTCCGATGCCATGCCTGAGGCCCTAAGTGGGAGCACCCATGTAAAAGTGCAGGGGAGCGTCTCTTGAAGCGGAAACAAAGGGGGAAAGAGAAAGCATACTTCTCTTGAGGGTTGATCCACTTGAGGGATTTGCAGGGGTCGCCCTATTGCGTAAAGCAGGGGCACGCGAAACGCTACAGGGAGGCCAAAGCGGCCGTAGAAGGTAATGAGCGCAGTGCGCATCAGCCTGTCCACAGCAACAAACTCATATTGAGCTTGAGCAACCGAACTCTCCGTCAAGCAATGACTCCTCTGCTGTGTGGCATGTAGTTCACCGGCCAAAAGCTCGCTAGAGCCGTCTCTTTCTATGGAGAGGCGGGAGAGCATCATGCGAAGGTGTGCGCATGCAGTGGCACGGAAAAAAGAGCACTTAGAAAGTCAAATTTTACCCGACGATTCCGCCTTTCGTCCGCGTACACCTCCGAATACAAAGGCGAGTGCTTGCCTGCTAAGCACCCGCCTTTGTATTCGGGATCGATGGCTGGAAACCCCCCTGAGCGCACCTGGCAAATGGCTGGAGGAATCGGATACCCCAGGGGAGGCGGTAGGCTTGGCTGTTGCCAAAACAGTAGACCGGCACCAACCGCGCCCCTGTTTGCATTGCGAGACGAACAATACCCACTCGGTCCTGTAGGTGAAGGCGTTCCTGAGGCATCAGAGGTAGATGAAAGCAGAGGCAATTCGGTGACCCGTCAAAGGAGCAAATAAACAGAGTAAAGGCACTCATGCATGTATATATATATATATATAAAGCAACTAGGAAGGAGACGGACAAACAAGTACCAGCCTGCGGAGCATAGCCGCCCATGTGATGAGTGCGAAAACAGAGAAAGCACGGTCTGCGCTTTATGACTTGATACTCTTCATGCGACCCGCTTTCTGCTCCACTCCCTGCGCTACAGAGAACGTGGCGAGACGGACAGACATATGTACGGGTAGGCAGCCAGTTACCTCTGTCGGATTCGTCTCGTATATTTCCGCAATGCCTCCCGGAGACACCAGGAGGCTCCCTCCGTCCTCAAGAGACTGTTTCATTGAGTTTCTAACACACCAACCCAACCGCAACAGAAACTAATATATGCAAGGGGTCTCGAGAAAAAAGCGTCTGTATTTGTCGCTTTCTGCGGTTCTATAGTGGCATTCATAATACGCTTATACATATGCACAGACATATATACACATATGCTCTGCATTGTTGCGTGGCTTTTCCCCTACGTGGTTTCCCATCATTTGCCTCGCTCGAGCGCGATCGATCAAATTCATAGACACTCCTAAAATTCCCTGCCTACCCCCTCCCCAAACACGGCCCCCCAGAAAGTCTCTCCAGATGCCCCCATTGGTTACATGAGGCTCACATACCTGTCTGCTGGGATCGCGTCTGAGAGAAAGATGAGCTGTCCGTACACCACACACCAACGCACTATGGAAGCCGCTGTCAAGCGAAAATAGCCCAAAACCTTACCAAAGTCCGCAGTGGCCATTGCCGCCTGAAGCAACATAGACAAAGAGATTGAGCTGGGAAACCATCATGGCGGCAGACACACATAAGTTCAGAAGCAGTTTGTAGAGTGAGAGAGACATCGTGCTGTAGGTGTCCGACAGCCGAAAACGACCAGCAAGGATGCAATTCCCACTCCGTGCAGGCCTTCCCCCCCTTTTTCTCGCTTTAAAACCAAACAAAAGGCATGATGAATCGCATTTTTGGAAGACTTTGCCGAAGTTAGCAATTCGCCATCCTCGACAATTGCTTTACCCTCTTCCTGGATAGCCCCTACTGCCCATTGCCGTATCCTCCATGCATGCTCAAAGATTGCTTCTCCCCATTCCTGCACGCCATTATTTAACTCATGACACGTACCGGGGCTGTGGGAACTATACCGTGTGGGAAAACAGCGAATATAGTTGGTTCACGAGGTGGAAAGCTTTCTGTACCCTCGACAATGGCCGACGTGCGATGATATCTGTGTAAGCTGCGCCAACCCTTCCACCTCCGAACGGCAGGCCGAGGGCGAATAGGAAAAAAAACTATAGACAAAACAATCAAGGCAAATATCATCTTCCTCTTGCGGGTTGTACAATGCCGCCGCCATATCCAGATAAGCAACACCGGAAACCACATAAAAGAGCCTTGAACCAGCAACTGCATCAACAAACAGCGTATGTCCTCTCCCAAGCTCAGCTGGTCTGGGGGGAGTACGGGAGGTACTGTGCGCCATGGTACGGAGGGGCCGGTTCCTAGCCCTCTGCTCATGCTGTTTCCTCCGTCCACAGGTGCGTCGGATGCTCTGTACCGCAGCTTGGAGAAGGCAGGGAGTGGACGTGAACGCTGCTGCTGATCCGTTGAAAGACCCACGCCGGCATGCTGTGAGTACAAGGAAAGAAAGTCGGCGTCAATTACCACCGGATACTGAAGGGGAGAGAAACGGTGAAGAGGATGACGTAGGGCTTGCATATACTTCTTAAGGGCGGATGCGTGCTTCAGCCTGGTCTCCATGAAGGACCAGTCCATACCCACGCTGGCGCAGCTTTTTTCAGTAGAAAGAGCATCCTTATGAGCTGTTTTTGTTGAATATAAAATACCCCGCGGGACCCGCGGAGTCAGAGTCAAACCCAAACGGGTCCTTTCGCTGGCATCGGGGGCCTTCATGGCACTATGGAAGACAGATCGCTGGTATATGCACTTGTTAGGTTCTCCTTGTACCGATCTACGGGTGCCTATGCATGTTAGTGCTGTCTGTGCTCAGGTTTGCCAAAGATGGAAGTGCTGGCGAATGCGGCATTGAAGTTCAAGAAGGAAATAGCACCATGGATATATGAGCGTAAGGAAAAGATTACTGCCACACCTTTTCAATGTTACAAGAGAGGAAGAAGAGGAAAAATGAGGGAAGGGATGTGGGGGCTATTGCGTGCAAGACAGAGGATCAGCTTTCTCAAGTGTGGTGTGTTCCAAAGCTGCGGCCCATTTTGCTTAACATGACGAGATAGTATAAAGAGCTAGCCAAATGAAGATCGAAAAGCTAAATCCATCCACCGAAGGCATGCAGAGCGTCTTTCTTTTCAGTGTTTTCTGCGCCCAGGGCCGACCTGCTATTGTCGCGTGGTGGTATTACATCAAATGGCGATTACACCAAATAAACACCAGTCCAGTGCCTCACACTTTCAAGTTCGAGTTTATTTATGTAGAAAACCAAGCTTACTAGTTTCGAGGATGCACGGGTCAGGGTGGATTTAGATGAATGGCCGGAAGTGACCACGGGCGATGACACCGGTGCGTGGCAGTCTCCAACTTCTTCGATTAATCGCTCAGGTTGGTTTATCTCGTTGCTTTCGTTGAGTTTGGTTTCATTTTTTAAGTTTCTTTCAAGTTTACTGGGGCACCTTTCCTTTCTTCCAAGCCAGTGTCTTTTACCAGCCAGGTTGCTACGCTTGTGATGCACGCCGCTTTCCTCTGCTGCCTCTGGGTTGACAACAAAGTGCTACAGAAGCATAACATCCTCTCAGATGGATGCATTGGACAGCTTGTCGGGAGGTTTAAGCCTTCATGGAGGGACTAGAGTGAGAGCTGCCCGAGTATTATTGAAAGACACCTACTTGTGCGCCTCGTTCTTTGTCTTGTTTCATACGCATTCAAGTGAGTCTTCCAGCAGACATTTAATATCTAGATGTTTGCCTGCCTGTTAGATTTGCATTTAATTTAACGCAATTCCGTACTTCAATAATGTGGGGAGCTGACGGGGAAATCGCACGATTTGGGGGCACCAGCCCTTGCTATCATCCACGTTACAGGATTTTACGGTAATTGATTTTCTGCTCGCTTTGATGGCTGACTTCCACCCACCTGCATGGCTGCAGATATTACCCCTTTCTGGACAATGTGGACATGCTACGCCATGGCACAAAGTTCAGTGATTTATCTTGCTTTTCTATTCCACTACCGTTTACTGAACACAGGAAAAAAATACACAGTCCCCAGACGGCCTCAGATTATTGGACTGCACCCTCTTCCCGAAAAATACTGATCATCTGACCATGCTGCACCTAACATTAGTTACCTATAATGAACGATTCTATGAAAATCAGTCAGCTGATTTGGCCGTTCTTGTGTCGTATTTTCGGAGAGTAGGATAGCTCGAAACAAAAAGAATCAAGTGTGTGCGCCTGTTCGTTAGTCATAGCGTTCATCTAGCTATGAATACTCCAAGTGGCCAGAGGATAAAGCACGTAGCTTTGCCTGTCCCCGCTTGCTGGAGCTTCCAACGGTGAGGGCAAGGAAAGGCGGGAGCTCTTTGGAATAGTGTATTGGGTTTGAGGTCCGTGTGGCACTACGGAAACATTACATGGAGCTTTACACACTTCGGGGTGGGGATAGAAGGAAATGTAAAATAAGGCTGGTTGACTACTCACGAATCAGTACGAGCAGCCAAGGGTCGGTGATGGACTAGGGACCGAAACTCTCATGGTGACGGACTACACTGCTCTATTTTTAGTGCCTGTTGATAACTCAGACCGCATTCCTTCAGCCTGCTTTTTGCATGTTGGATACTCAGCCCTTGTCTCCATGCTACTCCCTGGCTCACTGTTGCTTATTTCGATTTTTAGCACCTCCCTGCCACCATCAAAGGCTCCGCTGAAGGCTTGCGGGATATCTAGAAGATCAGACATTTACTTACCTTGCTGGCACCAGAGCCAAAGAGGCGGTACAACTTACAAACTCTCTACTTTGCTCTCTTTTCTCCGCTTGTCAGTGTTTTGCGATAGCCCTCCAACTTGAGTTCCAGTTCTCTCCCCGCAATAAAGAGCTTTATTGGGGTTGCTTTTGCTCCATCTTCAGACCTTATGGGCATTTGGTTTGCTTGGCTGGATCCCCTCATCAATGTGCTGCGGCCAAGTCAGATATTAAAACATACACATATTTAGTGGAAGCAGCAAGAGTGAATAATGTTCACATATATCAGCCTGTGGACTATCTAGGCAGGTGGTACTGAGAGTGATACGGTCTCAGGGCCAAACCAAAACACTCTCATGACCTGCCAACCCGTACAGGATGCCCATTTGATCTGAGCTAGAGATGTACTTCAAGCATAGCCGGTATGCTGAGGCCATACATGCCTGTTTCATCAGGATGGAACGCAAGGTGCGACGAGGTATCACTATACCGTCGCTTGAAGTGGTTCTCAAACGAAGCTAGCACAATTAGAGTTAGCATGACGTGAGAATCGGAGTGAGCAAAGAACAAGTGGGTTTTCTCGGAAAAGTAATTGGGCTTACGAGGATGTAAAGAGAGCAGCCCTTGGGCTGACTCTTGAGACAATACAGCGTATGTACTGCATTTGGCCTGAAACCAAGGCATGTAGCCCCTGTAGCCACAGCTCTTGCACGCAGCCATACAGATTACATAAAGATTATTCGTTGTTTTGTAGAGCATCGTGTAACCGTTTCGCTTCCAGCGGGGGCTTGGCGCAAAGGATGCTAAGGTGAAATACATTTGCCTCCCCTCTGCGCATACATTACGATGCTGTTGGCCCTGATGCCACGGCAGTGCTAAATCAAAAAAGCAACATTTTGAATTTTGGGGAAAAAGTCCGAGGACAGCTTTTGAGCCTCCGAACTGGCATGAAAATGCACAGTTAAGTCAGGGACGGGCTCCCCACCCTCTTGCACGTTGTATAAGCACTGACACGGTCGTCCGCCTTCGGGTTAAGCACCAAGAGGTTTGTTGATTTGTAGAGAACCTTCTTGAAGCGTCTATTAGCTTGGAGACCCGTACCCCAACCACCGTATTCCTTCCTCACAGGTCTTCAAGCAAAGCAGCCAAGTCGTAGGCAAAGAGAGAGCAAATGGCAGACGGTTTACCGCATGTAACTCTCCTCTACTCCCTCTTAAGAAGACCTTCTGAATGGCCGCAGTCCAGATAAAGCTACCCAGTATACCATCAAACAGCTTTACTCGATATGGCGGGATCACGGTCACCAAAACCCCCGCATATACTACCCCATTACGTTTTTATCAAAGCCTTGCGGGCGCTGCTGCAGTAACTGCATATCGTACGATTTCTGTAAGAGCACTAGTTGGGTGTATGCTCGGCCTTAGACCATGAATGGGCCATTCACCCTGAGATAGATTATTGTTCTTCTGCATTTTGAGTTCGTCTGTTCTTTGCTCAGCATACGCTAGTGTTTAGAGTTTAAACGTGTACTCGAATATACAGAAGCAATGGCCCAGGCAATTCTATATGACGGGGTCCACTCAACCCTTTGGGTTGTAAATTGTTCCCCTAATCAATGCGCCCACATTCAGCCAAAACCCATCGGAGGTACTCCGCGCAGGATCGTGAAGCGGCAGAAAGACAGTATTGCGGGTTTTTTAATGAGATTTGTAGGGAGAGGGTAAATCCTGGTAGTATATACTTCTTCACCTGTCCATAAGAAAGCCCCTAACCCATAAAACGTATCAAAATTTGTGAGAAAGCCATGAATTGGCCCGTTAAAGAAGGCCCCTACTAACTCTCCTAGTCGTTGGGTTACATTTTTCCGGCATACGCTGTAAAGTCAAAGCTAGAGTGCACGCCGCCGCACCGTCTGAGCACTTCGAACATCTGCAGCAAGTTGCATACAGTAACCTTGAGCACAAGTAAACATTATTAGTAGGCGTATTTCTGAGTTGAATTACCTTGCTCTACAATAAGTAACCTATACGACCACCCCGAACAACCAGCTGCTTTCTAAATACAAGTCACATAGTTAAATCCGTCATAGTGTGACCAGGCTGCACACAGTGGTTCCTTAGGGCTTCTTAAACGCTTGCTTAAGATGGTGTCGTGGACTGAAGGCGCGCCCAGAGTTAAAACGTGGTAGGCCGGAGAAGGCCTACCTGCAGCTCAACTATATAGAAGCATATAGGATGCCCTAGGGAGACATCCATGGGGCAGCAAAAACTTGAAGGAGCTTAAAAGAGGTGTTAGGATGAGTGTTCTCTCGGGCGTTTCCACACTTGCACACAATTTACTACGCTAGATACATTTGATCAAGAATGAGCCAGGAGGATTCAAACTTGCTTGGTTGTTCGTGCATTCTATCTGCTGCGGAACAAAAAACTTTTTAGTGATATAAGATTTGGTATTGCGTGCATGTCTGCTAGTCTCTTGGCGCACTAGAGTGTGAATGTTTGAAGTGCCTGAAGGGATTGGTAGCAAAGTACACTCTAGCTCACTGTCCCTCCTCCCCGTCATCCTGGATTTTCGCAGGAAGGGCAAAATGAATAGAAAATTCGATTTTCGATCCCTTTATAGCTTCCTACTAAGCATCGTATGGAGTTCGGCGCGAAAAGCATCCCCGTGTAGAGGGCATTACAGGAGCGGTACATTGTCATGGGAGCAGGCCAGAGAAGAACTTAGCAAACCTCTGAGGGAGCTTCAGGCTAACGCTAGTGTGTCTCGACGGATTTATGAGGGAAAATGTTGGCATTTTTCAATGAGGATAATCTCTGCGAATTGTTTGAATTCCGCTACTCTGCGGGCCACTCTTAAACTGGGATGCCCAATGGGTAGTCCTCACAAACGAAATGCGTTTAGAAACAACGAAAGCTCCAATGAGTGGCAAACCAAGCTGCGCATAATACACATTAGTATACAGCAAAAGGGATAGAAGCGGTGGTCCGTCCACAGCAGAATTGAGCTTGAGTTCCCGCGGCTCAACAGATTGATGACGAAACAAGGGAATATGTGCACAGGCCCATACCTTATTCCTTTTGCTGACTATATTCCAACAGAACTATAAAATTTAATCAGGGGAGAGGCAAAAGGTAGTCGAGGGGGAATTCATGGCAGCAACAAAAGCAACAAGGAGTCGCGGCGGCGGCTGTCCGCCGCGGAAGCCGGTAGCAGCATGTGTCCTCGTCAGGCATCTGCTGCGGCGAAAATGCGGCGTCCGCCCCGTTTTTTGTTTGCTTTAATTCTGAGTAAGAAACCTCAGAAAAATTCACATAGTCCCTAGCGGCCTGCCGTTGGATCCCTGCTGCCGCACTACACTGCCGAGGCAGCCCGCCCCCACCGTAGTAGCTGTTCTCTTCTTCTGTGCTTTCATCAGCCGCATAAGCTTGAGCGAAGAGACGCAAAGGCACTCAAGAGCTTATAAGAGAAGCAGTCAAACAGAGGGACTTGGCCAGCGTTCCGGTCTTGCCGGCACCAGCATCCGCAGCACGACTCAACGCTTACTCTACCCGTCCATCGCCGGCGCCACACGAGGAGCGTAAACAACAGCCGCACACACTTTTATGTTAATCATCTGGACAAGATAGTCGCTGCTGCTGATGCTGCTGCATGCGGCTCAGCTGCAGCAGTCAACACCAGAAATCATAGAACAAGAGCCTAATATTCCCTTGATTGGACAGTCATTGAGGTTGCCCGCTTCTTGGTCCTTTTGTCTGCTTTAAGCGGCTGGGGAGTTCGAGGGAAGTAAGGTTCCCTTTACTTCTTGCCTCATCCCTGGCCCCGAGACTCCAAGCCGTTGAGGCCTTAGCGGCGAAAGGGGGCGGCGGTCGTTCTAGGTTTTCCTTCTCCTCTTGCCGCGCTGAATCTTTGATTTTTTGTCTCGAAGATGAGTGAAGCTGTCGATAAGCACGTCCTCCGCAAATACGACATTGTTCAGAAGCTCGGAAAGGGGGTGAGCTGCGCGCAAGTAGCCTTTGAAGTAGTACACACAGGGCCCCAGAGAGTACAGCGGCCGGCAGATGTCTCACGCTACGTGGCATGTGGAATCGCAGTTGAGCTGGCAAGTGCGGTAGCGCTGCGAAATGAGAGAGGGCTCTTTCGCTTATTATTTTGAATTCGAAGGCGAGGCGGCTTTTGGCTCCATGGTGGCGGGTGAAGCGGGATGGCCGCTCTGACTGCTGCCGCTTATAGTGTGTCTGTGGCTTGTGAAGCTGAAGTGGGAGCAACAACAGAGTTGGTTGCTCTTGAGATTCTCTTTTGTGGGCGTACGAGGCTCGGGGTGGCCTTTCTTGGCGTTCCTGTTTTTAACGCCAGGGTTTGGGGGATGTGTATTCATTGGCATATGCATGGATGAGGCCGCGGAAAAAGTTGTTTGGCACTTGAAGGGGGTTCCGTAATCGGTCTGAAATCGGATGTTCAAGTGCCTTGGAAGGGTGGACACCTATCCTCTGTGTTGCCAGCCATAGAGGGCTCTCGTTCATTGTATCCTCAGTGGAGGATGGATGGAATTGGCTGCCTCTGTATGTACGATGTTCGTGTGTGTGTGTATATGCGTGCTTGTTTGCTTGAAAGTTAGGGCTGTCATAGTGCATGCGGTGGTTCTGGTGTTTGCCTCTGTGATGCGTTAATTGTATTCTAGGCCTATGGGGTGGTCTGGAAGAGCTACGATCGCAGAACCAATGAGGTGGTTGCCCTAAAGAAGATATTCGAGGCTTTTCACAACGCTACAGATGCGCAAAGGACCTTCAGAGAGATCATGTTTCTGCAACAGCTGTCTGATCATGAGAACATTGTTCGGCTGATGAATGTCTTGAAGGCGGACAATGACAGAGATATTTACTTGGTCTTTGACTTCATGGGTAAGGAGTCGCATGGCTTGAAGGCGGGTATTCTGAGAGGCTTTTTCGGTGTCTTAACGGCTGCTTGCGACGTTTTCGTGGCAGTGCAAAAGCGTTCCCGCCTGATGCTTTACACACGGCGGAGAACCTTCCGCAATGAACTTTGCGGAGAAGCGGTCACAGTTTGCCGGCCATGCCTGTTTTGAGCATGGAACCCCTTGAACACGTCCGCATGCAGACAGGGAGAGGAGGGATGCGGCGGAAATATGGTTTGCAGGGAGCAGGGTGAGCCGGGGGGGTGGCAGCATTGGCAATTGACACTTGCACCTGGTGATACTGTGCGCTCAAGGGTGCTGTGCTCGAGCGTCTTCGCGTGTCTGCTCAGAGACGGATTTGCACGCGGTTATTCGCGCACAGATCCTTGAGGCGATCCACAAACAATATATCATTTACCAACTCCTCAGAGCCATCAAGTATATGCATTCGGGTACAGTATGTGATAATACTTTGACATATGTTTGTTAGCGAACCTCTCGGAAAAGCACCAGGAAAGCGCCTCAGCAACGGAGGAGCTGCAGGGGGCGGCATGTGTGTATGCCTAGGGTGTTGTTTGTGCAGACGCATGTGTATACCTTTAGCTGTTGTGTTTTTGTATGTTTGTATGTGTCTGCTGAGCCTCTCGGCGATTTGCCTACTTAGTTGCAGAAAAGTGTCTTTCTTTGCGGCTCGTCTATGGCGCTCGCTTCATGATGGACAGCCCTCTTGTCGTTTGTGTTGTTGACTGTGTAGGGGAGCTCCTCCACAGAGACATGAAGCCCTCGAACATTTTGCTGAACAGCGAATGTCAAGTCAAGGTTGCGGATTTTGGGTAATTTTCGTGTTTTGTTTCATGACTGCGTGCGGTGTTAGCTTGATTCCAGAGTATTTCCGTGCCGCTTTGAGGCGTTCAGTTGCCACAAGCGGTCTTCCCACTTGGTTTAGAGAAGTGAATCTCCCGCAGCTCCTTAGTGCTGCGGGGGAGAGGACGGGGGAGAGAGGGGAGAGAGGCGGCGCGTGCAGTTATTATTTGCTGTATATTTTTTTCTCAGCTTTTTCGCTGAACTTCGCAGGGTTGCGTCGTGCACGCCTTCTCCTGCACGCGTTGGTGCGGTGTGGTGTGTCTGTACAGCTTGGCCCGTTCAGTGGCGCATTCGGAGGGTGGCGATGGCGGCAGTAATCCGGTGCTTACAGACTATGTGGCAACGCGGTGGTACAGGGCCCCAGAGATACTCCTGGGGTCGACGTGTTACACGAAGGGGGTGGACATGTGGTCGCTTGGATGTATCTTGGGGGAGCTTCTGTGTGGAAAGCCTATTTTTCCTGGTCAGTCAGCAGGCATAAGGCGCATGGAATTCTGTCCCTGATTGCGACTTGCATCTTTTTCTGGATTGTCACTTGTCCAGTGTGCGGAGATGAGCAGGGTAGTGGCGATTCTTTTGTTGCTAGGGAAAATGTGGTAGTGGAAGGGGAAGGGAGGGAGGCAAGGAGGGCTACTCCGGTTGGGCGGCTTCGAGGCCAAAGTTTCTCTCGTATCTTTGCAGTGCCTCTCCTATGAAAAGGTCAGATTTCGGTGGGTTGTGGGGTGACCCTCGTGCTGCTATATCCCCGTATTGCTGTTGCTGCGGTGCCTTCAGGAACTTCCACGATGAATCAGCTCGAGCGCGTTGTTGCTATAACGGGGCGACCCTCTCCTGAAGACATTGCGGCTATCCGCAGTCCTTTTGCCGCGACAATGATGGAAAGCTTAGCAGTAGTTAAGCAAAAGTCAGTGACACGCAATACGCTTTTCTCAGGGTCGTGTGTCAAGGACCTGTCTGTGTGAACAGCTGCCTTTTACGGTAGAGTGGGGGTTACTCTCGCCGTCATGGGGGGGTGTCTCCTGTCTCGACACATCAGTGCCGCCGTATTCCTCCTTGAGCGCAACAACCTTGCTATTCCCCATCTTCTCCGCAGTCTTTCCCTCCATAAGCGTTGCACACTGCATTGCCCGCCCTACCGAATTTGCTGCCTTCCTGTACTCCCGCTATCTGAACGTCTCCTGTTTCGCCCCCTCCTCTTGTGAATGCATGCAGAAATCTTGAAGATTGCTTCCCAGATGCACCCGCAATGGCACTGGACCTTTTAAACCAGCTCCTTCAATTTAATCCTCTCAAGCGCATCAGGTAGAGAGTGCTTTATTTCCCACTGTTTCTCTCTCGATGATATCGGTCTCTCTTTCTCTCTGTCTCACTCTCTCTCTCTGTCTCTCTCTCTCTGCTTCTCCGCTTTTTTTCACGGGGGCTCCTATTTCGTGCCTTTTCGCGTCAAGTCTCTTTTTGCCTCGCATTCCGCCGTTTCTGCTGCTACAGAAGAAGGGCCGCATGTGAGCGTGGCAGGTGTATGCCTGGTGGTTGTCTGTGTGCAGCGCGGCAAAAGCTCTCGAGCATCCCTACGTGCGTCAGTTTCACAACCCTGACGATGAGCCCGTTTGCGACCACATCATTACCATTCCCATCGACGATAATACCAAGTCCGTACACAGAGCATTATGGCTTCGTGTGTTTTAGAAAGGGGTGCTCACACAAAAGAACCGTTCTCCCCGCACATGCGGATGTTCTTCCAGTGGGGGAGTCTTGTCTCCGTAGAATTTCTAGGTCCATGGCCATCTTCTCCTCCCTCTCGTTTTACGATTTTTTTGATGCTTGTTGCGTGCTCTCTCACTCTATCGGGCAAGGGACTGCGGCTTTCTGGCGGAGTCTCCCCTTCCTCCAACCCCCCTTCCCCCCACGCACAGCTAGCTGTGCATGGCTCTGTGTCGCTGTCCTTCTTACCCCTCCCCCCTTCTTCGAAACAGGCTGTCTCCTTTAAAAGCCTTAGTTGGTACGCACGGGGCCCCAGTGTAGGTACACCCGCGTGCATGCATATGACTAGCGGCGCATCGGTCCTAGTGGTGGAGGGGCTCCCACGTGTTGCATGCTGCCTGACGCAGGTACTCGGTGGAAGACTATCGAGAGAAGGTGTACAACGAGGTGATTCGCAAGAAGAAGGAAACAAGACGCCATCGCCACGTGCCCTCCGTCGCAGCGCAGAGCACCCCCTGCTCGACAGCCACCACAACAACGGGCAGCAACAACAGCAGTGGATGTACAGCAGCTCCCGGAGGGGAGAAGAGTGCGCATCGATCCAGCTCTCATTACGGATCCTCTAGGCCTTCTGCAGGGGCTTCCTCTGGCAGCCACCAGCAGCAGCAGCCTACTACGGCAGCACCCTCCGCTTCTCCCGTCAAGAAAACAAGTGCCTCCATGTATCCCCCGCAACAGCCGCAGCACCGGCCAGCCCCATCGCCTTGCGCGTCTCCTGCGGGGGTTGCTCCTGCATGCATGCAGCAGAACCACATGGCCTACGCTACGACGACTCCTCAGCGAGAGGGATCGGTGGCAGCCTCCAGTGCCTCAACGCAGTACAGCGCAGCGCACCAAGGCTCCGTAGGGGGGGCTCATCATGCCGCCCCCCACTCCAGATACCCCTCTTACCCCTCCGCGACAGGAACTGCTGTCGCTCCTACGGCTGCCAGTGCCTCGTCTTTCTACGCGACAGCGGGGGCTTCTGCCTCTCCAGTGTACACCCGCTACGCTACAAGCGCTGCTGGCAGCAGCAGCAGCAGCGGTCCCGTCATGAAACATCGAAGTGGGGAGGATCGCAGCGAACGCGGCACAAAGAGCAGACCACAGGTCAGCCTCTTCTTAGCGGCAGCCAGCCTCTCCGGTAAAGAGAGGTGGCGTTGCCGCCTCCTCGTGTAGACATGCCTGAGTAGAGCAGGGCAGAGCAGGCCAGACTGCTCCCCCCTTCCGCTTTCTATTCTCCTCTGCGAGTCGGCAAGAGAAAGAGACAGAAAGAGAGGACCGTCTGTCCTCTCTCTCTCTCTATTTCTCTCTCTCTCCTTACCAGGGAAGGACGGAGGGGGGGCAAAGGCAGGAAAGGGATAGTTGTTTTTTTTCCGTGGCATAGTTTTGTTCACTTGGACTTCTTCATGTTTTGCAAGTCAACGAGGGGAAAGGGCCAGCACAAACGCCTTTGGAGTCTTGGACAGACTGTGTGTGTGTGTATGCCGTAATAAAGTTGTTAAAAGTATTGGGGGTGGGGGTGGGGGGCCTTCGCCGCACACGCATGCTCGCATGCGTTCTCGGAGCTATTCATCAAGACGGTGGCATCTGTTGCGCATGGGGGTTGTCTGTGTGCTTTTCGTTGCCTTTGCAGTACTGAGTCTCGCTCGGCGCATGCCGCTTTCCCCTCCCCCTACCGTCAGCTCACGCGCTGCCGTACAGGCCAGGGGCACTAGCCTACAGCAGAGGACGGAGATGAAAAATTAGATTTTTAGCAACGCCTGCGGGGCAGTAGGCATTGCATGGAAGGTCTTTAGGGACGGCGCGGAAGGCCTTTTTTCCTTGTCGGTTGTGTGGCGAAATTTCGAGGGATAAAGGGTCTGCGCATAGAGAGCCGCTTTTCCGTCCTTGGGGCCGGGGAGATCTCTGGATGCTTTTCGTGTTTTTGTTGGGTGGCCGTTGCGAAGACGCGGTGCTAAACGGTGCCGGAGGAGGAAGAAAGGCTGCCCTTGCGTCAACTGCAGGGGCGAGGGAGGGAGAAAGGGTTGGCTAGTTGAGACGGGGGAGGGGTGGTAAGCTTCCCCGTGCCGGCAAAAGTTGTGACGCGCAGTGATGCAGCAGCGGCTCATAGTCGAAATAAAGCCCGCAGCTGTTTGGACTGTGTTCTTTTCCTGGGGAGTCGGGTGTTTTTGCGCATGCGCGCACGCAGTGGCGAGGTGCCTGGTGTGGTGGCTGGGGCCAAGTGGGTTTGCAGGAGGGGCAAGAGCGTCGAAGGGGGAAGTTGTGTCTGCGTGGGGTGGCTTGCTCTTCCTGTTCCGGCTGTACCCTGCTGTCTAGTGCAACTGCTGTTTAGCTCTTGAGGCCAGGTCTTCAGTGTGACAGAACGGCTGTCTTAGTGTCGGCAGCGCGCCGTAGAGGAAGGAGCTTTCACGCCGTGGCAGAGAGACGCGTGGCTAACCGTTGTGAGAGACACGCAGTCCGTCTGTTTGCTGCCAAGTCAGGCAGCAAGCAGCAGGCCCAGGCCGCTGAAGCAGGACGGTTCGCAATTAGGAGGGAGCAGATAGAATCAATAGAGCCCACACCTCGCGGGAGATGCGAGAAGGAGCGGCGGAGGGAATGCGGCAGGGGGTTCCTTAGGGGAGAAGGGGGTTGCAGCAACTCTGACTTGCCCTTAAGGTCGGTTCATGCCTTGAGGGAAACCACCGCCTTTGCTTTAGAAGAGGCGACACATGAGTAAGAGACCTTTAGGGCTAAACGGCCGTTTAAAGGCCAGTAATTGTTTGCTTGTCGCTGTCTTACTGGCTGGTGCGCGCTCTTCCATAAGGAATGAGAGTTGGAGTCGGGGTTGCTGCTTCTCTAGTGAGCACGCACTGGTAATTGTGGCAACAGCGAGACTGCGTCTTCTGTGCCGAAAAGGACAAGGGCCTTCCCTCTGAATGGTACGCGGGCGTGCGGCGAGCGGTAGAGGCTGCAGATGTTCTAGACCCTGCATGCTGGGTGAGACGGCTTTTTCGTGTCTTTTTCAATTCCTTTCTTCATGGCACCCTTAAAAAGGATTGAGAGCTGGTTCGTCGTCCACACCATCTTTGTGTAGCATGGCAATAGCGCGTCCTTAGGCACGCCTCCGGCGAGGCAGACACGCGCGTTCCTTAAGCACGCCTCCGGCGAGGCAGACACGCGCGTTCCTTAGTACACCTCCGTACTGTGGGGTGAGAAGGTCATGCAGAGGAAAAGCTGCGCACCAGGAAAAAGGGAGCAGTTCCCCCTGGCCGGGGCGCTTGGATAAGCCTGCTTACTCCTGCCGAGTACAGACGCAGTCTGTGACTTGAAGGTTTGTGCAGCTGCTCCCACGAGAGCTCTGCTGTGAAGGTCTGGCCTTATTTATGCCTCGTATTTCTCTGTTAGCCTTCCCCTCGTCCTGGCGACCCCTTAAAGCCTGTCGTCTGCTGGCTTGCAGGTGGCCCCCGCTGTTTCCCGGCAGTGCTTCTGCAGTTTTTGGTGCTTCTGAATGCATCTGCTGGATGCAGTGTACAGCCACCCTGGGCTAATGCATGTCAAGCAGCTGAAGATATATCTGAGAAAAGCGCGGCCGGGTAGGGCCCTGTGGCCACCCGTCGAGCGCTGGCTAAGAACTATAAAGGTTCGAGGGGGGCACGCGGGGAGGGGCGAGAGCCTTGCCGCTCGAAAGTGAAAGCAGGATCTCCAAACGAGGCTCGGTTAAGAGGGTCCACGCGAAATCCGAAATCTATTTAGGAAGACGCGCAGCCGCCAGAGGCACTCTGCTTCCGTTCGCGAGACGCGAAAGAAAGAACGCGCACGGCGCGCTCTGCATGCGTGCCGTCTGAGCGCCCGTCGGCCGCAACAGCAGCACTTGGCGTGTGAGCGCAAAGCAGCAGGGTGCACTGCTCGCGGCCAGGCGTCTTAACAGGCAGCTTCAGCTGCATGGTGCTGCTCTACAACGTGTGCAGCTGCGCGTGGCAGATCGCTTCCATCGAGCCTTTTGTCACCTTTGCCTGGGCTGTTGCGCTGGCGGGAAGGAATACAGCCTACTGCTATTCCAAGGCCCCAAAAGGTAATGCGCCTTGTACAGGTTCTCCCCAGTGGAAGAGGCATTTGCTGGCCCCTCTGCAGGCTCTACACTTTGCGCTGAGGCCTCGCCCGAAGGGGCCTCTGGCCTCGCCGTCTCAGGGGGCCCCCCTGCAGGGGGCCCCCCTGCTTCTGCTGGGGCTCCTTGACGCTGCGGCAGCAGCTCTTCTGGAGCGGCCGGCGGAGCGGCATTTAGGAAGAAGGAGCGCAGCATGCGTTCCTCGTCGGGCATGGAATCTGCCTGCTCTAGAATTTTTTGAGAGACGTGCTTGCGTTGCTGGCGATCTGCCTTTTGCAGTTCACCGACAAGGCCAAGCAGGTGCTCGATCTTTGCCGTATCCGAGTGCGTGTCACCCCCCCACAAAGCCCAAACGTCGGACTCCTCAGAAGGCCCTGATGATAAGTCCCCTGGGAGTGCCGTCCCCTCCTCTACCGCTAGCAGCAACTCCTCAACAAGCCGTGTCTCTAGGAGGTCTTCGTCGCCTAGGGCACTGCTGCCGCTAGGCCCCTCCCCCCCCCCTCTGCCATACCCATTCTTCCGCAGCACCCTATACTTCAGCAGCATCCGCTCATAAGGCAGCAGCTGCCTCCCCAACAGATATTCGCAATCCGTCTCTGCCTCCAGCAAGCTGGTGTCTTCCTCCCCGTACGCGCTGTGCCCCGTCCCCCCCTGTTTCTTGCTCATGCTGCTACCGCAGAGAGCAGGCAGATCTGCAGCATCAGCAGCGACTGCACACGCCGTGGCCAGACTGCCTTCCTCCTCGTGCTGCCCTTCAGCAGCGCATGCCGCTCCTCCGGGAGCACTGCCGCCAGACACACTTCTTGCTTGGCAGACAGAAAGGGCAGCTCCAGGAGGCCCCAGAGAAAAACGGGGGCCCCTCACGGCTTTCTCAAGACTGCCGCTCAGCGCAGCGGCTGCTGCGCGCTCGACAAGCCTTGAGCGGCTCGCAAGAAGATCTGGCCGCATCCGTCTCTGTTCGAGGAGAGCTGCCACCTCGAGGCGGCGCTGCGTCTTCAGAATGTGCAGATGAAAGGCCCCTGAGAGGGCCTCCAAAGACTTGACCAGAGCGGCATGGATAGCCTCCGGAAAAGCACCAACAGCGGCACAACACGCTGCTTCCGCTTGCTGCATCAGCTCCTCTGCCCACTCGCGCACTGTCAAGGGGCTTCCCGAGGGAGAGACACGCCGAGGGGGCCTCCAGCCCGCACTGGCAGTGCGATTTCTGCTGCTGCTGAAACGGTCTACGGCAGCGGAGAACTCTGCGGCGGCTTCAGCGGCTGCGGCTGACTCCGTGTCGCAGCCTGTAGCAGAAGCGGGAGGCACCACTCCTTCTCCACGCGCTGCTTCCAGTAAAACGTCGGAGCAGGCAGAGCCTGAGCTCCTGGCACCTGCTGATCCTTTCCTGAGACGCAGGGAAGGAGGCAGAGAAGCTCTGCGCCTTCTTGGCCTTACGCGCCGCAGCAAACGGCGCCAAGGATCCGAACACTGCTGCTGCTGCTTCTGCACCCCCTGTGACATGTTTTTGCTGCTGACTTGCGGCAGCGGCAGCAGCAGGGGAGCTGGCAGCCGTCTGTGATGCCCGCAGGGGCGGTGCTCTTGCTGCTGCATCTGCAGTTGCAGCTGCAGGGAGCGAGCCTTGACGAGAACCCCTCTCGCTTTTGGAACCGAGGCAGAGGAACGCAAGCGCCTGATGAGCTGTCCGAGGTGCCCCTGCTGCTGCTGCAGCTGACCAATAGTCTGCCGGCAAGCTGCGGATGCCTGCTGCTGCTTCGTCGACGACAAGCTGCTGAAGAGGGCAACCATTTCTCCCGCCAACTGGCGCCTCGTGGATGCATCGGAGGCCGCTTGGGGGGGGGAGGGGGGTGCTGCAGGGGTGCGGGCAGTCAGGCGGAGAGACCCTTGGGGGGTGTTTCCCCGCCACTGATTGAGCGTGTGCAGAGCTTCGTCTCTCCTCTTGAGCTCTGAGGAGACTTGCTGGCGCTGCCGCCGATGAAAGGCCTCAAGAAAGCTCACGCTGCTGGAGCCTTGAGGCGAATTGTGCCCCAAACCGGAGGATCGGCAGCGGCGGTACGGCTGTTCTCCTTCTGCATGGGCGGGCAGCACATATGAGGACTGACATGCAAGCGGCACGCCTAGGGGAGGCGGAGATGCGGGGGAAGAAAACTGCCGGGAGTCGTCGGGGTTGGGGCCACTCTCCTGAACAGTTGTGCCGGAGTGACGCCGCATTTCTGCATGCGGCACTTGTGCTGGAGGAGAGCGTGCTGCTGGAGAAAAAAGCCCCGCGGGTGTCAAAGGTTCGCCGTCGTGGTTCAAAGCTCGTGCATTCGTCACATGCGGCGCAGGCTGACAGTCAGCAAAGCTGGAAGGAGTCACCTGAGCAGAAGGCGGCACCGTCCGCGGAAGATCTGCCGCCACTGCGAGGCCGTGATCTGCATCTCCTGGCATTGTAGAGTGTTCCGGAAGGCTGTGAGGATGCGAGGAAGCAACAAGAGACGCTGAAGTGTAGTCAGCTGCAAGAGAACTAGGGGACTATGACGTCCATTTTCCCGCTGGGGTTGTGGCGTTTGGTTTTGCCCGTCCACATAAGAAAACGCTCCAGACTGCTTAGCGCACGAAAAGTCATTACTGCCTCAATTCAAATGCACCGCTCGATCACTCGGGTTGCAGCCGGCATGCGGTAATTTCCTGCCGCAGCCCCAATTTGCCTGCGAGAAATAATTTACGCTGCGGAGGGCTCTTTCTTAGTTGAAATTCAGTAGTTGATTTTACCTTGTTCCTTCAAATTAACAACGAGAGACCCCCGTGAGGTAGAAGCTATGCGGTTGTGCCCGCGGTGGCAGTGGGCTACCATCATCGCCTCTAGGCCCTCCGTCGCCTCCTCGAGAGGCTTTGGTAACTGTGGTTCCAATTGTAAAATTCACAATTGGAAGAGATGATTAAATTCCTGTTGCGCCCGTCAGATGGTCGAAAGGCAGTCACAACGCGTCTCCTGGTGATCGCGCATGTCGTGATGAACCGATGCAAAACATGCTGTTTAATGGGTAAAGTTTTGCTCCAATGCCTCCGGAGCTTTCTACGGCCTCTTAAGGTAGCTTTTAACGTATATTTAGAAGAATAACAGGGGGCGGCTTAGCGCTGCTGAGTCGGAGATACTGGCGGCACACACTTCGATTTTTCTGGTGAACAATGAGCTATATCAGCACAGAGAATGGTATCCCGCGGGTCGCACTTCACCTGAATAGGCGCTGCAGCGTTTTTCAGTTCCCAGATGCGGTACGAGAATCCTATGTTTAGGTGCCCCCAGGTTTGCCATTGGCTGCCAAAGGACCAGGGGCTGACAGGCGTAACTGCCAAGGGTTAAGCGTAAAACCCAAGGTACATACCAGGTGTGCACTGCACATCCTTAAGACTGCGCTTGGCGCCTTTTATAGAGCGCTTCAACACAGAAGTTGAACTCGGATGCCAAACTGCGGAGGACCTAGAACCCTGGCCAAGACTCCCTCTGTGTATACCGGCTGCCTGAAGAGCTCAGCTTGATTAGCTGCCTTGGTTGCACAATTTCTGCAAATTCTTGTCCTAAAACGGCTGCTTTGCCCCCAAAGCACGCCATCTTTGTCAATTCCAACGCCACAAATCGTTCATCTGCCTGGTTCCTCGTAGATCGAGCTGGTCAGCGGTGCTGTCGCTGTTGTGGGAGAGTTACAGCCATCTAATTCTCTATTTCGCGCCCTGGATATCCCTAGAGCTACGATTTTATATAGGGGGTTGTTTTATGAGGAGCCCTTCCAGCAATTAATGGCTCAGCTTGGGAACAATACTGTGAGCACTATCGTTTGCCTTCGTTGGCAGTCAATGGCAGCAGCAATTGCACTAGCCTCAACACCATTTTATATAAACGAACCTGAATTTTCGATCGAGTAAGTAAAATACCTTTAGCGGGCGAAAAAGTACTTCCAAAGAAACACCGACCCGTTTGTACGGTAATACGGTGGGGCCGATCTACATCCACACGTGCGATCAAAGGCCAAACCCTGTTTTCCCCTTGGGCTTTCCAGAATAGAGCTTCGCTGTTTGGGATATTCAAGCTCAGAGTTCGCCCAGATCTCTGTCAAAATGGATCTGCGAGGAGTAAATAAATCGATACGCCAGACATCGCGATTGCGTCTATTATCCATTGTGCTTGGTTCCATCTATAGATATTTACGGAAACACACCATGCTGTAAAAAAATACTTTTGTATGCACACAGTCAAACACATATGTATCTATTCGCGCAATATATCTCTGTATCCTCTCTGCTGTCGGCGTTCGCGTCACCTATCAGCCTACCAATTGATGGCTCTCCACTCCAGCGTGCTTCCTCCTCCTACAGCTGGAGAGGAGCGAAGCGTATGACGCCCAAGCAAGCGGAGGCTCCCTGCTGCTCTGCTTAATACGGACACTCTACCTCGCGCCTTCATATCTAGAATATTAAGCAGCTAGATTAATCCATGGACGACACTTCGTAGAACAATTGAGGCACTCCAGCCTACGAAAGGCTCTTTTTTAGAGTCTTGGATGGCAAATAAAAAGGCATTATGCATCCTATCAAGGAGATGGATGGCTTGGGCGTTATCTGCCTCCCAATACTTGAATGCAGCAAGAAAAAGCTGGAAATAAAGAGTCGTTGCTTGGGCTCTTTTGCTTATGAGCCTGTCAGCCAAGCCTGTGCCATCCTATTGTTGCCTCTAGAGATGCAGGTGATGGCGTGACACAGAGTACTGCTTCTTACGTGCTGCGCGTCCTTCTGCATTGGCCACACAGTCACGAGGACTCCACACGTGCAGCCCCCTGCCTCTTTCCTGTATCCTGAACCACAAGCAGTGATGACAAATATGGTGGAAAATCCCAGAAAAGTAGCCGCTTGAACGCCAGATAAGTAAGCAATACACTCATTCACTCAGCACTCCTAGCGGCAACGAAAAGGGTCTAGGAAGCTCGGGCGGGAGTCTGAGCTATGTACCGGGCAGTACGTACTACTCGTCCTCTGTACTAAGGATCTCAGAAAAGGCAAGCCCTTCTTCTACAATAAGTTTCCCGGCAACTGGTGGATATGACAGAATGGTCCTCTCAACACGTCGGTCGGGGACTTCGTGCCGTGCTTTTTCCGCTGCTTGGTTATATTGCTTTGCTTGCGTGTGTGCACATTACTCTATTCAACTGATCCTTTTCGATCCCAAGTTTCCTTTCCCTCTATGAGTGCATTCTCATATTATCGGGAACACGCGGAGGTTCAATTGATTTTTCTGAAAGCCTGAAAACGCGTTTGCTCTAGGGTTTGGCTGTCTATTTCCTGTAAATCAGGGCTAAGTTCATGTGCGAACACAGTGTGTGCAGTTGCCTGTACGCTAGACTACTGTGTATCTACTCTGTTCAAGTGGCAGGACTATTTATCAGGAGCAATTTTGTGCAACGCTGCTGTACTTTCTCCCCTCAAGCCCCAACCATGTGGGGTGAGGACGACGACAGCCTGGACTTTCTTGAAGGAATACTCATCTATTGTCTTGAGTGTCTTTCCGGGGGGCTGCTAAGGGTTGGCGTACGCAGACACCGGAAGGAAGGAGCGCAAAGCGGAAAGGAGTTAGTGTCGCGGGCTTTGTCTCATTTCAGCACTTCCTACTACACATGTTGCTTTTGCAGAATTACTCATAAGTTGACTAATTGATCTGCCTGTTTGTACATCTCATTTATCGCAATGCAGTGTTTGATCGACACAAACAGACACAACAATGTATGCAGATGTGTTGGATGCTATGTAGGGCTAGCTGTGAATGTTTGGAGTGCTTAGAACGTGCAGCAAAGTGCACCCTAACTGCCCCTCTTCGTTCAAACGGGGAGTCCTGAGGAGCGTGTGGTGATTGAGGGAGAACCTGTTTTGTAAAAGCACTCCATAGCTTTCTAGCATGTATGTAGAGCCTCGAGGCATGCATGGAGCCTCACACCTTGCACCTTAAATGAAGCGCTTTAGACCCCTTGACTCCGGCAATCGGTAGCATGCTTCCAATTCAGGGTTCAGGATACTGATCGGTAAACACATGGAGCTCATGTATTAACCTTGGAGAAGACTTTGTAAGTGCACAAGGACTTAGCCGGAGATTTTTATTACCGATCCAAAGTTTCCTACTAGGGATTGGGTTTGAACTTGACGCCAGTCGAGGTATTTGCTGTTCACACTGAGTGCACAAAGTCCGCGCCTCAATGCGGAGTGCATGCGTATTCTACCAGCCATAAGGACACAAATGTGAGCATGTCCATATTCAGGAGGATATGCTCTTTGGAATTTTATCTGCCGTTCTACTTGGAGCGGCCTGCCAGGCATCGGGAGCTTTATCGACATGGGGCTGCCCCTCAATTCTTTAGGTTATACGTTGCAGATCTCTCTAGTGTACTGTGATAACTGAAGAAGACGGAAAACAAGGATCTGAGTCATGTTTTTCAATATGCTGTTGGGGCGCGAGCCAATCTGTTGGCATTGCTCGGTGTTGGCTCGCATTTGGCTTCATGCATGTAAAAGCCGTGTGCTTCTGTAAAAAGGGAGAGCATACGCCTTTTACCTTAAAAGCCCACTGTAGTACACTGTCGATTTCCGGGGCCGCCGCTCAGGGCAGCGATGGGAGACAAAACGGACGAAGAGATGAGGGCGGGAGGCTGTGCCTTCCTCGTCTGCCTCAGGGCTGCGGAAAGGGCGACGCCCAACGCATATTGATGACCAGTCCCGGAGTTCTGACCTTGAAACGACTTTTTACGCCGATATTTTAAATCATTTTGAACTTTTGGGGGTGTTTTAGGCCGAGCCACAGACACGGTGTCCCTGGTGTACAGACATCTCGGGTATCGCTTGACCGGTGGTGCTGCAGCCGACTTCTATTGGAGAACGTGTATCGTTTTCCCCATACTTTGTTGAATTTCTTTTGCAGATCTTTGAAGCTTTTCATTTGTACCCAGCATCTGGTCTCTTTACCTCTTAGTTGAGTGTATTCAACCTACTGCACGTCTGGCTTCTGAGGTCTGTTGTTGCCTGCAGTCAACAAAGGAGACCGCCGCTAGAAACCGCATATTTTCTGTCTATGATTTCCAAATATCTTTTATTGTGCATCTCTTTAGTCGTTTCTTATCAAACGAAGCGTCTCTCCCCCTCTCAAGGACCCTCATCCTGTTGCAGCAGGCAATCCTGTGTCCCTCCAACAGCCCGTAACTGAGGTCTTTCTCTTCTCCTTGCGTTGAAGTGTCTAGCCGGCTTATTCTCTCGCTTGATGAGAGCTTTTATGGAGAGTGAGACAGTCTATTAGGAGTGCGCATCACCCCAGGAAAGCTCCGGAGATCGGAGGCCCACAAAGACACGTGTTCTTTCTGTACAAGCCAGTCGCGTGTCTTTTCCATCTGTCTACGAGGGCTCTCTGACGTTCCGCCCTTCCTTCCAGCGTTGAAAAGGGGTACCGTTGCCGATTTCCTCTTGGGGCCTTGGCGGATCTGCGTATCGAAAGACCCACTAGCCCCTCAAGGCTTGTTCTTCATTGCAGTCCGACATGTAGTGCCCTTTATTGTGCATTGTTCGAGCCGCTACGCGCGCGAAGAGCTTTTTCCAGGAGCCTCTGCTTAGCGAGGTCTCAGCATTCGTGCACAGTACAGAAGGGTGCCTGAGAGGAGTATCACGCTGCCAATATGAACTGCAACAACAGAGGCCCCGAAGGCTTCGCGGGGGGAACAAAGGGGTCTCAACCCCTTGGCGCCGTCTTGCAGCCCTCCAAAGTGGCGATGCAGCATTCCTTTCAACACGGGGGGGCCTTTCAGGATTCCCAAAGCAGCGCCCCCCTCAAAATACATCCCGGGGGAGTGCAGACATTTAGCCAGGGGCCCCCGGCGGCCTTTCTCTGGCAACAGAAGGGTCTTAGGGGCCAGAGGCCCCAAGCTCAGGCTCAGTTGCATGTCGGCGCAGGAACCGTGCAGGGATCTGCGCGGCTGTCGGCTCGCCTGCCTCTCTGCGGGTTGACTTCCCAGCAGGGGCATGGCCTTATGATGCCACTCTTCATGAATCAAGGCCTCCACTCCAATTCGTGGGGTAACCCTGACATGTGCCAAGGCTTTGTGAGCACTGGGGGGGGAGTGCCACAAAGCCCTGCACAAACGTTAATATCTGAGGCTTCTTCTCGAAAGGGCCACAGCCGAGGGGGCCCCTCGGGGCCCCTGAAGGGAATCGTCCAGGGGCCGGTGATTCCCAACGAAGGGCAGCCGCTCGCGCATCCTCTTGCCCCCTTTGTTGCGCGACGGGGGCCCCCTTTCGTGACAGCTGTGTTCTCCTCTGGGGTCCCACGAAGGGCCCCAGGGGCCCCTCCCCCGACCCCCGGGTTCAGCCGCCTCGTCTACAAGGGGCCCCTGGTCCCCTCGAAGCTCGTCTCTCCTCCGTGCAATTCAGTCTCAGTCTCTCCTCCTACGCCCAGTAGGGAAGAGCAGCAACATCATCGCCTGCAGCAGTGGCAGGCCTATGCCATGCAAACTCAGGGTCGCCTGCAGGGGCCGCAGCAACAGCTTCCTGAGAGGACCAACTTTGGGCCCCCCCCCCCCTTCACGGAAGGGCCCCTCCACCAATCTATGGAGGGGCCCAAAGGCGTCCCTGGGGGTGTCGTCTTCATGCAGCAGCAGCAGCAGAGACTACCACGCCAGCTACCGGCTGCCGCTGCTGCAGCAGAAGTGCAAAACTTCGGAACGGCCTTGCTCGCGCAGCCTCCGGACCCCCATGCGGGAAATAAGCACCACCACCACGCTCTCAAGAATTTGTTGGGTAACTTAGAAAGAGAGCAGGAAACCCCATATAGGATAGGCAAGGAATATGCAGAGGGCCTGCAGCTAGAAGGAGAGGCTCAAGCACCCCAAAGTGCGCTGCAGAGCGAAGGTGAGAAGGCGGGAAACGCTGTTTCCGACCCTAACGGGGGCAAAGCTCAGAGCCAGCTGTGTGACACTTGTGACGAGGACCCCGCCTTTAGTTGCGATTTAGAGGAAAGCTCCAGTCATTCTGCACAAGAGGGTCCCCTGTGGACACGAGCCTCAACTGGAGGCGCCTTGCCACGACGTAACTCATTTAGTCAAGCTGCTCGGGGCCTGCAGGGTACTTTAAATGGTGCGAGAAGTGCAGGCTTTCGCTCTGCTTCTGCCCAACCTGTACCGAGCACGCATCCCCAGGAGGAGATTTCCGATGAGCAGTTGCTGCTACACCACGAGGCTCACATCTTTAGCCCTAGGAGTGCTCTGGCCTCTTCCCAATCCACGGCTGCTCCCTTAGGGGGACCACCTCCTGCAGAGGGTTGCACAAGCATGGGTGACTTAGCAGCCTCGCAGCAAGAGACAAGGCTGCGTGAGGCCGGGGGGGGGGACCTGACGAGACAGAACCGTGAAGAAGGAGCCATCGAGGAGAGGACGGCAGAGACAGGAGAGGGAAACTGCAGGGGGCCCTCTACAACCACGGCTTCGGATTGCCAAAGCACAAGCGACAGGGATACCGAAGATGGTCTTGATGAGGAGAGCAAGGCACTTAGCAAGGCTGATGGTGATGGGGAGGAACCCCAGCCTCAGCCCGAACGGTATATCAAGGTACTAGTACCAGGTTACGTGGAGTGGAGGCAACGCCAGCTGAAGGAGCTGGGGGGGGGGGGGGCCTTTCTAGTGAGTTCGAGGACTCTTTAGAGTCTCGGAACCAAGGGACGACGGGGGAGGCTGCATGCACAGACTGTGCGTGGGATACTGAGCTTGTCGTTGAGACATCCCGAAAGGGCTTGGGGCGAGAAGTAGTGGTAAACACCAAGCAGTGCAGAGCAGAGCGACCCCTCATCAACACCTGCGTAGAAAGACTGGGGTGGACGCGCGATGACGAGACAAACAACAAAGGTAACAAACAGAGAGAAGGGCAGGAAGGCAGCCGGGAGGACGGGGAGAGGGCATATGTTGTAGACAGCTGCAGGCTCGAGGGTGCTCGCTTGGGGCAGCAGAGTCCTTCGAGGCTTTTGCGGAATGCACGGGGGATAATAGGATAGAAGAGCATGCAGAGAAATGTACCCAAGTGCTGCAGGAGTCAGAGCGGTGACTCTAGGAGCACCTTCCTGTAGGGCGCAGAAGAAGGAGGGGGAGGGAAGGAGGGCTGGACTCTGAGAGTTCAGGTGCTTTGTGCTGGTGTTCGCGCTGTCTCTACATCTCAGGAAACATCATTTGGCTGGGGGGCTCCGTGCCGGACCACGACCATTTGCATTTTATGAGAAACGCACAAGTAGTGAATCGGTTCCCTGGCATGTGGGATATGACAAAGAAGAGGATGCTCTCCAAGATTCTCTACTTCTACCAGGACCTTTTCCCTGAAATCTACGACTTTTCCCCTCCTTGCTGGTCATTTCCTGAGGATCGCGGTGAGCCTGGGCCTTGAAGCCTTTTGTGGGGAATAATAATTCCTCTTGGGAGAGGCAGCGTAGGGGTCCAAACAACAGTCAGAGGAACAAGACACGCATACACATACGTACATGCGTACAGATACATATATATATATATATATCCGCATTCATACCTCCTGGGGAGGCTGACGCTGATTTGTGTGCTGCTTTTTGAATATTGTGCAGCTCGCATAGAAGAGATTTTGCACCCTCGAAACACAGACACATACATTATCAAGCCGGATGGTGGTGCGATGGGCAGTGGAGTGCAACTAGTCTCTCGGTACAAGGATATTGACGCAGTCATTCTGCGGGGCGAGGGGAATTACGTCATGCAAAAATACATTGACAACCCCAGACTCCTTAATAGGCGCAAGTTCGACCTCAGGATTTACGCCGCTATTTACTGCGTTACAAAGCAGCTCAAGGCAAGAAACGCAAACACACCATACGTAGACCCTCAAGCTACAAACCAGTCCTCCCCCAAAGCCTAGCATATACCCAAGTAGAAGGAGTGCAGCGAAGACTTGGTCCCTTGTGAGGGTGTAAGAAGGGGTTCAGAAAGCTGAGGACTGCCCCGAGGAACGCATCATAAGCCTTTCCAGCCAAGACTTGAAAACTTTGTTTCTCGAAGAAGAGTCTTCGTCTTCCCTGCATGTGCTGTTGAATACTTACAAGTGTGTGCACACGGGGAAAGCGACGCTAGTTGATGCTTGTGATTTTTGGTACAGGTCTATGTGTCCAAAGTTGGTATGGCCCGTTTCTGCACTGACGAGTACCGAGCGCCTACCCGAAGGAATCAAGACAATGCATTTATGCATTTAACCAATTATTCCATTAACAAAGAGAACACGAGTTCCTTCATTCGTTCCCCCGACATTCATAGCAACACCAACAGCAAGCGGCTCCTTAAGGACGTTCTTGAGGACCTTAGAGCAGCAGGCAAGTTCTACCACACATGGCCTCGCGCGGCTCCTGAGCTATCTCCACATGCTGCAGCTCTGCATGCAAATGCTATACTGCGACTGGCAAGTCCTTGTTGCGGCTTCCCTAAATCGAATATATGTATGTGTGTGTGTGTTTGCGTGATGTGCATGCGTAGGCGTGAATGTACAGAAGGTGTGGCGCAACATAAAGGACATAACTGTGAAGACCTTCGTCTGTCTGCAGCCTTGGCTGAATTTGAGGTATCGCCATGTTTATAGAGGGGCCAAGCAGCACGAGGCTTCCCGATGCTTTCAATTCCTCGGACTGGATATTCTGTTAGATGAAGACGACAACTGCTGGCTCTTGGAAGTGAACTCGAATCCCTCCCTTCGCATCGATTACTTTGACAGCCAGGTATGCCCCCCCTTTGTAAGGAAGCAAGGCGGCAGTCTCAGAGGGTCTCGGCAAGAGTGGCAGAGCGAACTCGAGGTGGAGGCAAAGGGGGTGCGTAGGCGGGAGGGTTCGCCCCTTGGCGCTTTCGTTCATTACTGAGGCTTTTTTGCGGCTACAAAGGCGGGCTGGCACAATACTGGGGAAATATTTAGAGTGCCTTCCCCGCTGATCACCCCGCCTTGCACTGTTTGTGGGATTATGCGTGCTGGGGCGCAGTACGAAGGCATCGACGTGCAGCTGGAGAGTACAATGGATAGAGCAATCAAAGAGCCTGTTGTTAGCGAGGCCTTAGCCCTTGCCAGCAAGCTGCTGCTTAAGCCGGACCGCAAAAAGCTGCGCGGGGGGGGCAGCGCGTTGGGGAGCGAAGCATCGGCAGGAAAGAGAACGGCTGCGAAGATCCAAGGCAGCCCAACAGCAGCACGTGCAGCTGCTGGGGGTCGCACCACCAAGGCGAAGGGTCAGCCTGCTGTCGGCAGTAGGAGTTCTAAGGCTAAAAAGACAGACGCGGAGACGACTGGAGTCTCCCCGCAAGGCCCAGCGGCACCGGAGTTGCTCGAGACGGTCTCCCCGATCTCTTCCCCAGCATCGCCCTCTGCTAGCGGCTTGCCCATAGATCGTCAAAAGATACTTCGGCAACTATGCTCAGTGCGCGCTGCAACAAAAAAGCCTGAGGTTTGCTCAGAAACCCTGTATACCCCTAAAGCGGCACGATCTACTTTTGTAGTTGGCTTTGTTTTTTCCCTGACTTTGGCCCTATCTTTGGGTCCTTTTATTCCTGCATGGTGAAACAGACTTTGATATTTGCAAGCGTACCAGCCGCCATAGGGTCCTAAGCTTTTCGCTTTGTGTGGGCGCCGCTGCCGATTTGTGTGCAGACCCCCTCGCCTTGCCAAGACACATCTGACAGCGTGGCCCCTCGAGGGGAGGTTTCCCGCAGTCTCCAGCCGTCCCAAGGGATGTCTCTTAGGCGGTGCCTCTCTGTAAGCAACAGCAGTGCTGGTCTGGAGGAGAAAAGACGCGTCCGAAGGGTCAACAGTACTGAGAACCTCTCCTCTCACGGACCCTTGTCGGGAGGAGCGTTGAAGGCAAGGCCTTGCATGACTCCTGCTGTTACTGCTGGAGGGTCAGAGGCCTCCAAGGGATCGCCTAAAGCACCAACGCCTTCCCAGGAAGGCTTTAGCGCTCTTTCGTTGCCTTCTGCAGCTTCGCTGTATAATCGCAGGGCCAAAGCCAGAGATGCTCCTAGGGGGGATGCCCAAGGCGACGTCTCTGATTCGGAGGCAGGAGATCGCATTTGTCCGCAAGTGGACGATGAACTGGTTTCCGCTGCCTATAAGGAGATCGAAAAGTGCATGGAGTGCTTCAACGTGCTGGGCTTGCGCTTCCAAAGAACCTCCATGCTGGCGCTCAAGCAGAACAGCACCTGCAGCAACAGCAGATGGGGAAACTGCGGAGGGCAGCAAGGCGACGAGGCAGCAGCCAACAAAACACAGAGAAAAGCCCCAAAGACCCGCATGCGTGCCCCCTTCAGGCCGTTTCTTAGAAAGGACCGTCATGCGAAGAAGGGAGCGCAGCCCGTCAAGAGTACTTACACCAAGTTGCATAAGGTAATCGGCCTGCCTGCAGTAGCCTTGGTGGCTGCCGTCCTCCAGACTACAGTCGATGTTTCTGCATTTTGAAGCTTTGGGGGCGAAGGTCTATGTGTGACTGTCCTGATTATCTCCGCAACAGCGTCTGTGGCAAAAGCAGCAAACGTCCTACTTTCGCTGAGCCCTTCTCAGCGCTGTGCTCCTCGCGCGTAGTGTGGGCTATTGTGGATCGCCCTCTCAGGAATTTCATTTCTAAATTATGAAACCATTAATTCTGGCAATTCTTTGCATGTGCGCATTTGCCCTGCCTCTGCGAACAGGATATTCTAAAGCCCATGCCTGCGAAAGAGCTGTCTCCCCAGGGCTGCTGGCTGTCTCTGGAGTCGGAGGCCCTAGTGCTTACAGAGCAAACAAGCCTGGTGCGAAGAGTGCAGCTTTTGTTCGAAAGGCTTATCGAGTTTCCCAAACGAATTGCTCTGGAGCGGAGCAGATGGGTGCAAGTCTGCGAAGCCGCGAATTTCAAGGAAGTTGTGCGGAAGGTAAAGGCCACCGGATGATGGGGGCCTATAGGGGGCCTCGTGAATCCTCAGCTGCGCGAAAAGCATGTGCCCAGATAGAGTGGAGCCCTAGAGAGTGGCATGTATCTGCGAGAAGGCAGCGCAGCCGCAGCCTTTTCGCAGAGGAGTAGTGGCCGCAAAAGGTTCAGATGTACGTGTTGCCGCTGTATCGTGTGGCGAGCCGTCCTTCCCCTGCGCACAAGAGCAGCAGCACGGCATGTCTCCCTCCTATCTGTGCTGCTGCGTGCGCCTCTCTCTTCCCGCAGGTTTATGTGGCCATGGAGTCCTCTCAAGTGCGGGGCATCCGAGGGAGCACTCCTCAGCCGCCGTTCACATCCTTCAAGCCATTGCCGCCCACGCAAAGCCCCCCCCCGACGATACCTCTGCGCAGCAAGGCGAGTCGGTCCGGCTCCTTCCACAGGAGCGCAAGTGCAGCTTCTGTGCTGCCGGATTCATCTGACTGCCCAGGATGCACTTCTGCAGCGTTTGGCTTTCATGGCCGTCCAGGGGGCCTCGTGCGGCAGCGCAGCAACGCCAGCGGCACCGCTGTGGGCCTCTCGAATCTCCGAGTGAGCCGCCGTCGACGACTCACCCTGAGCGACCTGGATAGTTTGTTTGTTCAGCAGCTCCAGCAAATGCGCAGGCAGACACAGCTGCAGGATAGTGGCCGAGGGTTGGGCCTGTTGGAATTCGCTCACATGCTCAAGATCCTCGCCGTAATCCTGTACCCGTTTCTGCCCCCGAAGGCCACCCTCGTGGCGCTCTTCCTCGCGGAGACGGGCACGAAGGCTGAGGGCGGCATTGAAGAGGTCGTGGGGGCTCTGGAGAGGGAAGAGCAGCTAGCGCTAGCTCCGGGAGGCGCGGCGGGGGTGCTGGGTGCGGCTGCCTTGGCGCGTGCGCGGTCGTCCGCGCTCAAGGAAACGCTGGCAAAGCAAAGGGAGGAGGGGACTGGAGCGCAGTCGGAGGAGGCCGCTTCGACTGCGTCAAACTTGCCGTCCAGCCAGGATTGCGCAGTGGCGGAGGAAAAGGAGTCCCCAAAGAGGGCTTTGCCCGCGGCGGCTCCCCAGGAAAAAGAGGGGGAGAAGGGTGCTCGGGGGAAGAGTGCGCAGACAGAGTGCAGGGGCCCCTCTTCTCTGCCTGCTGGCGCGCAGCAGGCAACGGAGAAGGTGGCTCCAGGTGCACCTGATTCCCCGGCAAAAGAAGGAGACGGCGGCAAGCAGAGGCCCCCTTCCGAGTGCGCTGCACGCCCTGCAACGGCTGCTGAAGAGGCCATAACCCAGCTCTCTCGGAAAGTTGCGGAGGGGACCTCTCAGCTGAGCATCTTGAACGCGAATGAGCAGCACCTGGAGCGGCATTTGCAGCAGCTGCATGGGCTCCGCCAAGATTACATTGAGCAACAGGGGGCGTTGTTGAGGCAGCGAGGGTTGACGGGCGCTGCTGGCAGCCTCGAGCCTCTCGTGAGAATCGCAAATCTGGAGGATATCTTCGGAGCTCACCAGCAGTACAGCAAGAACCGTCAGCAGCAGCAGCAGGGACGGCTGCGCCGGCAGTCGGGGGGGAGAGAGACAGCTACAACGCTGGAAGCGCTTAACAAGGATCTGAAGGCCTGCGAGGCAGCGATTCGCAGCGGGGCAGAGGAGCTCGAGAAAACGATGCGCGTGCGAGCAGCTGTGGCTGTGCGACACCAACAACACGAAACGGAGCTCCGGCAAATGCGAACGCAGCTGCAGCAGCAGCCCCCCCAGGAGCAGGAGGAGCAGCAGCAGCAGCAGATGCAGCCACGCTCGGGCAGCGACGGCGACCACATCAGTGCCAAACAGGAGCCAGACGGATCCAAAGCCGAGCTGCAAGACCCCGCTAGGAGCCTGAGCGCCTCATCGGAGGGGAGTCTCACGGATCTGGAAAAGCGGTTGCCTCCCACAGGCTCCCCTGAGGGAAAAGCAGCAGCAGCCAGGCGCGAAAGCAGCAAGCCAAGCGGGAAAGGAAGCCTCCAGGATACCAACAACGAGCACTCGACAGAGCTGCGCAGTCTGCCTGCAGAGCGGCGCGATAATTGCGGATCCCATCCCGCAGGTATGGGAAAGGGAGGTTCTCATGTGCAAACTTCGGCAGGAGGTTCTCATGGATGCATGCATCCTCCGAATCTCCCCGAATGGCATGAGCCTTTATGCGCAGCGTGGCCAGACATTAATTCTCAGATATTGGGGACAGTACCGAAAAAGGCGCTTAAGGAGGCTTTCGAGAGGCTCATAGACTTCATGGAATTGAGGCTCGACCTCTTCCACTGTAACGCGCAGTTTGTTGCTCACTGATGCCTTCCTTCCCCAGAGACTCGAGGCTACTTGGGAAGGCTACTGGATTGAGTGCCCTCGCTGGAACGGTCCTTCCTTCGAGGATAGGCTGAGGAGAAACACTCTAGCTTCTGCCGTGAGAAAGGGGGGGAGAGCGGGGGGAAAAAAGGGTCTGTCGAAGGACTTAGTGAGAGCAAGCCTTCGGTGAGAGGCTCCTCCTTACTACAAGGGAGAGGCGTGCAAAGACGTGTGCGTTGTACAAATATTTTCTTTGCGTGGCTGCCGCTCTCCGTGTGTGGGAGCCACATGTGTCACAGCTCCTCAAGTGCTCTTTTGCGCAAGCAGTTACGTGGTTGGCGCTATAGGCGCTGGCTTTCAGTATCGCAGGCTGTACAAGAAGGGAAGTGCTAGAGTAGACAAGTCTGAGCAACTCTCATGCTTCCTAGTCACGATCTGTAGTTTTACTATCTCTGATGCCGCCTGCTGGTAGCCTAGGGGTCCCCTGTGCATGCGATGGTGCCAGAAAACTTTTAAAAGAGACAAGGGACAGTCCAAGTTTTTCAGCCGGCACCGCAAGGCTTCCTACCTCTGCGATGGCATCTACTGTTCGTGGTAGTGTGCAGGATCGTCAATCACACCATAGTATCCAAGGGGGAACTGTGTCCTCGCCTTCTGCCGCAGAAGTGTCGCTGGACGCACTGAATGCATGCACTTGCGAGACACGCAAAGCAGTGGGGGCAGGAAGACAGATGGCAAGGGAGACTTAAGGCGCTGGCTCAAAGTGTCTCCTCTCCCGTCCTTCATCCGCTAGGCTGCAGTGATCTGACGATGCCGAAAGATTGATATCTGTTCTGCGCTTTCCCACAAGCTGCATGTATATATATATGTAGCTTGTTTTTTTTGTTGCTTGTTACCGGTGTGTGTGCATGCAATCAGGAGCGGCTCACCAGCAAGACACATACGCATACACACACACACGTGGTCACCCTGCCTAACGATATATGAACTCCCTAAATAGAACGACAAGGGCGTTTCACAGCAAATACGCAAGGCCAGAAGTACCGTTGTCTGCGTGGTGAACTCCTGTGGATTTCCTCTGCCCTTGTGCTTGCAGGCCGAAGTACCGTTTGACTGTTAGCTGCTTGATTGCGAATGCCAACTTAACCCTGATGTGCTCCTCCTGGCTACCTAGAGGCCTTTTCTATAGGCAATTTTAGCAGCAGCAGCGCTTCTGGGCCGTTGCGTCAACGAAAAGCCCCTCAGCTAAGAGGCCCTGTCTTCATTTGGAACGTGCAGGAATAGAAAAAGAGCCACCCGCAGCATCTGCCCCTAGAAAATCGTATAAGGAAGGTCTAAGGGCTCGAAGTGCAGGGAGAACTGCCGCCGCACGGCATTGGGGGGGCCCAAACAACTAGCAAACAGCGAGACATCCACTACGGCAAATTTGTATCTCGTAGAATCTCGACAGCTTTAGTCCTCGAGGATACATTTCCCTCGATCTGGCTAGCCAGCCCTTAGTTAGACGGGGGTAGGAGATCTCCAGCTAAGGGCCTGTTTAAAAAAAGGCACATGCCTCACAGAGGCAGCAAACTGGCCGGCGCTGAGCCTCGTCGCTGCTGCTCAAACAGATGCTGTGTGGTAGCAGATTCGTAAGATCCTCCATCCCGGTGCAGTTGTCGCACAAGCTTCGGTATTTCGTCTCCTGCGCCAGCGCCTCCGTAGGCTGACGGCTAAGTTGGACGGCATAGGGGCCTCTGGCCAGGTGTGAAGGGGGCATGTGGCCCTACCAGTTTAACGCTTGTACGTTTGCGCCGTTTGGATGCGACTACGACTTCATTTCGAAGCGTTATTCAGCGCATCCGCACAAGCCCTTGTGGGGTCGGCCTGTCAACTTACCCAGTGAGTAGCAGGCAACGAAAACTGTGTCCAGTACCCGACACGGACTCGCTGGAAAAGGCAGAGCCTATGTTTCCAAAAAATCAAATCAAGAAGAGCACATGAATGGGTTGCGATGTGTGTATTAGAGGCGAGTTATGCGGCCGTATGCGCGCGCTGGCACGGGGGCTTCCGGGGAGGCGGACGGAGGGAGCCCAGCTTCGTCTGCATGCAAGAATGTCGGATGCGCTGCGATGGTTGTTTTGCCTCACGTTTTCTCTGTTTTTTGCTTGCAGCTTGAACCTTTTTCTGCTGCGTTTCTCCCTCTCTGACCTTTTCCCTAGGACGCTCGGCGAAGGTCTTCCTGCTGCGCACAGCGCCTGTGCGTCTGTCTGTACGGCGCGTGTCGTGTGAGGCGTTTCACCGAAATACCGAATCTCACTGAAGAACAGCCATCGTCTCGACGCGAAGGCACTGGCCTTTTGCAAACTGGGCAGCTTCCTCGCCTCGACAGCTCGCCTCTGGCTGCACCCGCGACTCCGCGGAGAACATCCTCCCCGCTGGCAGAGCGTGGTAGGAGCTTCTCTCCCGTCGTTGAACTTCAGAAGCGCCTTCCCGCCAAAAGAAACAACTGCTTGCTCAGAAAGCTCCTCCGAGGGCAAGCTGCTGCTGCTGCTGCTGCTGCTGCTGCTGCTCCGGAGGCGATTCTCCACACCCCTTCGCTTCCATGGCCGTATAGGACCCCCATTCGAAGACTTGAAGGCACACCACACTCACCTCTTTTCTGCAGACTTTCACGCCTCCCGCCATCCCGACTCTTCCCTCTTGGCTCCTCTGCTCCCTCCTGTGCCGCCATGATGCTTCGCGCAACTTCTGCAGCAGGAGCTGCCCTCGTAACATTGCACTTCCCCCACACTAGCGCCTTGCTCCGGCAAAATCGCTTTTTGACTGCTACTGCGCGAAGCCTTCCCGCGGCAGCTGCGGCAGCAGCAGCAGGAGCCGCTGCCGTTGCGAATCCTGGTACTCTTTCCAAGCCTGACAAGGCAGCTTCGCATGCAGGGGACAAACAACACGTGGTGGTGCTCGGCACAGGATGGGCTGCAATCAGCTTCTTTCGGAGCTTAGATCCCTCCAAGTCAGTCTGCTCGATCTGCTGCCGCTGGTGCTGCCGCAGAGCAGCTGCAACACTAGCTCTACTACTGCTCTGCTGCAAAGCAGCACCAACAGCAGCAACAATAGCTCTCCCATTGCCGTCTTCCTAGACTTGCACAATTTTGCTTTAGGATGTGTGTTGCATGTCGCCTTTCGCCTCTCTTCTTCACCTGCACGGCCCCTCGACAAACACCCCTACATCTCCCTCCCTTCTCGCCTTGCTTCTCTAGCACACCTTGACGTGCATACATACACACCTATACACACACACACACAGAGACACATTCAGATAGACAATCTTGCCGCTGCTGGCTCTCCCTGCTGCACTTCCGTCTGCATCCCCTTGAGTAGTCTTCCTTGCAGGGGATTTCCTGCTCTTGCAAAATGCTGTTGGTGATAGTTCACAACGCTTCTTGTCCTCACATCGGAATGCGCAGCACTCACTCCTCTTCTCACGTAGCTCTCCCCATTTTTCCCCTCCCCATACAAACATGCCTCTCCCTCTCTCTGATCTCCCGCCAATGCAGCCCTCGCTGCGCATCTACTTGCCGCTTTTATACCTCAAAGTGATCCTACGAGTCTCCCTTGCCTGGCGCCTTGAGCACACTGCCGCAGGTTTGAAGTGACAGTGGTATCGCCACGTAACTACTTTACCTTTACGCCTCTACTTCCCAGCGTCTGTGCTGGCACTCTCACGGCGCAAAGCTGCATCGAGGTTAGATCCTTTTCCCTCCTGTAAATGCCCCCTGCCGCCGTTTCTCAGCGTCTCTGTTCTCTCTATATCTCTATCGCTATCTCTCTCTCCAAATGTATGTATGTATGTATCTATGCGTATATGTACATATATATATTTATGTTCAAGTGTCTCTCTCTCTATACACATATGTATATGTATATACATATATTAATGTATTGCGCTCTTGGACCCTGTATTGTTCTCTATCTCTCTCTCTCGGCTGCTATCAACCTACCACTCTCTCAGCCCGTGCTGATTCTCACCCTCCATTTTAACCTGTTTTTCGAGATGTCGTCGGCAGCTCCGATTGATTTCATTATTTATGAGATGCGTGTGCTTTCGTGCGCTGCATCCTGCTGCTCCTTTAGCCAATCCGAGGCTTTTCGCGGGATCGTCGAGGACGCCGTTTGCTAAATTTCTACGAGGCGCATGCGACAGACGTGGATTTTGTCAACAAGCGTGTTTGTGAGACTTCCAGAGCACCCTTCGACACCTCTGAGCAGGCGCAACATCGCTTGAAATACCAACTAAAATACATGATAACTGCCTCTTTAGACAGCACACATGCCTCCCGCATCCATCCCGCCGATGCTCGCTCTCCCCCTCTTCTTCACCAAATAGAGATAGATCCAAATAGCAGACGAGGGAAGGGGAAGGAAGCAGTAGGCCTTCTTGCGGCATTCGATATGGATAGCGCATGTTACATGCATGTCATTCTTCTCTCGCTGCTATTTCTTCCCCCGCTGCTTCTTCTTCTCTCACTGCTATTTCTTCCCCCGCTGCTATATCTTCTCCCGCTGCTATATCTTCTCTCACTGCTATTTCTTCCCCCGCTGCTTCTTCTTCTCCCGCTGCTTCTTCTTCTCTCGCTGCTTCTTCTTCTCTCGCTGCTGTTTCTTCTCCTGCTGCTATATCTTCTCCCGCTGCTATTTCTTCCCCCGCTGCTTCTTCTTCTCCCTCTGCTATATCTTCTCTCGCTGCTTCTTCTTCTCTCGCTGCTCTTTCTTCTCTCGCTGCTTCTTCTTCTCTCGCTGCTGTTTCTTCTCCTGCTGCTATTTTTTCTCCCGCTGCTATATCTTCTCCCGCTGCTATTTCTTCTCCCGCTGCTATTTCTTCTCCCTCTGCTTCTTCTTCTCCCCCCTGTCCATGTAATCGTGCTCTTCTTGCTTGTGCCTCTCTTCCGAGCTGTCTTGACACTGCCTTCCTTCTGTGCTGCACCTCCTGGTCGTTGGAGTCGATAATTTTGCCCATGTCTGACCTGCTGCCTCTCTCCAGCCTGCGCAAGTTCTTCCTCGCAATTCAAGCTGGAATACGACAAGCTCGTCATCGCGGTTGGTGGAGACACCAACACCTTCGGGCTGCCAGGCGTAGAAAAGCATGCATTTTTCCTCAAGGAAGTCGAACATGCCGTGCAGATCAGAAAGCGTGTCATGGCGAATTTTGAAGCCGCAGCTCTCCCCAGTAAGACCTATCTCTGCCAGCTCGACGCATGTCTCTCTTTAGCCACTGACATGTGTAGAGGCTGAAAAGAGGCTTTGCATGCCTGAATCGGCCCTTTCAGACCGTATTGCTTCTTTAGAGACGGAAGGAACGCGACTCCAACTGGGAGGGGAGGCAGAAAAAGTTGCAAATCGCAGGGAGAAGAAGCGAGGCCTCTTTTTCTGCGTCTCAGCCGGATTATTTTTTCTGTGCATCTCATGGCGTGGTTCTGTTTGCGCTTGCCCCTCCTACTGCGCTCGTTGTTGACGGGGAGGGGGGAAGAAGCTGCAAATCTTCATTTCACTCAGCTTCCTGTACCTCTCTCCTGACGGCCTGCCTCCCGCTGCCAGTGTTAAGGCTTCCGCCTCTGCTTCCGAGCTCCCTCACGTTGTGCCTCTGCTGCAACATCCCTTTCTGTCTCTCGGAACGATTCTGGTTTGTCTTAAGGAGCAGCATCGTGCGTGTGTCATGAATCTGGTGCTATCAATCCGCTGACCTCACCGGCTAACAGAGGAAACGGCATTTTGTGTCGTGCCTTACTTAGCCCTTCCTCCGCTTCCTGCCTCGAGCAGCTGTTTGATCTCCCGTGAATTTCCGACTGTCTCTTGTGCTCCTCAGCAACGTCTCCTCAAGAGAGGGAACGCCTCTTGCACTTTGTAGTGGTGGGGGGAGGCCCTACGGGTGTAGAAACGGCTGCTGAATTCGCGGATTTTGTTCGCGAGGATATGAAAAAATTCTTTCCAGAGGTATGTATCCTATGAAATGCATTTCTCGCCGCCTTGACTTCGCCCCTGGAGCAGGCCTTGTCTATTTACCCTCTTTGCACGCTTCTCCATAGAGAGTCGTGTTTCTCTCTGTCTTTCTGTTTGTCTTCGTCTGTCTCTTTGTCTGTCTCTCTCTCCATTTGTCTATCTTTCTCCGTCTCTGTGTCTCTCTGTCTGTCTCTTTGTCTCTCTCTCTCTGTCTGTCTCTGTGTCTATTTGTCTCTCTCTTTGTCTGTCTCTTTGTCTCTCTGTCTGTCTCTCTCTCTCTCGGGTGTACGGCATCTCTGCGTTCCCCTTTCTTCATTTTCGCTGCCGAAAAAGGCTGTCTTCTGTAGATCCGCCTCGCCAGCTGAGCGGCTTTTTAGAAAGGCAGGCCTCTAAAGGCTTTTTGCGCATACTCTTTGTGTGTTATTCATTGCTCCTCCCTCTCTGCTCTCTTCCTCATTCCCTTGGGAAGCCTACAGTCTTTTTTAGACTGTCCGGTGAGCCCGCACAAACAGTGCAGCGAGAGATGGCGTTGAAGCGCTGCCTTCCCGCATGCGGTGTGGTTTCAATTTCAGCTGATGCCCAGTGTCGCGATTACGCTGATCGAGGGGGGTCCTCGGCTGCTGCCTTCGTATGCTCCCGAGGTTGGAGAATACGCGCAGAAAGTGCTACAAGGAACGCTGGGTGTCCGTCTACTTCTTCAACACCAAGTGACTGCCGTGGATGAGCTCACACTCGCATGCAAATCAACAAACGGCGGAAACAATGAGACAGTACGCCTCTTGCGATGCGCGCAGTGCACGACAGTCTTTGAACATTTACCGGCTTGTCTTTCTGATGCTTTCTCTCGCTTACGCCAGGTTTCTTCCTTCTAGAGATACTACACACTGCCCATCTTTCCGTGTACCCCGAAGCCCGCCTTCAACACAATCCGCAGGCTCACTCGCTTTCGCTCTTCCTTACTGGCAGTCTGTGTGTTTGTAATGCTCTTTAATCATATTCTCTCTTTCTCTCGCTTTCTTCAGAGCCGTTGAATTCTCTCTTTCTTGCTTTCTCTAGAGCTGTTTAATTATCTCTCTCTTTCTCTCTCTTGCTTTCTCTAGAGCTTTCTAATTGTTTTTTCTCATGAAAGCATTTTCTTTCCTGTCGCGCGATCTCTGTAGAGCTTTTATCTGAATACATATGTATACAGATATAGATATATATCTCAATGGATCTGTTTTCCCCTCTCTTTCTCTCTCCTTTTTTCTCGCTCTCTCGAGAAGTGGGGTTGTTCCTTCTTGCCGCGCGGTGCTTTTTACTGCCTCGAGAAGCGGCTGCTTTTTGCCCGAGCGCGTTCGAAAATTCAACGTCGTGCAGTCGTGTGAGGATCACCAAGTCCCCGTGCATTCCCAAGTGTGCTCGACGTGTACGTACAGCCGAGGGTTGTTCAGCACGGCTTTGTGCTATGGGCTAGTGGTGTCGGTCAAGTGCCCTTCGTTCGCAAGCTCATCAAGGAAAGATTGGAAGCTGCCAGTCGGGAAGGATGGATGCCTGCGGTGCCTCTAAGGGCCCTTCCCGTCGACGAGTGCTTGAAGGTGTGGGGAATTCCCGATGTTTTCGCCTTGGGCGACTGCGCGCAAATATTCCCCAGAAGTCTTGCAGCAGCAGCGGACGAACTGTGGACTCGCCCTGGGTAAGCAGCCGACAAGCGAACGAGATGCTGCATGCACGACGGGCAGTTGAAATGCAAAAAAGGCTCAGGTGGACAGGAATGACAAGCCGAATCGCCGCTTTCACACAGAACTGGCCAGCGACAGTAGACTCCCAGCAGGTTCTTCCAAGTGCTCCTCGGCATGCACATGCAGATCTCTGCAGTTATTAGGTTTTTATGTAGATAGTCCTACATTAAAAGATTCTTTGTACTACATTTTGTTTTACCATTCCTAGGTCTAATACTTGCTGTGTTACATACTTTCTATCTACATCTAAATGGATCTAGTAATCCACTAGGTACAGAAACTGCTTTAAAAATTCTATCCATCTTCGTGTCTATGCGTTCCTTCTTATTGGTGTTTCTCTCTCTCTATATATATACATGTGTATATTACTGTTGCACAAATGTCAAGACCCTGTGATGCGCAATTTTCACCAGTGAGTGCGAAATCACGACATACATGTACATATGCACATGTACCTCGGTGCATCTGGATACAGTCTCATAGTATGTTTACATGTATATCGCTGTAGTATATACATACAAACATGCATACATATATATATGGAAGGCTTTTGCATGCATGGTGTTGTGTATTGTTGTCTTTCAAACTACATGTTTAACAATAGAGGGAAAGACGCGGTTGTGACCAAATGCCTGTACAGCAGCACGGCAAGTCGCTAGGTGCAAGGCTCTTCGATTGGTCTACTCCCTTTGCAAGGCTTCCTCCTCCGTCCATGTGAACTTTTCTAGGGAACGCAAACTGGGAATATTCTGTTTTTCTCTTGCTGTGGGGGTTTGCGTTTAGCTGTTGTGATGCGTCTCTCGCTTGGTTGCGCGGGGAGGTTCCCCGCCTTGCTCGGCGTTTCCCGCAGCTGAATCCGCTCAAGTTTGATCTGTCTAAAGAAGCTGCGGGGAACGTCTTGACGAAGGATCAGTTCAAGGCGCTTCTTGGTGTGTTGCGGCTTTGAGATGCGGATTATTCCTGTGGCACAATCGATGATGCCCACAAGTAGCGACGGGAGGAGGGATGCTTGATGCACAGAGGGATGCTGACGTGCTTGTTTCTGCTGATGCTGTTGCTGTCGTTTTTGCTCATGCTGTTGCGTCTTTGCCTCCAGAACGTATAGACACCGCGTACCGCTCTCCCGTTCCCACGGCTCAGAACGCACGCCAGGCCGGGGTGTACTTAGCCAAGGCGTTCAACAACGGAATGGGGGCAGAGACACCGGCTTTCTGCGAAGAATGGAAAGGATCTCTCGCCTATGTTGGTACATCCGGCGGGCAGGGGGGGTGTTTCTTGGGTGTGTTTCTTGTGTGTGTTCATGCCTGCTGTCTAGACACCCGGAAGAACATGCGGGCGTTCTATCGCTTTTGCCGCTGCCTACGCATAGCTATCATGCATATAGATAGTTTTTATGTTGATTTTTTGCACTGTTGCGCGCGCGATCTCGTCTGGAGTCATGCTGGTGTGTGTGTACAAGCAGTTCGTCAGGTGCGTATCCCTCAACTCAGGAGTTGCCCTCTGTTGTGTGTGTTGGGTGTAACTATGCAGGGAATCACAATGCGATTGCTCAATTGCCAGGGTATATCGTGAAGGGCGGCTGGCTGTCCTTGCCTCTGTGGAAGGTGAGGATACTCCGGATAGCGGGTGTTTTTTTGCCGCTTTTTCGGTTTTTTTGCGATGGGCGTGATTTTTCTGAGTGCCGTCTTGCAAGCTTCGCAGCTAAACGAACTTCCTGCGGGTGCGACGGTGCCGGCTGTCTCAGGCGGTTTACGTCCAAATGCAGCTGACGTGGCGAATCCGACTGATATGCTGTTTCGACTGGCTAAAGACCTTCTTCGCGGGCAGAGATGTCGGGAGAGAGCACAGCTATTACAAGTAGAAGGCGTGCTTGCCGTTCTGGGGTACTGGCGAGTGGTGGGTGAAGGTCGGAGAAGGCCATATTCCCCCTAGAGGGGCTCTTGTGCGCCTTCCCCAAGGGGGTTCCCCTGCTGCAGCCGCGTTCAGACAAGAGTTTGCAAGGCTTAAGTCTGCAGGCAAGAAGGGGAAAGCAGGGTGGGCAGACTCACTCACATTTTTTAACAGCGTTATATAAAAATATATACCTCTATATAGTACCAGCGGCCGCTGAGCAAGCCCACCCGTCAGCACCCTACAGCGTTGTCTACGCTGCATCCTTGAATCGAAGACGAAGGAAGAGATGCACGTGATGCATGTGCCTGTCTCAAACAGGCACACACAGAGAGCGCGCATGCAAGGGGCACGAGCGCACTTGACTGCTCCAGCGGCTGCAGCATGGGATGTCTTATTTGCGAGAAGAAATCTTGCCCCTAAGAGTTCCTCTCTCTCTCTCTTTCTGTCGTTCTCGCGCTGCTCCGTCCGTCTCTTTCTCTCTCTCTCTCTTGCCTTCTGGTAAACTCCCTGTTTTTCCGGATCCTTTCTGGCAGGGAATGTGGGTGCCAGTGGAGGTGAGGCTCCTCTGTACACGAGGCTGTATATAGACGTCTGTTATGTGACTTTGGAGCGCAAGGAAAGAACGCTATCAAGCAGCGGTGCTTCCTTGTGATGGACAGCCGCACACGGCATTTCGCGCTGCTGCCTCGGAAGAAGTAGTTGGCGAAAAAACTGCTGGGAAAGAAACAGCTGGCGAAAAAACTGCTGTGTTGATCCTAGGCGGCCGTCAGTCAGAGGCTTCTTGGGGGTTGCATCTGAGAGCTTTGGGAGGTTGCGAATTGCCTATCGCGAGCTGTGATAAATGAGAAAAATGTTTCGTTGCGACGTTTCGCAAACGTTCCCCTCCCCCGTCGTACTTGAGGCACACATGACGGATGTATCACGGAGGGGGTCTAAGCGGATCAGTGCATCGCTCCGGCAATGCCAAGGGGATTTTCTGTGTGTTGTATCTGGCTTCTTGGAAGACTTCTGCCGTGCCTTGAGATCTCGTCTCTTGGCGTTAAACCGCGTGTTCGCTTGCCCAGAGGCAGCCGCATCCGAAACATGGCAAGCCTCCCACGCTTATCTCCGCAAACCTCCTTCCCCTCCCCCTCCTTCACCCCCAAAGTTGTGTTTCTCTGAGCCGCTGCGGGAAGTTGCAGTCTTGTTTCTTAAAAGCTTTGCCGGGGCGAAGGGAAGGGGGGAGATCCATGCTGTTGCACTCCGCAGTGCAAGACATCGCATGCATGACGAGGCACAACACACCGCGTTTCTCAACAGCAAGGCTTATTTCTGCATCCCCGTTATATCGAGGCTTGGGCATGACGAAGCTCGTCATGGAAAGGGAATTTCAAAGGCGAACGCACAGATATATATATACATATATATGCTTGAGGACTGCTCTCCCAGCCTTTCACTGTCAATGCAGCCGATGTGTTGCGTCTCTACGGAGTCAGCAAGGGCCCAAGGCACGGCTGCTGCCTTAGGTAGGTATGCGATGCTCACGAAGGGGAGGGGGAGTCGCAGTGGTGCTCTATGAACGAAAGGCTTGAAGGCTTCTTTCCATCTGGTTCTGTCCGCTGCTGCTCTCCTGCTGCTCCCGATGCGATGAGAGAGCGCTTTCTGCCGCTGTGACACGCCATCCCGATTGTAGCTTTCCCCGTAAATCCTTTGATCGCCTCTTGGCGCATCTAAGAGGCATCAACGCGGCAGTGGGGAAAGTTTGCTGTTTGTAGAACCAGGTGACACTGTCCAAGGGCCCTCCGCATGCAAACAAAAGCCTCATGAAACGCGGCACGTTGCACGCGCATAGCACGAGAAATATGGGGACCCTTCTCGCTGTATTACGTCTGCTGTTGCATCGTCGCGAATTTGTCGGCACAGAAACCGAATCGCTTCTACGGCTTTAAGCGGGGACATACCTTACGGCAGTCCCTACATGAATTCGATAGAATGATCTGGAGTGCATTTCCAGAGCGCTGTCTTGCCGTGGTGCCCAGCCGCTTCCCTCGGAGTTATGACGCGAGGGAGAGAAACGGCTGGCAGTGGCGTTTGCGACGCCTTCTAAAAACTGCGAGCATTCACAGCAAGTCGCCCATAGAGCTTGTCTAGCGCACGGGCGACGTGAGTGCGTCTTCTTGTATCGAGCTGCCGAGATTCTGCAGCACGAATAAGGTGTACGAAGAGGCAAGCCAACTAGTTGATTCTTTCGACTCTTCAAGTGCCACTAGTGTATGTATGCGCACACGTATCCGCGCAGTCTACGTTCCCCCTCCTTCCCCCTGTCCGTAACGCTTCCAAGCCGCTCCTGCTGCCCCTGCAGGCTTTTGCAGTCGCCCTCTCGCCGCAGCAGCGCGGAAGTTGCTCTACCTTAATCTGGCAAGCTACTGCCGAATCGCAAAGGGTCCCCCCGTGTCGCACCCACCCTGCTTGCTTGAGGGGCCTCGGTGCCCACAGTTCCACTTATTTGTAGCGGGCTGGACAATCGCGGGGTGGGGATTTGCGCACCAAGTTGCAGCCACCAGCACCTACAGAAGTGTATGTACTACACCTGCCGCGCACAAGCGAGCGAGCAACACTGCGCGCGCCTTGCTCAGGGCTTCTTTCGCACGCTGCACAACCCCTGCTGGTGCGTTATGCTTGTTTGCAGCACGTCGACTTTCGCCTAGAGCCTTCACAGCACAGCAGCTAGCATGCATGCAATGCGCTGCTCTCTTAATGACGCCTCCGCGCACCGCCAACAGGCTAGAGGCACAGCGGCCGGTAAGCAACCCTTAAGGCGCTGGCCACTGCCAGCTGGTGCTGTAGGCTGCCTCCTGGCATCAGTTACTGGAAGGAGAGGCTAAAGAGGTCAGGGGGGGTGTAGCCTGCCGAACACAGCAAAGGACCCCCCACTAAGTCTCCAAAGCCTAACTCCCCGTGCTCGAACTAGGCTGCAGTGCCACGCAAGCGCTTCGCTTAGTTCTACCGTGTGCGTGCAAAAGCAGAGATGCACCTGTCTAAGACGGCTCTAACTGACTCCCGGCCTGGGAAGGCTACAGTTTAGCGAGCGGCAGAAATCGCATGGGGCTGCATGCAGGTTTCCCATGCACGTAGCTTAGGGAACGGCTTTCTTTGCCGACCTTTCGGTGGTTATTTTTAATACACTTTGTGCCTTTTTCCTTTTGTTTTGCATTGATCTCCTCTATTTCGGCGGCGCGGAATGGTCCTACGACAGAAGGGAGGGGCCCCATATATGCCGTTGGAGCCTCGCTCTCGCTCTCTCTCTCCCGCCGCTGTTCGAGTGTATAGGTTCACCGCAGAGTTTTGCGGCTTTCTTGCAGCCTTTCCCTCTGCTTCTTGTCTCTCTGCGGCTTGAAGCGATCCTTCCCGCGCAGAACTAACCCACGGGAGGTTCCCACACTCTCACGACCTGGGGCTGCACCGAGGCACCCCTGCAGCCAGCGTGCGCTCTGTGTCGGTATTTAAGATGCCTTTTATTTCTTTCTTTTTCACAGAGAGTTAGAGTGTGGCCCCCCCTCTTGCTCGATTCGCCGCCTTCCACTCCCCATCGCTGAGCGAGTCGTGCACCTGCCCCCTCCTAACGGCAGCAGGGTCCACTGCTGCCGCCTCTGCTCTTTCCCCCCTTTGTCTCGCCTCTTTTTGTTTTGCCACGGGTGCAACGCGCTACTTGCTGGCGGCAGCGTCGGGGGCCCCTGCCATCCAGCTGAGAGCCGAGCACGAGCAGCAGCAGCACCAGCAGCACCAGCAGCAGTAGTAGTACGTAGCTAGCCTCTATACAGAATGCCTGTGCTTTACCATCTAACACTCCAAAAGCCGACGGCCATAGTCAATGCCGTTCATGGCAACTTTAGCGCGCCTAGGGCACAGGAGGTGGTTGTTAGTCACGGCAGAATCCTAGAGCTTCTCAGGCCTGATGAAGAAGGAAAAGTTCACTCCGTGTGCACCACGGATGTCTTTGGAATCATCAGGAGCGTTGCAGCCTTCCGACTGACAGGTGCGGCTGCACTTTCCGTCAAAGGATCCGCGAGTGGGGTAGAGAGAGAAAGAGGTGGAAGGAGGGGTGGAGAGACGGGAAAGACAGAGAAAGAGGGGAAAAAGAGACAGATTCAAACGCAGCAAGGCCTCTTCTTGCACGCCGTGATGCTCTAAGGCTCCCCTCCCCTACATAGCGAGTAGCGAGTCGCATTTCTCGAGTTTCGCATGCGCCGTTAGGCTTACAACGGGGGGGAGGGTGAGGTTGGTGGGGAGAGTAATAATGTCACGTTCCGAGTTGTCTTCTTTTTGCAATGCCTGTCTCTCTGCGGGAGGTGTCTGCTTTCTCTCGGAGAAAGTTTCGATCGCTTAGGTGCATTCTGCCAAGCGTTCTGCAGTGCAAGAGACGCAGAGGAGTGCTGTGTCTGCGTTCAGGCGCTATGAAAGACTACATCGTCTTAGGCAGCGATTCAGGAAGATTGGTCATTGTGGAATTCAATGCCAAAAAGAACTGTTTCGAGCGCGTGCATTGCGAGACATACGGGAAGACTGGTCAGTTTTTGAAAGCTGAGACTCGCCGTATGCCTTCCCGTGCTGGATCACGCATTTTTCGTTGACAAGTGTGTGTGTCGCTGGTGTCTGTTCTTTTGGATATACATTTTTTTTGCATGTTTATATAAATCTGGAGTCATGTTAACGGCCTCGTCACTTTGCAAGTGGGATTGTCTGCTGCCTTTTGTTGTGGGCCCTGTGCTGTTTTTTCCGAGCAATGCAAGTGCCTCTTTTTCACGCCTTCTCTGTAGAACGGTCTAGGCAGTATTTGTGCTTCGCCTCTTTCAAATGTATTGCGTCGTTAAGGCCTTTTCTGCCAGTAGGGACGGTACGCCTTTCTTTCCCCCGCTCTGCCCGTCCCTCAGCAAAGTCGCTGTGTTGATACATACACAGATGCCTCCCGCATGGAGACGCAACTGGTCTGCATGCAGCAGGCGTCCTCTGTGTAGATGTTTACATGCATATGTATGTTTGGATACGCATAGGTATACGTATGTTTATGGGTATGTGAATATGTATGTATGCATAGGTATAGGTATGTTTGTAGGTATATGTCTCTATACATGCATAGGTATGTGTATGTATTCGTGCATAGGTATATGTATGTATACATGCATAGGTATGTGTATGTATACATGCATAGGTATATGTGTGTATGCTTGCATATCTATATGTGTATAGATGAATATTTGTAACACCAATCTGTTGAAAAACGCAAAATTTTTGTATTTATGCGTTGACCTCTCGCCTTTGCTTGCTGCGCGCCTTCGAGCGTTTTTAAAAATATCTTCGTTGAGGTCGCCTTGGCTACTCGTTTTAGGTTCTTTAATAAAGTTTCTTCTGCTTTACCTCTCCCTTCCACTCCTGTCTGTCTCTCTTTCTCTATCTGTCTCTCTTTCTCTCTGTCTCTTCTTCGTCTTTGTGTCTCTCTGCCTGTCTTCTTCGTCTCTCTTCTTCTTCTTCGTCTCTCTTCTCCTTCATCTCTCTGTCTCTTGCTGCCGTCTGTTTGCAGGCGTTCGTCGAGTAGTTGCTGGCGAGTACGTAGCTGTTGATCCAAGGGGTCGTGCGTTGATGGTAGCCGCCTTGGAACGTCAGAAGTTTGTCTACATCCTCAACAGAGACTCAAAGGCTGCATTGACGATTTCTTCTCCGCTAGAGGCTCACAAGAGTCACGTCCTATGCGCCGATCTCTGTGGAGTAGACGTTGGCTTCGAGAATCCTCTCTTTGCAACCCTCGAGCAGCCGTATCCGCAGACAGGCAAAGCTGGTACTAAGCACACTTAACGAGGCGGGGGGAAGGGAGGGGAAGGGGGGATAATAAGAAGAGGGAGGCAAAAGGGAGGCTTGAAGGCTCTCAGCGGAGGAGCGCATGTAGCCAGAGAAGGAAATTTCTCTTTGGAGGGGACTTGTGGGGAGGGCAGGCTGGTTGGCAACGTCATGGCTTTCCAAGGGTTTGCTTTCCAGTCGAGCAGCAATATTGTGACAGCATGCTAGAGGAGGAGGAAGGAGGAGTTTGCAAACCTCTGTATCTTCCACCTTCCTTCCTCCAAGACTCGATCTATTTGTCTCCCCGTCCGTCTGTCTACTTGTCTTCCCCTCTCTCTCCCCGTCCGTCTGTCTGTTTGTCTTCCCCTCTCTCTCCCCGTCCGTCTTTCTGTCTACTTGTCTTCCCCTCTCTCTCCCCGTCCGTCTGTCTACTTGTCTTCCCCTCTCTCTCCCCGTCCGTCTGTCTACTTGTCTTCCCCTCTCTATTCCCATCTGTCTGTCTATTTGTCTTCCCCTCTCTCTCCCCGTCCGTCTGTCTACTTGTCTTCCCCTCTCTCTCCCCGTCCGTCTGTCTACTTGTCTTCCCCTCTCTCTCCCCGTCCGTCTGTCTGTTTGTCTTCCCCTCTCTCTCCCCGTCCGTCTGTCTACTTGTCTTCCCCTCTCTCTCCCCGTCCGTCTGTCTGTTTGTCTTCCCCTCTCTCTCCCCGTCCGTCTGTCTGTTTGTCTTCCCCTCTCTCTCCCCGTCCGTCTGTCTGTTTGTCTTCCCCTCTCTCTCCCCATCTGTCTATCTACTTGTCTTCCCCTCTCTCTCCCCGTCCGTCTGTGCATCTATTTATCTGTCTGTGTATAAGGTTTTGAAGGAAATCCACCGAGTGCGTGTGCAGTGGCAGCCTTCTGTGCCGCTTGCCATGCGTGGAGAATGCGGGTGAGAGGGGGAATCTGAGCTGCTGCGACGGTTCCTTGCGTTGCATGCGCTTCGCTGCAGGCACGAAGGTTCCAGGTCGTGTTCTCTGCTTCTGGGAAATGGACTTAGGTCTAAATCATGTCGTGAAGAAGGCTTCTTTGCCCGTTCCTTCTTCCGCGCATTGTCTCATTCCAGTGCCTGGAGGTGGAGGGAACGACGGTCCCAGCGGCGTGCTTGTGTGTTGCGAAAACGTGATTCTTTACAAGAAGATAGATCACGAGGAAGTCGCGTGTGCCATTCCTCGGCGCCTCGAGATGGGCAGCGATAGAGGGCTCGTGGTTGTGTCTTTTGCGGTTCACAAGATGAAGGGCTTTTTCTTCGTGCTGCTTCAGTCCGAATTTGGCGACATATACAAGGTGGAAGTGACGCACGAGGAGGGCGTCGTGAGGGAGCTGACGTGTCGCTACTTCGACACGGTTCCTGTGGCGAACGCCCTGTGCGTTCTGAAGTCTGGGTACCTCTTCGTGGCTGCCGAGTTTGGCAACCATCAGCTCTACCAGTTCACTGGAATCGGCACCGACGAGAGCGATCCGCGTTGCGCCTCCTCGCATCCCCTAGGGCCTGACGCCGTCATCGCCTTCAAGCCGCGTGCGCTCAAGAATCTGGCTCTCGCCGACGAGCTTCCTTCCCTCTCGCCCGTCACAGACATGCACGTGCTCGACGCGCAGGGAACGGGAACTCCCCAGCTGTATCTGCTCTGCGGAAGAGGCTCGCGCAGCACGCTGCGCGTGCTGCAGCACGGCTTGGCAGTCGAGGAGCTCGCAGACAACGAGTTGCCGGGGAGACCACGCGCTGTATGGACGCTGAAGGAGTCTAACGAAAGCCTCTACGACGCGTACATCCTCGTCTCCTTCGAAGGCAGCTCCCTCGTGCTGCAGATCGGAGAGACAGTCGAGGAAGTGGCCGACTCGCAGTTCGTCACGAACGCAACCACGCTGCACGCCTCCCTGCTCGCCAACGACTCCTTCGTGCAGGTTCTCGAGACAGAAGTGCGACACATGCAGTCGGGGGGCGGCGGAGTGTCTGTGTGGCGTCCACCCGGGGGGAGACGCATCAAAGTCGCTTCTGCGAATGAGCGGCAGCTCGCGTTAGGACTAAGCGGGGGAGACGTTGTGCTCTTCGAGCTAGACGAGACTGGCGCTCTCTCCGAAGTCGCCAAGAAGGCTTTGCACGTCGAAACGACGTGTCTGAGGCTCCAGCCAGTGCCTCCTGGACGCACGAGAGCCTCCTTCATGGCTGCGGGGGGGCTCGACAACGTCGTGAGAGTGCTTTCGGTGGAAAAGGACAAACAGCTGAAGCAAGTCGCGACGCAGCTGCTCCCGAGCGATGCCACGCCAGAGTCCGTCTGCCTCGCGGCGTTGCAGTCTCAAAATGCTGGAGAATATGCGACTTACCTCTACGTAAGGAGTCGCACGAGACGCATTTGCCATCCTCAGCGGATGCAGGGAGGAGCGCCTTCGTTGTCGTCGGAAGGGAGGAAAGAGGGAGGGAAGAGGGAGGGAAAGAAAGAGGGAAGGAAGGAAAGAGGGAAGGAAGGAAAGAGGGAAGGAAGGAAAGAGGAAGGGAAAGAAAGAGGAAGGGAAAGAGGGAAAGAAGGAAAGAGGAAGGGAAAGAAGGAAAGAGGAAGGGAAAGAGGGAAAGAAGGAAAGAGGGAAAGAGGGAAAGAAGGAAAGAGGGATGCAAGGATACATAGAGGGGGATAGAGATGCTTGATGGAAGAAGGGAGAGACAGTCAACTTATGGGAAGAGGGAGGATGGAGAAATACGAGACATTAGTGTGGCTTGCTGTCGGCGGGATCATCATGTTTTTTTTGCGTTCTTTTTGCTGCCGCTGGGGGGGCTTCCAGACAGACGGCAGTGTATTTTTGCTCGTGGCAGAGCGTGTGATGTTGCTGCAGGTTGGCTTGAATACGGGTGTCATGATTCGTTCGTCTATCGACCCCGTGACAGGCAGTCTCTCTGACCAGAGGACGCGTTTTCTAGGCGGTCGTGCTGCTCGCTTTCATTTGGTGCGCATGGGGAATAAGATGGCTGTCATGGGGCTGAGCGAGAAGAGCTGGCTTTCCTTCTTCTTCCAGGGAAGGTTTCAGTGTGCGCCTCTGCACTACGATCCGCTGGAGTGTATCGCTTCCTTCTCCTCCGAACAGGTGTGTGTGGGAGACTGCCCTCTCGCGACGACACTCAAAAGCGACTTGCTTGGCTTGGAGACTCGCGCCAAGCAAGACTTTCGGCGCCGCAGCGGGGGGAGAGAGTTGCCCAGCTAGCTGGCTAGCTGACGCCTTTCCGAGGGGCGAGAGGCAAGACATGCGCAGATCTTGCCTCTCGCCCCTCGAGGAAGGGTTTGGGGGCGAAGTCGAGTGGGAAGGTGGGGCGGGCGGTTCGATTCTACATATGCATCTATGTATCTATGTGTGTGTGTGTAGCTGTTTGTGCTATGCGTGCTGTGTGTGTGCATGGCTCTGCAGTGTTTGGATGGATTCGTGGCGATATCGGGAGGCTCTCTGCGGATTTTCAGATGCCAGAGACTGACCGATGTCTTCAGTCCGTCTATTCTGCAGCTGTCGTACACCCCGAGGGCACTTGCGGTTCTGCCGCATGTCTCCGCCTTCTCAGGTAGGAGTTGAGGAGCCTTTTTAGGCAACTTAATTCGAAGGGCTGAGGGGGAGGCGTACGCGAGCGGAGCTGAAGAAGAACGAGAAACGGGGGAGACAAAGGGGCATCGGGGTAGGGGAGGGAGGGCTGGAGGATCGGCTTTGTCACGCAGGAAATCGTGTCTTGCTGTCGTGATCGAAGAAAGGCGTGGACGGGAATGGGAAGGAAGACGGAAGAGGGGGGTTTGGTCGGGGGCGATTGGAGCTGCTGCTGCTGCTTCTGCTGCGTTTTTTGCATCTTCATGCGGATTTTCGTTCCTGCGTTTGCCGCTACGACTCCTTCAGGAGCTATGAGTCTAACAGACGGGACGGTACAAAAGGTTCCAGCGCTGGCAATCTGCGAGGCAGATCACAACGCCTACGACGAAGCTACCAAGCTCGAGATTCGAAGAGCATTGAAGGTTTGTGACAGCAAAGGGCAGGGGGCAAGGGCGGCACAGCACGCCAGTTGGTTTGTGTCGGGCATGCTGTGTCTGGCGAGTTCATGTATATATATATATATAATATATATATATGTTTGTGCTTGTGTATGCATGTGTTTGTGTGTATATGTGTGTGTGTATGTGTATATGTGTGTGGATGTATGTGTGTGGATGTATGTGTGTATGTGTGTGTGTGTGTGGATGTATGTGTGTATGTGTGCGTGTGTGTGTGTGTGTATGGATGTATGTGTGTGTATGTGTGTGTGTGTGTGTATGGATGTATGTGTGTGTATGTGTGTGTGTGTTTGGATGTACGTGTGTGTATGTGCTTTGTCTTAGCTGCTTGGCGTTGATTCTTTTTATCGCTGTTTCTCACTGTGTGCTCTCTGTTGTGTTGGCTGTGGGGGATACACTGCATGGGGTTGGGAACGTTGGCTGTGCATGCTGTGTGTTCCCTGCAAAATGCTTTTTTCTTGCATGCTTTTTTCTTAGATGCTTTCTTATTGAATGCTTTCTTATTGGATGCTTTCTTCTTGAATGCTTTCTTATTGAATGCTTTCTTCTTAGATGCTTTCTTATTGGATGCTTTCTTATTCGATGCTCTCTTCTTAGATGCTTTCTTCTTAGATGCTTTCTTGTCAGATGCTTTCTTATTGGATGCTTTCTTCTTGAATGCTTTCTTATTGCATGGTTTCTTCTTGGATGCTTTCTTATTGAATGCTTTCTTCGTAGATGCTTTCTTATTGAATGCTTTCTTATTGGATGCTTTCTTCTTGAATGCTTTCTTATTGAATGCTTTCTTCTTAGATGCTTTCTTCTTGGATGCTTTCTTATTCGATGCTCTCTTCTTAGATGCTTTCTTCTTAGATGCTTTCTTGTCAGATGCTTTCTTATTGGATGCTTTCTTCTTGAATGCTTTCTTCTTGAATGCTTTCTTCTTGAATGCTTTCTTATTGAATGCTTTCTTATTGAATGCTTTCTTATTGAATGCTTTCTTCTTGGATGTTTTCTTCTTGGATGCTTTCTTCTTGGATGTTTTCTTCTTGGATGCTTTCTTCTTAGATGCTTTCTTATTGCATGCTTTCTTATTAGATGCTTCCTTCTTGAATGCTTTCTTATTGAATGCTTTCTTTTTGGCTGCTCTCTTCTTGGATGCTTTCTTATTCGATGCTCTCTTCTTAGATGCTTTCTTATTGGATGCTTTCTTGTTAAATGCTTTGTTATTGCATGTTTTCTTCTTGGATGCTTTCTTCTTTGAAGCTTTCTTATTGAATGCTTTCTTCTTAGATGCTTTCTTATTGCATGCTTTCTTCTTGGAGCGCTGTATTTTCCATGGCTTCGGCAAAAGGGTGGAAGGCGAATTATGATTTGCTTGTGTGCCTCGTTTTTGTCGCTTTCAATCTTTAGGGCATCAAGCTGAATCACGAGGAAGACACTGACGATATGCAGCTGGAAGGCGATGAGCAAGCAGGAGACTCTCTGGGAACCTTTAAGGCCGGCAGCGGCAAGTGGGGTAGCTGCCTGAGAATCGTCAATCCGCTTCTGGTATGAATGGCGGCTGTTTGCATGCGCAAAAGCGAGGGTTTGATCTTGCCAGTAGATGCGGGGAGAAGGGAGGGCAGGAGACAGCGGCGGAGAGACTTTTTCGCGCGAAGCCTCACGGAGAAAAGCCGCAGGGGGGTCCATCACAGGGGAGGACGGGGGAGAAAGCTGCTTTGGATGCAGCTATTTCTGGTGTACAGACAGAAGTCTTGGGGGGGGGGTGAAGGGAGGTGTTTTGCGCTTTTTTTTCCGCAGGCTACCACGATTGAGAAGTTGACTTTCGAAACAGACGAAGCAGCTATCAGCTGCTGCTGTTGCGAGTTTGAAGGTTTGCCGCTTCTCATCGTGGGAACCGTCACAGCCATGACGCTACGGCCGAAAGCGGTAAGGAGACAGCAGAATAATTCGTTTGTGAGTGTGAGTGTGAAGGCGTGTGTTTACTAAGTGCTGCCTCCTTCTTGCCTCGCTTTCTGACAAGCCCTCTCAGTTCCGCCTCGCATTGTGTAGAACGCTGCCTTGTCGCTGGAGTGTTTCTCTGCAGGTTGCTGCTGCATCCATCAAGGTGTATGCATACGATTCGAACTTCCGTCTGACCTTCTTGCACTCCGTAAGTGCCAACCCTTGTTTCAAACCTCGAAGAAACGCCTTTTCTCATCCGTTTTTTCTTAGCCGCCGTCTCTGCGGAAATAGGGGCTTGCCGATGCGTCGGGCAGGCAGTTTCGCCGATCTGCGTTTTTTTCGCGCGTTTGCGCTTTTTCATCTTTCGGCGTCTGTCTTTTGTGTTTGGCCCTCTTTCTTTCTTCCCCTCCAAGCCTGCACGGCTTGTCTTCTCGTTTTGCGCGTGCCTGGATTTCTCGCAAGGACGTCTTGTGAAGAAAGGCGTGAACGCCTTCTTTCTTTCTGTGCGAGATTTTTTCTCTGCAGACTCCCGTGGAAGACGTACCACAGTGCTTTGCGCCCTTCCGCGGGATGCTTCTCGCTGGCGTCGGTAATCGTCTTCGTCTATACGCCTTGGGAAAGAAACGCCTTCTGAGGAAGTGCGAATACAAGGTATGGAGGACGGAATGCGATGCATGCGGGAGGGGGAAGGAAGGAAGGGGGCCGTCTTTTGCATGCGTCTCTTGGAAGCGTGTCGAGCAGCATTCTTTCTCTTTCCTTCTGACCGCGCATGCTTGGTGGAAAAAGCACATCCACATGCACGGAGCGCATCGTTAATTGTTTTTTTTCCTTCCTTGTGGGGAAACGTCCGGGTGTAAAATATGGGTTGCATTTCGAGCGAGCATGCTTTTCCTTCTGTCCGTTCCGAGAGCTTTTCAAGTCTCGCTTTGCACAGCGTCTCTCGCGTATATACAGCCTGGCAACGGCCTCTGGAGCGAACGCATTCACCAGCTGCAGGGGATGACTGTTGTGACGGCAGAAGTGCCTCGCCCGTCCAGCGCGTATTGGCTGCACGTGGATCTGCTGCGTGATATGCTTTTCCTGCAGAACCTGCCTTCGGGGTTGGTGTTTCTGCGAGTCTTCGAAGATCGCATCTTCGCTGGCGACTTGAGCGAAAGCGTCCACGTGCTCAAATACCGTGCAAACGCAAATCTCTTTTATGTGCTTTGCGACGACTCAGGCCCAAGGTCGGTTCGCTTGTGCTGTCTGAGCTCGCGTTGTAATAGGGGGGTGGGGTTGGGGTGTTTAAACCCTTCAGTTTCTTCGTCGCGCTTGTTCGCATACAACCATTTTCGCGTGCTTTCCGCTGTTTTCTTCTTTTCAAAGCCATGGCCTCTCGAGCATGTGTGCGCGTCGTGTGCTGCGTTCGCCCCTCCCCGTCGCGTCGCTTCTGTTCTCTCTTTTTTGCGTTTTTTCGGTTCTCCAGCAGATGTCTAGCCACCGCTGCGCTGTAGACATCCCACGTCATCTCTCTCTCCATCTCGTTAGCGGAGCTGTCTCTTCTTTCTGCTGTCTCTGAGGGCCGCCTTTGCGCCTCTGCCAGCGCGGCTTTCCAGTGCGAACCCTCTTCACGTTTTAGGCGCTCATGAAGGGCACTAGATCTTCAGGAAGAAGGCGATGTTTGGGCGTGAAAGTGTTTGTCGCGCACGCTTCTGTGCCGTAGGTGGCTTACACGGGGTGAAGTGCTAGATTATCATACCATCGTCGCTGCAGACAAGTTCGACTCTCTCTTCATTGAACGCGTAGGGCTGCCGCGTCTGGCGATGATGGCTCTCTTAGTCTTGCCTCCTCTCTAGATCCCTACTCCAGACATCGCATCAAGCGAGCATCCCCTGCTTTTCCGCTTCGCTCCTCCTCCTAAGCAGCGGTGTAGGATGTAGCCTAATACCCCTGCATGCCCTCTCGAGCAACAGCAGCAGTTCTTGCTGCTCTTTCAGATCCTCTCTCAACGCAAACCGGAGGATTGGGGGCGCCCCTGCAGCTGTACTGCACACGTGTGGGCTTGCCGCTAGCGGCGCTACTTATTGCATTCCACTTTCTCTGCATCTCCAGTTTATTGCATTCCAGTTTATCTGCACTTGCATGTTGTTGCATTCCACTTTCTCTCCATCTCAATTTTATTCCATTCCACTTTCTCTGCATCTGCATGTTGTTGCATTATCAGTTTCTCTCCATCTCAATTTTATTCCATTCCACTTTCTCTGCATCTCCAGTTTATTGCATTCCACTTTCTCTGCATCTGCATGTTGTTGCATTCCAATTTCTCTCCATCTCAATTTTATTCCATTCCACTTTCTCTGCATCTCCATTTTATTGCATTCCACTTTCTCTGCATCTCCAGTTTATTGCATTCCACTTTCTCTGCATCTCCATGTTATTCCATTTCAATTTCTCTGTGTCTCCATTTTATTGCACTCCACTTTCTGTGCGACTCCATATTATTCCATTCCACTTTCCCTGCATTTCTATTGCATGCTAATTTTTGAGTGTCACTGTTTGCTGCAGTTGTGCTTGACGTGTTGACGCTTCTGCTCGTGCGTGTGCGGCTGGCAGGTGCCGAGCGAGGCTCGGCAGGATGAGGCAGCAGACGTAACGGGGCTGAAACTGCGCGGAGATACCGCGTACATGACCGACAGCTGCCACAAAGTCGGGCCTTGTGTGCTGCGTGGCTGTCTCCCGCAACGCTCGAGGGTTTGACCAACGAGGGAGACGGAAGGGTCGAGACAGCCGCAGATGCAGCGATGAAGGGCAGAGGAGAGGCAGGAAGGGCATCTGGAGGGAGGGAGTGCGCGTTAAGGGGCGTTTTGTGCCGATCGTGGTGTCTGTGTGTGCATGCAGCTCGACACGGTGCTGCAGTTTCACGTGGGGGAGATTGTAACTGGCCTCCGCCTTGCGGCGCTGAGCACAGGTTCTGCCGAGGCGATCGTATATGCCACCATCATGGGGACCATTGGCTCAATGGTTCCTTTCCTCAGTAAAGAAGAGGTCCGTTTTCGCTTAATTTTACGCTTTTGCTCGACTTTTGAACCGGCGTGTATCGGCAAACGGGTGTTCAGTGACGCGCACCCCTTGCAGCGTCGTGCTGCTTTCGGCAGAACGCAGTCACCCGCTGCTGCTGCTGCAGCGCCGGCCTTTTAACCAGTTGCGGCTGGATTCGAGATATTTGTTAGCTGCTGCCGTCACTGTATTGTGTACTGAAAAAAACAATGCACGGACGGCTGCACAGCACCCCCCGCGTCAAGTGCCGCCTCCCTGTTTACGGTGTCTCCGGTGTCTGTACAGCTGGACTTCTTCCACCACTTGGAGATGGTGATGCGCTCGGAGGCGCCGCCTCTCGCGGGGAGAGATCACCTGATGTTTCGCTCATATTATCATCCTCTGAAGGTAGTTTTCAAGGGGTGACGAGGCAGCCATGCAGGGGTCCTCGATGCATGCAGCAGTGTACTCTTTCTCAGGACGGGCTGAGTCTATGACCCTTCTCATGAAAGGCTGTGCTCTCTCTTGCGCTTCCTCGGGAGGTCGCCCCCTAAAACCACCCCGCTAATGTGGCTGCTCTTGGCATGTCTGCCTCAGCAAGGGCATACGTGTATGTATTTATATGTGTAGAAGTATGTCTGAACGTATACGCTGTGTATTTTTGCCGTGTCGCTCTCCTGAATTTGGCATATATTGCTGCATGCTGCGGCCCACCCGCGAACTGGCTGCCTCCTTCTGTGGCAGTGTCTGTGTAAGGCGTCTGCTTTAGGCTCTTTTAGCCCCTTTAAGGTGTGTGGTATGTGCGTTTGCCTGCCTATTCATGGCCTTTTTCCGTCTGCTCCGCATTGCCTGTGTCTGCAGAATGTAGTTGACGGGGACCTGTGTGAGCAGTTCGTCTCGCTCTCCCCAGAGGCGCAGAGCCGTGTGGCACAGGACTTTGAAAAGACCCCTGCCGACATTCTCAAGAGGCTCGAAGACATTAGAAATCGTGTTCTCTAAGGGAAGCTGACTAGCAGCAGCAGGACCGCTGCGTGCATCAAGCACCCACCCCCACACCGGCGTAGCCGCCGTTCCTCTCTTTTTCTCGACGTCTCCCTTTTTGGAAGCAAGGCTAGCGTGTTGCTTACAAGCACCACAAAAAATAGGAGCCAAGCATGAAAAAGGGCGCGTATTAGGATGCTCGCCTCCTGCCGAGGGGCTCTCCTCGCATGCAGAGAAGGCCTCCGAGCTGGCGTGTGGCTTGTCGCTCTCGGTGTTTGCAGTTGCTGCCTGGAAGAAGCAGCGGCTGAAGACTCTAGTTACTACGCACAAGCACAAGCGCTTGGGCAGAAAGCTCTGTTCTCGTCGGGGGATTCCCAACCCCACCGGGTGCGGGGGGGCCTTTTCTGTCGCTGATTAGAGGGTCTTAAGGGTTTCTCTGGCCGCTTGGGAAGGGGCGCTGGGTAGAGGGAAAGAGGCTCTTGCATCCTTTTCCCCTAGCTGGAGATCGTCTGGAGGTTAGGGGTGTAACGAAGGATTGCAAGGATTCGTCAATCATGGCAGAGACTTTTGCGAGGAAAGACTTGGTGCTTCTAATAGATCTGTCTCCCCCAAGGTCTGTCTGTGTTCGAGGGTTTATTCAGCCGTACACACGCGCTCTGCCCCCCTATATGTACACATTACGTCCGTTCTACCTATCTTAGAATGACACCCACTCGAGCCCAAATTCCTGAGTAGGGGCAAGGCGGCCCCGGAGGATTAGTTGCACTGGTGGGGTTGGTGTTACGTGCTGTCGCTAGAAGTGTTACCGAGCTGGAGAGCAGGCGAGATTAACTTCCAGAGGGGCGGCAGATGGATACTCATAGCCTTGAATCATGTGGCACTTTTGCTAGGGGGTGTTTGTGGTGAAGGCCTCTCTCTTGTGGCCAGCCCGTGTGGTTGCGGTCTGTATCGCGTCAACTACGCACGTGTACGCATGCGTTCTAAGCGCTAAAGCTCACGGTTTGCACTTTAGCTGTGAAAACAGGTGCATTTAGAAGCGTATTAGAAGATAATGGCGGAGATGACAGGTAGATAGAGAGAGCCGGGAAACCTCGGTTCTACACACCAGAACCCGTCTGCCGCAACAGCCCGTAAAACTAGCTGGAGAATGTTTATAGGGCCCCCTGGACTTTTTGGTTTTGTACTTTTTTGATGTGTCGCTGTAACGAGGCAGGTTGGCACCGGGAACCTTTGCTGATCAGTGAGCGCACCCAGGCCTGTCTGCGCAGCCGAGTGGCAGAAACGAGCTGCCGGCAGAGCCCTTCTGCGTTGGTGGCTCTGCTACAGCAAGTGAGTCATCAATAAACATAATATGAAGTGTTTTGGTCTGGCGCAAAGAGAGGGATAGAGAGCTGCAGGCGGCAGCCAGTACGTGGCAGCCTACCTCTAGCTCGCGGGCTCTTCCCTTAGAGGTACTGATGAAGGAAGAGCGATGGAAAGGGCGCCGCTCTCTCGCAGCAGAAATGCGTATTTTTTGGGCCTTTAGTAAAGCTATTGTGAATGTGTGACTGAGTGTGCAGTATGGTGTGGTTTTTATTGGTGTATTTGCTCCCGGCGCGACTGCAGTCTCTTCGTCCTGCCCGGGTTCACCAGCTGTAGTTACAGGGGGCACCCGGATTCAGAGGACGGCGGCTCTTGTTGTCCTACATTCTTCGAGAATTAAGGCTTAGCATTCTAATCAATGGCAGTAGAAATAATATGCTTGCACGAATTTAATGAAGCAGAGAGAAGAAGAGACCGCCTCCTGGGTAGTTCAGGCGAGCCCTGCGGTGAACCGAAGGAATTCCGTTTGCGCGAGGAGTCTCCCTCCTATCATGCTACGGGCAGAGAAGGGTTAATTTAGACTCCTGTCTAGAAGTTTGAAGGGGTTTGGAGAGCCTCTGTCAGCATTTACACCTAGCAAGTCGCATCAGGCGACAGAAAAAGGGATAAGAAAGCGACGGAAACTTGACACTGCAGGCATTAGAGCCCGAACGCCGTTGCTGTGTAGTCAGTTGGAAGAGAGCAGCAGCACCCACTGCTGTCCTTCTGGAGCATCACTGGTCTGTCAGTCTTTTTCTTTTTCTCTTTTAGCATTAGTTCTTTTTCTGGTTTTTTGTTTACTTCCAAGGAGAGCCCTCACTGGCAGTTGCGGCAGCTGCTATTGTTGCTTGTGCTACGAACGGCAGAGTCACTTGCCCAGGAGACGGCCTCACAGCTCTACTTGCGCCAAGGAGCTCTTTGCTTCTCTTTCTTTGCAAATTCTCTCGCCAAAGGCGCCCAGGAGGCCTACCGGCAGGCGCGGAAACACACAAATTCGAAGCCGAGGTGCCTCTCACCATGGGAACCCGGGCAAGGACGGCTGGTGCCCGCAAGGAAGGGGAAGCTCACCCTCCCAAACCGAATGAGTCTAAAGCTTCCATTCTTCACAATAAGCTACGCTCAGCTCATGTGACATTGAACCACCCCGGAGGACCTCAGGCAGCTCAAGTTGGTACCGATACTGCTAGCAGCCTCAGCACCACCCCGCCAAATGCAACGACAGCCGCGTTAGAAGTTTCAGCGTTGCCAGGCCCTTACAGAAGCAAATTTTGCAACACAGGTGGAAGAACACACGCAGAAGAGAGGGCAGGAGTGCCCTGTACTGACAGTAAGCTCCCCAAAGTCTTGCGTAACATGCGCGTTTGCTTTTTCCTATAGGCCTCTTGATGAAACCCCGTTCTTAAACACCTTTGCAGTGTCCTTACACTTCCCTCCGAACACACGCACACGAATGGTGGCAAGCCATGAATCCGCATGCCTTTGCCTTTCCTTTCCTTTCACTTCCTCCTTCTCTTTAATGGAGGAGGTGTCTGAACCTGTGTCTTGCTGCTCCGATTGCTCCTGATACTCTCATTGCTCCTGCTGCTACGATTGATCCTACTGCTCCGATTGCTCCTGATGCTCCGATTGATCCTGCTGCTCTCATTAATCCTGATGCTCTGATTGCTCCTGATGCTCTGATTGCTCCTGATGCTCTGATTGCTCCTGATGCTCTGATTGCTCCTGCTGCTCTCATTAATCCTGCTGCTCTGATTGCTCCTGCGGCTCTGATTAATCCCGATGCTCTGATTGATTCTGCTGCTCCGATTGATCCTGCTGCTCTCATTAATCCCGATGCTCTGATTGATCCTGCTGCTCTGATTGCTGCTTCTTGCGTTCCGCAGTGCATGTGATCGAAAAACTTCGCAACCTGCGAGACAGGTGCCTCGCAGAGACAGCGCAGCTGCCGCCTCTGCCCAATGTGTATTTCAACTCGAGTCTGGAGAACCTTGCCTGGTGCGGAATTACCCAGGAAAGACATCAAGGCTCCCCGCAAGTGAAGTCTTTTCCGATTATTTCCCACGGCTTCCAGGAGGCGAGACGACTGGCCAGAGCCTGGGCTGTTGGCGCCGCTCACGACAGACAAGGCTCCCTTCTACCCTCAGAAACTCATCTTTCCGCGCATGCTGAAGCAGCAGAGGCCTTTATGGAGGTGCAGTCTCTGACAGCAGCAGCAGCAGCTGCTGCTTCTAAAACCGCTCCTGTCGCGACAGCAGAAGTGGGGGATGCAGAGTCGCTGCCAACTCGAAAACCGGGGAGGCCAAAGAAATCGAAGGAGAAGCGAAGTGTACCCCAAAGGGAAACGAGGGAGGAAAGAAATACGCATGGAGAGTCTTCTGCTCACGAAGAAGATGTAAGAGTGATCACGATTTTATTCACATGTTTTTTCACGGAGAGCTCTCCTGCATGATGCGCAGCTCTTCAAACAGCTCTCAAGGCAGGCAGGCGAAGTGTGCCGGCATGAGTGTACATACACCCGAAGGCAAGCTGGCGTGGACCTCCTGCTTCTTCGGTATCATTGTGTTGCTACTGCCGCTGCCTTTGCAGGCGGAAAAGATGACTTTGTCGCTCCTACGCGAGAGCTTGTCTGTAATGATGGAGGATCTCGTCGATCTTTGCTCCCCTCGCCTTCGCTCTGCATTAACCCCAGAGCAAAGAAACAAGTTCTATGGGCCGCTTAAGAACCACGCGAAGCATATCAGAGAGTCAGCCATTTATTTTAAAAGAGAATCCTAAACATTAATCCAGCGCCTTTGGCGTGCTCGTACTGAAAAATATCCTGTAGTAGTCGCGCGCATGCTTCATTCAAAACAGGCAGTCTCCGAAAGAGGGCCCCTTCATTTTTCCTTTTTTTCCTTCATTCCCTCCGCTCCTCTTCATTCTCTCTCTCTCCCCTTCATTTTCTGTGCTCCTCTTCATTCTCTCTCTCTCTCTTTCATTGTCTGTGCTCCTCTTCATTCTCTCTCTCTCCCCTTCATTTTCTGTGCTCCTCTTCATTCTCTCTGCTCCTCTTCATTTTCTCTCTCCCCTCCCCTTCATTTTTCTCTCCCCTCCCTTTTATTCTCTCTCTCCCCTTCATTTCCTCCCTCTCTTCCCCTTCATTCCCCACCTTCTCCTTGTGTTTCTCCCTTCCCCCTCCCTGCCTGCCCCTGCCTCGCCTCTGGCTGTCTACCTGCCTTCCTGAGCGGGTGCATATCAGCGCCTAGCACCATCTCCGCTTTCCCCTTGTCCTCTGTAGCTAGTTGCCTTTGGGGCTGTTTGTTTCTCTTGGCTTCTCTGTAATCTGTCTGCGTTGCGTTTGAGCCGCCTCCGCTTATCAGCCTCCCTCCTCCCACTGTGCAAAATGTGTGTTTTTCCGTCCGACCGCAGGACGCAGGATGCTTCCGACTTAGTTGGCTACATGCGTTTGTACTTTGATCGATACATGTTAGAAAAGACAGTCCCTTCGGAAGACGCTTCCTTCGCACGCGTCTTTGTGCTTCTCGATGCACTTGCCGCATGGGCTCCTCCCGTAAAAGGCCACATGAAGCCTGCGAAGCCTCAGAGGGCTATCCGCCTCGGTGCGGACAGCTGTAGCCAGATCGCGGATTTAGTGGAAGATATCCTCTCAGATAAATCAAGCAACACAGGGACAGATGCGGAAGCACAGCCTCAAAACACCGAAGAAGAGCATATTAGAGTTCTTCCGCATCACAGACTCCTGAGACAGAGACCTAGCAAGCGCAGGAGGTGCACCTGACGCTCACCATACACCCGACGACTATGGGTGTCTTGCTATCCCTCACCACTCACCGCAATCACGGTCTCTGTGATTCGGATGTAACATACATAGCCCAGCAAACGGCCGTATCCATATAAAATGGCCGCTTGTTGTGCCTGTCGGTGTGCAGATATGGATTATATAGGTGTGTGTAGTGTATGCTCTATGGGGGTACGGTGTATGCATTAGGGGAGTACGTATAATTAGGGGTGTATGTACGAGACAACCACCACGATACGCTGTACAAAGTATACATATATATATATGATGCAAATCTCAGGAGAACAGCATGGGCATTCAAGCTATTCTGAAGGGTGTGTGTGTCTGTGCGGGTGTGTCTGTGTATGTATGTGTATGTGTATCTGTATATATTTATATATATATATATATATGTTTGTACTACATTAGCCTTCAGCAAGCGCAGCTCATGGGGGCGTCCCACAATGAGAAAAGGCCATACGCCTAAATACGCGTCTGAAGGGCTGTCCGTGGTATCAGACTCACAGTGTTTTGGAAAAAAGTGTTCATATGAGGGAACCGCATACATCATCCCCCTCACTCCACGCTTCCTCCCGTGCATGCATGCATGGGTGGGAGGACACGTGAGGACAGCAGCCGCAAGCAGCAGCAGCAAAGCAGCAGTAGTAGTTGCCACTGCTGTTGCATTGCCATCTAGCGTCAAGTCAGCAGGTGCTGCAGCGAAAATACCGCCAAGAGAGACTGCGGTTCAAAGCAGCGGCTAGGGGTTACAGGTTTGACAAGCTCCTGGCCTCCCCTCCTTTCCTCTCTTCCTTGTGTTTGTTTCCTTCGAGCGTGCGCCAGCCACTTCTGTCGGGTGCCACACTTTGTGTTATTTATGCCTCGAGAGCAGCGCAAAGAGGCAGGCGTCCGATAGGCTGCCTCCCCCAAGGCTTTCCTAGCGCGTTTCCTCTTCAAGAATCCCTCTAAAATAGGAGCCGTCGTTAAGTGTGTCTGGGAGTGGGTGCGTTTGAAGGGCCTTGCCTTTCGGGGACGGGGCAAACACGTCTACATGTATATATTTCCAACTTGTGCAAGAGCAACCCTGTCGTACGAGCGTGGGCTGGGCTGGGGGTTAATAGTTGCTGTTGCTATTGTTATGATTAGCGTGTGTTTGAGCTGGAGAGGGTGCAGCGGGAGGACGGGAAGGCAGTTGGCACACGTACACTGCCCTGCAGCTCGTGGGAGATTTCGAGGGCTTGCGAGAGCAGCAGACCGCAAGCCCATAGAGACAAACAGCCACCTGCCACTGACCCCTCCCCACATAAGTCACCTCTTGCCAAAAGGAGTGGCTGTCGCACGTGCTGCTTCTTCGTGCATCCACTAATAAGTACACCCTTAATACAGCAGCAGGCTTGCACTGCCAAGCGTTGTCGCGCTAAAAAACGAGGCAGCCAGTGCCTCAAGCTGCGGGGCAGCAACTGCACAAGCTGGGCCGCCAGCTTTTCATGGACAGGCGCAGCTAGCTAGCTAGCTAGCTAGCTAGCTAGCGTGTACTACCAGCTAGCTAGCTAGCTGGTAGTGCACGCGCACCTAGGGCAGCTGTAGCTGAATGCCATCGCCACGGCAAACGGCAAGGGAGGGGCAGCTGCGGCTGCCGCTGCTCGCACACATCAGAGGATGGGGGTAAAGGCCTCATTTCCAACAGAAAAGCCCCTCATGCTGCTTCTCACGCGCTGCTCGAAGCCGAGAGGGTCGGTGCGCAGAGTTGCAGCGGCTTCTTGGTTTAAGGGGTCGTTAGGATTCGGTTCCTGCGTAGAAGCGCAAGCGCCGCACTGCGTTAGGGTGGGGGTAAGTGTGTTGCGCATTTTTCTGCTGTGGAAAGAAGGGGGGTATGCTACGGCTGCAGTCGTGAGCGCACATGCTACGCATGGCCAAAGAGGGAGGCCGCTTCTTACAAGAAAGAGATGGAGCAGTCCGTAGATCACAGATGAGAGCGACAGCACAGGCTTCCAGTCTTCTCTCAGAATGTTCAGACAGACATTGCCTTGCAGATCGATGTTCGGATGGTAAATCTGCAAACAAGAATTCTGGAGAGCAAAGCCCTTATGCCTTTAGCCGCGCGGAATATACATATATGTGTGTATGTGTGCCTGCCTGCCTGCCTGCCCCCCTTTCCAAGTGCAGCAGCCGCTTCCCAGCCTTGCATCAGAGCAGCCGCTATGCGGTTCTGTCCCCCTTCTTCTACGGAAGCTTTCCTCAGGCACGTTACTGTGCCTTGACTGCATGAGCTTGTACCTTTTCCCTCTTTTCTTTTACCGCCTTCCCCCCCCCCCACCCGTCCCCTCGCCGTTTTCTGACAGCCTTGCCAGTGGTATGCTTGCCTTGTCTCTGCATTTGACTTTGGGGGGGTCGTGAGGGTAGTTGTCGGGCAGCTTGATAGTGAAGCGAATGCGACCATTTCTCCAGTATCCTTCATCTGGAGTGAGCGTCAGAAGGAACGTCGGAAGTGCTCCCCTTTCGCTTTCTATGTCCATAGAAAGGCAACCTGCGTCTGAGCCTCCCCCCGGAGGGAGAAGGCTGCGCAGCGTGCAGTTAGGCGGAAGATCAAGATCTTCCAAGTCTTTCTGCAAGCGAATATCGCTGGGCAGGATGCGAGGCGCAGCAAGAGCTGCTGCGGGAGCAGCAGCCGCAGAACCTCCTGCTGTGGCGGGGGGGGGCCCCCCTGCCACTGCAGGAGGAGAACCTTCAGAATCTGCTGCAGCTTGCTGCTGTACCCCCTCGTTCGACGCCTTCCGCTTTCCAGGTCCATAGAGGCGCAGCATTTTTTCTGCTGGGCACTGAGGCAGAGGTGTAAATACGGAGAAGCGACTGGAGCGAAGCAGCGGAGGGAGGGAGAAGTGCTAGAGGGAAGGGGGAAGGAGAAGAGTGAGAGGACGTTACAGACGACACATGCGCGAGCTGCTTCTCTCTGCAGCAAAGGGCGTCTCGTGAAGAAGGAAAAAGCACAAAGACGCCTCTAGGCTTCAGCTGCTGCTGCTGGATAGCAAGGCTTCTTCTTCTTGCTGCTTGCTGCTGCCCTTATCCCTGCAGCTGCGGCTAGAACCGCAGATCGTCGGATCAGACGAGAGAAACCTAGTCTCTAGAGGTAGAAACAGGAGGATGCAAGACGAAAATCCACACGAGGGGCCTTCGACTGTGGTATGTACATACACCAGAATCCATATTCGAAGGGCTGCGCTGCTGTATGCCTATGCGCCAAGGCGTGCGCGTTGCGGCGGCGAACGCCCCTGCATGTGCTTACAAGTCGCAAAAAACGTAAAATGGAATTTGTTTTATGTGAGAAAATCGAGGCATCTAAAGCGCAAAACGCGACTCTTCAAGGGGCCTCCTTCGGCAGGGGGGCTGTTTGCTGCGCGGCGGCAGGGGTCGCATGTCGCCAGGGAGGGGGGGCCCCCAGGAGGGCAGGGGGCCCTTTATCTTTGATGGAAGAGAAATACACCCACCCCTATCTGCCTCCTTTTCCTCTCTGCATCTTCTCCAGGCTCAGACCTCGAAAGTTTCACGCGGTCTTATGGGAGTGCTGGATTTCTGCGTCGGATCTCTCTCTCTCTCTCGGCTGTTGCTCTGCGCCTCTCGCACCCACCAGCGCTTCTGAGGCTTAATTAACCTTCTCGCAAAGGCAAGCGCAGGCGCATTTAGCAGCAGAAAAACGGCTGTCTCCTCGGGAGGCCCCTGCAGGCGGAACGGGGTGGGCAGGCGGAGGGAGCGAACTGGAAGGCAGGCAACGCACGAGGTAGCACGCGGAAGCGGGGTTGGACTAAGGGGAGTCGTGCATGCATGCACGCATGCACACCTACTCGCATACATGCACGCGTGCTTGCACGACTCCCCTTAGTCTAACCCCTGCCTCCTGCTGCTGGAAGAAGCGTATTCTCCATCACACGGCAGTGTACGTACAGTCCGACCCGGCGCGCTCGCGTAGAAAAACTGTTTTGCCGGGGGTGATGCGACAGGCACTCTGAGCTGCATGCGACGTTTCTGGCACCTGCCAACGGGGTGATGAGTGGGCTGTCACGGCTGCCGGGCAGGGGGGGCCCCTCGGGGGGGGCCCCCCTCCCCCTGCTGCACGTCTTTGATCATTTCCTTCCTTGGCAGCCACCCCCCCACCGCATGCATCTCACGGTTCTCTGCGGCACGGATTCCTCTCGAAAGAAGCCTCAGCGGGGAATCAGCAGCTGCCCTAAAAGCGCGCATGCAGTCGCTCCTTCTTCCAACCGCTGGTGTAACAACAGCCTCAACGCACACACACACCCCCATTCTCTCGCGTTGAGAGGCATGCGGCAGTGCAGGCAACCCCCGCCGCTTGAAACTACTTGGATGCCTCTCCCTCTGCTCTTCCTGCAACACTGTCCACTGCCGCTGCGGGAGTGGCAGCAGCAGCAGCAGCCGCATGCGCTGCAACAAGTGCGAGACTACACGCCCCCCTCTAAACGAACTTGGGCGAAGCAGAACGAGAAGATACACACGCGACGCCCTCTTACTGAATCCTTCGCCATGCATAAAGTCCATCCAACGCTCGAATGGTGGCGCGAGAAACGTTCAAAGCCAGGTATTCTTGCGTGTACTACTGCTGTTGTGCACTTCTCAATGCGTTCCCCCGCTCTTAATGTCGTGATCTGGTGTATATATAACAGATAGATATTGAAACGTACAAGCATCAATAGAAACATGTACGTATATATATATATATATATATATATATACGTACATGTTTCTATTGATGCTTGTACGTCTGTATATCCATATATGCATGTTCATGTATCTCTATGTGGAATGTTCATGTATCTCTGTACGGAATGTTCATGTGTCTTTATCTGGAATGTTCATGTCTCTCTATATGGAATGTTCATGTATCTCTACATGGAATGTTCATGTCTCTCTGTATGGATCGTTCATGTATCTCTATATGGTATGTTCATGTCTCTCTATATGGAGTGTTCATGTCTCTCTATATGGAATGTTCATGTCTCTCTATACGGAATGTTCATGTATCTCTACGTGGATCGTTCATGTATCTCTATATGGAATGTTCATGTATCTCTACGTGGATCGTTCATGTATCTCTACGTGGATCGTTCATGTATCTCTATATGGAATGTTCATGTCTCTCTATATGGAATGTTCATGTCTCTCTGTATGGATCGTTCATGCATCTCTATATGGAATGTTCATGTCTCTCTATATGGAATGTTCATGTCTCTATGTCTATGTGTATGTCTATGTACGTATGTGGAGTGGTGCTTGGTCTGCGATGCTTTGCCTGTCTAACGCAATATGTGGATGAAACGAGAGGCAATTCAAGACACTCTCTGCCTGCAGATGAGGTCTTTTTTTGTCACTAGGGCACAACCGCAGCTGTGCTGTCGGGTGCTGCTGTACGCCGAAGAGGCATCGCACGCAGGGCGTTTTTCTGTGCAGAGTGTTGGACTCCAGTGATTTATGCGCGTTGGTGCTCTCTTTGCTCCTTACGCTTGAGGTCATGGCCGTCTGTATGTATGTGTATGTGTATATGTGTATGTGTATATGTGTATGTGTATATATGTGTATGTGTGTGCATGTGTATGTATGTGTGTGTATACATGTATGTGTATGTGTATGTGTGTGCATATATGTATGTGTATATGTATGTATGTGTATCTATGTGTGTGTATACATGTATGTGTATGTGTATGTGTGTGCATATATGTATGTGTATATGTATGTATGTGTATCTATGTGTGTGTATATATGTATGTGTATGTATGTGTATGTGTATATGTATGTATGTGTATCTATGTGTGTGTATATATGTATGTGTATGTATGTGTATGTGTATATGTATGTATGTGTATCTATGTGTGTGTGTATATGTGTATGTATGTGTATGTATGTGTATGTGTGTGTACATATGTATATATATATATATATATTGTGTTTATGTGCAGCAACTTTTATGGGCTTTCCGGATCCTTTGCTGCACTCCCTTCGTGGAGGAAGCCTGTACATCGAGCAGATGGATGCGGTTACCCTTGCATGCGTTTCTTTGCGATTGCTGTCTGCTGGCCGTTTGGCTGCTTCTCTATGGGGCCCCCTGGCGAGGCGCGCCGCGGCGTTGGCAATGGGGGCCCCTGCGCAGAGTCTCGCGGTTCTCTTTAAGTCGCTTGCTGCAGCCGATGTACGAGATGATGCCAGTGTGCTGACGCTAAAAGGAGCTCTTTTGGCGAAACTCGGCAAATGCGAGCTTATGGATGTTGCTGCCGTCGTCGAGGCTCTCGCCAACCCCTTCTTCGCATCTCCGAGGCAAGCGATTGGCTCTTGTGGTGTACGTACAGGTCATATGGCGGCAGCGGCCGCCCAGCACGCCGATGCAGCTGGGAGCGCTATCTCTTCTCGCGGGGTTTTTCCTTGACACGCGCGAGCCTGTTCCGATTGCCTGTGCTCGCTTGACACGTGTCTGCTGTTGCTGCTAATGCTGATGCTGCTGCAGGCTGACGGATGCGGCTCTGAGTCATCTGGAATTGCTGTTGCAACATCGAGAAGACTTCGATTCTGAAGAGCTTGCGGCAGCGCTCTGTGCCCTTGTGAAACTCGGCGCCAACGAGCCGCAGCTCCTCTTCTGCTTAGGTAAGAGAGACAGAGATAGGAGATATATATATATATACAGAGAGAGAGAGATTGAAAGATAGAAAGATAGATGCGGAGCCAGAGAGAGAGAGCTCGATACAGAGCCAGAGAGCGAGAGAGAGATAGAAAGATAGATACACACAGAGAGAGAGAGATGCAGAGCTCGTTGCATGTTGCATGGTACATGTTGCATGCTGCGTGCTGCTACACCAGGCAGGAGTCTTTTTGCGCTGAAAGGGCCTTTTTGTGCGCCGAATACGGCAGACTAGCGTCCGACGGATCATGCGCTGAGTGTTTTTTCTGCAGCGGAGCGCCTTGTGGCGTGTGACTTGGAGAGCTTCGAACCTTTGCAGTTGGTGGCGATCATAGAAGCTCTCTGCATGGCTTATCCAGTCCTCAGCACGTGTGTGCAGAGTCAGCGGCCGGAGGAGCTCCTTCTCAAGAGCGTCAGCAGCAGCGGGGGCAGCAACCTTGCAGAATTGACTGCGCATCTGAAGAAGCCATCCCCCGTTGCGTATGCGCTGTCTGAATCTCCACAGACGCCATATAACACCCCCATCTCCTACAGGCCCCCCCCGCCACCAGAGCAGCAGCCGCTAGACAAGGCGGAGGAACTGCTTCCAGAGCAGCAGCCGCTACACAAGGCGGCGGAGTCGGCCAGCCCTTCTTCTTGTCCCCTGTTTGTCTCTTGGCTGCCTGCACTGCTGAATGCTCTGCTGAGGAAGGCTCCTGCAGGAGTCTTTACGGCGGCAGAAGCTGCGACGGCACTCTCCGAGCTCTCTGCAGAGGCCTTAAAGAGTCACGAGGCTTCCCCCACGGCTGCCGATGCTGCAGTGTGCCAGAAGCAGAGCATGCATGTAGACTCTGCAATTGCTACGCGGCGTGCAGCGATTGCTGCCGCAGTCACGGCGACACTGAGAGGGCCCTTGAAACGCCACACAGCCACGGAGCGGCTCTAAAGTCTCCCAGGGCAGTCAGTCTGTGAAGCGGAACGGGCTGCGTGCTGGGCTTTAGTTGGACTGCACAGCCTGCTTCGAAAGGTAGTCGAGAGGGGGCGATTTCCTCCTCGCGACCCCTTTGCATTTCCTCGCGCAGCGTGTGCCTCCCTGCGCGCATGCGTTGCTGGCCTCTAGTTTCGTGGACGTAAGCTCTTCAAGAGCAACAGTTGCTTGAAGGGAAGCGCTCGCAGCGTGTTTCTCGCTCTGCGAAAGGCCTTAGGCACGTCTCTGCGCCTGCCGCCTTCTGTCTGTAAAGACGTCGCACCTCCTAACAGCGCAGCCGGAAGAGCCCAGAGACGTTGCCTGCCTGTCTAGGAAAGGCTTGCTCCGTCCGCGTTTGCGAGGAGGAGGCCTTTGAGAACCCTTCTGTCAGCTCAGCTGCCACCGCTGTCTGGCGGAAAGAGGCTCAGTTGCCTCCCTCAAAGCCTTCTCGTCCGCCGTCGAGACAGGGCACCTCCTGAATAAAAGGCCCTTCCGTCGAGGGGGTCGTTTTTCCACGTTTGTGTGGTGGCAGCAGCAGCTGCGCAGGCTAACATCAGCTGCAGGGTTCAGCCTTGCCGGCTCCTTATCGTAGTGCAAATATACGCAGAACTAGAGCGAGCAGTCACTCTGTCCCTTGCAGGCCACCTATCTATCTCCCTACTTACTCGGCTGCTTGCCTACCTACCTAGTTGTCTGCTTGCTTGCCTACCTACCTAGTTGTCTGCTTGCTTGCGTACCTACCTAGTTGTCTGCTTGCTTGCGTACCTACCTAGTTGTCTGCTCGCTTGCGCACCTACCTAGTTGTCTGCTTGCTTGCCTACCTACCTAGTTGTCTGCTTGCTTGCCTACCTACCTAGTTGTCTGCTCGCTTTCTTGCCTACCTACCTAGTTGCTTGCTCGCTTGCCTACCTACCTAGTTGCTCGCTCGCTTGCCTGCCTGGCTGCGTGTATGTAGGGTGTGCTTGCTCCTTGGAGAGCGCAAGCCTTAGAAGCGAAAGAGGCACCGCGTTAGGAAGAAATAAGCGCAGTTTTTCACCGTTTTTGCGCTCCTACATGCAGCCTCGGCGCGCGGAAGGTCTTATGGGGTTCGTGTGTCTTGACAGCTGGGGGAGGGCCGCGAGGTACTCACCTGGGGAATGGCCACCCCTCTGTAGGGCCCCCCTGGCTTTACCATTGGCATTAGTGTATTTGTGCACCTTAATTTCTTCCGCTTTTACCTAAAACTTCATTTTTGGCTCTGTGTACATTTGCCTCGGCGCTCAAGAGCAGGGGTGGCACCAGCTTCCGAGGCCCTCTAGGGCCCCCCCCCCCCCCCGCGCCTCTTTTCCCATTCTCTCCAGCGAGCACTGCAAGTCTGCAGCAGTCGACAACGCGCAAAAGAGCCAAGGCGACTATTTTAAGTTGGAAGGTCGTGGGTTAGGCGCATTCTTAGGGCGCCGAGTCACCTTGGCCATTCCCCGTGTGTTTGCCGCCGTCCTGCAGTGGCTGCGTTCTCGGAGAGGCTTCTGCTGCCGCGCAGATCCCCTTTCTCCCCCCGCCACCTCCTTCCCTGTACACTGACGCGCACGTGGGGTCCTCTCCAGTGCAGCAGCAGCAGCGAGGAGTCGGCGAAACGGCCAGCCAAAGGCGCTCGCTCTTGCCACCCCCTCGCCTCTCTCCGCTCCCCCCGCCCTCCTCCCATGGCCACCCAGCGGCGCTCTCTGCATGCGTGGCTTTTGCCACTCCCCGCAGTGCTGCACTTCGTGCTGCAGTTCGTGCTGCAGTTCGTGCTGCTGCAGGCCGCTTCCCTCCCCAACTGCTGCGCATGGCGTTCTCCGCCAAGCAGCAGCTCCCTCTCGAGAGGCGCCCTCCCTTTCTTCCTGCCCTTCTCGCCCCCCGACTGCAGACGCTCAGCAGCGGCGACAAAGGCGGCAGAGGGCCTAAGCGCAGGAGCTCCCGAGTCGCTCTCTCCCTACGAAGAAGGCGAGGCACCGTCGCGGAGCCTCTTTTCAGAAGGAGACACCGAGACGGAGGGCTTCGAAGCGTCTGAACGCGACGAGCCGTGGCAACAACAGCAGCAACAGCACCAACAGCACCACCACTACAGACGTTGGGGAGACTGGAGACGCACCAATAACTCCTGGCAGCACCGCGCCACACAGTCGCGACCCCCCTGGGGCACACAGCACTTTAGGCAGCAGCAGCAGCAGCAGCAGCAATACGCATATGATGACTACGCGGGAAGGAAGGGAGGCATGCGTGGTGAGGCAGCTCCTCTGCCGTGGAGGACGCCCAGATGGCAGAGACAGGCTCCAGCAGCCTTTCCGCCCATGCGGGGGGGCGAAAGATATGCGGAGGGAGCGAGGAGAAAGTCTCCTCGAACCTACGGATTTAAGCCTCAGCAGCAGACATGGTCGCCGATCTCGCTTGCAGCTTTTGGAGGGAGCCTCGACGGCTCGGGGGATATGGATGTAGGGCTTCTGCTGCAACACGACGCGCAGCTGCAGCAGCAAATGGAGGCTGTGCTGCCCCTCAGTCTCCCTCCGGAGACGCTGGAGGATCTTGTTGAAGGCAGCAGGAGGCAGCACCTCCTGCACCTAAGCCACGAAGAAGGGCCCCCCCCCATCCACACTTCGGTGCAGGCTGCAGCAGCAGTCGGAAGGCTCCTTCCCCCCGCGGATTCAGCAGTCTACGCGAGGCGGGGAACGTGGTGGTTCCCTCTTGCAGCATCTTACGAGGCTTCCAGAGAACGTCTCGGAAGCCTTGATCAAGAAGCGCAGCTGGAGCTGCAACAAAACATGGCGCTCTTGCAGCTTGAGGCACGGCAAAGACGTCGCAGACGCCTAATCCTCGCGGAGGCACTTGGTCGACATGGCTTGCAAATCAAGTAGGTCTTCCGCTTTACGCTTTTGCCCCTTCTATTACTCCCTTTCTTCTCCCCTCCTTCTTTTGCGTGCTTGTTGGCGAGCCGATGGAGACGGAGGGGGGAGAGGAGAGAGGAGATAGGGATAGGAAAGAGGAGATTGGAAATTGGGATAGGGAGAGAGGAGATAGGGATAGGAGAGAGGAGGGGAGACGGGTGGGGGTCAGAAGGAAAGGATTGATGCAAAAAATTCAATTTTCCGCAGTCTGCGTCTAGGGAACTCCTTCCTTGGGTGTCTTGGTCTTTGTGTGTGTAAATGTATGCATACGTATGTATATGTATATGTGTGTATATGTATATCTATGTATCTGTCTATATATGTATATGTATGTATTTGTGTCTGTCTCTATCTCCCCTTCCCTCTTTCTTTCTTCCTCTCTCTGTCTGTCTCTCTGTCTCCCTTTCCCTCTCTCTCTCTCTATATATATAATTTTGGCTCTGTCTCTGAGTGCCTGTTTGTGGGTTGCGTTTTTCTGTGAGTGTTTGGCACATATTCCCTGAAGTGTTGAGATTTGTGTTGTTTGATGTTTTGGTGGTGCAGTCCGGCAAGCTGGCTGTGTCGAGCGTTTGTTTACCTCAAGCGCACGCCTATTCGGAGCTTAGTGTTTGCTGTCTGGAGGCAGAAGGTTCTAGATCAGCTGTATGAGCCGATGATGCCTCAGCGGGAGGAGGTGGCAGAGGAACGGCAGGAGAGCTCTGGGCTTGCTGCTTTGGAGGAGGACTGGAGAAAACACGTTCTCTGGATGTCAGGGATAGATCTTGCAGCGCACCCCGTGAGCATGCGCGAGCGCATCTGCCGCTGTTGATACTGCTAGCCTAGCGAGGAAGGGGAAAAGGTCTGCAGATGCAGACTTGTGGGGGGAGAGGGAAGGGGGAGAGGGAAGGGGGCGTGTGTGTGCACTCCTTCCTGGTGCTCTGCGGAGCTTAGCGTTGTCGGTTGCATGTGCCTCTCTCTGGTCGTGATTCTGTGTCTTTTCGCGCTGCAGGCGCTGGAGATGGCGCTGCTATCTCGCAAAGAAGTCTTCGTGCAGCGGCGCTATTTGGCAGTGGTCAGACGACACCCCAGTGCTCGTCATCAGTTCGTTCCCCCCGAGGCTTCGGAGAGTGACGGCAGCAGCGACAGCGATCTGGAGGAGTCGCTGCGCTCTCGAAGAAGGCCTCTTCCCCTCCGAAGGCGTGGATGGCTGCCTTCTCGCGGGGAAGTTGGTAATGGAGAGCTGGCAGGAGTGAGCACTAGCAGCTATCTGCAGGAGAGGCTGCCGCGCGCAGAGACTCGACGGTTCGGAGGGCAGATGGCAGTCGAAGACAAAGGAGCCGCGGAAAGGGTGGTCTTGGAGGAGCAGGAGGAAAAGATCTCAGCAGCAACGGCAGCAGAAGCAGCTGAAGAGGAGGCACTTCCGCAAGCGGAGAGTCTCATCATGGCAGAAAAGAGTCGCATGCCACGAAGAAGCCGCCGCAGCGCACAGCAGGAGAAGATAGCGGCGGAAGCCTCTCAAGTCGCAGAATTAGACATACTTCCCACCGAAGAAGGTGCTCCAGCAGCGGGTGATAGCGAGACAAGCGGCAGCAGTGGCAGTGCAAGCACCAGTAATAGTAGTAGTAGTTCTACTGCAACCACTAGCGGGGCGGGGGGGGAGACGTTGGCAGAGGCACAAGGAGAGGGTGCGATGCTCTCCGCTGCTGTTGCAGCGGAAGAGTCGCCTTCCGTCGAGGCTGGTGAAGGGGAGTAGTGAGATCCTGTGATTGCAGGAGCTTTTTTCGGGGGTAGACTGCTGGCTGCGATTTTTCTCGAGGCATTTCTCTCTCTCTCTCTTTCCTGAGAGGACGTTAAGCAGAGTAGAAGAGGCGCACTAGTGCTGCCACCGCTGTCTTGGACGTAAGCGTCTGACACCGCATTCCTACTCTACGTGTTTCTTTCTCCCTTCCTTCCTCATTCCCCTCCCTCCTCATTCTCCCAGCTTGCGCAACGGCCCTCCTGTATGTCTCGGTGTGTCGATACACCGACGCTCTGTGTGCACCTGTTGGCGGCATGCATGCTCATCTTTGGCATGGCTAGTTGCGCCTCCTTGTCTTTCAAACTTCGGCTTCGCGCATGCGGTATTCCCTGCTCTCCGTGCATGCATGCAATGCACACGGCCGGCTGGCGTCAAGCCCCATACTCCCCAAGAAGGGGGACAGTCTCTAGCTCGCGATGTTGCCGCGACAATAAAAGCGCTGCTGCTGCTGCAGCAAGTGCAGGCGCTCTTTACTCAGTAGGAAACTGTGTGTGCAGCCTTAGGCAGAGCCGCTGGGGTCGCCCTTTCGTAAGTGCTGCCGATCTCGCAGCCGCCGATCGTGTTTAACAACCCCACCAAAAGGGACGGACAGACGGCCTCTCTGCTGCAGGGAGGAGCTGCCATATCTGCTATGGCGAGGAGACACTATTTCAACCCCCCTTACAGTTTCGTAACCCTACACGCTAGTTCGGAGCGCTTGCACGCCTAATTCTGCAACCTTGAAAAAAGGCACTCTCTAGCAGCAGCAGCAGCAGCAGCAGCACACCTAGGCATTCGTGCTAGCCGACCGAGCGCAACTCTAAAGCGCATTCGAAAACATCAACTGAAACGACGCCACACTGTGGATCATATTTGCCACAGCTTAACCAACTATACTGTCTACAGTCAAAAAATAAGAATTCCAGGATAACCTAAACAAGCCCACACCGTCGCTGCCGCAGGATCTGCACCTGCTCGTGTTCGTCTCCCCCCCTTAGAGGCGATGTTGGTGAATCGCCGTCAGCCTCTAACTGCTCTTCTGCATCTGCGCGAGAAGTCTCTCCACGATCCGCCTTTTCTGTGTCATCGGCTGCAGCATCCGACGAAGTCGGCGCACCCCCTCCTGCTTCAGCGACGCTTGACACTGCAGCCTCTGCTGCTGCTGCTGCAGCATCGGCCCCTGCTGCTGCAGCAGCAGCGCCATGTACAGGAGGAGGCGCAGCAGCGGCAGCAGCGTCTGACGAGCTTGTGCTTTCCCCTGCAGCCTCTGTGGTGCCCGCTGCAGCAGCGCCTTCCGGATTCAGCGAAGCGTCAGATGGAAAGCCAGCGGCAACGGCGGGTGTGATGCCGCGAGTGTTTCTTTGCTGGAGCGCCGTTTGCGCAGTTGTGGGGGGAACGGCCGCTCCAGTTGTTGCTGCCGTTGCTGCTGCTGCAGCACGCATTTCTGGAATGCGGAGCGCGAGCTGTATGGCGAGGAACGCCCACACCGCGAGCAGCGTGACAGCGAGGAGTAGCTGCGTCCAAAAACGTCGATCTTCTTCCCTCTGCATCGTGTGCACACATATATACGCCTATACACATGTATACACACAAACAAAGATGCAGCGGCAGCAGCAGCAGCAGCACTAGAAGCGGCAGGCTGGTGCTTGTAACACGCAATGCAACTGCCAAACCTGCAGCAGGAGAAAGGCCGTCTCTGCCTCATGGCTCCATCGCGCGCACGTCTCTCTTCGAAGCCTTACCGAGAGGTAGACGGAGAGCACCACAAGGAGGGGAGGGCTCTCTGCTGCTTGCTGCTGCTGCGCTGCCTCTGCTGCACGAGGATCTGTAGAACCCCACAAAAAGCGTCCAGCCGTGGCTGCAAAGCCTCGCCACACACGACCCCTGTCAGGGGCCCCCCGAAGACTCCCCCACAGGAGGAGGGGGGCCCCCCCTAGCCAGCGTCGCAGCAGCCGATGCAGCCATAAGCACGAAGCGCGCAAAAGCCCCCATGCTCCCAGCAAGCGACTCCCCGGAGGCAGCGTCAAGTCGGAAAGCAGCTGCCAGTACAGCTGCAACATCGCAGGCAGGCAGGGTAGCAAACAGGCTTCGAAACCACGAAAGCTGTCCACACATGTCGCGCTGCACTTAAAAAGTGCGCGCTCGCGTCATCGCACACACGCAGCAGCAGGAGGGAAAAAAGAGAGAGAGATAGAGAGAGAGAGAGAGAGAGAGAGAGAGAGAGAGAGAGAGAGAGAGAGAGAGAGAGAGAGAGAGGAGGGGAGCAGACGTTAGGACTAGAGTAAACATCGACGGACCTATGCCGGCTTCTACTGGTAAAACGATTTACCTCTTTCTGCAGTTCATGTGCAGCCTCATGT